TGTACTTCTAATACCTCCCTTAATTATACCGCTATTTATCGCTAATGAAGAGGAATTACCGTAATCCCCTCCAACTCCGTCTTCCCCGCTACCGCCCCCGCTACGCAACTGTACCCCCAATAAATTTATTAAAACCTTCTATTAAGAGTACTATTTCGGTAGGACCCCGGTAGTAGCATAGGCGTCGCGGGCTTTAATTGTATTATAGGAGGTATTTAAAGAACTAAACGGTCCTATTAAAGATATTATAGCGTTTAAAGACTAATTAATCGAATAGTTTATAGAATTAGGCTTTATAATAGAATTCTATACTTCGTTAAAAAATAATATTAAAACCTTCTTTAAATAAGAGTAATTAGTAATTACTTAAGCAAATAACTTCTATAGTATACGCTCTACCCTCTAATTAATAAATTTAATTAACTATTATTATTATATATCAAACTCCTAATACGTTTTATAATACGACCGACCGATACTACCGCTCTCGAATTTAATATTACGAAAGTATTTGCCTCTCTAGCAGGTAGTACTACCGCTAACGGTTATAATATACAAAACGAATTATAATAAAAGAGGTAGACTACTCTAATTATAAGGGAGGATTCTATATATTTCTAGTACTTTCATATACTCTTTTTATTCTTATATAGATAAATACATATACTCTTTTTATTCTTATATAGATAAATACTAGTATTATATTTGGCATTTCTAGTATTTCTAGTACTTTTAGCACTTCTAATACTTTTAACACTTTTAGTACTTCTAGTATTTCTAGTACTGAATCATAGTATAAATTATATATTACTCCTTATACTATTTAAATTACCCTCCCTATCTACCCTTGCCTAATAATATTACTAATTTTTTTAAACTCCTCTAGCTAGCTAGTATATAAAATCGGGTAATCTTTATTAATATTATTAATACCCTCTATAATTAATTTAGCGTTCTTAAAGTAATTACGGATTTATTATACCTTATACCCAATACTTTTAGCAATTCGACGGAGGAAAATAAGGAAATCTTTATTAGCTATCCTATTGCTACCTTCGTTATTATATACTCGCTTTATATACTTCTTAAAATTACTAAAGTACGCCTCGATCGGGTTAAATTCTAGGGAGTATAATAGTAAATATTAGAATAATATACCCGTACCTATATACGTATAGTAGAATTTGTTACGTAGATACTAATTCGCATTATTTATTATTAGAATACTATTACGACTAGCAAAGGGATTTATTATAGGGAGGAGGCGATCTCTTAACTATTTAATAAACCTTAGGGTATTTATTTATCCTTTAAAAATTAATATTTCGAATACGCCGTTAACTAATATAGTTAAAAGAATATAATACCGCTTACTACGTTTAAAATAGTTCGATATTATCGCGACAGTACCGCGGGGAACTTAATTAATATAATAAATTCTATCCCGTTAATCTATACTAAACTCATCGTAAAAAATAAATATTTTTATAATAAATAATAATATTTTTATTATTTACTCTATTATTAACTTAGGCTCCTACTATACCGCTTTAAACGCTAGCCTCTTTTTCTTCTAACGCTCTTAATATAAATAGCGCCGTACGGTTTCGGTCGATATATATATATTGTATTCGTTGGCTAAGAAGGTATAAATCTCGTCGAAGTATAAGGATAGCTTTAATATTAACAATTTTATAACCTCCTTTACAATATTAATTATAATATAGTAATTACGAACAGTTACTATAGTTACGAACATACTTCCATAGCCTATATAGGGAGCTTCCTAGAATTTTAGGACGCTCGAGAAGGCAATATTAACTTACTAATAATATTAAAATTATATTTATATCAATATACTATAGGCTCGTAAACGCTAGCGCCTATAGCAATATCTTTAATAGGCTCGTCGTTATAAAATATTAAATTTACAACGGCTCGCTAATTCGAGTTAGGAAAGTTCACTATATTACACAACAACAACAAAGACAATATAAACGCTAGATAAAACGATAAGCAATATACTAGCATTGAAATACTAGCTTTTTGGTGTAGGTTTCGATAATTTACGATGCGATGCGGTTAATTTTCGTTAATTAAAACGGTTAAATCTAGTCAATCTATCAAAATCCGTTAGAAAGTCGGTATTGTAGCCAGCTCAACACAACTAGCGCGCCAAGACTGACAAGGCGCTTGAGTGTGGGAACTATTGTCGGTGCGGAGTTCGGCAGGTCTTTCCTCAAACGTCTAAACTCAGCTGCGCAAGCCCTATCAGCCCCCGTTAAACGACGAGACCTTTCATTTCGTTTGTATAAGCTGTCCAATACTTTGGAATGGCTTCCAGTTTCGGTCGGTGTGCAAGAAACGCTTGACTCACCTCAAACAGCAGTTGATACATGGCTCAAGACTGTCTCGGCATCCAGTTGCGAGATATCCCGGCACGATACAGCAATAAGAAACCAGTGAAATTGCCACCAAGCCCCCATTTCTTTCCCCAGAACGCCAACGCAAGCCTCCCATTGCTTTTGGGAGGAGGCTTGCTGTTGTGGCGCCTTCTGGACTCTGATCACTACGACGACACATCACGATAGCTGCAGGAACGACATTGATCCTGATATCTTGCCCCTGACTAGTCAAGGCGGCTAAAAATCAGATAGTGTTCAAGTCGTCACATGCGTTAAACTATCGAGGACTATCGCAATCTTCTCAGGGGCGTCAAAGAAGCAAATATCGCCCAACGGTGGCGCTGAGCGCTAGTGGCAGACTAACGACTATACACAGTAGGAAGACGAACCACTGCTCCTACGGCGAATCAACAGAGAGACCATAGCACTCCCCTACTATCAATGGTCAGTAGTGTACATTGGATGAGGAATTGTCCAATGCCCGGTGCCATGAGCTGAGCGCAAAATATCTTATCGACAGTCTTTGCTGCGTATAAGTCAGCGTTGCATTGCGCTGCAAGTGGTAAGATGAATACGGGATTTACCTAGCTTTGTCGCATTTCAATGTCGCTTTATGACTTTGCGCATCCGTACAATATCCGGATCGACTGTACGCTTGGGGCCTGTCAACGTGGGGGGGGAGAAGGTTACAGTGACAATGGGATTCTCAGTCGTCGGTTTGTATTAATAATTTGTTTGGGTTCTAGACAACGAGAATGAACAGGACGCAGAATGGTTTGAACCCCCGATTGTTCAGGATTCCAAGACCCTGCCATTACTGTTAGAGCTCGAAGAAGCGAAGGTAAGACATCGCACAAATTGGTGTCAAGCATAGCTCGCAGCTTTTTGCCGCAATCACGTCGAGGAAGACAGACTGGCCGATCCTCATAGCCTCTTCCATCGTTAATCATCTTCCCACAGTCGAAGAGGTCTCCTCCAAATGTCTCTAGAAGCAAGTCGCCTCGCGAGGAAAGACTCCCACATCACTCAACTTTCCCAAAGGGCCATCTGGGGCAAGGGTCGCAGACATCATCAAAGCGAGGGCGAAGTCGTCCAACTGCCTAAAAGGAACAGAAAGGCACTATACCTGATATCAAGGTTATCTGAGACGGAACGCTTCTGTGATCTGGATTCCATCAGCGCTGTAGGGCAAGTCTTCCTTCTCCTCGGATGCTGCCGACTGGTGACAGGAGATATAGGGATGCCCTGCAATCGGTGTCAACGATACCGTCATTCCAGGTAGGAAGACAACTCTAGGAAACATCGGAGTCCGGACCCTGCCCTCATCTCCATCATATGAATCACAGTTGAACGAGGCAATGAAGCAGACTCACCTCCTTAGTCGAAGCTATCACATCGACCAGAACTTTCTTCTTACTCCCTGTATACTTTCACCGGCTTTGAAAGGTAGCCTAAAGTATGATCGCAAACTGTCCGCTCTGTCTTATGCTGACACAGATTTGTGAAGCTACTTTGACATGCACATGGCAGCTGAACCCGGCGCTCTACGAAAGGGGATACCTAGACTCAACATGACATGGACGTCCGGTTCGACGATGCCGAGTCTTTAGCTCTTCGCCGGGGCCGGACGACCAGCGGAGTATCCGAAGAGTGGAGTAAGCCGGAATGGAGTGGAACCAAAGACGGGACGGGCCGAGCGGGTACCTCTACGGAGTTTGGTCAAGTGAAAGTCCCCTAGTGGACCCCCGAATTTTCACACGTGCACAGACCAACAGAGGCATCTCTGGGAAGGGTATAAAATATCCCCCTCCCTCCTCCCAATTCAATTTTCTTTTTCTTTTTTTCTTCATGTCGACAATACTTCAGTGAGTCCCCCCCCTACTGCTACTACTGGGATCCGCTCTCCTCTCTACCTAGGAGAATGCGCCTCCGAACTCACTCTTCTGAACAACTCTGCTAACCACATTCACCCCCCACCAACAGGAGAATCATTTCTATAGTATTTGTCCTCTTTTGTGTTCCCTAAAGGAGCCACAGATCCCACCCGGGTTGATGACCAATATCCTCGTTTCCCAACAGTGAGAATCCTTTATTTTTTTTACTCTCGTCCTGCCTGCAAAGGTGGCGGTTTGTTTCGCGCAGACTGTATAGAGAGTGGCGATGATCTGTACCCCGATTTCTTTTTCTCGAGGTCTGCCTTCGGGCGCTTGGGCGGGGTGGGTTTCGATGGAAGTCTGACCGGCCTACATCACAACTTTATTTTTTTTCATTGTGCTCTTGGGCTTTTTTAAAAGGCTCGGGACGCGAGGAAGAAAGATGTCTGCTACTGTACTTGCGAGTGTCCTGCTAGTGACTGAATGGTCTGGTCTGGTTATGTTCTGCCAGTAGGTTACCACTGCCGGACAGTTTGCGATCACATTTTGGCGCCGTCGAAGCCGGTGAAAGTATACAGGGAGTCAGGACTAAAAAGAAAGCCGTGGTCGATGTGATGGCTTCGACTAAGAAGATGGGTTCATCTTCCCCTCGCTATCTCAACTCATGGCACCACGCGCTCGTTGATATCCTCCAGCATTATCACAGTCATTATCATTATTCTTCACTCCAGCTTCACTAACGGTAGAACCATTAGGCTTTTTCAACACCAGGGGCACTCCCTCGATATTTTACCTACTGCCCCAAATATACATGAACCACCTCACCGGATTCACGACCATCAGCAGACCTATCATCAGGTGACCCCAGTAATCGATCAGGCAAGGCAGGCCAACTATCCCTCACTTCCTCTTCCACAGGACTGGAAGTGCTCTCCACTCCACTCCCTCTCTTGCTTCCTGGCTCGGTTACTTCGTCAATAATCGATAACTGCGTCCCCTTCTTCAATCCACCCCTCTTCTCTTCCACTTCCACCTCCTCTTCCACTTCCGCTTCCCCCTCCCCTTCCACTCCCTCATCCACCTTCTCGCTGGAAGAGCCCCCTAAACTACTCGCGCCACTCTCCCTCTTTATATACACATCAACCACCTCACCCGATTTACAAGTACTAGCATACCCCTCATCAGGCGACTCTAGTAATCGGAGAGGTGACGCAGGCCAACTATCCCTCCCTTCCTCCTCCACCTCCTCTTCCACAGGATTGGAAGCACTCTCCACCCCGCTCCCCCTCTTACTCCCCGGCTCAGTCACCTCGTCAATAATCGACAACTGCGTTGTCCCCGTCTTCCTTTTCAACTCCCGCTCCCCCCTCTTCTCACAATCCCTGACACAATCCCTACAATCCCTAGTACAATCCCCAGTCTCAAACAGCCCATTACCATGCCCAACACCCCCCTGATGTTGCTGCTGCTGCCACGGAGGAATAGGATCCTGAAACGGATTATCCTGACTTATTCTTCCCTCTTCTTCATCCTGCCCCTGCCCCTGCCCCTGAGAGTGCCCCTGCCCCTGAGAGTCATTGGGTCCGTGTCTTCTTGTTCTTGCACCTCCTCCCTCATCCCTGACCAGCTTGATGCGACCTAGAACTAGTTGACCCGTCAGGCCCGTTAGGCCCGTTAAGAATACGGTTAAAGGTCTCCTCATCAATTTTGTTAGGGACGAGCGGAGGCAACCATAACTATGCTGTCCAGCGGACGGACTCGGACTTCGTCGTCTCTCAATCCTCAACACCCGCCTGATATACCGCCGCGAAAGAACGCACCAAGCTGCCAAGCAAGTGAAGATCCCGCCGGTGATGCTTCCCATTACTATGGCGGCTGTTATCCATTTTTTGTTTTTTCCCTCGTATTTTGTGGTTCTGTCGTCGCCGTCTTCTTGTTGCTTTTCGGGATCAGTGTCAGTGTCAGTGTCGGTGGGAGTGGGAGTGTCCGTGTCGGTGGGAGTGCCGGTGTCAGTAGTAGAATCGGTCCCAGTGGTAGTGCCAGTGTTCGTACTAGTGCGAGTGGTGGTCCTGTTAGTAGCTGCGGCAATAGCAGTCTCCATAGGATCGAAATCTTCCCCTGCCAATTGATCTTGCCCCGGTACCATTTGTGTTGTCACCGTGGAATGGGTCTCAGACGGTAACATAAAGCTAATGGCAGGAGGGTGGCCGGGGGGGGAAATTGAGGTGGCCATCGTCGTGCTGTAACTCGTACTGGTGGTACTGGCCCCACGGCCGGTGGAAGTGCTGGTGCTGGTGCTAGTTGGCCCGTCGCTTATGTGGAGCAGACCGTCTTCGTCGGTGTAGATGGAGGCGCCGCCTAGGAGGGGGACGTCGTCGTCATCGTTGTTGTCTCTGGAGTTATCGTCGGTTCTGGTTCTGCTGGGAATCTCATTTTGCATCACAATCCTAGTCTCCACCAGCTTCAACCCTGCCGCCGCCGCCGTCTGTGTAGCCCCAATCGCCGTTCCCAAGGCCGCGTAAATCACATTCTTGGGATTCCACCCCCCTGACCCGTTGTCGTCGTACAATGGCCGGCAACCAAGGTTGGCGTATCTTGACCGTCCTTGTACATCTGGCGCGTTGTTGGCGTAGTAAGGGGCGAGAGTGATGGTCATGGGCATGCAGGAGGAGGGCGTGAAGGGGGTGCTGGGGAAGGGGGTGGGTGGGTGTTCGTCGTTGAAGCTGTGTGGAGGGGGGAAGGGGGTTTGTTAGCTTGGGGACGGAGTGGGAAACTATAATAATAGAAAGGAAGCACTATAGAAGGAGAAGAAAAGAAGAGAAGAAAAGAAGAAAGAAAATTTCAAGAGGCGAGAGAAGGACAAGGCAAAGGCCTATTGTGGGAAAAACAGAATCGGGAGTAGAAAGGAAGGTAGATGGAGAAGGAAGAGTTCAGGAAAGGAAAAAAAAAAAAAAAAAGGAGCGCACACACCAAGTCTCCCGACTCCCATTATCATACTCAACCACCTCTCTGTAGGGCTTGTACCTCGGATCGGGGAAAGAGGTACTGATATATTCCTTGATGCACCTTGTCGGCATCGGGCAGTCGTTGAAATAATGGCCCAATTTGCAGGCCGCTTGGAAAGTGGAGGAAGTCACCCAGTAGTGGCCCGCATCGAGGGTGAGTTTGGTTACTGTTCATATTGTCGTCGTTCTTGTTAGCTTTACTGGTACCTTTGATGGTGTGTGAGATATGAGATCCCACAAGGAGGGAGGTGGGAAGTTGAAGGTGCAGTGCAGTTAAGGGGATTTCATGGGAGTGGACGGACTATTGGTGTTGGTGCGTGAGAAGTTAACTTACCACGAGAAGCCTTCTCATCGACCCAGTACCCAACATGTTTCGGATCCTGTTTGTAGAAAGTGTAATTGGTGGTTGCTGAGACGAGGACGGTCAAGTGGGCGAGAAGGAGGGCTAGTAAGAAGAGTATATGCGGTGACCGTAGTGTTGCTAGTGGTCGTCGTAGCCGTCGCGATCCCTGGTATAGCCCTAAACACAATTTGTCCCCCCTCATGATTGGAGACGAAAATGCTTGAAAAAGATGAACGATTCACACCCCACATCGTCGTAAGAAGAGGCATCAAGAGCCCAGACAGACCGGTTGACACATCGAAATTCGATCGGGGGGCATCCATTTTACTTCTACGCAGCCACAACCGCAGGGTCCGCAGCCGCAGCCGTTTTTTTTCTTTCTTTTTCACTCCCGTTCTCAGTGCCATCCAAACTTCATCTGACCCGCTGTTGTTCTCGGGAGGGATGGAACGTTGCTACACATTGTACATGTACTCACCCTCCATGGCTTTTTTAGCGTGGGCTGTCATTAGGATAGGTAGGTTGCAGTATGCTGCCCCTAATAAGTGGTAAGTAAGTATAGAAACCACATGGAAGGAGGAAGGGAAAGAAAAGAAGGCGGGTTCTTTGTGTGCCCAAACAAGCCTAATGCCACCACGAGGCCAGAGAGGTCAACCGCCCTTTTCTTTTGAGAAACAGGAACACGGAAATACCCTGAACACGGCTTGGCCCGCAAAGCCTTTGTCCCATCTAGGCAACCACTTAACGGCTTCGGTGCCGAGTGTCGACAAGGAGGAAGCTCGTTGTCCATTTTCGTGTGTGAATAGTTGACAGAGAAGTGGTTGCACCATAAAAAGAACAATTGTCCCAGACCTTCTTGCTAGAGAAGGTGACACAGACAGACGGCAGTAACCGGGTGAAGGGCTTCTAAAGCCCAAAAAAGGGCCACGTGGAGAAATAGGCAAAGACACAGACCTGCACCGTAACGACTACGACAACGTCAGTCATTCATAAGAAGACAACGACAGGTAGATCCCCCTTTCACAAAAAAAAAAAAACAAAAAAAAAAAAACCAAGAAAACAAAGAGGCTTGACGAACCTGGAACTTCATCGTGTCTGAAGATCACTAATCTACCAGCCAGTGTCTGGACCGGTCCATCACCGCAGCCTGAGCCTGGACAAGAGAGTATTCGATATAAACCAGAGTCAAGACGTGCGTGAAAAGGATGGAAAAAGGGTGGTACTCGTCAGTGTCGGGTTTGTAGACTGCAAGCCTTGTTGGCGCAGGCTTCTCATAAGTCAGGAGGGTTCTTTTCGATGGAAAAGGTGGTGGCTGAGAACGCCCGCTGAGAACTTTCCCAAGCAACCTGACATCCTCCTCTCGCCCCTGCCGCACGTCACTTCTCCATCAAGCGTTTCATTACTGCGTTGAAGACGAGAGCCGAGGCCAGTTGAGCACACTATGCTCGTGCTCACCATATATCCAATTTCCATAGTTCATCAAGACCTCCAATCGACTAGCTGAAGCTGAAGCACTTGCTCAGCTGCCTGACAACTGCCCGGCATGTTGAGATCCATTCTCCCCTTCCGGTCGCCCAAAGCCACCAACGCTCAGGACATGGCGAGAATGTTGACTGCCCCTGGCTAAGGACAGAACGGTGACCGATATGCCCATACCGCCGCCACTAGACAGCAGTTTCCAACAACGGATATACTCAGATTCATCAACTGGACCGAACGGACTGATGCCGTTATTCCTGACCTTTGACGTCCCTTGGTATCGAACCACTCAGGTCCCAACAAACGAAGCCGGTAATAATGATCCACAACCGGCCTTATGACACGCAGTGAACAAAGTACTGAGTGGGTGACATGGAGCCAGCCCAACAGCGCTGAGCTGAGATGAGCTGGGCTGGGCTGACAGCCTATCGTCCAAGGTCCAAGGCGACAACAGGACCAAAGGTCCAAGGTCCAACGTGACTGGAAGTGAAGTGAGGCGGCAGTAGAGATAGACAGACGCAACTCATCTCATCTCATCCCAGCCCATCTGATCTCAAGCACAGGTCGCCAAAGGTACCTTACCTAGCAACGAGCTCTCCGAGTAGGTGGAAAAGCCATTCGTCCCGCCCCACCACCGGGCCTTCACTTCGACGGGCCATGCTCCGTTACTTCTCGCAACGAGTCCCGCCCGAGTCTAACTGGGTCGGCCTCTGGTGCCGTGAGTGTTCCAAGACCCGAGGTGAAGGAGCCAGAGGGCCGGCCATACGAAGCGCGACTGGAAGTGAGGCGATAGAGAGACACAACGGAGCCTATCTCCATCCGTCTGGATATGTTGATAGGCAGCTAAATCGACGGACGAGCCCTTCGGTTCCACCTCACCGGCCATGTTCCCTTCATGATCGCAACGGGTCTCCGGATCTCGCAGCTTCTGGTACCGTCGGCCGGCCGTGGGTGTTGATATTCTGAAGCCCGGGGCCTGTTGGCTGCAGTGGCCTGCCTGATCTTGACCCGAACTGAACTGACCCTCCGCCTGCCTGTCTGTGACCGCGACAGCAGTGATCTCTTCCGTAATGGCCTCGGTCCAGCGTCGTCGGTCCTTCGTCTCATTTCGTTTCCTGTCCCCGAGTTCTACTCGATGAATTCCAACGGGGTAGTAGCCCGTAATGACTCTTCGATTCTTCTCGGTGAAAGCCCAATCGTCAAAGCCTAGTCAAGTTGTCAGGTCCGGTGCGACATCCAATGTCGTCTCCAGTATCGTCCACCGTGAAGTCTCCAGCGGGTCAGGGTGAGCTCGTTGAAACCGTTGAAGCCTGTCGGTGTTTTGTCTTGTCTTTGGCGATGTCTTGGCCCGCGCAAGGTTTAATCAGCGGCAGGCATCTCACCTTCTTGGCGCTTGGCGCGGACAAATAGGGTTTTTTCGTGTGCCAATAACAGGTCTCCATTGCTGTGCTGCCTGATTTTGGCACCGTATGCTACTCTATTGCTAAATGAACCATGACTCACGGGCAGCTTCACTTTGACTGATGGGTGCAAACAGAGCGGCAAGGGATCGCGGCAGCGACAGTGAGTGGCAGGCAAAAATGAGAGCGACACGACAAGAGAAAGCTGAGCTGTGGTTTGATGTCATTGCCAGGATGCCAGGGAGCCCGCCCAACGCCCCACGCACTTCGCCGTTGGACGCGCCGGCGGGGTGGTACGGATGGGCCTCACCGCCTAACCTTATCGCTTTCATCGTTTCATTGTGGCCGTTTGATATCGACATATGATACCATCATGAAAGAAAATGATGGGCACCAAAAAAATGGTAGAAGGGTATTTTTGTGGTGGTTTGTGTGTACCTATCTAGATAATCTACCTACTAAATAAAATGGGAGTCGTTATCGTGAAACGAGAAGAAAAACATGCAGGTCTACCTCCCCATTTGCTTTGGCTAAGTTCGCGCCCTCCTCATTCAGATCGAGTGTCATGTCCAGATGTTGTGATAACGGGAGTATGAGCTTGTCGTCGTGTAAGTCGGCAAAGTCGAACAACCACATTAGCAGCCCATCCTTCAAGCTCCCAGTGCAAAAGAAACACGAAAGACCTTTGGAATCGACGACCTCTCTCTTTTGCTGTCTTGTCTTTCTCGCTTTAGACTTCGACCGCTTTCCCTCATCCTCCAAGACGACGTGGTGACAAAAAGGCTAGTTTCTCTCCAACCTGTTTCCGGACCGGTGACTGCCCCGAATGCGAAGTAATTTTTTTGTCATTTGCGTCTGGAAGACCCGCTCATCCTTTCATAACGGACATTACCAATCTTTCATTTTCCCACAACTCCATGACTCCTGACCAGGGGGGTTTCGCCTGAGCCGGGCCCTGAAGCCGACCCTATCCATCTGCTTAGAGATCATCATCGTCCTCCTCGTTGGGAAGAGGCATGTTGGCGGCCTCGTCCATCTCGGCGCGGTACTTCTCCATAAGCTCCTGGTCGACAACGGCGGTAGGAGGAGCAAGGGCGGGAGCAGCGACGAACTCCTAGAGACACAGTTAGACATCATACTTCTCTCGAAGCTGGCGGTGGGATAACATACGAGAGCGTTGTTGCCGACGAGCTTGCGAGCGAGCCAGAGGAAGGGCTTCTCGAAGTTGTAGTTGGACTTGGCGGAGATATCGTAGTACTGGAGGTTCTTCTTGCGGTGGAAGGTGATGGTCTTGGCCTTGACCTTGCGCTCCTTCACGTCGACCTTGTTACCGCAGAGGACGATAGGGATGTTCTCGCAGACACGGGTGAGATCACCTAGATGGCTTGTCAGATGTTGTCATATGTTGCGACGGATTCTGAATGAAGGGCGCTTACGGTGCCAGTTGGGAACGTTCTTGTAGGTAATGCGGGAGGTGACATCGAACATGATGATACCGCACTGGCCGTTGATGTAGTAACCGTCACGGAGACCACCGAACTTCTCCTGACCGGCGGTATCCCAGACATCGAACTGGATCTGGCCGAAGTTCTGCGCGGGGGGGTGGTTAGGTCAGCATCGGGTTCGTCGAGCGAGCGCGCGTGCGAGGATGCGTTTGTTGTAGTCGGGGGCCATCAAGACTTACGGTGCTGAAGCCGAGAGGGTGGACCTCGACACCGAGGGTGGCCATGTACTTCTTCTCGAACTCACCAGTCAAGTGGCGCTTGACGAAGGTGGTCTGGTGATGGCATCATGGTGTTAGCGCAACAGTCCAAGCAAGCAGACGGGTACCCACCAACACCACCCCGCAGCGCAGCGATATACTGGAGCGTCGATGGTGTTTGATGATGCCGTCCATGTCGTGGAGGGAGGAGCTTAGGATGTGGACTGACCTTGCCGGTACCACCGTCACCGACGAGGACGAGCTTGAAAGTAGGGGTCGAGGCAGCCATTGTGTATGATGCTTAATATCGCAGGCGAAAAGAAGCAGGTAAACAAGTCCTTTGGGAAAGTCAGCTATCGACCGGTCGGAGCGACACAGATGGGCGGGGTATCTGTAGGTTAAATAAGGGCGAGGGAGGGAGGGATCCAAATCCGACTAGAGACGCACCTTTGCGATTTTGCAGAGGGTGGGAAAATGGGTGTGGTCAAAAGAGAGAAAGCAGTGGACCTCAGACAGCCTGGTGGATGATGTTGTGTTTTCAAGGCACCCGCTCAAGGGAAGACCACCAGCCTTGACGAAAAACTCGTTGGGCGGCGGGGTGCTTGTTAGGTGAAGGGCACGTGACTCGCCTGGTCAGTGCGGCAACCTCAACCAGTCAACCTGTGGAAGCCAAACCGATGCCATTCACTCTGCCGCCGTTGGGATTTCCATCTTTTTCTTTTCTTTCTGTTCTGTCACCAGGTTTGCTCGTTTTCTCTTGCAGTCTGGAATTTTCAATTGTGTCACACAAAGCTGAGCATGGTTGTCGAATCTTCGCCAGGTTGCGCACATCATCTTGAGCAAGGTTTTGCCTCTTCATCTATTCTGTTCTGGTGGGCGCATACGCCGTGTCTGAAGTTCGTTTGTTTTGTTTTGGTTCTGGCTTTGTTACTACGGTGAGGGAGGACCCCTGGCGTCTTGGCTTTTTGGTTCGTCTTTCGAATGCCAGTCAGTCTCAGGTCCGTTGTTCCTTCATTACAAAGCAAATTCCCAAAGAGGCCTCATTTTCAGGCGGCAGTGGTGCATCCTGATTCTTCCCTCACAAATTTGGGCGGATTCGGTGCCCAATGACGCTACATTCGTATCACAATCTTCCTCTGCCTAGCTCCAGGCAATCATCTAGCCTCCGTTGCCTTTTCATAGTGGCAAGATATGGCATCCAAGCATACCTCTACCGCCCCAGTCGCGGCGAGGAGTCAGCGTTAGCCGAAGCTCTTGGGCTCGTGTCCCTGCGGTGCTCCGAGAGACCTTGACGAGAATATTTTGCTAGGAAGTATACCCGTTAGCTCAGCTTTCTCCAGGCTGGCAGTTACTGAGGGCTGGCAGAGCCTGAGATGACTTACCCCTTCATTACCCTGAACACACTCTGCCACCTTCCTGAGGTTGTCGTGGTTGGACCGGTTGACATAACCAAAGCTGCGGATCAGATCGCCGGCCTTTAGGCCTGCTGTGGCCGCCGGACTGTTGTCAACGACACTGTTAACCTTGGCGAATGGCTGCTCCAAAACCTCAGGCACCGAATCTGGCAGCGGAGCGGACTGATCAGTTGGGATAGCTGCTGGCTCTTCGTCATCCTGAATGCTGGCAAAGTGCTCATGCAGACGCTTCTCGATCAAGGCCATCAACTCCTTGTAATCGTTGCGAAGACGGATGATGCGCGACCTTGTTGTTCGGATTTGCGCAACATCGATATCGGATCTGGGAAAGCCATCGGGGGTAAGGAGGTTTGTGTTCATGTCCACGCCGTGCTGGATCATATCATCAGTCAACTGTCTTGATGAAGGCTGGGTATGAAGTGGACCAACCGAATCAAGCACTCCGCTGAGCGCCTTGAGCTCCCCCTCAATAGCATCCTTCTTGCGTTGGAGCTCAGCAAAGGATAGATGGGCAGCATTGCCGTTGGAAGTAGGGGCAGATGTCGGTCCCGAAGGGACAGTAGGCGCATGGAGATTGCTCATGCTCATGGTGAAGGGTAATTAATGTATAATCCTATAAAGGGTAAGCCTCAGTTGTGAAGTCATGATGATATCTCGATCTCAGACATGGGAGTATGTACCTGTGTGAATTAAGTCTCCAGCGAATGACGCGTTGCGGTGGCCTGGCCGGATGGTCGCCTCTTGCTGCGTGAGCTTGAGCTTCAGTGAGCTTTGCTGCCCCGGTCTGCTTGCCGGCCGTGTCCCGGTCGGGTGGGCCGAGAATGAGGTGAGCGGCGGCGCGGGGTAGCATTTCGTTCTCTGGCCCCGCCATTTTGTGCCATGTGACCAATGGGACGGCAGCTTTCACCTGGTCGACCCGTTCGGACGATGTTGGCCGGGGCTCCCTGGGATGGCGCCTCCCACCTGTCGCAGGGATGACCTGCGCTAAAAGCAACCACAAGGGCCACAGGGCTTAGGCGCAGAAGTGGACGGGACCGGGAAGAAATGGAGCGGTTGCTTCCTCGTCGTCAACAAAAAGCTCCCCTTACCTCAAGCGCACCTTCCCTTTGAGAGCAGCGGTCAAGGGTGCAAGGGCAACAAGCTCCGAAGAATGGAACACGGCATGAAGCCTTCCCGTTCATGATGGACGTCCCACCGCTCCTGCTGCAGTGCTGCAACTCGAGATGTGCCTCACCCTCACCGTCCCTGGTCCCAGCTGAGGTTCTTTTGAGATATTACCTGACCCACAAAGACAGGCATTTACTTAGTTTTCATTGTTTATCCGAAAACTCCAATGGTCAAGTCACGACAGGTAGTGATTGGTCAGGCAGCTAGTCGCTGTCAGTCGATGATCTTAGCTCTCTGCCCTCTCTCAGCTGTACACTACCATAACCCACTCTCAGTCGTGTCTGTATTCTCAGCACTGCAGCGACCAGAGGGCACAGTACACGAGTACCCAGTGGTCCAAGCCAAGAGACGAACAAATCCATAGGCTGACTTGAGCCACGTGTCGGCAGTGTTGCGGTTTCACGTCCGATTCTCGCAGCCAGCCTTCCGCTTTGATCGAGGACACATCTGGCCGAGTCTGCTGAGTCCTCCCTTTCACTGCCTTACAGCTGGGAACCAACATCGCTGACTTTCTCGGCGTGCTCGGATGCCAATGGTCCAATGGTCCAATGGATGCCAATGGATTCGAAAGGCAGACATTGATGGTCAGGATATCATGGATGACGTGCCTTGCGCTGGATATCCAAGAGTGGCTGTCGGCATCCCGCCTTGCCGACGACCCTCGCTAGCACTGTGGCTATCTATCTACCCTTACCTTGGCAAGGTTTGAGTTGAACCCGGCCTCCTCTTCCCGTCCTGTGCTGCAGTGACTCTTCGTCCACGGGTGCAAGTCGGAGTGTTGTTCGTGGTACTACTTCTACTTTGTCCCAAGGCAGGCACGTCTCGGCCATCAACAGCAGAAGCGAGCAACAGCAAGCCGGCGAGGAAAGCGACAAGGACTCGCTCCTGCCCGGGCTGTCCTGGACTGGGACTCGGAGTGGACGGGACTAAGAAAGCTCCTTCCCAATCACCCTCCTGTTTCGCCCACGGCATCTGGCGATAACGAACAATCTTGCACCATCTTCCTTCAAGCCCAAGAAATTTCTGCCCCATTGTTTTGTCCCCGACCCCTCTCAGAAAGAAAGACTTCTCTTTCTTCCCCCCTCGCAATGTTCCGGTTTGTGCTTCATCAGTCGTGGAAAGGAAAACGTTTCGGTGTTTCGCTTCTCCAAACTTTTTTGGTTTCTTGGTTTCTCGGTCAACTACTCTCTACGCATTGTGCATTATCTGTTCATCGTCACTGGGTCTTACCGCTGCTTTGCTTTTAAATTACCATGTTTTGATAAGGGCCAGTGCATCATCTGGGACACTCGACTAGGAGAGGACGGGAGCCCAGGGATCCGAGATACTATCTGTGGTGCTGCTGTTGCTGCAGGAGCACTTGGACTCGAGTCTCCATCACGGGCAGTCATCTGAGCTTCAACCAAGGTTTCAAGTTTGGAGTTTCGAGTTTCCCTTTGAGCCTCCTCTGGTCTGGTTCTGGCTCCCTTCTACCTGTTCCTCTTTTTTTTTTCTTGGAACACCCTCTCGACCACTGGACCCAAGCCATAATGGCAGTTCCCAATGTCGATAACCATGTCGATCCCGTCACCAAGCCTTTACCGCCATCTCCTTCTACTCTACCGATAAGCGCCATTCATACCCCCTTCGACCCCAATGGGAACCCGTTGCCGTTGCTTTCGGTATCAGACGAGGCACAACCACTTCATCATGTACTGGAGGATCCTACGGTTATAGAAGAGGAAGACCTCAGCTCCAGTCCAACTGTGGCCGTGGTAGACGTGGGCAGACCCAATCAGTGGAACACTTTGGATACGATACACGACTTTCAAGATGCCGTTGCACATCATCAAGCCCTGGACAGTAGCAACTATGTCTACCGGGAAGCAACAGCAACACCATGCGAGCCCCCAGCCAGTAAACCCTCGAAACCGAACAGGCCGTTTCAAAAGTGGATCAAGACTCTGCACAAACGAGCAGTTCGCCGTCAGGAAGCCATGGGTAACGAGCATGCTTCCACGTCTTACTACTTCAACCTCGATGGTGCGGGCTCGACAGCCTGGGGACCCGGCCACCACCGACAATCATCTTCAACTTCCTCTTTTGGTTTCGTGACGGCCGTCAAGAGCGCCAGTATATCTCTGACTAGTGCCAGCACTATTCTGACGCGCTCCCGGAGAAACACTGTTCGGTCATCCCGTGGCCAGTCGAGGACAGAACGCAGCAGCAGAGCTTCTCTCTCCGGTGCACGGCTTTCTGAGGATAGTTATTGTCCGGAGCGACAACTGGTGGCGGATCCTGCGGCTATAGGGAGGTCATTGCAGAGACGCCGGGTTTTGGAGGAACTCGTCAATACGGAAGAGAGCTACATTGGAGATGTGCGCTTCCTGATGAATGTATGTCGCATCTCCATCCCGTCCTCTCCCATTGTCTCTGACCAGTTACTCCCTACCTAGGTTTACGTTACTATTCTTGCTTCTCTTCCCACTTTGCCCGCCAGCCTTCGCTCTTCCATTAATCGAAACCTCAATGACATTGTCGAGCTGCATGAGGAGATGTTAGGCGACCTCCATAGAGCTATCCCTCACTCAGAGTATACGCAGCTCAATTTCCCTCTGCAAATTCCTTCGGCCGGCTCGGGATTTCGTGGTCATCAGCGATGGAGGAGTCTGGATGCAGTACCAGAAGACAAGGATGGCATTTCATGGCTTCGCCAAGTTCCCGGCATGCTTGCCGATCCCCAAGTTGCTGCCGAAGTTGCCAAGATATTTACCAAGAAGATGAACCGGTTCTTCATCTACGAAGAGTATGGTGCCAAGTACGAGCTCATGATCAAAGATGTTGCTTCTGCTCACAGGACAATGCCTGCTTGGCAATCCTACCAAAAGGGCATTGAGATTTTGGCCTCCTCTCTTGGCTCGGCTAACAGCCAGGATGATAAAGAGAGAAAGAGTCTCACTATAGGAGATCTGCTTATGAAGGTGAGTTGACCATGCCAAGGTCAACACTCGTGGTTTATACTAACAAGGTCAAGCCGATCCAACGTGTATGCAAATACCCATTGCTCTTTGCCGAATTGCTAAAACACACCCCTGAGGCAGACTGCCCCTATTCTCATATGGAGATTGAAAACTCCCTTATACGGTTACGTGAGGCCACCGCAGAAATCAACAAAGCCACGGATGATTTCAAAATCAAGTCGACCCTGGAGAAGACATGGATTCTCCAAGACCGCCTGGTATTCCCTAATCAGCAATTGGATGCAGCTTCAAAGAATCGCATTCGATCATTCGGCCATATTCAACTGTGCGGAGCTTTACATGCCTGCTGGCAGACGAAAGAAGGTGTCAACGGACAGTACATGGTTGCTCTACTGTACAAAGAATGGTTTTGTCTAGCTACAGCTAGCAGGACTGATCAGATATACACAATCCAGGCTTGTATTGCTCTGAGCAACGTCAAGTTGGAAGAGGTGGACAACGGTCGAGGTATGAGATCGATACTGTCAGATGCCCCCATCCGTGTGAACCTCGTGCTGACGTATCTATAGGACTTCAATGTCACACCGCGCCATATTCCTGGAAGCTTGTGTTTCTCTGCGATCACCAGTTGTACGAGATCATCTTGACAGCATGCACGCCGAAAGAGGAGACGGAATGGCGTACACGCCTCGGGAGCCAGCAGACCACCGAAGGTCAAGACCAGATGCAACCGGTAACCTTTAGCTCGCTTTCGCTCAATATCAAGACTCTGGGGGCTGTTTTTAGAAAGCCAGGTATGTGGTCATAGCAGCCTGCAAAGGTGCACATAAGCTAATCATCTGTTTTGAGCAGGAACCATTGCCAGGAAGATATCGATACATAGAGCGACCACTGTTGGGCCCAAGTCACCGTTATGCCAAGTGATTCTCAAGAATACAAGCGTAATCAAGGATGCACCCGCTTCGGGGACAAGCTCCTCAATCAGCCGATCTCAATCCCTCTTGACCACCAATACCCGACTGCCAGTCCTTGCGCCATCCCGTGAAGAGCGGGCTCGACTCGAGGCTCTGCTGTCAGATGTCTGGACCCGGGACATCCTGCCCTTCCCAGGGATAACGGCCCGATCCCGAAGCGAGCAGCTAGTCCGAGCATCCGCGTCATCCATGATGCGAAAACTCAGTGTGGTGAATATCACGAACAGCTTCACCAAACGCTCAGCCAGTTTGACCAGTCTTCCGCGCAAGGGAGGGAGTGGCAGTAATGGCACAGAAGATGAGACTCTTGTCGGCTCCACTCCCACCAAGGGCACAACAAGCCCCAAGGCCCTGAGCAGAGTCTGCTACAAGTCGGAGGAAACGAGCCGTTCTCTACTTTCCGTCATACCCGATAAGATCGAGAGACGCAGTCCCATGCTTCGCAGCGCGTCCGACTCGGTGGGCAAAGAGATGCTTAGTGTGGTACGTCGGTCGGACCCAGTACGCGTTCGGTCAGAGAGCGAAACTGAAGGGACACGGATGGTTCCTAATGATTTCTCGGGTATCCTGCAACATTTGTCGGGGAACAGCTCAAGGGCGCCGAGTATCCAGCAGTCGAATCTCAGCAAGCAGTCGACCAGGGAGATGTCTGTCAAAAGGGGAAAGGAGAATAATGGCTCGGCTGCTGACTCGGCTAGTGTTAGAGGTAGCGGGAATAGTACTTCATCCGGTGACTCTGAGTACAAGGCGTCGACGCCGAGGAGACCGAGGCTGAGGAAGAGATCCAAGACGTCGACGTCGTCAGGGGCAGGAAATAAGTGGGCAAAGGTTAATGTGCATAGGGAGGTTGTGGTGCAAAGCTTGAGGAATCTGTTTCGTTGAGCAAGGGAGGTAAAGTAATGTCTATTGTGGCAGGCAAAACATAATGATGGGCGGTAAGGGTCAGACGGTCGGCATTATTGGGTTGGGAAGGTGGTCGGATAAAAGCATTTTATAATACCCGCTTGTTTTCTTTCTCATGATTATGGATTTATGGTTTCACGGGCTTATAAAGAACGAACAATGGGGGTTAAATACGACCTCGGTCACGAGGTCATATGCTCAACGGTGGTGTCGAGACGGGTGGACAGATTGTTATCTCAAAAGTTATCAGGTACCCGAATGTTAATGGTGTCGCTCGCTTGCTGGTAGAAAGATAATCGCTTATTCGTGGGTCTAGGTAGCAAGGAAAGTTGGGATTGAGGTGGCCTGAGGTTTTCATCATGATTCAGAGTGAATACACCACCAGTATGGCCTGATGTTTTCATCGTGATCCAAAATGATGGTGTTTACTGTTTCATGATGAACCCGAATGATTCGGAACGGAGCATCATCAATCCGATGCTAGCCAAGACGGATTCCCTTGAGACCACCGGCAAGCACTCACCGCCCGCAGATCGGTCAGCAAGCGTTGGCAGTTGTCGTGAGTGCCAGATGGAAGTCGCGACTGACGTGCCGTTGTCCGACTGACAATGACGTAATTGAGGTCACGAAAGCTCGGCTGCAAGGTACCGCCAAGCAATTCACTCTGAAAGCTCCATTTTGGTGGATCAAAGTCGCGACCTGAAACCTTGAATTGTTTACAAAGAATACGTGCAAAACCCTCTTCCATTCCAGGTGTTTTTTGAAGGGCAGGAAGGGTAAGGGGAAATGATTTCATCTTGAGGGAACTGCCATGGTCAACAAAGCTTGGGTCTTGGTGACAGCGCTGAAAGACGCAAAAAGATCCACAGGGCGGCAGCGCTATTGCGCGCTAGCTCTCAGAACCCGCTAAAAATGGATCTGCGGGGCTCTTCCCGCCCCACCATTTCCCTGTTAGAATCGTGCCTGCCGCAACAGTGGAGCAAAAGTCAAAGGGATCCCCGAAGCGTCACCTATGACGTAGTTGTTGTCTGTTTGTTGCTGGCTCGGCCAACCTTCGTCTGTAATTCTGTCGTCTTTATAATCTGGTAGGTGCGAGGCAGAAACTGACAATAACTTTTCCTCTTCTCTTCATTATACCAATTCATCAACGACGAACTTATCACGAACTTTTAACGACGACGATCTGATCAAGTTAATAAGGTGAGTTCAATGCTTGTGCATCTGATGCTCTCCTTCCTAGATCCTCCTCATCTCATGTGAAGGCGGGTGGGTGGTAGACGAGCTGCGACTGGGAGGTTCCATTCACTTCCTCTGGTTGGAGCTGAGGATGGATTCACCTGTTTGTCACGCGACGTCCATTCACTTCCCCTCTGCCATAAAAGATCACGATCGCATCAATCCTACCCACACCGCGACATCAGAAACAGCCAACTAACCTCGCCCGCTTTCTCCAGGACTTGACAACCCCCACGAACCAAAACAACAACAACAACACACACACACATACCAAACCAACTCCCAACACAAATCCATCCAAAATGCGCGGCGGTGCCTCCGAGACCAAGGTCCACTACAAGGGCAACGACGAGGACTTCCTCGTCTTCGTCGACAGCAAGGACGACTACAACAAGTGGGTCAGCGACAAGTCGACTCCTTTGGCCCAAGTCGTTTCCGTCTTCGAGGTCTTCACCACCCACAAGCAAGGCAGCCAGGGCATCTACGAGGCCGCGTCCAAGGCGATGCTCGAGAACGAGTTCGGCACTCACAACTCAGACGATGCCATCAAACAGATTTTGGAGAAGGGAGTTTTGCAGGAGATGAAGGTATGTTTTTCTTTTTTCGTTCTCCATCTGGGAGGAAGCTTGCTTGATGTCAAATGCAACGACACATGCTAATTATGATGGGAAAAAAAAACAGTTTCCCGAGCGCCAAGGAAACAGGAATGACGCCAACGTTGGCGAGTATGTGGGGCGTTGAGCACCTCTACCGCATGCACATTAGGGGCCAACACTCGTAAACAATGACACGACACGACACGACGTTCTTGAGCGGAAAGCATTAACTAAGTGAGCCGGCGTTTTTGAGAAACAGGCTGGGCTTGGGCTTGAGCTGGGCTTGGGATTTGGAGTCGAGTTGGTGGAGTAGTGGAGTGGATGGAGTGGATGGGAATGAATTAGAGCAGCGCTTATGACGATACCATATTAATGATGACTGCTTGATTCTGAAGAACAAACAAACACTTGAAGTTTCTGTGCGATGTGTGAAGGGTGCGTGAGTGGTTATGGAAACAATATGCGCTTGTTATGTATGGAATGGCAGGAGGTAAGTTTAGACATTGGGTATCGAGGAAATATGGCGTGCCTTCACATCGAGGAGACAGAACACCTGGACGAGCTTTGAGGGGCTTTAGGGAGGTGCCAAAGGTATTTCAACTTCACTTTCCAATATCACCGTCAATGCTTCCCTGATCTTTCGCATGGCTGCGGCGCAGCTAATCAGAGCGACCTCGACAGTCAACCTCAAACATGGCTAATTCGCTAATTCATATGTCCCTGAACTTCATACCCAACGAAAGGAACGAACACGAGTGCGAACACTGACAAAGTTTATATCACTTTTTTCTCTCCTTCACTAATCATGACTAGTGCTCACTCCTGGCTATAAATACCTTATTCTGTTGGTTCCAAAGTTGGCGAACGGCCGGCCAATTCTCGAGGCCTAGACCGCGACAGGAAGCGAGCGATTCGTCAAGCGCGGCTACTTCTACAATACAATACCCGCGCCAAGTCGCCAGTCGCCAGATATGGCCGGCGCTTATGGGAACAAGTAATGCGAGGACGTCGCGAAACGCCATGAACGCCCCAAACGATACGTGATTGAGGCATGTCTCAGGCACAACCAACACTACAAACGATATGACACTCCATCCATCCTGGCTCGCTTTTAGGCACATTCCGGTATCCGACTTAGGTGCTATGTTGGTCCCAACGACACCAGCCAGCTTCTTCGAGCCTTCGGATCCTGGCGGTTGCGTCAGAGAGCGGCTGGTGAGCAAGAAGGCGAGTAGTGGAGGAGACTGGAGTGACTGAATGCGCGGCTGGATTGAGTGAGGGTCTGAAGCTGAGGCTGACGCAAAGGCTGACGCAAAGGCGGTTGGGAAGGCGGTAGGTAGCTGAGGCGGTTGCGGAAGGTGAAGCTTCTGGTCGTCGCGATAGCCGCTTAGTACCGGCCGCTTGGCGCTAAGAACTATTCCTGCTAGGTAGGAAGGAAGTGTTTGGACTAGCAGCAGCACTCAGAATTTTGAAAGATGTCGAGAGACGGGCAGCTTCAACGGAAGTGACCTGTCGGCGACTGAAGGGTTCGGAATTGGGTAGACTACACTCGAGGCGGCTCCAATGGATGAAGTTCGACCCGGTAGGTTGGTTTATGGATCATGAAGTGTTCAGTTGGATCTCAAGCTATTCTCAAGCTAGCTATTCCAACCCTTGAAGTCTGGAGGATTCCCGTCGGTCCTTGTTCCTTCTCTGTACGATAGTGTACCCAGGGACAGGTGAGTGATTGGGTTATAGGTACCTCTAGCTCAATAGTGTTCTTCTCCTTCCCTGTTGGTAAACATTCTCCTTGCATCTGAACGAAGGATTGGTTGAAAGAGACAGACAGATCAGGACGAATGAGGAAGGAAGGAAGGAATCTGATCAGTGGCTGTGAACCTCGGAATTTACGACGGGAGTTATTGAGCATCGGACTCATGGTGCAGAAAAAGGGAATGAGGCGAAATCTCAGTCTAGTGATGTGACTTGGATTGATGGAGTGGTGAGTGAACGTATTGACGGCGGAGGAGCAGGAGCAGGTAGCAAGATCAGGACAGGCGCCTCCTTGATTGACACCGACCGACTGAAGTCTCATGTCCAGTGACCAGCGATTTGTTCTCTGATACTCTTCTCAGAACAGAACTGGAGATGCTGTGGGTTTGACATGAACTGTGTTCGTCGCTCGCTCTGAATGGGGGGAGGAACACGGAAGAGCCTCAACCCGACAAGATCTACTGCAGACTTAGTTCCGAACCATGATCTCTTCACTTGACATCAAACCATGCCATTTGATATGTTCTTCAAAGCATCACATTCCCTTTTTTGATTTCTCCCCTTAAAGAGTTCCAAGAACAGTTCCAAGAACAGAGCAGAACATCAAACGACGTAGGTAGGTAAAAGTCTTATCACCACCATTAAGCCTCGCATAAGCACGGTTGGCGCTAGTGAAACTGACCAAAAACACCGAGGGCCTGAGCTAGTGGTCCCCTGTCAGGGGTTCACGATGCCCCAATGCCAAGGGGAGTCAATATTTGGTTGATAAGTAGGTGGCGGCCCCCTCCTGGGAAGAGGAACAGTTGGCGATGGCTGTTCTAGCTTGCTCTGGCACTATTCCTGGGGGCTGAGCTCATTGCCAAAAGTATCATCACGTAGTGCGTAGAGGATATAGTCATTCATGAATGTGAAGTGTGTATGCATTGTATTCTCTCTTTCCATCTTCCGTTTGTTGATGCTCTCTGTGACCCTATCACCGTATTTAATGCATTCGTTGTCATCACCATCCTCCCATTTTTTCCCCTATGTGCTCTCTCTCTCTCCTCTTGGGTATAATCTTCCCCAGTCATAAAAAGTCTGTAATCACAAAACGCCGTGTGGTATCCAAATGCCAAGTGTCTGACATGCAAAATTGATGCTATATAGAAAAACGACAGGAAGAAGAAAAAAAAGGACGATGACGCTTGCTGTGTGTGCATCGATAAGCCAAAAATATGTTTGAGGTGTGTATGTGCTGGTTTTGGGATTTGCTCGTATACGATAGCTTCCTCCCTTTTCATGCCAACATGACAGTCCCGCGCGCAGCTCCGGTTCGCTATGGCGCCACTCTGGAGGTCGTCGGTTTGTGTTGCTGTGTCATTCGGCCATGTTTTTGAGATGTCATGGAAGAGTCGTGTCCTTCGTCACAGGATGCTGATTGCTGGATCGCTGATATGTACGGTTATGGGTATTATACACGTCCGGACTTGCCACCACGCTGTGGTAGTGTCCAAGGCTTTGCGCATATCATCTGTTCACTCGAGTTAGCAAAACGCCCTTCAACCAATTCTCATCACGAGGGAACTAACCTCTCCCTCACTGTATGCCCAAAAGTACACGCCCAGTCCAATCACCTGATAAATAGCAGCGTTCGTCCCTTGGTAGATGAGCGCGGCAGCCAGGGCGGTAAGCGGGAGGACGGCCAGGCGGGCCTCGAGACTGCGGTGAAAGCTGGATCCGGCGATGAAACCAAGCGGCCACTCCCAAGCGATGAGCAAGAGTCCGAATATGAGGTTGATGATTTGCAGAATCGGTATCGGCTTGACGGCGGCGTCTAGCGTTTTTGTGAGGAAATCCCAGAAGATCTTGGGCCAGAAGAAACCCTCAAGTGCGGCTGCGACTTGGTCTGTGAGATGTGTTAGTTGAGGTGTTTGTAAGACTTGAGATGGAGAGATGAAATTTGGCACACATACAAGTTCCAGCGGCCAGGATAATGAGTCTCGCCCAGTGGTTCTTGATGAGTTTTCCCATGTTGACGGCTGATTATTGATGACGAAAGATACAGTCTCTCTGTCGGGTATCTTATAAGTTTCCCTTTTCTTCGAACTGACTTCGCTTCCAAGTTGACCTTTTTCTTCCTTGCTCCTCTAATTCGGTATCCTTCGCAGGTGATGATGTCTTTTTCACGCAACGCTCAATGATGATGATTTCGTCCCAGTCCAATCACTCGTATTATCCAAACACAGACGATGATGCAAATGTCGTAAAAGTCGTTTTTTTGTAGCGATCCAGCGCGTCAAACAACCCAGCTTCGAAAGAATGGAAGCAGGTAATCCCGACCTGCGGTTAAAGAAGCGAAGTGGTTGAAGGAAAGGGTTGTCGATGTGAAAGAAGGCTATCGACGTCCAGACGAAGAACAAGGCCGGCAAAGAATAGAATGAGAGAAAAGAGGAAGGGAAGCCAAGAATTAAGCGGCCGGGCGGGGCCGAGTCGGACTAATATTGGGCGGGTTTCCCTTCTTCTCTGGTGATGGATGACTGGCACTCGCCCACCCGGGGGTTCGGGAGAGCGTGTGTCGGAATCGACGGGGTGGGGCGCAAGATTCACCGATGGTAGTGTGTATCGGAATGTTGCTAGTCGCTGTTGTTGGAGATCCAGGTTCTGACTATTCGGTCTATGGCAACAGCGGGCATCCGAGCGGCATCTGATGTTTCCAGGGGATCGGGAGCGTGTTCTCTCAACACAATGGGTATTATGATGAAGATAGATCAAGGCACCTGGCCTGGGCGATATGACGGTGGTGTTATGTGAGTATGAAGGCCGGAAGCGTCGGTATCCGAAGCGTCTGAGGTTCGAGGAGACGAGGCAGTCCTTGCATGAATGTCCACAGGCGTATGTGTTTGAGGCCGACAGACTTTTTGGGAGAAGGGGGATAAAGAGTGTATGATCTACAAAGGTCTGGGACACATGCCAGTTTTACCAAGACCAGAGTTCGGTTCCGAGAGGGGGTAGCACCTTGGCTATGGATGTCACTGTGTGGGGTGGTGATGGGATGGAGCGTGCCGAGCTAGCACTTGGCAAGGGCTGGGCATTGTCTGGGCAAGAGAGGAACAGGCCAGGAACAGGCCGAGACCATGAGACCGCCTTGTGTCTCTGGTGGTTTTTGTGAGGCTGGAGGCGGGCACATGGCCTTCCGGGGTCCCTGGGCGGTTGTTGACCTGTTCAGTCGGGTCTTTTCTGAGCAGAAAAAGGAAAGCATCTCATCCAGGATGAGGTAATGTGTACCATTCAATTGGGTGCAAAAGGTGAGGGATTTGAGTGAAGCAAAAATGACCAAAAGACTGAGAGGCCACGAGAAAGAGTTGTCGTCGTCCACACAGAAAGAGCCCTGCGGTTCCTGGCACCTTTCTGGCCCCGAGGTGCCCCTGCCGTCCGACGTGACTGGCGTTAGTGTGAGCGGTTAGCAGCCCGCAAATTAGCCAATCACATAACATCCCGCACTGCTCTTCGTTGCCAAGACAGGCGCAAGACAGGGGCTCCCCCATGCAATGTGACCCATCTATAACGTTGAGCATCAGGGATCTTGTACCTTTGCGATGCCGTCCTGTAACTCGACAGCGCTTCACCAGTGTCAAGTGACAAGCCGGATGCCTCCTTTGCGGTTGCCCGGTACTTGCGGCGCTATGCTGCCATTTGGTTGAATATTTCTTCCGGCGTGCACTGTCGACGCATCGTGCTTTCCGATATCACGGCTATTTTTGGTGGGCCAAGATGTTGCTTTCAAAGATTTCAATGGCACATTCGCCTTCAAAAAGATATCGTCAAAAACATTTGGAATCAACAGGGCCGTCTAGAACAAGACAATTGCTTTATTCGGTAGTGTAGACAACTGAATGCAACATGGATGGGCTGAGACAGGCCGTTGTCTGGACTCTCCTACAATGGCGGGCTGCTGAGGCAAAAGACGTTTCGAGATTTGGCTCCCGATCTGGAATCCCACCCGAGCACAGACCACCGGTCTCGCACAAGATTTGAGCACTCCTGCCACTTCGTGTATCACCATGCGGCGACAACACGATTGTATAACGTCGTACAACCACACCTCACAAAGTTTGAGACTCTTTTCCATGCATTCTTTATGCTGTGACGACTGACCCCAACCCATCGGATTTTTGCATTGATGCCCACCACCGCACTTTCCAAGTCGATAATCAGACACAGAGTTTGGTCAAGTGGAGTCTTCACTTTCTCTTCACTTTCTCTTCACTTTCTCTTCATCATCACATCGGCACTTGCTGTCATCACCTCGCTGACCTTGATGACCTGAAAATTCCGAGCAATGATCTCTTCACCGCTCGATAACGAGGTCAATCCTGTCGTCAGCCCCAAACAATCCCAGTCATCACACTCTCGCGCGAACTCGCATATGCACATCGTGCCTCTTTACATCTCAGAGAAGAAAACCCACACAGTAAAGTGCAACGTTAGACCGGGCGGTTGTGCGCTGCTCGTCATTGGCCTCTTGACCCAGAACAGGCGGAGAACCACATGGGATCCCACAGTCCCCGACCGCACTTGAACCAATTAGGGGTCCCCCATCACCTCTTTTCTTCTTCAACCCCCTCCATGCGAGTTGAGATCCTGTTCGCTGATCACAAAGATATATAAAATCATCTTATCATCCCCGACTCCGAGCTTTCTCCAACCATGCGCTACCCTTATTTCACCATGGCTCCGGTCTTGGGATTTCTTGAGTCTAGGGTCGGTTCTCGGCGACGTGATTGTTGCCTTGTTGTGATTGTGATTAACCGGGTTATGGAGCAGCAAGGAGGAGGACACGCAAGACACCAACCATGTGGTGATACCTAGTGGGTAGCCGTCGGACGAGCAAGATTTCAGCGTTTTGTTGACCATGAGCCTATGAGAGTGGCATCCGAAGACGAGAAGGAGATAACCTCGGTCAAGTCATCATGATGGATATCACGCCCAGCAAAATGAACCCTGGGCAATGGAGAGGCAGAAAGCCGAAAGCGAGGTTTTCACTTTGTCACTACGCCTCAGCCGCATTCATCCACCACTGAACAACCCATCGCGGACAACCCATCGCGGAGCATCACAAAGACGGTACGGTACGGACGAGCAATCCGAACCCAATCGCGGCAATCTTCTCCTGGTCCGAGCCGTGCCCTCCATCCCTTTCTTTTCATTCCCCAGTACCCAGTGGCGAACAAGTGAAAGAACAATGGCTATTGTTCTGTGCCTCAACCTCTTGGCTACCTATCTTTCCAGCTACATATGCTGTCGGTAGTGCCGCCAGGTCCAGTCCAGTGACCAAACCCGCCAGTCCCAGTAGGATGGATAGTAGGAAGCGCCCCGGATTCCAACCAACCGAACCCAGTTAGGTCCGGCGTATTGGGTGTGTGCATGTGTGGTGTGGTCCAGTCCGGTCTGGCCTCGACCCGCCGGCCTGGCACCTTTTCGCCTCTCTTGTCTCTTTTGGGCTTTGGTGTCGTCCCTTCTTTCCTTCCTCTTTTGTGCTGCTCTTGCTCATCGAACTCCCCGGATGAGAATGTCTAGGGCGCCAAAGATAGCTGTTCAGCTCAAGATCAAGTGATAAACACGTGCGGACTTGCTCTCTAGCGTCGTCGTTGGGAGGTAAGGGAAAAAATACCATGACTTGAAGGGTGTATGTAGTCCACACTGCAAGGCACGTGAGGCTACAAGTTCGGCGGTAAGCTGTGCCTTTGGACTGACTACATTAGCTCCTCCTTGGTTTCCTTCTCTTCCTTCCCCCTTTCGTGCTGGAAATCGTTTATTGGAATTACATATGCAGGTACACTTTCTTCTCGGCGCTTATACACATTATCATATAGGTCAAGGACCCTCCCTCCTCACGCTCACATTCACATGGAAGCTTTCCGCCAGGTTTTGTTTCGACGACGGACTTCGTTGTCGTCAGCATCATCACAGTGCGTTAGTCAGTCACTATCACGGTGACGGGATATAAATAGGGGTTTCCCCTTTGCGCTCCATCAAGGCCACGGAGGGTGCGCCAGCTTGGGAATCACGACCGGCAGGCCGAGATAGAAAATATGGTCCTAGTGTGTTGTGTTAACGTAAGCTTCCCCGAAGCACACGGCATTGGCAACAAACCTGAGGCTGCGGCTGAAGGTTGATGTGTTATTTCATCCCGGCGCGTATCAGCAGGATGCATGAATGGTTAGGGTGCTGAGAAGACAGGAAAGAAAGCGAGCGGACAAAGGAAGTTGAGATGCGGGTTGAGATGCGGATTCAGGATCCTGACTCATCACAAAACTCAGCTTCCATCGGCGACAGAAACACCACATCTGAGTTGAGTGAACACACGCAGACTGTTCTACTTCAGACTCGGAGCTCATATTCATAGCTATGATGTGGAGTGAAGCTCATCCGGACACGTCTTGTTTAGATGTCTGGTCATTCAACAGCTACGAGTCGAGGTTAGGTGTTATGCCCCAACGATAGGAGTTCCGAAGTGAGTACACCCAGTAGTGACTGGTCAACACGAGGACAGAACGAGAGGCACAGATCATCGTGTGCGCTTATCTGTTCAAGCCGAGGTCGAATGCATTGTCGTTGGCCCTCAAGCCAGAGCAGTCACTTGAAAGCAACAATGCTTCTCAAAGAGAAGTATGCGACAGGCTGATAAATGGGACACAGGATACCAAGATGTACAAAAACCTTACCGCCCAGTAGGCGTTTGGCCACCTTGTGGACAACAACTTGGAGTACATTTGAAGCAGATCGGAGAAAGACACCAAGTTCAAGGCACCAGTACTGTTTCAATCTGTGACTATCAACTCCTTACATTCCATCAAGATCAGTCGCATAACGTTACTCTCTTTCACTTTCTTTTCAACTCCTCCCGCCTTCTTCACTGTCTAAAATCTCTTCTGACCTTTCACATCACCCTCTTCACCTTTTGACTTCCGCCTTCAACCATACATACCCTCTTTCATCCCATTTCCATCATCACCCTCAGTCTTGTTTCGTGTCACGATTGCCATTAACCCCATCGTCTCATCCTCTCTTCAGCTCTGAAATCTTTCGTTATCACCGTTCCCACTCCTCACTCCTAGTTGAACCCTCCTCTTTTACGTCGCCGTTCATATAATTCTCTCACCGCTTCAACCCTTACAAATAAATCACTACACAGCAAACTCATGCTCCCAAAAAGCCAGAAATCTCTCCGCTTCCACTTCACCTGCCTCGCTACCCGAAGCCCGTGCCATCGCGTTCCTAACTTGTTCTTTCCCTTCTTCTGTTTCGACTAGCTCTAGGAGATCTCGAAGGCCGGGGAAGTTGATGAATATTGGACCACTGAGAATTGCGCACGATTGAGGGGAGAGGGGTTGGAAAAGAGGGTGGGAGTGGGGTTGGTTGCGGGATTGGTTGTGGGAGGTGAAAGAGGCGGAGGGGACGGTGCAGAGGGGGAGGAGAGTGTCTCTGCTGGGTATGTAGTAGGTGTTGTAGTTGGTTGCCCCCGCGTGGTTATACCCGTTTGGCTGGTGTTGAGCATGGGCAGCTGCAGGAATTGGGATAGGAGCTGGTGGTGCAGGAGCGGGTGCTGGAGCGGGAAATGGAGGTGGTTGAGGTTGTTGGAGAGAAGCGAGCAAAGAAGGTAGGTCCGAAGGGTGGGAAATGGGGAGGATGGGGATTGAGGAGAGGGCGGATGGGTGTTGAGTTGAGAGGAGACTGTGTGAATTTGTTAGTTACGTAGTTATCCTCATAACCTGTGATTCGTTTTGGTGTTATGATGTTGAAGGCGCAGTGAAGTCAGGAAAGTTTTCAAAAGGCAAGAGAGGAAGAATAAAAAAGGGACATACATACTCAATCTGCAACTTCATAAACCCCTCCAACCCCTTTTCCTTCCCTTCTTCTTCCACTTCACCCCCTTCACCTGTCCCATCACTCCCCTCGCTCCTATCACGAGTGCCAGTCTCAAGCGCATAAACAATCTTCGCCTCCGAAGCATTACTCGTATCCGAGCGACACAGGTCATACAAACCACCAATCCACTGCATCGTCCTCGGCTTGCCGACATCAACAGCCGAGTACAACAGGAGACGAAGGACTTGGTAGCTGTTTCCGCTGTGGACCATGAGGGTGATGTCGTTGTGGTCTAGATCAGTTTCTGTTGTGCAATTTTATTAGCACTCCTCCTCAGTCTTCAGGCGAAACATGGGTAGAATGGGGAATAGATGTACATACCTTGCCAACGCCCCCCTGGTTGATGAAGAAGTTGAGCAGCTACTTCAGCCCATGGGGATCTTTGTCTGAGGTTTGAAGATAGCAAATTCATGGTTTCGTACCAACTTGCCGTAGCGCGGAGGTTCTGGATGAGGATATGGACCGAGGGGGATTTGAGTGTGAGAAAGAAGTGGAAAGGACATTGTGAAATCTGATGTTAATCCAAGGTATGGGTAAGTGCATCCCATATGCCATAGGTAGAAGTGTTCCATCCATCGAAATGTGCCTGCGATGCTCTTTCCCGTTCTGCAACTGACGGGATGCTGATGGCTTTACCGCTCCTTCCTCGGATGATTGACATATGTCTGAAAATCTAGTCACGAGGCGGCACCTTCCTGCCTGGGATGGAATGAATTCTTGGAACACGATGGTATCCAATACCTCTACGCAACTGCCGCTAGGTTCGGCATCTAGCGTAGGTCCGGTTACCAGGTGTAGCTACAGGTAGCCGAAGGTAGAGGTAGCCGAAGGTAGAGGTAGTAATCCCACGATAACAGAAGATGGAACACCGAAAGGTCGCGGCCAGAAACCTCTCCCTTGAATAGACGTCCAGAGAAAGAAAGATGAACGCAATCGACGTTATTCAAAGTAGAGAGAACAAGAACTTCGCGAAGCAAAAGGAACATAAAAAAGGGCAAAAAGCTCGGCTGCCCAAGCCCGGAGTTGAACTCGAGGCCAGCTGCAATACCTACGAAAATACCAACGCATTTTCTTGGCTACCAGCACACCTACCACGTTGGCTACTGGGAGTTATTGGAAGGATCTGAATTTGGGACTTATATGGTCCCAAGGCAGTGAATGGTGAAGGGTGAACGTCGTGCCGCTGCGAAGTTGGGTCCATACCCGTGCCGGTAGTACACACCTAGTTACTGACGGCGAAGACGGTTCCTTGACTCTTCTGGACTTCATCAAGACGTATCTCATGAGTAGATGCGAGTGGTCATATGTCTTCACGCTTTCGAGAGCAAAGAAATCAGGACTTTTTGGGTGTAGCAGATAAAGCTATGTACATTGAACACCCACAAACAGTAAAACGAGTCATCCACTCATCCACTCATCCACTCATTATCACACTACCTATTACATAGAAAAGTATATATACTTTTAACTTCATTCACCCCTTCTCCCTAATCCCTGTTCTCCTCTGTTTTGGTTTTCCTCCCCTCCTGTTATCAACCAACTTCCCACTCTCATGCCCATTCCCATCCTCCCATCCTCCCATCCTCCCTCCCTCACTTACGCACTCTTCGTCTCCCCCGTCCTCGCCTTCCTCTCCCACCCAGTCTTCAACAACCTCCCCACCTCAAAAACCGGCAACGGATGCGCCTCGGTATTAAACACGACCTTATCGAGCGGCAGTAAGTCCTCCGGACTAAACAGCAAATAAAAGTACTTGAGCGTCTCCGCCATCCAGAAACTCTCCATATTATCCTTGGTCACGGGGGGGATCACGTTCGCATTCGACAAGCTCGTAAACCCGCCGCCGTCTTCGACCGCCGTATAATTGACAAACGACTTGAACATCTCCCACCCCCACTCGCGGTACTTGACGTCGCCCGTGATGCGGTACATGTAGAAGAGCGATTCGACGGTTTCGGGCCGTTGGAGGTTGTGCGCGTCGAAGTGGTGGACTTCGTAATCTTTGCGCCAGGTCGCCTCAGGGCCGGCGGGGTCGTCGAAGATGGAGTCTGGCGGGCTGGTATGCTGCGAGGAAGACTCGGGAAGGGGGTCGGAGGGGATCTTGAAGTAGGTGATTTCGGCTGCTAACCCCGTCGCCATGTACCGGTACATGCCCCAGCAGGTCTGCACCAGCTCGCGGGCGAGCTTCATGTCTGCCTCGCGCTGCTTGTTCCAGAACCCAGGCTTCTTGCGCGCTTCGCGCTCCGAAAGCCCTTCGGTGGCGGCGAGCGCGATGGTGCCGGGGAGGAAGCAGACGAGGTGGTCCATTTTGGGGGAGAGATTTCCCTTGAGACCGTTGGGACGTTCGCCGACGATGGTGAAGCCCGAGTTCTCAGTGTAGGTGACGAGGTGCTTGCGGATGCCGTGGAGAGCGTCGTTCCACATGTCTTGGTAGACGGGTTCGGCCTTTTTCGTTTGGAGGTACTGCTTGATCAGGTACTCGTAGTAGGAATCGCCGCGCGAGCCCAGACGGATGTTGGAAGTGTGGAAGTGCCCCGTGCTGGGCTGGATGTAGATGGGCACGAGGCCGTCGGGGGCTTGGTTGTCGTCTAGCACTTGCATGACCTTTTCGGAGCGGTCCCAGAAGTCCTTTTCGCCTGTCAGGTTGGCGAGGTACTTGAACTCGAGCTGGAGGGTGGTGGCTTCAGCGGTGGAGGAGGCACCGTTGTCGGCGTGCGAGGGCAGGCCTTGGAATTTACCGAGGTTGACGCTGGCGTAGGGGATGCCGGAGGGCGTGTCAAAGGCGGACATGAGCCGGTCGGCGAGGTCGCGGGCCTTTTCAAGATAAAGGTCCTCACCGGGGGCACCAATGTCGTCGTCGGTGATGGGTGCTAGGTTCGGGTACTCGGTGCTGAGGTAGTAGGCCGACAAGAGACCGCCCAACATGCGGATGGTGGTCTCGAAGGTGTTGACGTCTTGGTCCTGATCCCAGGTCAACGACTTGGAGATCCATTCTCGGGCATGAGTGACCCGCGAAGTCAGGTTCATGATCATCAAGGTGTCTAGCGAATCGATAATGATCCAACCCAGACCCTTGGGGGCCATATTCCGGCCCGTTTTCGACACAGGGTGAAACTCATCATAACCTAATCACACAAGGTTAGCCATGCCATGTAGCCTCCAAAGTGACAGTGACATACCCCACGCATATCTCTCATAAGCATCCCAACTCAGCTCCATAGCCTCAACAACCCTCTCCCTCCTCCTCAACCAATCAGCCTTACTCCTCGCCTTCGTATCCGAGCTCAACCACCCCCAATCCCCCAGCTTCGCCACCGCTCGCTCATGATGCTCATCAAAGAAGCCTGTAAACCACAAGAGCCCCAGCACCACCAACGTCAAGAACCCCAACACCCTCTTTTTCCTCAACAGCGGCCTGGGTCTCCCCCCGCCTGGACCGTATCCATACGGTTTATCCTTATACATGGGTAACGATGTTCGATCTGGGTTCAGGAACCCCCCGACTTTATCTTGTACTCCTCCTAGTACCCCTCCTCCGGCTCCTTGGCCTGCCCGTTGGCGGGTGGCAGCCCACAATCGGTCTTCAGCTTGGCGCACGGGGTCCGTAAACGACGGCACGTGTCGTGGGATCGAGAAAGAGGCCATCTGGTCCTCTATGTCCTCCTCTTCTGGTGGCTCTTCAGCAGCCGGCAGTAACACACCCTGCTCTAAGTCTGACTGGCTCTGAAAGCCCTGATCAAGCGCCCTCTCGACTTCCTTGGCAGCGGCTTCGGCGGCTTCGGCTACAGCGCCGATGGCGTCGCGCGTGCGTTCAGCAGCCTGCTCTGCGAACTCGGCGGCTTTGGCAGCGGTCTCGACGGCCTGTTGGGCGGCGCTCGCGGCGGCTTTTTCGGCGCGGTCGCGGAACTCGGTGGCGGCAGTGGTGGCGGTTGCGCGGAGGATGTTGATGGCGGCAATGGTACCCGGCCGGTTTAAGGTGAGGTTGTGGAGGTTGAATGGATCGCGGACGCGGTTCATTCCCGAGGTTTGTTAAGAGGGTGGTCACGGTGGTGGGGAGTTGGCGCTATATTTCAGTTGCATTGGTGGGAGGGATTAGTGTTGTTGTTAGTGCGCTTTGGGCCACGGGAGCTTGGTTGCTGGACTGAGACAATGGAATCGCCACGATAGGTGGTCATTAAAGGGTCTTTTGAGATCGGATGGATTTAACAAGAGCAGAGGTAATTGTTTATATTGACGTTATTCGCAAACGGATAAGGAGGAGCAAGTTTCAAAGAACAAATGCAGACCGAACTTTTTTCAAACTTTGAGCGGTCAAGCTGCACAGGGAAGGAGAGCCGCTGCGGACCTTCCACTTATTGGAGATGGATGGAGCATGGAGCTGCTTTTGCTTCTGCTTCTGTACATCCGCTCTTACATGGTACTTTGGAATTGCCTGACATATCTATGCACATGTACATATGTATTTATAACCTGCCAACGGTCAGATGTGCCTCAGTGTTCAACCACACCACAAACCAAATGCATGTCGGCTCAATAACGAGATTATCCAAGAAGCCAAGAACCTTGCTGACCTCGTACGTTAACGCCAAAGAGGACAGCTTGAGCTTTGACGCGTTACCACGACGTCGTGGGGCCCCGCTCTTTGTAAAAGGGGGCTAGGGTTAGGGGTGTAATTAATGATCAGGGTTAGGTGGGTCATTAATTACTCCCGGCTGACTCCGATTCAAACTTCAACACCTCACCATCACTTCACCCTCATACTGCACCACTCAAAGACCAGCCGCCATGTACTCAAGCCAGATAGAAAACTACCACCACCTCACCCCCTCCGAGTTCGCCGAAGCCGCCCACCACCTCGACCGGCGCTACAGCCAAGCGACCCTCGGCCCGCTCCGCCGCCAATGGAAGCTGCGCGTGCGCTCGGCGCTCAACACCCACTTTGTCTTTCCTTCGGACCCGGAGTACAGCACGTTTATCCAGATCACGCGGCCGTTGGAGGTGAATCTGGATGATGATGGGTTGTCCGAGTTTTTGGATAATCTGAGTTTTGATGGGCCTGGACTGGGGCCGAGTGTGTCGGTGAGGGACGAGGAGGGGTCAGGTTGTCGGGGGGATGAGAGTGGGATGGAGGTTGAGGATGATGATGATGAGGTATGTTTTTTCTTGAGAGAAAGTCTTGAAAAGGGGCGTGGGATGCTGATATGGAGTTTCCATTGGGAGAAGGCTATGGTTTTGCCTTCTAGATTGAACGAGTCGGCAAAGACAACCTACGGCTACGTCACATACGAGATACACCTTCACCCGACATATCAAGCGCCTTGCCTATGGTTTTCGTTAAACGGACTACCCGCGGACGAACCAGCTTTCAACATCGACACTGTCTTCCGACGTCTCGTACCCGATCAGTTTAAAGATGGACTCCGCCGCGCCGGTTCCGTGGGTGGTATCTCAGCTGATGTAAGTCCTTTTCTCTTCTCATCTCGTTCTTCGTATTTGTGTTTTGTGTGTTTTGGGATTCAATCTTTCGCTGTTGAAAACACGAAAAAGTTAACTAGGGCTGAACTCTTCTTCTTGCTCTTTGTGACTTTGTTGTTGTTGTGAAAACATGTGAGAATGATGATATGAGAAACGAGAAAAAAAAAAGAGGTGCCTATACTAACACACGAATGTCCCTTCTTTTGAATTATTTCGGCCAAACAAACAGTATCATCCCATCACAGGCGTTCCCACCTTCTTCGTCCACCCTTGTCTCCTTGGCGAGGCCATGTCGACCTTTGAGAATGTCTCGATCGAGACCTACCTGATGGTTTGGCTTGGACTCGTCGGTGGCTGTGTCAGCCTTTGGGTCCCGAAGGAGATGGCACTGGAACCCTCTTCTTGAGGGAGTAGAGCGGTGCGCGCGGACGGCCTTTCATGTATAGACTTTGGGCGAGATCGGTTGCCCTTGTCTCGGTCCGTCTCATTGCGCCCTCTTTGCCTTCATCATATCCTCCCACAGCAAGCTGGTATCTTGTTCAGAAGCAAATGCCACAGAGGACATGCATCAGTCCTCGTCGCTATCTTCCTCCATAGCAACATCCGAATCACTCTCCTCCTCTTCCTCCTCCTCGCGTGGCCGCTTCGTTCCCCGGTTCTCCTCTGCCGGTGTAGCTGTCTCTGTCCCGGGAGGCTTGGCTGGCGAACCTTGTGGTGCTGGGCTCTCGGTACTAGGCGCGCCCGGTACGGGGGCACTGAAGATGCTCTGTTGGACCGTGGTAAGGGCTACGGCGGCGGCGGCCTTGGGTGGCACGAGAGTGCCGTCGAGTTTGGCGATGATGTTGGAGCGACCCTTGGCGTAGGTAATTTTCTAGACACAGCCCGGGTTAGCATCAACTAATTACTGGAAAGATATAGAAGAGCTCACCATTTTCCGGCCCAAAAACTCCATGCCGTCAAGTGACCTCATCGCCTGTGTTGCTGTCTGAATGTCCCGGTAGACAATGTGTGCTTGCCCGCGCATCTTCATGGTCTTGAGAGCGACGACATCGAGAACGGGGCCGTAGGTGGAGAAGAGCATGTATAGTGCTGTACGGAGGTCGTCTTTCTGAATCTTGGCTGAGGGTAGGTTGGCGACGTAGAGGGTCTGGTTTGGCGGGTTCGAGACCACCTTTTGCGGGAGGCCCGCGGGGGGAGCAGTACGCGTAGCCATTGCCGCGTAGGAATTCGGGAGCCGATGTTGGTGTTTGTAAATGCAGGTTTTGGATTGTCGCGTAAACTTTCAATATGTCGTGGGCTACTCGTGTCGTCAATCGTGTCTTCGTCGGCCGAATGTATGATGTTCAGTCTTTAATGACAATTGCTGGTCAAAAATTGGAGACAGCGGCCAGCCTCCAGCCTACAAACAATCGGCGAACCCCACGGGCGTGGGTGCAGCTTGCTCGAGAGCTTGTTACAAGTGGACCAGACCCGGCCGGCAGCGCGCTTGGCAGCGTCAGTCAACCCGCAGCCAACCCCACTACGCAGCCGCAACGGTTCCCCTGGAGCCTGGCGGTCTGACCTCATTATCAGGCGTCCAGCCCGCTGTAGTTACGGAGCTCTCCCGTTCCCCGTTCCCGGGCAGCTCCCCCTTTCCACTTACAACATCCGGCTCCGACACCACCGAACCACAAAACATCACTCTCCGTCATCACCGTCCCCGATTCCGAGCGCGGTAGTAGAGAGCTATACTCCTATCGCATATCCTATACCCACCTAACAACTCACAATGGCTGCTCCCGAGGTCCACCATCTCTTCCACCACCCCATTGCCGACCACTCGTTCTCGGCCGATCGCCAAACCTTGGCCATTGCCCGCGACACTCAGGTCGAGCTCTACGGCAGAGTCGGCAATGCCTTCAAGCTCAAGGACGAGCTCAAGGGCCATGACAAGCTCGTCACCAGCGTCGACATTGCTCCCAACACCGGGCGCATTGTGACCTGCTCCCAGGGTGAGCCCCCCTTTCACTTGTCCACTCTCACCATCCAACCAAACTAACAACCAACCCCAACTCACAGACCGCAACGCCCTCGTCTGGGAACCCTCCCCCACCGGTTACAAGCCCACCCTCGTGCTCCTCCGCATCTCCCGCGCCGCCACCTTCGTCCGCTGGTCTCCCTCGGAGGCCAAGTTCGCCGTCGGCTCCGGCGACCGCGTCATCGCCATCTGCTACTTCGAGGAGGAAAACGACTGGTGGGTATCCAAGCACCTGAAGAAGCCGATCCGGTCGACCATCACCTCTGTCGCGTGGCATCCCAACTCCGTCCTTCTCGCTGCCGGCTCCACCGATGCCCACGCCCGCGTGTTTTCGGCCTTCATCAAGGGCACCGACCAGCGCCCGGAGCCGAGCCCCTGGGGCGAGAGATTGCCTTTCAACACGGTCTGCGGCGAGTTCTTGAATAACTCTGCTGGATGGGTGCATGCCGTTGCGTTCAGCCCGAGCGGAGACGCTCTGGCGTATGCGGCGCATGATTCCTCCATCACCGTCGTCTACCCCTCTGCACCCGAGCAGCCGCCCAAGGCGGTGATCAGCATCAACACGCAACTTTTGCCTTTCATGAGTCTCTTCTGGAACGGAGAGACCGAGATCATTGCTGCGGGTTACGATTGCGAGGCGTTCCGCTTCCAGGGTGGCGAGCAAGGGTGGCAGCTGGCGGGCACGCTGGAGAAGGCCAAGGCTGGAAGACCGGGTCTTGGTGGTGAGGATAGGGAGGAGTCTGCGTTGAACATGTTCAAGCAGATGGACTTGAAGGGTAAGGTCAGCAACGATGATACCAAGTTGAAGACGGTGCATCAGAATACGGTTACTATGCTGAGGCCGTTTGAGGAGAGTGGAGGACGGGTGACCAAATTTAGCTGTGAGTATTCCTTTTTTTTTTCTTTGGTGTTTCACATACTTGATGTGGTTTCAAGAATTATTGATGCTAACTTGACACAACAGCGAGCGGTGTCGACGGCAGAGTCGTCATCTGGCACACCTAGACTTTCCCCATGAAAGAGGACATAGACGCACACCTATGGAAGCAAAAGGCCAAGCAAGCGAAGCGTAACATTTAATGTTAATGGGGTAAGAATGAATGGCTGGTGATGCATCAGAATCAAGATCGTTACCAGAGGCTTTCTTACCGGATGACTTTCCGGTCTTTGATTTCTGCCCTGTCTGTGCTTCCCGGTATCCGCGAAGTGATTGATTGTCCATCCACCATTGTATAAAGCTATCATGTCACTTATCAACAGTGAGTTGTCCGTTTGTCATGACCGCCCGGCCGATACCGCAAGATGTGTGTGAATCAGACACATAGTCAACACAAATACAGGTACATCATACAAAGCGATTCATTGACTACCGATCATGGCTTGCCGGACGCATTCCGATTCGCGGGAGCTTGTTGATGACTTCCATAAAAGGCGGATAAGGGTACCGACTGGCACCGGGTGCATGCTGATGTTAAAGTTCATTCTCATGTGTTGTTATGTTGATTATTTATCTATCTATGTTCTTTCGCTCCTTCCGGCTTCAACAAATTCTCAAGTAAAGTAATCAACCGAACGTCTCTTTTGCGCCCCTTTCAGCTTTCAGCTATCCAAACAACTTGCCTTGCTTTGCTTTGCCTCATCTTGCCTGCCTGCCTACTTCTCTGCTGAATGGGTCAGAAGAGGCATCAGAAGCCAAACAACAAACCATGGATCAACACAGTTACTACTACCGGCCATTTAACCACCAGCAACACCCCCCGGCTTCAGAAGTCCCTCCGTACTACGCCCCAGCATCACCAAGCGACTTCATTTACAATTCCGCCAATACCACCAGCATCTTTGTTCCTTCTATCTCCAACGAGATAACGTCAACACTCGCTTATCCATCAGGGACAATGGGCTACGGCCCCTCTAGGCCTGTTGAGCAGTCGTTCCCTACTTACCTACCTAGTTTACCTAGCCTACAGGCACCAAGTCTACCGCAACCAGCACCGGGCTTTGAGGAGCATAGACGCCAGCGGCAATCGACGATGACTATGGGACCAGGACCGTCAAAGTTGGTACCACCACCGTTGGAATTGAATGATGACAGCGGGGCCAAACCTAGGAATTCCAGAGGTTCTAGAGGTTCTAGAGGCTCTAGTGAGTTTTCAGTGGTGGTCAACCAAGAGGAGGGATCGTCTAGTCCGGTTTTGGTATCAATACCAATGAAGAAGTGGGAGCCGAGGATGCCAACGGAAAGGATGGAGAATGAGTTGGAGAGTGGCAGTGGCGCCTGGGAAGAGAGGGGCGAGGGAGTGATGGAGAGGGTTGTGATGCCGCCGGTGGTGCCAAGTGTGGGTACGGCCATGGGTATGGGGATGGGGATGGAAGCAACAATAATGCCAAAGATGGGCCTGTTCAAACCCATTAGGTGGGATGGGCCGTCTTCTTCTTCTGCTTCTGCTTCGAGATCTTCGAGATCTTCGAGGTCTTCGAAGGCTAAGGCTAAGGCGAGGAGGGCTCGTGCTTGGGAAATGGATGATAAAGAATCTGGTCGAACTTATGGAAGCCAAAACGGAAACGGAAACGGAAACGGAAACGGAAACGGAAACGGGAACAGAAACAGAAACGGAAACGAAGAAACCAAAGACGAACAACCCAGCAGCGCCCCTATTTCCTCCTCTTCGGCTTCCCATTCTCGCTCCCCAAAGAGACTCAAAACCTCAACCTCAGGTCCCACCTTTCGTCCAGGCTCAGCTTCAGCTTCAGCGGAGACAGAGACAGAAACAGAAACAACAATAACCGTCAAAATCAAGCAAGAACCAGGTCTCTCGCCTTCACCCTCCGCCATCTTCGCTCAGATTCCCATGTACAACGGTACCATCAACAACGATACTGGGAATGGGTATGAATCCTCCGGTCCCCATGACAATCTCCCGTCATCACGGAGTATCAGCCCCTTGACCCGGGTTCCGACACCTCGTCGTCTCTTGTTCCCGACTCCAAATCGGTGTTTAAGTGGAACGGTTTCCCGGCCTTCACTGAGAGGAGTGGGTAGACAGTTGAAGAAGAGGAATTGGCAGATGGCTTTGGATCGGGATCGGGAGGAAAGCCGGGAACGGAGTAGGGAACGAAGAGGGCAGGGGTTTTGGAGTTTAGCTGGTGGCCAAGAGCAGACTCGGGCTCAGGGTGTTAGTATTGCTGCTCAGCAGGAACAACATCAACACCGAGGATCTTCCGAGGAAAGAGAAGAAGGCTGGACAACCATCTCAGGCAGCAGTGAAGAAGGAGAAGTCAGCAGTCACTACGAAAACAGTTACAGCTGTGGACAGGAGAGAGATGACGATGCACCCGGTAATGCCCATCGATCTTCACCTTTCTTTCCTTATACCGATCAGGAGTGGTGTCACCCCTTTTCATCATCAGCATCAGCATCATCGGCACCTGTCCCTGGATCCAGTTCGTCGGCGAGATATGGTCCTGGATCCGCGCCGTCATTGTCGGCTTCGCAACTGAGAGAGGAGCAATACCGGCAGGCTATTCAGATGGTGCAAGACACTTGTCTTGAGGCTACTAAGCGGTATATTAGGGCGCATTGCGTGAATCGGGGGGCTCGTGGGGGTGACAGCCCGAACACCAATATCTCGTCTGTGAACGAGACCCGGTCCGCGTCTGCACGAAAGGCGAGGAGGATACGCAAACTTAACCAACGTCATGCCTCTTCCAGTTCCAGTTCCTCCTCCTCCTCCTCACCCTCACCACCACCAGCACCATATTCACGGCAGCAGCGTTGCAGAGGTAAAGGCAAACGCAGCCAAAACCGAACGCAAAAGCGCACCACCACAACCCCTTCCTCCTCTTCCTCCTCGCCCCATCCCCATCCCCATCCTCAACCGGAACTCCAGTGTACATCCTCCCTCCTCCCCAACATCTCCCAAATCTGCACCCTCCTCTGGTCGCGCTCTCAATCGCTCCGGCTGCACGACATCGACAGCATAGAACTCCATACCGCGCAAAACATGTACTGGCTTTTGGAGTGGGCGGAGACTGTGGCTTTTGCTGTTGCTCCCAATCCCTCCTCCACCGTACTACCAAACCCAGATTCGACATCCGCCGGGACGTCAGTTGGTTCCTCATCGATCCCCGGTTTCGGTGTTTCTTCCTTGATGGAAAATATGGCCGCAAGCGGAAGAGGAGGACAGTGGAATCGCCCATCTCCTTCTTTTTATCGCCGAGAGCGGGATCCAAGTCCTTGGGAGAATTTTGACAAGGGTTCCTTGAATGAGGAGGGGTATATGTGGAGGAGAAGAAGAAATAGCGAGGAGGGAGGTGGAGGGTTTGAGATGTTGGAGGAGAGCAGAAACGGAGCGGTTTGTTGGAGCCAGCAAGTGGAGGGGGAGATGAAGAGAGTGTTTGACGAGGGAGGCATGCTTTGTGAGTTTCTGGGGTATGGGGAGGGGGTGGAGAGGTTGGGTAGGGTTAGGGGGTTTTATGGGTTTTGAACCTGCTTTAAATACAAGTAGAGGGATGGGATTTGGATATTACTTCAGGTAGATAGAGGTTAGGTTCTGAAATATCAAGAGATCGTCATCACTGTTTAGATGATGATAGCCTGATGAGCCTGATCAACTGCTAAATGGGGTTCCTGATGGGCATGTTTTACTTCCCCTTGGGGCATAGTCCCCAACGTGTTTGCCTCGTGTCAAGAGATCCGATCCACTTGCTTGGGGTTTCTGGTGAGGAAAAGGAAGCTGGTCTCGTGCTGTGGTTTGAGGCCATGCTTCTTGTGCGCTGTACTCATCCAAGACAAGGCGTCTGTCTGGCTTGTTCTGGGTAAAGCTTGATGAGCTTGGTGAGCTTGGTGAGCTTGGTGTCACCCTGGCTGACTCTTTTTGAGGACAAGTATGGGTGATGAATGGTTGATGATTGGATGATGACGGCGAAATGGACGGCAAGGCGCTTTGAGAGAAGTGGTGGTGTGTCACTGTCAACGGTTCGACAAGGTAGCCGGCAAATGGAACCAAAGAGAAAGGGGATATCGAAAAGGGGGCGCGTTATCATTAGATATTGTGATGTCCCGAGTATCCAATTTCGGAAAAGATGACGATAGGCTTGAAAACGATGGGGGTTCACACCCGAGCTATCGAATCCGAGTTCGTGATCAAGAAGAGGCACAGTTCATCATGTTCTTTGCACCCCCTTTGAAGAGAGCTGAAAAGAGCTGACCAATAACCAACCCCACTGGACCCACAATAACTCCACAACCCCACGGCGGGTAATCGAACGCTAAGAGCGCTAAAGTGGACATGTCCGGGGCATGGTCGGCGGGACCTTCAGGGGTGTTGACTGCTGTGTGGTTCCCCAGAATTCACTTGTCGAACGATGTACCTCTTGATCGAGTCCCCGGACCGGAGGCTGGAAATCATCTTGGACCCCCCTTGTCTTTACCGCTTCCTCTACCCAGTCACCATCACCCATGTTGCATCCAGAAGCGGCGGAGACCCAACAGACGCTTATCATTCCTGTTCTGGGCGAGGCCTTGGCTGATTTTCTTTTCTGACCTCATATCTTTTCCAAAGTCTCTTCTCTTTCCAGTACCCACACTGTCACGCGACCTCACTACACTCACCAAAACCTCCATCTCAGAGGAATTGATAGGACGCGATGATATTGGGCGCCTAGTGAGAGGATGAGACCTTTTCAACCGACCAGTCGCCTCTCAACCGACAACGACTACGAGGATGAAACCCAAAAAGCGAGACACCATGCCCACCGACATAGAAATGGCCGCTTACGGCAGCAGAGGCGGAGATTCCTCCTTCGCCCAAGGAAGTTCATGGAGTATCCGGGAACCCTTCGGAGTCGGCCACGTTCCGGCATGGGCACGGGGTCGCCATCGCCAAGAACCGAGGTTGCGAAGGTTCATCGACTCGTTCAAACGAGACCCGGTCCGCCGAATATCAACACATGGCATTTATGGACATGGCCATCCTGATCACTATCGTGATCAAGCACAAGACTCCTCTGAGCCGAGCTTTGAACCGACGAGGGAAAGAAGTCACTACTTTGACTTGCACGCCGCCAACGTCAGGACGGCAAACACTGGTCTTGCCCGAGAGCTAAAGGGGAGACACTTGCAGATGATTGCCATTGGTGGTTCAGTTGGTATGTCCTTTTCTTCACATGTCTTTCAATGGGCAAGCCACTCCCGCTTCCACGTGTTCTTCCCTATGTGTGGATCTTGGCCATCAGGGGCTTTGTTTACATGGTAACTGACCATATCAGGTACCGGTTTGTTCGTGGCCTCGGGCAAGTGTCTCTTCCTAGGAGGTCCGGCCGCTCTCATCATTGCATATGGCTTCGTTGGTATCATGCTTTGGTGTACCATCCAAGCTCTCGGTGAACTGGCTGTTGCCTTTCCCGTCGCCGGTTCGTTCTCGTCATACTCAACAAGATTCCTTGATCCAGCATGGGGGTTTGCTATGGGGTGGAAGTAAGGCACTCCTGAACTTTGGATCATATCGAACCTGACTAACACCAGACAGCTATGCCCTCCAATGGTTAACAGTCCTACCACTCGAGCTCGTAGCAGCCTCCATCACCATCGGCTACTGGAACGAACATCTTAACAAGGCCATCTTCATCACCGTCTTCCTAACAATCGTCGTCATGATCAACCTCTTCGGCGTCAAAGGCTACGGTGAAGCCGAATTCGTCTTCTCCCTTGTCAAAGTCACCGCCGTCACCGGTTTCATGTAACTCCTCTCCCTTTTCCCCTTTACCTTCCCCGGGTTAACATTTTCCAGCATCCTCGCCGCAGTCATCAACATCGGCGGCTTCCCCGACGACCCCCAAGGCAACACCGGCTACATCGGCGGACGCTACTGGGAAAACCCCGGCGCCTTCCACAACGGATTCAAAGGTCTCTGCTCCGTCTTCGTCTCGGCCGCCTTCGCCTTCACGGGGACCGAACTCGTCGGGCTCGCCGCCGCCGAGACCGCCAACCCACGCAAATCCCTACCAACAGCCATCAAACAGGTTTTCTGGCGCATCACCCTCTTCTACGTCGTCTCCCTCACCTTAATCGGCCTCATCGTCCCCTACAACCACCCCCGCCTCCTGGGAAACGTAACCCCCGGAAAAGAGAAAGATTCCTACTCCGTCTCCGACACCTCCCACTCCCCCTTCGTCATCGCCATCGAGTCCGCCTCCATCCAAGTCCTCCCCGGCATAATGAACGCCGTCGTCCTAATCGCCGTGCTCAGCGTCGGCAACTCGGCCGTTTTTGGTAGTTCCCGCACCCTCGCCGCCTTAGCCGACCAGCGCCAAGCGCCCCAAATCCTTGCCTACGTCGACCGCAAGGGCCGGCCCCTCTTCGCCATCCTTTTTGCAGCTCTAGTAGGCCTAATCGGCTACCTAGCCGACCTCAAATTCCAAGCCGACGTTTTGAACTGGCTCCTCGCCGTCTCCGGCTTATCCTCCATCTTCACATGGGGCTCCATCTGCCTCTGCCACATCCGCTTCCGGCGCGCCTGGGCGCGGCGCGGCCGCAGCCTCAACCAACTCAGTTTCACCGCGCAAGCGGGTATAGCAGGCTCCTACATCGGCCTCTTCCTCAATTTCTTTGTGCTGATAGCGCAATTCTGGACCGCCGCGTTTCCGATCGTCACGTTCACGGATAATCAGAGTCCTGACCATGCGTCGACGTCCAAAGTCGTGCAGACTTTCTTTTTGCAGTATCTGTGTGTGCCGATTGTGGTGGCGTTTTATTTGAGTCATAAGTTTTGGTTCAGGACGAGGATCGTGAGGATTGATGAGATGGATTTGGATACGGGACGGAGGAGGGATGTGAATTTGCCGGTGCTGTTGATGAGGGAGAGGGAGGAGGTGGAGGGGTGGCCGGGGTGGAAGAGGGTTTATCGGTTTTTTTGTTAGCTTTGTTGGCTTTCTTTGTTTGGAACTGTTTTTGGGAGGGAGGAATCTTTTGCTGGAACCTTTTTGGGACCCATGGGATATGAAGCGAGGCGTTTAGAGTTAGTTGCTGGGCTAGAACTAGGAGCGAGCTTTGTGACAGATTTTTTTATATATTTTTTTTTATTCTTTATCAGCTTGCAATGATACCACGGCCGGGACTTCCATTGTTATTATACACCACACGTACAACTAACTGTATGACCATGAATGGAGAGGAATAATGAGAACGTTTTAAGAAATTTAACAGGACGCGTGGGACCTTGAGCCTCACTCATCGCTGCTCCTCGTGATACCTCTAGGTAATCAAGTTCTGCCCCAAGGGGGAAGTGATTGATTGATTGATCATCCGTCCCGGCAAACCTTTACTAGAACCATATAACCCCCCAACGAATCCAGCACCATCAACACCAACTCCCAGTAGCCTCTGGACGTGGTAGGTGTGCTGGTACAGTACGTAGCCAGAAAATGCGTTGGTATTTTCGTAGACATGCAGCTGGCTTCGAGTTCAACTCCGGGCTTGGGCAGCCGAGCTTTTTTGCTTCGGCTCTCATTTTCTCTAGAGGTACGTACTTTGTTTGAGCAACCCGGGCGACCTTTCGGCATGCTGCTATCTTCTGTTCTCGTGTAGTTACTACCTCTAGAGGTACCTACCTATAGCCACACCTACGCTAGATCCCGAACCCAGTTCAGTTCAGTTCCGTTGAGGTCAGGTACACCACGGCATCGTGGTCAAGAACTTATTCTATCCCAGGCAGGTGCGCCTCGGGACTTTACAGACATGCGCCAATCAGGGCACCAGAGGAAGGAGCGATGAAGTCCTTTTGTTTAGTTCAGTCCAGTGGAATGAAATGGGAAAGAGCACTCCCTCCACTACATCCATAATAGACCACCACCATAACCCATCGGATAGAACTCAGTTCATCGTAGGCACCATCACGTTTCACACCGTCCTTTTCACTTCCCGTCCCTACGGCATACTCCTCTAGTCTTCTTCCCATCCACGCTCAATGAAGCACAAAAGAAACAGAAACCGTCTTAGTCATTCATCACAACAAGTCTAGTCTTGTCAGAGAGAAAGAAGATCCCATTACCAGGTTATATAACATACCTAACTTGATCAACTCTATTCTCATTCCACTAATCTATCTACCTAATCCATCAGATCCTACCTTATCAATCCCTATACCTCTCCCCCTCAACTTCAACCCTCTCCCCTTCCACCCCCTGAGCCCCCTCTTCCTCTCCCACCGTAGTCTCCCTCCCCTCCCCCCTCCCCAACGCCGAAAAACTAACCACCCCCAAGCACACCGCAAACATCACCCCCGCCACCGCAAACGGCATCCCCATCCACTGCATCCCATCCCCCATCTTCAATCCAACACTAAACAACCCAGCAGCAACCGGCCTCCCCACGCTCGTAGCCCCATAAGTTACAACACTAATAACCGTATACAGCGTCCCGCGATGCCTCGCATCCACCAGATTCGTTATCAAGCTCCGTAGGGGGACGGAGAGTGCAGCGCCGGCGGAGTACAACACCTCGCCGGAAGTTAGGAAGCCGAAATGGGGAAGGGGGAGGGCGATCAACAGGCAGCCGAGGGTGAGGAGGGTGGCGAGGATTTGGGCGAGGAGGTAGTCTTTGGCTGGTTCGGACATGATGCGGAAGCGGGAGGAGGGGGAGGAATGGGAGAAGAGGATGGATAAATAGGGGAGGAGGGTGGTTAGGGTGAGGAGGTTTGTTAGGGCGCCGAGGGAGGGGAGGAGGGAGGCCTGAGGATGTTAGTGGTTGTGTTCAAGTGATTGATGAACAGAAAAAAGATAAGTGTAAGGGAGAGGGGTGGGTGAGACATACCTTCCCAAAAGACCACCCCAACCGCTTACTAGCGTACTGAATCATCAACAACATCTCCGCCTGTTCGCCCATCATGTACAACCAAAAGCACAGCAACAGCAGAACAATTTTCGGGTTCTGAAGTGTCCAGGCCCCCGCCTCTTTGACCTTTTCCAGGTAGTGTTCAACATGCTGCTTGACTGTCTTGGGCTTCGTGACCGACTCGGTGGTGAAACTGTCTGCGGTGAAAGGCTCTGACTGAGAAGGAGAAGAAGGGTCGGAATCGGAAGCGGGCGGTGGAAGGGTTTCCTGGACGAAGAAAGCAGCAACGATGAACCCAATCACTTGAACCAGAAAACCGAGCCACATGGCGAGCCAGGGATCGACAGAAATAAGAGCGCCGCCGATGGGGACGAAAACGAAGCGCGAGACGATGGTGGAGGCGAGGAGGTAGCCGAAGGCTGTTGATCTGTTTTTCGTTTTACTCAGTTTTCCTAATAACGCCTTCAACCATAGGTTCTTTACTTGAAAAGGAAAGGGAGGAAAGAAAGAAAAAAAGAGCATACCGCTGCTCAGCAGGACAAACATCCGCTACCAAGACGTAAGCGATGCTCGTGAAGGTGGTACTTCCCGCTCCGATGGCTTGGAAGAGACCGCCGAACCAGACGGCGCGGACGGGGAAGATGTCGGAGAACCAGTCTGTTTTGTGTCTGTTAGTCTCTCATGCCCATATGGGTAGGTATTTCAACAACATAGCGATTCGAGACTTCAAAACTTACACACGAGTCTGACCCAAGCTTCATTTAACAGCATCCCGAACAGGGCGAGGAGCAAGACCTTTTTGCGTCCGATGCGGTCGGTTAAGATACCCCAGGGGATGGCGAGAGCGACGGCTGATGATTTCATGAGTTGGTTAGCATTTTATTCTGTTGTGTGCAAGCTGGCCAGCCGAGCGATCACCCAGCATCTTCCTCCAATGTTCGTATCCAACTCATCTAATCCCTCCATCCATCTTCTCCCATCATTTACCTTTCCAACCGCTTTTCTTTCTTTCTCCCATCCTCCCCTCCCGACATTCGACGCCCCCCTTCGCCGCCCCTCCCCCATTTAACCCTAGAAACCACCACGAAAAGAAGAAAAGACCTACCAGGCAAAATCTCAAAAACATCCTTCCAAGCACTCACCTCGGCAACTTGACTCTGCACCGGCCCAATCTTACACCAATCATCATCCTCAAAGTTGGTCTTCGGTGGCAGCAGCAACCCTTCCATTCCTCCTCCTCCCAATCCTACCCCAATAGAATCAGTAATACCCTGCTCATAGTAATTCTTGCAAATGATGCCCTGGAGGATGGCCAGCGAGGGGGCGGTGGCGATGTGTAGGCCCATGTTGAAGAGGAGGGCGAGGGAGGCGACGGTTAGGAGGGTTGGCCATAGTTGCGAGGCAGGTTTTTTCTGGTCCTCCTGGGAAATTGGGAAGGGGGAGGGGGAGCGTGAGAGGAGGGTTGTTTGTTCAGTTGGGTTGTCGTTGTCTTCTGATGGGTCCATGATGGTGGTTTTGGTGTTGTGGGATGTTGATGGAGAAGGGAGTTTGTGAATGGGTGACGATGAAAGGGGAAGGCAACGCCAGAGAAGACGAAAGGGAACGTGAGGCTGATGAAGAGCTTGATGTCAAAGGTGAAGAGAATGTGGATTGATGGTTGTTATAAGCTTAAACCTTATGTGAGCCAAGGTAAACAAACGATAAGGGGCTTCACATCATAGGGCTGGATGAGTTGGTGTTGTAATGGTAAGAGTACGTAATGCTAGGCCGGGACGCGCAAAGGACGCGCAACACCTGCTTGGGGTTGCGGTGCGCTGGCACGGGTATATATGTAGGATTCAATAGCGTTTTATTGGTTGCGGCTAATCTGTTGTAATGTCTTTGGGTTCCGTCTTGGGTCTTGATGGCTGCAAGTAAGACAAGACTGTTTCTCTAAGAACAAATGACGGGATACTGACCACCACGCGGAGAGAATACCGACTCAAGACTGATGATGTGAAGCATTCGTAGGCTCTTCTCGGTAATCGACGGTGTCTCTTTGGGAGTACGATATACTATGAATCTATCATGGGAGGGTGGTATGGAAGGATTGGGAATGTGTACCTTTAGTCCTGGAGACGGGACGTGTAAGCGCTAGAACAGATGCGGTAGGTCGATAACTTTATACCAACTTTATTCCAGCAAACCGGCCGCGCGTTTACGTCCACATCGAGACGACAAACCAACCGCAAAGGAACTTTCAGCCCAATATCTTGGTCGATTCAGTCGATATGTGATGGGGCTGCGGCCGCCCTTTTGTCTAATCCATCGCTCCCTGTCCCAAAGTCCCTTTCCCAGCCCGGCCTAAGCATGCTGATCCTTTGTCACAAAAGTGTTTTCGTCATCCTTGTCGCTGGAAGCATGTGGTATAGTCTGTCGTGTATCGCTCAAAGTATGCGGATAAATCGATGGGCGGTTATGGGGTCCTCAGATATGGTCCGTTGTTCGTTCTCTAACTGGGGTGTATCGTCCTTTAAGCCGCAGGGGCAGCAACATAGGCATTGATGGCCTTGACGGCATCACCATCGTGGGCCTTCAGCAACTCGGTAGCCTTGGCCTTGGTGAGCTCGAGCTCCTCGACCTGTTCATACTCGGTCAGTAGGCTGTCTCCATCATCAGCAGTATTGGGACCACTCACGAGAAGGGCGACATCGGCCGCATCAACCTTGACCTTCTTCACCTCGGCCTGCTTGCTACCAGCAGTGCTGAGAGAGTGGAAAGCGTTCTTGACGGCATCCTGGTCGACCTGGGCAGAGGACTCGTCTTCGCGGTTGGAGTCGAGGCTGGACAGAGCGGCGGCGGCCTTGCGGTCCTCGGCGGACTTGGCCGTGGGCTGGACCTCTTCCTCGACGTCACCGCCGGTGGCGCCCTCGACGACGGCAGGTGGTTGTTTATCCTCGGCCATTTTGATGTTGTGGAGTTTTCTGTGTCGATGGAAGAGAAGAGTTGCTGCAGTGTCACTGCACTTCGCTGTAGAACAGTTCCGGCCGGCGCAAGACGTCGCGACCAGATGTGGGGGCGGGGCATTGGCTGTCGCTAGCTTGAAGCGGGCAGGCACCACAGCGTCACGGTGGGACATACTTCAGGGGTCTTTCTAGCGTTGTTATCATTGGTCAATTGGCTTCTCCAAGTTCCGACTGCCATTTACGGTTATGACACTTTAAACAAACACCGTGCGGTGCACTTGCGACTGACTCGCCCCCAAACAGATCCGAAAAGATATTTGAATAGGACACCTCTTCTTTGAAGTCATGATTACCTCTAGTACCAACAACACACCATTCTTTACCACTTTCTCTTTCGAGAAGAGACCACCATAACAGGTGTAGTTGTTCAGTCTTTTGGATATTGACCCACCTGTCAATTCTTAGTCACTGTTACTAGCTCCAAGGCCAAGACCTCACAAGTGCCACTTTGGCTTCGAAATTTCCACCCGCCCACTTACACACCATCTCGACCATCTCCAAATCCGTCATCATGAGCGAACAAACAACACCAAACGTCCCCGAATGGACGCCTGACTCGTGGAGATCCAAGCCCATCAAGCAATGCCCCGACTACCCCGACAAGGCCGCCCTTGAAAAGTCCGTCAACGAGCTCAAGAACCTCCCGCCCATCGTCCTCCCCAACGAGATCATCCGTCTCCGCGAACACCTCCGCGATGTCGCCCAAGGCAAGGCCTTCCTCCTCCAGGGCGGCGACTGCGCCGAGCTCTTCAGCTACTGCCAGCAAGACGTGATCGAGTCCAAGATCAAGCTGCTCCTGCAGATGTCGCTGGTCCTCCTCTGGGGCGCCGACAAGCCCGTCGTGCGCATCGGCCGCATGGCCGGCCAGTACGCGAAGCCTCGCTCCTCGCCCGTCGAGACCATCAACGGCAAGGAAGTGCCCTCCTTCCGCGGTGACATCCTCAACGGCTTCCACCCCGACGAGCGCGAGCTGGACCCTAACCGTCTCGTGCGCGCCTACCAGTACTCGTCGGCCACGCTCAACTACATCCGCGCCGCCATCGGTTCCGGCATCGCCGACCTCCACGGTCCCCTCGACTGGGGCCTCGGCCACGTGCGCGACCCTGCCCTCAAAGCTAAGTACCAGGAAACCGTCGACCGCATCCAGGAAATGCTGCGCTTCATGCACACCATCGGCGCCGACCAGAACGAGAAGCTTTCCACCGTCGAACTCTTCACCTCGCACGAGGGCCTGCTCCTCGAGTACGAGCAGCCGCTCACCCGCTTGCTTAACCACCCTTCCGTCCGCTCCTACCCTCCCGATTCCACCACCCCTCCCAAGAAAGAATACTACAACACCTCCGCTCACTTCCTCTGGATCGGCGACCGCACGCGCCAAATCGACCACGCACATGTTGAATACTTCCGCGGCATCGCCAACCCCATCGGCGTGAAGATCGGTCCCTCGACACCTACCTCCGACCTGCTTCCCATGCTACGCACCCTAAACCCCAACCGCGAACCCGGCAAGATCACCCTCATCACCCGCTACGGCGCCGACAAGGTCTCCTCCCTCCTGCCGGCTCACATCCGCACCGTCGAAGACTCGGAGTACGCCCGCACCGTGGTCTGGCAGTGCGATCCCATGCACGGCAACACACAATCTGTTACCGGTGGTATCAAGACGCGCAAGTTCAGCGACATCTTCTCCGAGCTTCAGCAGACGCTACGCATCCACAAGGAACAGGGGTCGTACTTGGGCGGTATGCACTTGGAACTTACAGGCGATGCTGTCACCGAGTGCTTGGGAGGTGGTGCAGGATTGGATGAGGATGATTTGAGCACAAATTATACCAGTTTCTGCGATCCGCGGTTGAACGAGAAGCAGGCGCTTGAGTTGGCTTTCCTCGTGGCGGATCATTATAGGCAGGAGAGGATGGAGAAGAGGAAAGCGTCGGCGGCGGTTTAGAAGGCTGCTTCGGTTGAGGAGGTGGAGGAGGATGAGGATTGGGTTGATGCTACTGCTGCGAACGGGAGGGAGACTCCGGAGACCCCGTCCAAGTCTGCTGCGGGTAGCTCTACCAACCACTGAAGCCGACGCCGATGCTATAGAGACACCGGCCAAGAGAAAGGCTGCCCCTCGTAAGCGTGTGTCGAATGCTCCTCCTTTGACTGGTGAAGGCTGGGATCGGTTAGATGAGCCGTCACGGAGGTTTTTGCGGGCTCTGAGGAATTGCTATTGTCGCGATGTGGTGGTATTTTTGTGGTAAAAGGATTCAAGGAGGTTGTGATGAAAAGCAAAAGGGAAAAAAAGGATCTTGGGTGTATGGATCACGGAGGAAAAAAAAAGGATACCAGGGTATTGTTCGCGGTCTTTCAGGACGAGGAGACTAGCGGTGGTTCTTTTAGGGGTTCATTAAACATCAAAAGTACTGTAGCGTCTTTCAGCGTCAAAACATTGTGAGATTCATCTTCAACCATCTTCATTGCCATATCTATCTTGAAAAGCTCGTTCCTATCAGGTTCTTTGTTAAATACCCATAGAAAGAATAGTAGTACAGCCAAAATAGGTTATTTAGGTGACCAAAGTGACGTATCGTTACCACAGTGACGTCCCCGGGCTCCACAGCAGCTTTTGTCGGTTGGTCACTGCACTGTTTCAAGTCATGCAAGAAGCTCACCGTCGTCCGATTCAGCTCTGGGAGGAGGAAGTGGGGGCCATTTACCCCGCTGTCTCATCCAACCACCACACCACCGAGCTTCTCTCCCATTTCTTCATCATTGGGCTCTCTTGTATCCCGCGTCTCGGGTAGAGTGAGTAAGTTGCCCCTCTTCTTTGTGCGAAAGAGTTCCAGCTTCGAGAGCTCCCCCCCCTCTTTTCCGTCTTCCGTCCGATCAACCTGAAACATCTGACTCGAACTGACCAAGCTTACTTGTAGGCATCATCAACAGCTTGTCTTTACTTGCGCAGCGATTCTGTTACCTCGTTTGTTTCTGCGACCTCATTACCCCTCTTCCACGCCCGCTTCCGGTTCCAACTCCCTTCCAACATCCGCTTTCGCAAACAACAACAACTCAACCCGACCAACAACCTAATCAACCCATACCAACCGCAACAATGGTCGACCGAGCCCGCAAGCCCTCCGCCCTAGCCTCCACCCCCGGCCTCCCCCCGCAACCGCAAGTCGCTTTCTCCTCGGACAACTCTCGCGTGACCGCCACTCTTCCGACCGGCGAGAGCGTCTCGGTTCTGCTGTACGGCGCCACCGTCGTCAGCTGGAAGGACAAGAACGGTGATGAGAAGCTGTGGTTGAGCGAGGCGGCTAAGCTGGATGGGAGTAAGCCTGTGAGGGGCGGTATTCCCTTGGTCTTCCCGGTAGGTCGTCCGCCCATATTCATTAGAGAGGGGAAGTTGTGCTGACGGGGAATGGGAATAATAGGTCTTCGGAACAGCCCCCGACCACGCCCAAACGAAGGAGCTCCCCCAGCATGGCTTCGCCCGCTCGTCGCGGTGGGAGTTCCTGGGCAAGTCCACTTCGGAATCGACTCCCACTCCCACCACCCCGGCCTTTGCTGCGACGGCGACTAGCGCTGCCGGAGCCGTGGCTGCTGCGGCGGCCGATATGAGCGTCAAGTTGGATTTTGGTCTGAGCTCTTCGGGCTTGAGCGAAGACGCCAGGGCGAAGTGGCCGTATGCTTTTAATGCCATTTACTCAGTGACGCTGAACACGGATAGTCTGGCGACTAATTTGGTGGTTACTAATGACGATGAGAGGAGTTGGGAGTGTCAGGTTTTGATGCATACTTATCTCAAGGTCGACGTATGTTGCCCCCCCTTTTTCTCTTTTCCCCTTTCCCATTTTCCTCCCTGCTTCCTCCAACTAACACAACAAACCCAGGATATCACTTCCGTCTCCATCCACGGCCTCGAAAACGCCACCTACGTCGACAAAACCACCACCCCGATCTCCACCACCACCCAGTCCACCCCGACCCTCACCATCTCCTCCGAGATCGACCGCGTGTACACCCCCGCCGGCGACTCTCCCGCGTCCGTCCCCATCACCGTTTGGTCCCAAGACAAGCCCAAGTACACCATTTTGCGCGATAACCTCTCCAACGTGGTGGTCTGGAACCCCTGGATCGAAAAGGCGCAGGGCATGGCGGACTTTGAGCCCAAGGATGGGTACAAGAACATGTTGTGCGTGGAACCGGGCGCGGTGAGCACGTGGCAGGTGCTGGAGCCGGGGGATGCGTTTGAGGGGGCGCAGACTATTGTTTTGGGTGGGAAGACTGATTGAAGCCAGGTACTGGGCTGGAGGAGGAGGGGACGGTTGTGAGGGTGGGGGGAGTGGTGCCGCATATTGTGTGGTGAAGGTTGGTGGGGATATAGAAACGAAGGTGAATGAGGGGGGAGATGTCGAAGAATTGGGGGTCATGACAGTTGGAGGGAGGTTAATTGGATGAGGGAAACGGAGGATGTGATGAATGATGAGTGATGACGATGAATACTAGGAGATGAGCCAGCCTTGAATACTGTGGAGGCGGCCAGGTTCACCAGATAGACAGACGGCAATGATAATAGTAGCCGGACAAGAGCTCACGTACTGGAATTGGAGGATGTGAAGAGTGAAGAGTGATGACGACGACCTGGAGAGGCTTGGCTTTCATTCACCGGACAAATATAACCACCAATTCCACCACGTTGGTTTCCGCTCCTCTCGATGCTGTTATCAAGCTATGTAGAAGAAAGCAGCGCTGACATTAACCTAAGGTATACAACGTTTCAAACTACCTATCTGGCCAACTCCCAACTCCTAACCCCCAGCTGCCTGAGAGCCCATCACGGCACTGTGGTAACGATACGTCACAATCTGTTTTGCCTATATTATCCCTATGCTCGCTCGGTGTCGCAACCACAGAGGCACATAATTGATGTCACTTTCAACGAAACGAAATCAAGAACAGTGATGGGGTCTCTCTAGTGGTATCTTCAAATCTTTCGTTTGTTCGCTTTCAGCACAGCTATTTTGATTCAGGTAGCCCGATCTTCTTTGGTGCCCACAGCTTTCATCGCCCATATGCTTGGCCAACCCCCAATCCCCTGAACTCAAGTAGAGAGAGACCTTACTTAATAGTAAACAAACACCACGATAATAAGACATGATATAAAACACCTTCATCCATATACGCCTTCAAAGCCTCAGAAGCCCAAACCTTGGTTGGCCACGTTTATAGACAGACAGCTGGGATAATGTACTTTTTTGTGAGCCATAATAGCAAGAGAAGCCAGACAATACAACGAAACTCCGTTACCGTTAAGCCCACCATGAACCTAATGCCACGCACGGGGATACGAAACCCCAATGATGCCGAACGTGTCATACACAAACAGTGATGAGGGAGCCATCACTTCTACATAGCGAAACAGTAAAAAGCAAAAAGCAGTACCACCTTTCTGCACCGCCGTTATAACCTCAAGACCTTATGACCATATGACCTATGCCCTCCCCCTCCTCTCAGCCTCATACAACTCCCTCTTCAGATCCATAAACAAGTCCTCAATCTCGTACACCTCTTGTCGAGACAGGCCGCCTGCTGCTGTTGCGGTGCGAAGTTCGTTTAGACTGGCGCGAAGGGTGGAGAGGATTCTTTCCTTGTTGGTGGTGTGGCTTTGGTTGTTGTTGTTGTTGTTGTTGTTGTTGTTGTTGTTGTTGTTGTTGTTGTTTGCTGAAGAAGCCTCCTCCTCCTCCTTGTTTTCCTCTCCAAGTTGATCTTGTTGTTGCTGGGATAGATTTTGTTGCGTTTGAGGTTGCTGCTGAGACTTTTGCTTTTGGACCTTTTTTTGCTGAAGATTTTCTGTGTGATTTTTTCCGGGTTTTGCGCTGGTAATAACGTCCTCCGTCAGCCCTCTTCTCCTTTCTTCGCCCACCACTGGCCCAGTGTTTCTTCCCACCTCTTGTTTCTTTTGCTGTCGTTGTTGTTGTTGTGCCGACGCTAAAGGTTGATCATGCTCATCCATATCAACATCCATGCGCTCTTCTTCCTCCTGCTGTTGTGAAAGAACCGAATCCTCCACCAGCACCTCGCTCCCACCACTCTCACTTCCACCACTCCCACTTCTCCCACTTCCACTTCTCCCACTACCACGTACCGCCATAAACGGCGAACTAGGAATCAAATCCTCCCCTTCCAAATGTTGTTCCAGGTGTTCCACCTGAGACATAGAAAGTGATTGCCTCTCATCCGCACTCCTAGACTCAATTTCTATTTGAGACTGGACGAGCTCTTCGCCATCGGAGGATAACTCCTCGATCTCTGGAACCTGTACTTGTTGAGCCCCTTGGGACTGGGACTGCTGCTGCGCAACCTCATCACTCGCCTCAGCAGCAGCCTGCTCAACAACCTCCATTGGCACCGGCGCAGGGGCAGACAACTGAGACATTTGCTGCGGCAAAGACGAAGGGATAGTGCGCTGATGGGCAGGTTGAGGCAGGCCCCTAGGTCGCTCAGTAAGAACCGAGTTAGACACGACAGAAGACGCACGGCTGGATGGTGGTTGAGACAAAGACGACGAGCGGGAGGAGGAGGAGACGGAGATAGGAAGGCGGTCATAGAAAATCGGTTCTGATTTGGGCACTGCAACATGACTCAAGTTAGCATGTATCGTTCTCAAAGTCATTGAACAGAGTGACTTACCTTCTTGGCTCTGACTCTGACCCTGGCTCCGGCTCCTAGGAACCTGAACCTCGGTCTTTTCCTGCTCCACCGCAGGGACCGGAGCAGTAGACGAAGGACGACCAACCCTCCTCTTCTTTCCAGTCCCAGTCCCAGTCCCAGCAGGAGTAGCAGCAGCAGCAGCAGTCTCCGAAGCCGAAGAAGCCACTCTCTTCCGCTTCCCCTTCCCTGCTCCCGCCCGTGCGCTCGTCGGACCCTTGAGCTTTGGCTTCCCCTTTTCTTGCGTCGACAACTGCTGTTGCGCCTGTGAGCTAGGAATCTGCTCAACCGAGCGGTTCGAAGCCACAGAACTAGCCCTTGACCTCGTCAGCCGTCCTCGAGACGCCGGCTTTGGAACATGAACATTCTCGCTTTCGTCCCCCACGATATTATCATCGTCCACAGCTACGATGCACGAAGCGGCCGGAGAGGGGGCAGCTGAAGCGGGACCAGAGCCAGGCCTATTAGAACTGGAACTAGGCTCAAGGTTGGCTGCTGTGAGAGGAAGCTTCTCGGGCGAAACGGAGGGAGATGGACGGGTGTACTCTTGCCTATTCAGTTTACCTGAGTCGAGCTCTACTACCAGTTTGAGGAGGGAGCGGTCGTCCCATTCTCCGCCGTCGTAAGATGGAGCGCCCGATGGAGTGGGTGCGGGTGCAACCGCTGTGGCCGCCGGAGCAACAGTGGGTGCAGTCGCGAAAGCGGGAGTAGGTGCCGGAGCAGCCACCGGAGCGGGAGCAGCTTTCTTCACCGGGTCTGTGTTGGCCTGGATGGTAGGTTTGGCCGAGGCTCTACCAGCACGGTGCGGCGTCGGCGGTAGCGGGCTACTAGGCGCATCCACAAACTCTTCCAGCTCATGATCCGATTTCTCCGGCGTTTCCTGGCGTGGCACACCTAGATGACCTCCCTGCAGCCCTGAGCCCTCGCCAGAAACACCAACAACTTCCTGGGCCGGTTTGGCTAGCTCAGTGGTCGGCAGAACCTGATTCTCCTGCTCAGGCAGCACACTCTCTTCAATAATATCATCATCTTCCTCCATCAAATCCTGCTCACCCGCTTCTGCCGGTGCAGGAGGAGACGACCCAACCGCAGCGTTGACAGCATCCAAAGCCACAGCCAAACTCGACGGCACCGGCGCAAACTGCTGCTGACGCAACGGCGACCCAGAGATGGGAGAAGAAGAAAGCTGCCAATCATCCAACAAGCTCGTGTTCGCCGATCTGGACCTTATCTCAGCCGCGAGCGGATTCCTCCTTGGTTCCATCATCGGCGGTGACGAAGGCGGGTCCATCATGTCCATGTCCTGATCGATGATCGCCAACGCCGCTTGTCCGCGGCGGGGGGTAGGCGTCCCGCTGACGAATTCGGTGAATCTGCCTCCTGGGTTACTGGGGGTACCGGCTTGGGGAGTGTGAGCACCTGAAGGGGAACCCTCTCGTGAGCGGGCAGCGAGACGCGCTGAGCTTCGGGTTCTTGTAGCTGGGGAGGAGCGGAGCTCGGGAAAGAGTGCGGCGTTTTCCTTCTGGCGCTCGCGGACTTCCTTTTGGCGCTCGGTAAGGAGCTGGGATTCCATTTCTTCGTTGATGAGGTTGTGTTGAGGAGAGGATTCAACCGCCGCAAACTGGATTTGGGAGTCATCGTGCCGAAGCCGTGGTGCCCCCGCTTTGGGACGGAGGTTGAATCCAGAGCTCTTAACTTCAGGAGTGGCGCTGGCACGTCGCTTGGTCGGGGACCTGCGCTTAACAGGATCGGGCGTCTTGACTGGGGAGTTTGTGCGTGAGGCGCTTCTTGTGGTGCGTCTTGAGGATGGTGGTGGTAGTCTAGGCAGGCTGAACTCCTCCATCGACTCGACGAAGATGGGTTCGTGGGAGGGATACTCGAGGCTGGAGAGCTCTAGACCGGGCGTGACCAGATCGGCGTACGGCCGGAGTTTGGCAAGGACTTCCTTAAGTTCCTGAGGATACTCGAGCTTTTCGACTTTGCCATACAGTCTGTTCCAAAGCGATACAGCCGAGTTGACGATGTATCGATGAGAGGAACCGAGAGTGGCACAGAAGATGCGAGTGAGTGAATCCAACTGCTGGTCGGGGCGTTCGGTTGCCGATATAAGACCGCATACCTTGTCCCAAAGCGTGTTTGTCTATTTGATGTCAGTCCATGTTTGCCAATATACTCGACACGAAGTACTCACCACAGCCACAATGGCGTTCAACTGGCTGCCAAGCAATCTGTTAGGATCTCGGAGCCAGGGGAGGAAGCCATCTTGAAGAATGAACATTGTCCTGAAGATGAGTTGTTGGTTACACCTATCGAAGAAGCCGACAGTCTCTTGCAGAAGGCGGATGATGAGTTCGGAATTATCAGAGTCAAACTCCTTGTAGAGCCGTGTCAAAGCCTCATTGACAGCCTTGTAGAGATTGTCGAACGTGTCAAAAGTTGCTGAGCGAGAACCAGCCAGAGCCGTTCCCCAAAGCCGTCTTCGAGCTGCGTCAACGGCTTGCTTGTCGCGTGGCTGAATAGCAATCGACAACAACTCGGCGACATATCGGACCCCATTGAAGAAAGCAGCCATGGGCCCCGGGGTAGTTAGTCGATCCAGAGCTACCTTGGCTAGAGGTTCAACGACAACGATGGCAACTCCGGGCTCTCCTGCTTCTGACCTAACCCTCTGGTGAACAGCATTAAACAGCGACTCCCAGTGCTCACGAGGCAGATTAGGAGTCGACCTGATTCCACGCTCGAGAACCTTGACGATATCACGGTAATCGTGGCCTATGGGGGTGTCACCTGAACCAGTTGAGTGGTTGCTATTGTGATCAGGTTGGAGCCATCCATCAAGCGCCTTCGCAACAAACAGCCACATCCCATATGGGCGTGGTGTCTCCATAGGAATCATGGTGAGCAAATCTAGGGCAATTTCAATCTTTCCTTTCTCGCTCTTTGCCTCGGTAAAGTGTTCAAAGACTGAAGTGAAGAAGACTTCAAAGGTCTCGTCGTCAGGGATGCCAGAAGGAAGTCCAGACAGCATAGAGAACAGATTATGCATAGGCGACTTCTGACCGGCCTGGGCCTTGCCTAGCTTTTCTGTAAAAGGGAGGAGGCCAAGCGAAGTTATCATGATCTCCACATACCCCTTTGTAGCACGAAGAAAGTCCACTGCTGAAGCGGTATCGCCTGGTTGCACGCCTTTTTGCCAGATCTTCTGCAAGACAGACAATGCTTCTGTTATAAACAAGCCTGTGTCTTTCGAGACCTTAATCTCTTTAGATGCGGCAGAGGCAATAGATCCGACAAGAGAGGCCCAGAGCCAGTAGACTGCGCTCTTCTTGTTGGAAAGTGCATTAAAATCTTGGGCGAGGATGGGCTCAATCGCAGCCAGAATCATGGCGGCATTCTTTCGAACCCATTTTGCGTCAATGGCAGGAACCTCCTCGGGTCTTGCGAGGGGTTCGTCCATTACTCGGTCCACACTCCATCGCCTGGCTGTTGTGCAGTTAAAGAGATGACTGAGAATGACACTTGCTTGCCCGTATGTCTCCTGTGGTTTCCGAGTTGAATTTCCAGTGGCTGGTTTTGAAGGCTCCGAGCTGGACACGAGTGCTGTAACAATGGGTTGGACTCCAGCCTTCCAGTATCCATCTAGCAAAGCCGCATTCGTGTTTGGCTTGAAGAGATAGTACCAGAGATTGCACACATCGCCCAAGACAGCTGCCCTTAGTTGTCCTTCCGAGGCCTTGGTACTGTTCTTCCTTTTGAGCTGACTAGTCAAAGGGGTGATGATGGTTTTGAGCGAAGACTCGAATGACGGCTCTACGGCATTCGTCAAGTAGACCAGACGAGCCCAAGCATGGTGAGCGGCAATCTTGGTAGGGTAATCGATGTTATTGAAGCAATTCTGGACCAGTTGCAACCAATGCGCTGTACGGTCCCATACCCTCAGACGGATTCGTAGTAGAAGGACAACAACGCTCCAGATGTGGGGGACCGAAGCGGATACGGTCTTGTCCTTGACCATGGCCTTGAGCCTCTCTTCATAGTACTCGATGTATTTCTTTTCTTCCGAGACCGAGTTAAATATCTCCATTGCCTTGCGTGAGAGCTGTAGCTCCTGACCAATGGTGAAAGCAGCGCCGAGGCCCAGGGTAATGGCTGCCTCTCTGATGTCCTTTATGGTGCTGAGCATGTCGGTAAAGAGGTCGTATAACCAATCCGAGTGAATAACCATCATCTTGCCCGTTTGATTGACTATTTTCTGGTATATCCGCACCCGCAACATGATGATGCTCTTGCCCTTGATGTTCTCCTCAATATTGTGTAGCGATGTGACCAGTCTGCCGACTCGCTCAGGGGTCATAACCTTGGACGAGAAGTTCTGTACCAACACGGCCTGCATAAGATGTCGAGCAGTATCTTTCGGGGTCGAGTCGTCTTGGAAGGAACGGATACAGTGGTCGACGAAGAAGGTTCCGAAGTCGGTCGTGAAAGTCGAGGCAATGGCAGGGAGGCCGAGAAAGGTGACGATCAGCTTGAGAGCATGTTGGACAAGAGAAGAGTCGAGGTTGCCCTGAGGTGTCCTGGCGACAAGATCTCTTTGCATGAACTGCATGAACAAGCCCATCTTCTCTTGCAAAGCCACCCTGTCTGGCAAGTTGTTGGAGACCTTGAAGGCCCGCGTCAACATCATGTAGGAATCGAGTTTCGAGTCGCGATCGCCGCCGGCGAGCTGCTTCAGGGTTGACTCCAACATGTTGGCGACCGATGTGTTTGCGTTCGAGGGATCGGACGGGTCGCCGTTGGCTTCCTCGAGAGGGTTCGGGACGTGGTGGGTGATTTTGAGGATGGACTTGACTGGCTTGGAAGCGCTTCGTGGAAGGGAGACGGGGGTCGGCTGCTGTCTCTTGTCGCCGTCCATGAAGACTGGAGCGTCTTTGTATTCTGCCTTTGCCGAGAACCCAACTCTCTTGGTACTTCGTTTCGATGTTGATTTGCTATTGAGGCCCGAGCCAGGCGAGTTTACGGCAGGCGGGGTATGGACGGCCCTGAGGTTGCTGTCGAGCTCGATGGGGGCCAGGACATTTCTTGGGATCGTAGCTGGGGGCGCATTATGTGCTTCTCTCTTTGGTGGAGTGGGCGGTCGTGGTGGCAGAGATTCGAGGCTATTCGTGTTATTGGACATGATCTGTCGTCGTAGTGGGGGATGACAGCCGTATAGGTCCAGCCTAGGATGGCATGCGGTTAGGGACAAGGCCGATGCTTTCGAATGGGAGAGCTAGATGGTGGAGGCTCTCTCGTCGCGCATCACAGTATTGGAGCGAACAAGTGGAAGGCGAAGGTAAAGTGAAGAACAGACAATGAAGTGGTGAGAAAAAGCCAAAGTGAAAGTCAACAGACAATGAAGAGTACAACCAATAGCCGTCAGTTCACCGACAGTGCGTACTTGGTGGAAAAAGGAACGTGGTGGTGGTGTTTTCTTTGTCGCCGTCGCTATGCGATTCAAACGCGACAAAAAGAGTAGAGAATTGACTTGATGTAAGGTCTGTCTACCTCTCCTCTCCTCTTCACAGAGTTCAGTTTCTAGGCTACAACGCGGGCGGTGACGATAGTGCCGTGATGCCAATCGCTGATAACTGAAAGGATTTAACGCGGTCGCGACTGACACGGTTGCACATCGCGTCTTGCAGCCACTGATTTACAGGGGTCGCGCGCCAAGTCTCCATTCCACTTTAAGGGGCTCCCCACATTGCATCGTTTAACTCTGTAGGCATAAGCGTTTAGATCTGATGTGTTCTACTTGATTATCAAGACAAACGTCGCAGTTCGGTCTGAGTCTGTCATCAGACACGGCAGAGAAATTGAGTATCGAGTTCCTTACGAGATTTCTATCTTCCAGGACTGGAAATGCGGAAACAGAAGAATCAGATCAATAGTGTTAGGCCAAGATGCATTGTATGAGGAGAATCATCAGACATTGGCAGTTCAAGCTAACAGCTGCTAACACCCCGCCTTTCATCACTTGGGTCAACTTGATTGTTAGTGCACGGTATCACAGCTGGACCTTCTCTCGACAAGAGGATGGGATTTATCAAAGACTTCAACTTGCATGTTTGAAGATCCAAACAAACACATGAACTGGCAGACTCTGGGATGGAAATCAATGAAGTGCATATGTCCAATTGGACCCGACTTGATGACTCGGTCAAGCGTTCATGGAAGCTCTTCAACTTCGGATCGAACATCAAACTTGGAAGGTGGGGCCACTGTTATTAAGCTTCAGTTCTTACAGTGTTCACCGTCCCCGATTCTGTCACCCGGACAAGTCTTCACCCGATTTCCTTCCATTTCTCTACCTATCATTCACCACAACCACTTTTACCCTCACCTTAATACTTCTCACTCCCTCTATCAGAAGATTCACTTCATGCCGTGGTAACCCGAAACTGAGTAAAACCTGCCATCAAATCTTCGACTCAACCAGAAATATCAGAATGTTCTCAATAGGAGTCTCCGGGCCAGGTCAGTCACCAGTCCTTCCACTGATGACATGATTCAACTAACACTACTACAGCCAAGCTGCAAGCTGTTACTACCCTCGTTAACAAGTTGACTGAGGACCTTAAGAGCAAAAGTCTCTCACCAGAAGAACGAGACAAGGCCCTAGAGGAGCTCAAGGTTTATGGTCGAGACCCTAGAAATGCGGACCCAATCTTCACCAAGGAGGGCATTGAGACTCTTACGAAACATGCATTCGACTCTTCGTCAGAAACAACTTCTCGAAATGCTCTGCGTGTTCTCTGCAACGCCATGCTCCTCAAACCCGAAACACGACAGAGATTCGTCGACCTAGGCTATGAGTCCAAGGCCTGCGAAAAGCTCAAGAACGACAACTGGGATGACGAGTTCTTGGCTACCCGAGTCATCTTCTTTTGCACCTACGGCACCAGCGTTGACCTCAACAAACTTATCGATGAGTATCAACTCGCAGATAGTATCGTTAAGAACCTCTCCCGACACGCTACCAGAATCTCCGAGCATGCCAAGAACAAGACCAAGGCAGACCCAATGGAGCTCATGGCCCTGGGAGAGACACTACGTCTCCTATTCAACGTCACCAGCAAATGTCCATCCAAGACCGACTCTTTCACCGCCGCCGTCCCGCATATTGTGACCCTTCTTCTCAGCCTGGATATCCCACCAAAGGGGACACCACCGCTCGAAGCTCCCCTCGGTCCTCTGGTCAATGCGACCATGAACCTCAAGCTCGACTCCGAGGAGACACGGTCATGCCTCTATCCCAAGGACGCACCCTCCAGTCTCGCCGAAAAGCTCATCAAACTTCTCGACCTTTCCCTCAAAGCCTACTCGGACCAGGAACTCGACGCAACCGTCACCCCTCTAGTCTGCCTCATCTCCTCCATCTACGAATATGCGCCAGCCGACTCCCCCGTTTGCGATACGATCCGGAAGAGCCTTCTCCCCTCAGAAGAGGAGCGCACCAAGGTTCTCGGCAAAGGCGACACCCTCCCCGCCAGACTTCTGGTGAACATGACCAACCCCATCGCTCCCGAGTTCGCCAAGGCCGTTTCCCACCTGCTGTTCAACGTGTCGGACAAGGATGCCCACAAGTTTATCGAGAACATCGGTTACGGTTATGCGTCTGGCTTCCTCTTCCAGAACAACATTCCCATCCCAGAAGGGCTAGGAGGCGACGACGAGAAGGGCGAAAGTTCCAAGGCCGGTCAGAGCAGCAAGAGGGCCGTCAATCCCATTACTGGCCAGTTCTTGGATGCTGAGACTTTCCCGGATATGCCCGAGATGACGATGGAGGAGAAGGAGCGAGAGGCTGAGAGACTTTTTGTCTTGTTTGAGAGGTGAGTAACTGCATTGTTCTAGTGAAGTCGGAAAATCGGAAGCTGACTAACTGTTCACAGGGCGAGGAAACTGGGCATCGTCAATTCTAACCCTGTTGAAAAGGCGGTTCAGGAGGGTCGGTTCGAAGAGCTGCCGGACGACTACGAAGAGGATTCGGACTGAGCGAAGGGCCCGACGTTTCTTTTTGTTGCAAGTCTACCTTGAAAACCACGACACATAAAGTCTACAAGCACACTGACGACCTAGAACTCACGCTAGCCTATTCTTGCTACTGTAATGCTAATCAATATCACCTGCTCTTAATCCCGGACAAGAGCTGACGATGCTGATGCTGATGTCGATGATGCGGACCACACATCATCCGAGCTTCCCCCGGTACCCAATGCATCCATGTTGTCGATCCTTTTGGAACGTTATCGGCTCTTCAGGGGCACATGATTTGTTCTGAACGGAGTGTGCTCCGCTGCGGTGACATGGCAGGGCTGACAAGTGCTTGTCCTACACCGCATGTCCGGGTACCGGAGACTACGGCACTCCGCCCACTGCATCACCACCACATCACCAACCCACCTGTCACCGATCGGTGATGACCTTGATGGCTCTAGATGTGACGGAAAGTTCCGTCTTAGTTCAGGTTGCGATCACCAATACGCAGTGGAACGGTGATTGCAGGGAGTACCCAAATTCGTTCATCGCGAAAGGGTATAACTCGATGTTTGTACAACCGATGTTTTCAGCTCGTACAGCATCAGACATTCAGAAATCCCGTCCATTTCAACGAGAAGCTCGACAGGGTAAAACCCGGAACCATGGTCAGAACCACAAAAGGAGGTCTTGGTACCTCTTTCCGCTTGCCAATTTCTTCATGTTTTCTTTTTCGTCCCTTCTGAATCTCATCTCCAGAAGCCCCTTTGACACGATCACTATAACACACTTGGCGATTTCCCAGAGTCCGACAAGGTCGGCCAAGGATATGTTCACGAACCAAAGAGTCGTTGGTCCTACCCACCCGACCCGTCGTCTTGTGTCATGTAGGTAAGGTACAAGTGGACGGGATCCGAGCCGAACAGGGGTTGACTAGGGAACCATCAGGGGGCCACTGATCCGCTGAGATGGCCGTCAGTGGATGAGATGCGGGGGCTGCGGTGTGCTCTACTTTCTGCTACTACCGCTTTTTTCCGTTCAAGTCGGATTTATCCCCACGTTATACTGGCCAATGAAGTAGTTTCGGTGAGGTCTGCGTGCTACGTTGGCGGCGTCGACCTGCATGTTGTTTTCAGATACAATTGGCCAAATAGCGTGGGGATAAATCCGACTTGAATGAAAAAAAGCGGTACACTACACCAACCTTTAATCGCTATTCCCGTCCCGGGTCGTGCCAAACGTCATTTTAGTTCCCTATTCTGTCGGACAACGGGAGGCTTGTAGGAAGATGTCCACATAAGAGTAAAGACATGGGACCAACCATTCCCTTCCCCTGGACACCAACCAATACGACTCTACACGTGTAGACGAAACGCCAGGCAATATCAACCCCATCGATCACCACATACCCGTTAATAACCTTCCCGTCGTCCTCCCACTTTTCCGAATCTCCTTGCTTTGCCTGAAGCAGCAACCGTGTACTAAACATTCGGTTGAGACACACCTGTGACACTGTACTATCAACACAGCCGAGCTATCTACTGTCTAGTGTGCCATTCAAAGATTGAAGCATCTCTTTACCACCCATATTGACACTTCTCGCCACAACCATTCACCATGGCCAGTCCCATCGGGAATCTCATTCACCCTCCGGACCCCCCATACCGGCAGGGGTCGGGCCAAGCTGCCGGCATAGACTCGATTCTCCACAGCCATCAACCTCATCCGGGCCCGAGTCCGATCCACCATCTCGGCCCCATCGGCAACCGGCCCGGACTTGGGTCTGGGTTGTCTCTTGCTCCAATATCCATGTCCGGTCCTTCTCATCCCATTCCGCCGCCATCACATCTTCCCTCGCAAGCCCATCAAGCAGGGTCCACGCCAGCAAGACAACAACCATTGCCGTCACCGGTTCATAACCCTCCTCCACCACCTTCGAGGAGTCACTCTAACACACAGTCACTTTATCAATGTGCCGATTGTTTACGTAGGTTGCCATCACCACTTTTGTATTCGGCATATCTAACAGTGACTAGGACGATACTCCCGGCCTGAACACCTACAGGTATTTCCATCACTGATATAGTCAAAGTATCACAACCATGTAGCTAACCGAAGTGTAGAGACACATTGCGACCCATACTCTCGGGAAGCGTTTCACTTGCGACGTATGTTTGCTGTCACAGCTGATTACGAAACTCTGGCTAACACTGTCCTAGATCTGTTCAAAAGCCTTTGCCCGGGCTGATCTCCTAAAGCGTCACCGCACCAACCATCAAGATGATAATGGAGCCAAAAGGAGACGCATGAACTCCTCGCCTGGCGCTGGGCGAGTGACTCATGCTTGTCAAGCTTGTGCAAAAGCGAGGGTGAAGTGTGAGGAGATGAAACCGTGAGTATCTATCTGTAACTGAATAAATTTGGTGCCCACCGCTGACAACATCCAGATGTACACGATGCAAAAACCGCGGGATAACGTGCGAATACGCTTCCTCCGAAGATGCAGCTTTGCACCTCCTTCATCTATCCGCTCACAACCGCGCTGAGAGTTATCACCAAGAGGATAGACAAACTCCCTACTACCAACCACCACCACCAGCTTCGATTTCAGAGCACTCACAGGTTGCCACTCATGCTCCCGTTTTCCAAACACATTTTACTTCGGAACCAGTCGAACACAGTCCCATGCTCACCGAAAGCGACGAGTCCCATCTACCGACTCCCGAAACGATGATGGACCAAACTCAGACTGCCAACCCAAACCCAGAACAAGCCTTCCAAGTCCAAGCAACTTACCCCAACAACACCACAAGCAGTATGCTCGACGACATGGCCAAACTCCCCTTTTCCGACTTTCTTCGGGACGTCTTGTACGACCAATCTCTTTCCCAGGCTCAAGGCCTAGCCGTCCTCGACTTTTGCGACGACTCCAGCCTTGATCTGAATGCCATGGACTTTGGGTTGTTGGATTCCTGGTTACATGATCAACCGTTTATTCCGCTTCCTCCCTCTTCGGATCCGGCTCAACTCGGCCCGGGCTCGGGTCCAGTCCCAGTTTCGTCGACAACTGCTACAACAACAGCGGAAACAGATCAAACAAGCTCGGCGGATCCCGTGGACATATCCGCCATGCGATCAAAACTAGCTCAGATATGGACTGAGTCTCCTTGCCGCTGGTCGCCGCAGAGGACTGATAATGTTTATGCTGAGCAATCGCATTTGCCTCTGACTACATGTGGTGGATCCTCTCCGCCTTCCTCCTCCCCCACATCGGCATCAAAAACCAAGTCGTCGACCAACCCTCCTCCCCCCTCACAGACCGACAACAACAACAACAACAACAACAACAACAACAACAACAACAACAACAACAACAACAACAACAACAAAGCAAACCCCCAAACCCTCCACCCCTCCGGCCGTGACCTAATCCTCTCCATAGTCCTCTCCATCTGCAAATCCAACTCGTCCCAATTTTCTAGGGTTGCCTCCTCCTTCCCCTCTTCCGGGTCCATCAACCATTGGATCCACATCTTTTTGGCTTCGCACTTGTGTTCCGTGTCGAGTTTCATTCCTTGTCACTTGCCCCCTTCTGCTTCGACTTCCACTTCCTCCTCCTCTTCTGGCTCCGGCTCTGGTTCTGGCTCCAACTCCGGCTCAAAGGACCGCTCCAGCTCCAGCTCCAGCTCCGGCGTCGGCTGCGCCTCCACCTCCACCTCCGCCCCCGTCTGGTCCCTAAACGCCCAACCACCCGAATGGCTCGCCATCACCGCCGCCTGTGGCGCCGTCCTCGCGCCCGTGCCCGCCCTGCGCAAATTCGGTTTTGCCCTCCAGGAGGCGGTTAGAGTGAGCATACCCGGCCGCTTCGAAGAAAACAACACCAAAGTCTCCGATTTGGGGTTAGTCCAAGCATTAGTTCTCACGCAAGACCTCGGCGTCTGGTCAGGCAACCGGCGCAAAATGGAGATAGCCGAGTGTCACCTCACTGTGCCCGTCGCTATGATGCGCGGACGGGGCAAGTTTACCCGCGGTGCTTACTTGCCGGCTGTGGTGGTCACAGAAGGGGATGAGGGGGAAGAACTAGAAACAAAATGGAAGCGCTGGATGGAGATGGAGGCCTGGAAACGACTCGCGTTTCATGCGTACCTTCGCGATGCGCAAGTGAGTATGACGCAGCTGGGTAATCCCAGCATCAGCTACGCGGAGATGAGGATGCCGCTGCCCGGGCCGAAGGGGTGTTGGTTTGCACGAACCAAAGAGGAGTGGAAACGTCGTTGGTTGGAGGCGGAGGAAGGGGCGAGGAGGGCCGGGGTGGGAGGCGAGCAGGTACCCTGCCTGGGGGATTTGTTGAGGGACGTCAACCTTTTGGCACAGCACCACCACCGACTAGACGTCCAGTTCGCCATATCCATCTACCTCCATGGCTTCTGGAGTTTGGTGTGGGAATATCGCCAGTTGGCGTCGCTTCACAGGCCGCTTTTCGGTCAGCCGAGTTCTTCTTCTTCCCATACCTCCTCCCTAGGGGTAGGGGCTCTCGCCAACCCAACCACAACCACAACCACCACCACCACCACCACCACCACCCAATCCATCCTAATCTCCCGCCTCGCCGACCTCCGCTCCACCTTGCACACCTTCCACTCCCTCATCACCCCAGGCCCAGGCCCAGATGGCCCAAACCAAAACCCATCATCCCCCCTCACCCAACACACCACCCCCACCGAACTCCTCCTCTACCACCTTCTATTAATGCACATCCACGTCTCCCTCGAAGACCTCCAGCTCTTCTCGGGCAAAGAAGGCGAAGAGCAAGCCAAACGCATCTACCCCGTGCTCCAAAGATGGGCAGACCGTCCCGAAGCGAGACAAGCGCTCTGGCATGCCGGGCAGGTACTCAGGTGGGCGAAAGAGTTTCCGAGGGGTCACCTTAGAGAGTTTTGGGCGGCGGCAATGCACTTGGGCGGGTTGGTGGCTTGGGGGTGGGGGGTTTTGACGGCGAGGGGTGGGGGTGTTAACTCTAGGGATTTGGATTCCAAGGGGCAGGAGCAGGGAATGAAGGAGGGTATAAGTATTAGCAATGAGGGTTATCGACAGACTACGGGGTCGGGAGGGTATGGGTATGGGTATGGGTATGGGTATGAGTATGGAGGAGGTACAGGAGGTACATATAATAGTGGGCGGGAGTATGGTGGCCAGGCCCAGCAGCAGCTGCTGCCACTGCCATCCCAAGGACATCATGATGGGTATGAACATGGACATGGACAGAGACAGCCGCAGCAGCACCACCAGGGATCGCAATACGCAGGTTATGGTCAGCAGCAGCAACACACCCACACCCACCATCATCATCCAGCAGAGCACCAGCAGCAGCAGCAGCACCAAATGTCAAGCTACATGCAACAAGTCATGACGCCCTCAACCATATCCATCACATCCAGCACCCACACCCACACCCCTGGAGCAACAACCACCTCCTCCTCCGGCGCAACACCTGCCAGCGCCGCAACCCCAGCTACAACTTCATACACTCCCTCCACAACCACCCACTTCTCCTCTTCTTCCTCCTCCACGACTCCCATCGTCTACCTAGACGGCACCCAGACCCCCGAAGTCGATAGATTCATCCAACACAACCAAGGCCGCCCCGCTCTCTCCTCTTCTTCCCCCTCATCTTCTTCCACTTCCACTTCATCCCACCACCACCACCACGAGAACTTCGAAAAAGAAAAAGCAGTGCCTCTAGATGACATCGCAGGCTGCATGTCCATCTGCCAAAGTATTCTTCGGGACAACTTCCCCAACACCGACGGCGATGCTTCCCACCTCCCGGCCATCAGCGAGAACATCATTGCTTTGCTGGGGAAGTTGGGGGGTGTGGCGGGGGTTGTTGGTGATTCGAGGTCTGGGTAGGGTTAGGTGAGCTGGGCTACCTCTACTGAGTGACAGCGGGAAACAGGACGCTTGACTCTTGACTCTTGAGAGGGAGGACGGGCAACCTGAAGATGAGGCAGGCCATAGGGGCCATAGGGGCCATAGGGGTGTGATAAGATACTGGATATTTGTATATTGTTCAAAGCAATAAGTAGACAACTTAAGTGGATGGGGACGGATCATGGCGGCAATTTGGCAGGAGTTGTTGGGATTTAATTTGGGGATATTTGGAATATTTGATCATGGCATACATAGCATGAGCAGGAGTTGCTAGACTAGGTTAATGTCAGCGGTACCTTCTTTCTTATTACATAGCTTAATAACAGCATCGAGAGGAGCGTCGGAAACCAACGTGGTGGAATTGGTGGTTGGTTATATTTGTCCGGTGAATGAAAGCCAACTTGGCCTCTCCAGGTCGTCGTCATCACTCATCATCACTCTTCACATCCTCCAATTCCAGTACATGAGCTCTTGTCCAGCTACTATTACACAATACCTAAGCTATTTTACATCTTCTTCTTTTATCCCGCGGCGTAGATATAATAGCACTTGGTTATCAGATTTTGTTTGTCTTCGTTCCCACCTGTTATTCCTTCCCCAACATCTCCCCGCCTTTCAGACACATTTCCCCCTCCGTCTGTCCCTTCTGTTCCTCCGGGTCCTTATCGACGAACCAAGCCCACCCACCGTTCGCCGTTTCTTGGGAATAAAAACTAGAAAGAAATACCATCCAGGGCCATTCCATCCCCCCCGCCTGTGCCCCCGCCCAATCCGTCCGTCCCTCCACCATACCGAAACTTTTTTGCTCGTGCTCATAGAGTGTATGTATGAAACGGCAACAAAGGAAAATAGGTAAGTAACTCTGTCTCTGAACGCCATGCTCAAAAAAGCAGAAAGCAGAAAATCTTCGCAAAGTGTAAAAAAACGCACACACAAATGACCGAGAGATTCTCTGGTCAGAATTGCGAAGAAAAACGGAAACAAATGCGATGTCACCACCACTGAGAACTCCCCTAAGACGGGCAGCAGTGGTCAGTGACGAAGCAGAAGCAGAAACCACCGCAGAATACCGAGCTAGGGCTCTTCATGAAAGAAGGGTTCCCGACCCCTCCATCAATCAACCCTCTTTCTTTGTCACATTCTGCTTCTCCTTGTCCTTCTCCTCACTCCCCCTCCTCCCCTCCCGACTCGTCCTCCCCCTCTTCGCCCTCTCCGCCCTCCCCCGAGCATTAGCAATCATCGCCTCAAAACCAGCGACTTGCTACTCCGCCAGCTTGGCGAAATGCTTGCTCCAGATCCAGCCGATGACGTTCACGGAGTCGTCTTGGTTTTTGGCCAGCCAGAGCTCTCCCTTTTCGGCTACTACGTCGAAGATCTGTAGCACGGGTATTTGTTAGTCATTGTCCTCCGAGTGTATTGATCGAGGCGGGGAAGGGGTGAATTCGAGCGAAGCGAGGAAAAGGGGGGAAAAAAAAAAAAGGCCGGGCGCAGCGGACGCCCAACCCCCAAAAATCCAGCAAGAACAGAGATATATGTGGGAAGGAAAGAAAATGATAACGTACCTCCCCAGCTTGATAAGTCAAATAAGGATAGCCCCCCTCATGCTTCGTAGTCTCGATATTAAACTCAAAAAGACTAGCAGCTAACCACATGACATTCGCCTCGGCCGCAGCTTCCGCCGAGATGAACATGCCCGCACCACCCGACGATGTTTGCACCTCATGATAATTACTACCACTAGGCCCAGCTTCCGGCTCAGGGTGCTCATCGACTTCATCTGCGTCATCCATCGGCAAAGCAGAGTGGAAGAGACCGGACTGACGACGGGGTTCGCTGGTGGCGTAGTTGTGGTGGGAGGAAGTGTAGGACCCGCGGCGGGAGAGGGTGTGGCCTGAGTGTGCGACTCCGTGACTATGGCTGGTGTGGTGAGTGCCGGAGGCGGATTGGGCTGAGTAGGAATCGGTGGATTGACGAGGTAAACTACCGGAGTCGAAACTGCGACCAGTTGTCGGACGAGTGGAATAACCACCAGTGGTCGAAGTAGCGTGCGTAGCAGGTACCGATCTCGGCGCCGAAGACGACGAGGGATCCGGACTGAGCGGGGCAGTAGAGTTGCCTCTCGAGTGATGGCCGTTGGACAAGCCCGAGTAGAAATCTCGATAATATTGCCCCGGACTCGGTAGCCCCGAACCAGTACCGGTAGGGGAGAGGTCAAATCTTCCTGACACATCAGGAGTCGGCAGAGACGGAACATGATCGCTGTTGATAGACAGACCACGACCTCTAGGCGTGAGCAACTCGGAAGGACGGGATCGAGTCTTGGACAGAACAGAGCCGGAGCCAATGTCATCCGACGTCGACTGAGAAGTCCTACCTCTCAGCGAAACGGGGTTGAGAATGGCGAGCTGTCCTGCTCTCTCGACTTGCTCGGTGAAATCCCGCTGGAAGGACTTGACAATCTCTGGCAGATCGGGGACGTGGTCGAGGTCGGCGAGGGGGGACTTGACTTTTTCTTTCCAGGTGGAGTACCATGCCGCCTGGATGTTGACAAACTTGGCCAAGCAAATATTGCCAATCTCAGCGGTCAGGGCAGAAAGCTTGGGCAGCTCCTTCTTGAGAGTATCGTCGAGGGCTTCGTACTGCTCAACGGCCTCGGCGAGGGTCTTGTCGATCTTCTTGCTGTTGGCTTTGAGCTGCATGTAGCGCTCGTAGTCAAGACGGCGCTTCGCTCGCTTCTTGATGGCCAGTCCAGGATTTTGGTAGCATTTGATGACCTGCTCAAACGGCTCGATAACGTGTTTTCGGACGTCAACTAGATGTTTGTCCAGGACCTTCTCCATGTCCCTCATTGAGACACTAAACTGGACCCATCGGCTTTCAAGGTGGGCGTAATCTCTCGATGGTTGCAGGCGCATAACCAGCTCCATAGCGGTTACGTATTGAAGGAATTCGTGGACGTAGGTGGAGGCGCTTCGGGTGTAGAACTCGACATCGCGAAGCACCACTTGCAGACGGAGGAACTCGTCACCGAACCTCTCGTGAAGTTTGGCGTATTCTTCGTCTTCTGGTGCCCTGTTGCTTGCTCCTCCTTGTAGCTTATCGACACGCTTGCCAAAGGCCCTGGCTAGACCAGCTCGGACATCCGAGTCCTTGCGCTTCCTGTTGCCAACGATCTGGCCCACAAGCTCAAAATTCCTCTTGGTCCTGTTGATCTCATCAATGGCGCTGATCACTGTCGACTTGGCGTTGACCAGTGCATCTCGATCGGGATGATCTTCCGGGGTGTACTTGAGAAGATGAGCAATGATATCAGGGTACTTGGTCAACCTCTGCATCGGCTTGATCAAAAGGGAATCCAAACTCCAGGCTGCTGTCAGTTCCCTGGCACCCTCGCTGCATTCGTTCAGCCACACCTTGACGGCATCATCCTCCTGGATCTGGATCAGACGTTTGGCGGAAAGATCACTGGTTCGGAGATAGACTTCGTGGACATCCTTGAGCTGGTCAATGTTCTTGGTGAAGAGTGGTCCGAGACTGGTCTGACGATCCTTATCATTATCCAATTCCTGCTTGTTGTTCATGGTGCTGCCGGAGTTGGTAGACGCAAGAGTTGTCGTGTCCGAGTCCTTCAATGACGCCTCATGTGCAAAGGTAGGCGACTTTCTGCCCTTGGGTTGATAGACACTCGCGGCCCCATCCCTGAGCTGAGCGAGGAACGTAGCGTGGAAGGCAATGATGTCGTCGGTATTCCGGAAAATAAGCTTGATCGTCTTGGAATCAAGTTGGGGACATGCCTCTGCTGTGCCCTTGTAAATCTCCTCCACAACGCTCATATCCCGAACAAAGATCTCTTCGGTATCGATCAGCTCACGGATGACCAGCTGCCGTTGCCGGAGTCGTTTCTGCTCCTGTGTCAAGTTATCTGTTGGTTGTGACGATGTGATGTTGCTTTCGGTACGGGAGAGGTGTGACCTTTGATCAACTGGCTCGAAAGAAAATTGACCGGCTGATGGTGGAGAGGAGATGATGGCAGTTCCAAACTCCTCTTCATCCTGTGTATGTGGATAACTGTTGGGCCGGGAGAGCACTTCGTAGGTGCTCTCGTCCAAATCATCATAGTTATTTGCTGCTGGGCGGGCAGGGGCCGTCTGATGCGACACTAGTAGTATCCTCCTTTGGGGGGCAGCAGAATTGTCCCTATCAAATTCTGATGATTGCCGCGGGTCGACCTTGTCGGCCAGCATGGAGGATGAAGACGCTCGTGGCGGCTTATCAAGCGGTGATAGTTCCGGACTTGGTTGTTGTGGACGCCGTAAGCTCGACCGATTCCTGTCAAAGTTATTATACGACACGGGTGCCTCGGGTTCCGTTTGCTGCTTGAACTGCCGTGAATCACGCGGATCTTGGTTATCTAGAGCAGCATTCTGATCATCGCTTCCAAAAGAAAAGTCAGTCCAGGCTGAATGCTGACTGAGGCGGTTACCAGGTGACAAGTAGGCAGGTACGGCCAGGCTGTTGGAGTGTGAGCTGTCAGGTGTTTGCTGGTACTCTGCTGCGGAGGAGGGGTGTGCATCATATGGATCTCCGTTGTCCGATAACGTAAAAGTCGAATCCCGCAGGCTGGCAATGTTGTCGCGTAGATGCGGACCAATATAAAAATCCTCGAGGCGCTCCAGGTTCTCGACCTCGACCCGGGGTTCTTCGCGCTGCTGCTGCTGCTGCTGCTGGGAATGTGAATGCCCAGAGCCGGTGGCTCCCAATGTCTCATTCAGCAGCGGCGGCTCATCTGCATGGTGCAGACCGGATGGAGGCATCGTGTCACGAGCTTGGTCCTTGTACAACGGTCTAAAATCATTTTCGGGGCCCAATATCGTGACCGTTGTTTCGTAATTTTGCGATGAATATGTATACGGTTGGGGCACGTATTCGTCTGCATCTGGCTGCTGCGCAGGAACCGTGGTTGGCTCGGCGGTAGTGAAATGCCCCCGAGTCGGCGTCTGTTGCTGCGAGGGCTGCTGCTGCTGCTGCTGCACGGACGTATCCAGCGCAATCTCGATAGACACATCATCGTCATCGTCCACATCGTCATCGTCGTCAAATGGCGAATGATAGGATAACCGCTTGCTCTTGGTTGACAAAGGTGACGCCAATGGAGGCGTCGGTTCTGGCGGTTCAAGGGTTCGTGGACTTGGTGGCTGATGGTCTATCACAATATTTCCCAAGGCATAGTCAATCGCTGCGAAATTCTCGGGCCGTGGTGCCTCTGTTTGCTCTTCCTCTTCGAACTCTGTCACGGCGGTAGCAACGGATATGGCTGATTGCGGTATTGGAATATCGGGCTCGTCGTCACTATCGACAAAGCCTCCTGGCATTCCCAACGTCGGTGAATCACGGCCATTGCTCGCAGGTGGTTGAGCCGGTGTCTGTATTATGGGTAGGTTGGTAATAAGCTTGAGAGGCTCTTCAAGCCCCTTACTCACTGAGCCTCTTGGATGTACTGAATCGTTGCTTGATGGCAATGCAGCAAGAGCGGCAGCTTCCGCTTTGGCCTTGGCGCGGGTGACAGCCTCCATGTCCTTCTTTCGCTTGTCCGCCGCAGCCTCCCTGGCCTCCTTTGCCTGCTGGTCTCTGATGGTTTTGGTATATGCAAGCTTTATAGTCTCTCGTCGTTGGGCGAAATCGATGGGTCCTACGGACAGCTTTCGTCGTCGAATGGATCCGGCCCGGCGGTTCGACTTGTCGGGGGACGGCGGTCGGTCGGCCGAGGATCTCATCCGGGAAGCCGCGGTCGAAGCAGTGGCCACGGACTGCCGGGGTCGCGAGCTTCGCAGCGAGGGAGATAGTTTCGGAGCGGGCACAGCCACATATGCGTTGAGCCGGCCGTTGTTGCTGCTGCTGCTGCTGCTGCTGGGGGTCGCGATGTGACTCGGGGCGGCTTTTCGATTCGAGGTCTGGGGTCGCTTGGCGGTTGCGGTCGCGGGCGTGGTAGGGGTGTTGGAACGGGTGGCAGGTGTTTTGGCCCTCGAGGCATGCTGCTGGCGGGAGGATCTTCCGCTGGTAGGGGTTTGTCCGTATTTTAGTGCTTGGGCGGGGGAAGAAGAAGTGCTTCTTCCGTGGCTTTCAGAAATACTAGCTCTGTGGACCATGACGGGGAGGCGCGAGGTGGAGGATAGGGGCGTGGTCGGTGTGGAAGGGGTTGTCCGGCCCGTGTTGGTCGGCCTGCTACTTGCTGTCGCTGTTCCACGGCCGGGCCGGGTGTTGCTGGTGGACGACGTTTTGGTGGACGAGGAGACCACTTGATCGCTATGGGCTCTAGAGTGGTTCTTAGCTACCCTTGTGCTTCCGTTGCTGTCAGGCAGCGCAGAGGCCGCCCCGCGGTACCAGTCAGTTGGAGACGAGGGCTCCATATCTCCCATATTCTCGGGCCTTGTGAGGTCATGTATGCTCGACTCGGATGTCCGCCGGGGACGACCCCCTACTAGGTGGCCTTGGATGCCAAACCCAGCCGTGACCGAGTCTTGTTCGTCGGGCAGGATCTCGCCAAAGAGCAGCCCATTCGATCGCGACAAGGATTGTGACGGCAATCCGGTGGTGGGGGACAGCTGCGGCAGCGACCTGGATGCCGGTCCGTTTGTGTTCCGAGGCTTGCTGATTCGGTTCGCAAAGGATTGGGAGTTGCGGTTCGTTATTCGGTCGTCGGTCGAGAGTTTGGGTCGCGGTCGCGGTATGCTTCTGGATCGGGATCCGTATGTTTGGGATGGGCTGTTGTTCGGCGTTAGTCGTATCGATGTCGCTATCGAAGATGTGCCTGTCGCTGTCGTCGAAGAAGTCGTCGTCGTCGTCGTCGTCGTCGGGTTACTAGACCGTGCCGAAAAGGAGGCAGCTCGGGCGCCGACACTGGGAGATGGACGGGAGAAAGCGGAAGTGGAAGCGGTGGAGGACAGTCTCGAGGTCGAGGGTCTCGGTTGTCTTCGCTGGCTTGGGAGGTTGTTGTGGGATGTCCCTGACAGGTTGAACTTCTTGGTGAGGTCCTTGACGCTCGGTGGGTAATCTGAAGCCCCACCTTGTGTCCCATACGAGTTATCTGTTGGCAGCGCCGGCCTGCCATTGCCGCCAAGGCGATCGTCAACGGGATTCGATGCTGAGCGGAGTCCCGATCGAGCACCGGAGGCAGCACTGGGTGGATTAGTATGTGTACTACGCCCGCTGGACATTTTGGTGGTGCCAGCAGCAGCAGCAGCAGCAGCAGCAGCAGCAGGCAAGGCGGATGGCTTTAGGGCCCCATTCGAAGGTGACCTTGAGGAGGATGAGGTTAGTGGTATGCTGGCCGAGGTACTCTGCATAGTGTCGCTGTCGGTGGTGGTTGTTACAGCGGCGGCATCACTACCGCTTAGAAAGCTACGATAAAAGTAGTCGGGGTCTTCTTCTTCCACGTTTAGCGAGTCGGGGACTCTTGCATTGGCGGCAAAAGCCTGGAGATTGGCGGCGGCGGCATGGGAAGCAAATGGAATCTTTTGGTTGCTGCTGTGGCCAGAGGCAGACGGACTGGCCAGGGGACTTTTCGTTGGACTTCTTGTTAGTCGAGGACTGGCCAAGGGACTTCTTGGTAGAGGACTGGCTAGAGGACTGGCTGGACGACTGGCTGAATAACTGGTATAACTGGCTGAAAAGCTGGCCAAGTGACTGGGTCGGGCCTCTTCTTCTAATGCGGGCGCAGGCGCAGGCGCAGACGGGTGCGTGGGACTGGAGTGTTCGGGGAAGTACGACTGGTGGTCCTGTTGGTGGGAGCGGTGGTCGTGGTTGTGGCCGTGGTCGTGGGGTGGTTCGGCCAGGTACTGTAGAGAGTTGTATTGTGACTGCGACGGTGAGCGAGTGTGATGGATGCTGCCGCGGTCCATGGTGACCCGACCATTACTTTTCTTGTTATGACTTCTTGTGACTTTTTTCTTCTTTCTGTTTCTTGTGACGTTTTGTTTCGCTCTGATGACTCCTCAGTCCTATCTGCCCCCCTGTCTTGTTTTTCCAAGTCGCGGTATCGAAAACGCGGGACGGGAAAGAGCTGAGGAGGGGGGAGGGGGGAGGGGGATCTGGGATGTTGTCATCAACCTGAAGTGTCGATAACAGGCGGTGTTATGCACAGGCACAGGCCAGTGGATAAAGATTGGTTGGGATGGGATGGGATGGAGTCGAAAAAGTATGGATAAGTCAAGGCTGAAGACTGAGAATCTTTAGAAAAAAAGCGACCCACCAGGGGTCTCTTTCGGGGGTGTTACTCTGCCTGTCGATACCACCATGTGCCTCTGGTTAGGTAGGTTCCCCTCTTTCCCCTGGCGTCTGCATTTCTTACTTGCAGTCTTCAGTGAGGACTAACGAGATAAGACCGAATTCCTCCCGCTCCTCGTTAATCTAGCCCCATCTTGAAATCATTTCTCATACGACATATCATGATCTAAGGTATTTTCGGTATGGATGGATATATGGATGAGCCCGCTGCAATTTGTCCCTGTGCTAGTGACGTTCCAGAACCCCTTCTGCCGTCCATCAGTATAAAGTTGTACTTGGCATAAACGCAGGTGGATTCTGCCAAGCACAGAATGTCACCAACCATACTGAGTGCAAAGATATGCAGTGAATCTGCTTGTACCGACCCCTGACATCAACAACAAGAGTTCATCATCACGGCCCGATGCGAGACAAGCTAGGTCCCATTAAGGTCAGGCCTCAGGAGGTGCTGGTATCAAGGGATGATGATATCTGCCGATGGAGGGGACGGCGTCGTCAGTGGGCGTCTATCAGTCGCCAACACTGTCTTGTGAAAGGCCAATCCTATACTGTACCTAGTTAAAGCAAGGTACCACTGCAACGTTGTGAGTGCCAAAAAGAAATGTCCGGTGTCTGGGGAATCCTTCCCGGCCGTAGACGTTTGAGAATACGAAGACACCCGCAGCAAATAACAATGGAAAAGGAGGAAAGTCTTCCTCGCAAGCTCCTCCGTAAAAGGAGATTGGGTCGTCCACTTCTCGGCCGGCAACATTCCCCCTCAAAAAGTCTCGAAACACTGTGGCGCCCTCGTGGCTGGCCACCCCATCCACTGGACTGATGGAGCAGGGGAAATTGTTAGCGGCTCCACTCAGACAAGTCCGGGGTAGATGACATTGCAACAGACAGCCTCTGATAATGCGCTGCACTGTACGACGGCGTGTTAGGCGCAGTTGCACTAACAATTACCACGCAAACGCCGTGATGGCGTCTCACATGCGCATATTCGTCCCATGTCCAGGGTACATTGGATGTACATATCATAGTAATGTCTCCAATTCGCCATCTCCAACTTCCACGCGTCATCAACTTTTCGCCATCGCGCCGTTTCACCAGCGACAACTCAAACGGTTGATTCTTTTTCTATCGAATTGAACAACAGTCTTTGATTTTCTGTCCAATCACTCATCAGTGCACCTTCTTCAGCCCATTATAGGCCCCAGTATGGACCATCAGAACATGCCGAACCATCACCATGTCGGCCAAGAGAAAGAGCGTCAGCTTCGTTGAGCTGGACTCAACCGGTAATGAAAGCGACCATGAACGGACTGAACCACCACCCAAGCGCCCAAAATCAAAAGAAACAGTCAACAATCATGTTCCTCAACATCAGCCCAAGCCGAGCCCCATCACCCAAACCCTCCTCTCCCTCTACTACCCCCAAATCCTCACTCTCCGCCAATACGCCCTCTCCAAACTTCCAAAGTCCTCCAGAATCCGCCGAAAGAAGATCGCCGCAGTCGGCCTCTCCTCAAATACCCCAGACCAAGAGACCAAGGTGTTAGAAACCGCCCTCGGCTTACTTCTAGACACAACCCTAGTCTGCTCTCGCGACCCTCCAGACACCACTCAAACTCAAAAGAAACAGAAACCAGATTACCGGTGGGAACAGTGGGTTTCCTTTTCTCAGGGCGGAAATAAGGGAGACGAAAGTCACGTTACCTTGTCTGATGGGTTAAAGGGTGCCTTGTACTCGCAGTCTGACATCGTCGACTTTGTCATCTGGCTATTATTCTCCCGCTCAGGATCCCGGGAGAAGTCCAAGACTGGCAAAGGATGGCCTGGGCCGAAACATCTCCTCTGCGATGGCTTCCGGAAAGGTGTCCCTCCGCAGGGTCGATCTGGTGAGATTGCAGCAACCGGACATCATCAGATACCGGGGGTGTATGCGGTTCACACGAATAACTGTGTAAAAGCGCTGAAAGAAGCACCATGGCCGCAGTTTTTGCTGCTGTTAGGAAAAGAGGGAGAGAGGATCATGTTGGATTTGTTGCTGGATTGTGCCGTGTTTGTTGCTGTGAGAGAGGGAAAGGGGAATTTGGTTCAGGTGAGCGGTGTGAGTGTTTCGGAACTACAGCCGTTGGGGGCAGAGTCCGGTCCAAGGAGAGGAGGAGGTGCAGGTGAGAACAAGGAGCTGAGTCCTTCGGAAATCACATTTGCCAGAAACAGGATGTTGTACGCCAGGGCGGCGTTGAATGCGAGGGGTTTGGTGAGCTTTGGACTGAGGCATATTCGTACGTTCAGCTTTCACCGTAGACGAAAAAGACACTCAAGCTGACTATCGTAGACGTATTAAACCGCTTTCCTTACAAACCGCCTGCTGAGGGAGAAGAAAGGAGTAAACCGGATGAGAGCACAATTCATGTGATGATGTACATCTTCCCTCGACAGTTCGGTTTGCACAACGTCTTCACTTCGGTGGTAGACCGCCAACAGACGGCTCAGAAGTTTCAGGATTATACCCTCCGCGAGGAGGAGATAGCCAAGAAGTTCCCTAAACCGGCCGAGGGAGAGAAGCAAAAGGTTAAGATACCCAAGAGACTCAGGGGTAAAACGCACGATTTGGTTCACAAGTTGCAAGTGTTGCATGGACGATGTTCCTATGCTGACATGTTGCAGTATTATTGTCCGGTATGTCTCTTCACTCCCTCTGGATCTGTACATAATAGAACTAACACTGTTCAGCTACCAAAACAACTAGAACCAGAGCAAAGGTCGCAATCAAGCCAACTGCGAATCTCAGCCCGCTCCTCTAGGTCATCCCAAAGGAACCGCAAAAAGACACTTCAACCACAGTCAACTGCTGCCCCCGTCATTAGGAATTCTGACTCGCAGTCTCATTCCCTCCTAGACCTTGCTACTCCCATTTCGAGCATATCAGCCTTCTGTCAAGCGGTTCTATCAAAAATCATACCCAACGACTTCTGGGGCTCTTCGTCAGAAGAAGGCCTTACTGGTGGTACCCAAGAGCATAACAAATCGGTCTTCCTCAAACACGTTGACCAGTTTATCAAGCTTCGGAGGTTTGAGAGTATGTGTTTACATCAGGTCGTCCAAGGGATGACGATCTCTTCCATCCCCTGGCTGGCACCGCCCAACCTGAGCAACGGAAACGGAAACGGAAAGTGTTCACAGACCGATCTGGCGAAGAGACGGGAGATGTTGAACGAATTCCTCTACTACACCTTCGACTCCCTCCTCATCCCCCTTATCAGGAGTAACTTCTACGTCACCGAGTCCTCCGCCCACCGCTACCGCCTCTTCTTTTTTCGGCATGACGTCTGGTTGTCCCTCACCAAGCCGGCCATGACCACACTGAAACTGCAAATGTTCGAGGAGCTTAAAGGGAATGAAGCGCTAAGGTTACTGGAGGGGAGGAAGTTGGGTTTCTCCCAGGTCAGACTCCTTCCCAAGGGGGTGGGAGCCGGCGGCTTACGACCTATCATGAATCTGAGGAGGAGGGTTTTGCTTAGAGGGTTTGGGGGTAAAGGGGGTAAAGGCAAAGGGGGGAATACGAAGCAAATGCTGGGTCTGGGGCCGAGTATCAACTCCGTACTGGGGCCGGTGAGTTCGATGTTGAAGTTCGAAAAGAGGGAGCGGCCGGGACGGTTGGGAGGGGGGATGTTTGCTGTGGGGGATATTTATCAGAGGGTGAAGAGGTTTAAGGCGAGATTATTCCCGAAGGATGAGGAGGGGAAGGGAAAGAAGGGCAAGAAACAGTTTTATTTCGTCAAGGTGGATGTGCAAGCGGCGTTCGATACCATTCCGCAGGAGGCAATGGTTCAGTTGTTGGAGAAGATACCGGGACACGGGGTGTATAAGGAGTCGAAGCATGTGGAGGTTACTCTCCCCTTGGACTACGATCACAACAACCTAGTCAACAACGACGCCAGCGGCGGCAGCAGCAACAAATCGAAACCAAAACCAACAAAACGCTGGCACTCAACCACCACCCCCCTCACCACAAGCTCAACGTATTCAATCCTCCCCCAAAAACACCTCCCCACAACAACAAAAAAGAACACCCTCTTCATTCCCTCCCACTCCTCCACCAAACTACACACCACTTCCTCCCTTTTGTCGCTAGCAAAAGAACACATTACGCAAAACCTCGTCAAAATCGGCAAGAAGTACTACCGACAAAAGACGGGCATCCCCCAGGGTTCTGTCCTTTCCAGCACTCTGTGCAACTACTTTTACGCTGATCTTGAACGATCTGAAGGTCTGGCATTCCTGGGTCTAGGGACTGGAGATGATGGTGGAAAAGACTACGAGGAAAACCAGCAGGGGCAGGAAGACCGCGGGAGGAGGGGGGTGAGTCGGGACGGGGGGACGTTGTTGATGAGACTTATCGACGATTTCTTGCTTATAACGACGGACAAGCAAAAAGCGAGGAGGTTTGTGAGGGTTATGCATCGGGGGTTTCCGGAGTACGGCGTTACCATCTCCCCTCACAAAAGTCTCGTCAATTTTGACGTTTCCATCAAAGACCATTTGGTGCCGAAACTGAGCGGAGGCACGAGATTTCCCTACTGCGGATTGCAAATCGACACCCAAACTTTGGAAATCTGCAAGTCTGGTACTGGTACTGGGGTAGAGGCCGATGACCACCAGAAAAAGGACCCGGTGATTTTCAACGGGATTACAGTTGAGTACTCCAAAAACCAAGGGCGAAACTTTCAGCGGAAGGTTCTCAGTAAGTTTTTTCCCCCCTTTCTCCCCTTTGCTCTCCCCTTCCCCCTCCCTCTTTCCCCTCCCTCTTCCCTTCCCCCTCCCTCTTCCCTCTCCCCCGTCAAGTTCTGCGCAGGCATGAAAGCTAACAGCACCTACCAAAGACGCCTTCAAAATCCAATCACACCTCCTCTTCTTCGACACCACCCACAACTCCTTGTCCACCACGCTCCGCAACCTCTACTCCGCTTTCATCGAAACAGCCATCAAGATGTGGGCGCATGCTAGGTGTCTGGGAAGGGAGAGAAGGCCTGCCACTATATTAGTGATCGGTAAGTAACCCGTTCTCTTCTTTCCCGGGGAGTGATGAATGAGATAGGTCACGTTTGGATTGTGTTGTGTTGGTTGAGGAAGATGTAGCTCTAGAGGTGTAGAAAAAAAAAACTAAAAAACTAACATGACTTGGAAAAAACAGATACAATCAAGTCCCTAATCGAAGTGGCATACCGCTTGGTGACGAGCAAGTCAAGACAAAAAAGATACCCCGGTTATCGGTGTAGCGTGGGCAGGGGACAGGTTGCGTGGTAAGTCAAGTCCTTGCTTTCTATCTATCTACCAGTGATTATGTCCTCTCTCTTGTCTTGAGTTCATGAACTAATCTAATGATGTTTGTTGGAAGGCTCGCCATGGTAGCTTGCAGACAAGTACTTGTCCGAAAACAGGCCGGTTACAAAGAAGTGCTCAGATGGTTGGAGGAGGAGATACAGAAACTGACGACGGCTGGTGATAAGAAGAAGATGGATACGAGGCTGTTGGTCAAAGTGGCGAGGGAAATTGCTGTTCGGCCTTAGAGGGTTGTTACGCTAGGTGTTGATACAGGTGGCGTCTACTTTAGGTCTATACGTTATCGATGTCCACCATCTATGGATATAGTCTACCTCTATTTCCAACGCCTTTCTTCCAGGTCAAGGTCTATCCAAACCCCGAGTCTCCAACTTCATTATTTAGGTCATAACAACCCTTTGTTTTTCCCTCAGCTCCCTCAAATCCTTATACCACTCTGCCACCACCGTTCCCCCTTCCACAAACTAGGTAAATACTCCCCATCCAACCTCCACCAATCCCCCCTTCCCTCGCCCGGCATCCCTCCCAACCCCAACCACCTAAACACCGAAACGGGCACCGGTTCAAACAGAAAAAGCCCCGACCGGCTCATATCGTCAATCAACATCCACCTCGTCCAGTGCAGCCACATTAACACGAAAAGGCCGTTTCCTGTTCGTTTTAACCACCTCGGCAGAACCCTTCCATTGGTGACTCTTTTGAGAAGGACGATGAGAAAAGCTTGGACTAGACACCCCGCAAACTGCGAAACGAAGAACCCAACTGGTTCGGCGAAGACGGCTAGTCGGTTGCGGGTTTCGCAAGTCAGCCTGTCCTCGCCCTCGGGACTGATGCGAAAGGCGGTGGATGTCCAGCCGCCGAGGGCGTGGAGGACGCCAGAAAGAAGAAAGGCTGTGGCCATTTCTAGCATCGCCACGGCCCTCTTTTTCCCTGTCCTCTTTTGCTTTTCATTGGGGTTCTTCCCACCCTTCACCGCGCCTGTCCCCTCTCCTACCTTGCCACCGTTCTCATCTTCTTCAAGGTCAAGCTTCCCAAAAACCCCGATCTTCACCAAAAACCTTATCGGCCCCGTAAAACCCACCCGAAAACTCTGATGCCACCACCCGCCCCAAAACCCCGCCAACCCTCTATCCAACACATTCCTCACAAACCCCCCAAACAAAGACGGATACCGCCACAACTCATCCATCCCCTGACTTTCATTCCCCAACAACCCTCCCAACACAAAAAACTGCGTCAGCTGCCAGACACAGCTATACAAAAACAACCCGCCCAACACTCCACTCAACGAAAACAAGCTCCTCGCAAAGTCCAGCCCCCACAGCGGCAGAGAAGCCAAGAAGCGCGCGCAAGCGAGAGAAAGCGGCGGTAAGACAGAGGGGGAGGATGAAGCGAGAGAGGACAAGTGGTCTGGGTGACGGAGAGGACCGTTGGGGCCGAGAAGGAAGTAGGGATCTAAGCGCGCGGAGACGGTGAAGAAATCTAGGGCGAGGTAGGACCAGGTGATGTGGATGAGGCGGGAGAGGAGGAAGGAGCGGGTGGTGAGGGGGCGGTGGAAGTGTTGCCGAGTAGAAAGGGGAGGGGAGGAGGAGGGGGTGAAGGTGACGGGGAGGCCGTGGGGGAAGTGAGGGAGGATGTGCCCCTGGGAGGAGGAGGGGGAGGAGGGGGAGGAGGAGGAGGAGGAGGAGGAGAGGATGGAGGTAGGTAAGGGGGTGATGACGGGTGGTTGGAGAGAGGGGATGGATGAGATGGAGTAATTCCAGCCTAGAATAGTTGGTGTCATTGTCAGTTTTTGCGTTGCGATCGAGGATGGGAGAAAGAAAAAAAGGGGGAAGATAAAAGGGGAAGGAGAAATGTACCAGCACCCCTGAACGAATTAAATATATCCATCACCCAATCCAACCTCTCCCAAAATGTGCCGTTATCCGGGTACGGCTCCCAGTAGTACTCGTACTTCTCGAGGTCGACCGTTTCGTCTACTGTCCATTTCTTTCCCTTTTCTTCGTGTTTCTCTCCTGGACTTTGACTTTGTTGCGTCTTCCGTTTTCTGATTGTGTTGCCGTTGGTATTCACGTCGTTGCCGTTCATAGATGCACCACCATTCAGGTTCCCTTCCACCCCCTTCTGCTTCTCCCCATCGTCTTCCTTTTCATCCCCCTTCTCACCATTCCCATCTCCTCCGCCTCTGCTCCTCCGTAGCCGCCGCCTAACCCTCATAGCCCACCCCTGATACCCCCCAAAAACCACCATCTCCAACCCCCAAATCGTTCCCCACCCACACATCAACCCAGCCGCATAAGCTATGGCCGTACAAGCGCTTGCCGTGGTTTTTCCCGGCGCAAACCATTTCTCAACCCATCCTTTTCCCCCTTCCACTCCCTCTCCCATACCCTCTCCCTCCGTCAACCCGAGTCCGAGCCCTCCAAACCCAGGAAGTCCAACAACCACCCCCAAGTTCCACCAAACAATCAAGGCACCGACTATCCACCTCAGCTTATGAACCCATTCCCTTCGTATTCTTACTCGCTGGTTTTGAATGGCGGGGACGGTGTATTGGGGGATGCAGAGATATGCGATGGGTAAGAGAAAAGAGCCCACAAGACAAAAGGGGAGGAGGAAGGGCTGGACTTTTGGTGGTGGTGATGAGCCATTAACATCGGTGGGAAGGAGGGCCGAGTAGAAGATGCGTCGGTAGGTGGTTAGGTAATGGGCTGCTAGGTTGATCGGGGGTGCAGAGGCATCTGGTGGTGCCCCTGGAAGTGGTGGTGTTAAGGTCGACATGATGCCATGTAGTGTAGGTGCGGGTGTTGGTCTGGAACTAAGATTGCGGTTGGGGTAGGTATGTTGTAGCCGTCAGTAGGAGATTTCGAACAGAGATATTGAGGTTAAAGTCGTGATGAGGTGCCAAACAGTTCAACAGATATTCATTCCGTTGAGTTGTTGACTTCACCGGTGACGTGTCTCGTCAGCAACAACCGGGAATAAGCAACTGCTGAAAAAGTTTGCCTGCTCAAAAAGAATGCAAAGAGAGAGAGAGAAAGAAATTTGCGCAGTCCACGAAAACCCAGCGCAGACAAGAAAAAGAAGGAAAAAAAAAACAATGTCTCACAACCTGAGCCCTAATCAATTCGTGTATCACCGCCGCCGTCACCAGTACCACCCGTCTCCAGGTTGGGTGGGTGATCACGAGAAAAAGCGGAAGCAAACCGCAGTAAAAACAGCGAAACAGGACCGGCCACCTACCCGGGAGTTTGCAACCAATGGAGGCAAGCACAGATAGACAAGTGAGAACCCTGACGGGCAGGCAATCTCCACAGCGGGCTTTACCGCTGTTCGGGGCAATCAAACACCTAACAGCCCTACTCGTCAGGTCTAGAAGCGACTCTGACCCTTTCCGCCAGGAAAGGGTCAGGCAGCGCAATTAGCAAAAATCAGGGCGATTAGCAAAATTTTAGTATACATTACCCGCCTGCAAATTTCCTAGCAAATGGAGGTAGCGTGGTATAACTCCATATCGCTGAATAGGGTAAAGCCATTCACACATTAATTCCCAACCACGGAACTCATGCATCCAAAATGTAATCACGAGCGATTGTGCCCCTTTCCTTTCTATATCTAATAATACTTTTATCTTTTTCATATGTTTTACTTTGGTGGTGCAAATCAAATTGCAATGTGACTTTGTATTTTTGGACATTCTGGCATATGTACGAGATGTACGTGGTTCTACTGGATTAGTGCATATTGCTTGTATGCACGTGGTGGGAGGCCAATTTTCCCGCTTCTACAATCCTAACCCCAGATTCTTTTGCTAATCGCCCTGATTTTTGCTAATTGCCCTGCCTGACCCTTGCCTGGCGGCAAGGGGAAGAAGACGATTCTAGTCCTGACGAGTATCGATGCAGAATGTAGGGGCGATCCTGATTTATCGTGTGCTGGTCTCAGTGAACCAGATCGGTGGGAATTGCTTCCTTCTTTTCCGTTGTTTTCGAATATTTACGGGGGTGGTTTATTGGGCATTGTCCCTCATCATTTGTTATTGATCATGACCCAGGTATCTAAAATACTATGATTTGTTGTGGTCACTCACGACCTAACCAAAATATCAAAAGAGTCCAACCGACTCAAATCACTACTCCCGTCCCACGATAGGTATCCACTGCGGCTGAGTATGTACGGGTATCAACATCTCCGATACAAAAACTCCGAACTCACATCACACCCTAGGAATAACAACGTCCCCCACCCTAACCTTCACCACTTTATTCACCTCCCTTTCTGTTGTAGAGGTATCCTCAGCCAACCCCATATGCACCCCAAAGAACACCTTCCCCTCGAACCTCCTCGTCTTACTTAGCGTAACAAACGGTTCACCCCCTCCACTACTTTTTTGACCAGTTTCTTGGTCTATGCAGACCATGTGGCATCTTCTGCATGAGCCTAGCATCTGGAATTTGAACCCGGTAGAAGAGGAGGGGTTGAGGATGCGGAGGGAGGACCAGGTATCTTCCTCGTAGGGTTTTGCTTTTGCGGTCGAAGTAGAGGGGGAGGAGGGAGAGGAGGGAGAGGAGGGAGAGGTAGGAGAGAAGACGAGGTTAGCCCGAAACACTGCTTCTGATATTGGTCCTTTCACAGAAGGGTTGTAAAAGGCGATGGACTCATTAAGAGCATCAACACTAGCCGTCGTGATCGCCAATATCGGGCTTTCATTCGACAACAATATCCGTCTCGGCTTTGGTCCCTGTCCCTGTGCTTCTTCCTCAGTTGTGGGAGTCGCCGAGCGCTGCTCTGTATCTGAATCCGGTGGTGACGGCGGTGTTTCCACCACTTCGGCTGATGGGAAAGCTCCCGGCATCATCGCTCGTGGTTTCACCGGCTTTGCTGACTTGCTGCTGCTACATATCGGAACAGACACACTACTACCCTGAGGCTGCTGCTGATGCCTCTGCAAATGTGCCTTAGCATGCCTCATCATCCCCTTCCCCTGCCCGCCCGGCGGGAACCTGGCCAGCACGCACGGCACCCCCAGGACAGTCGAGAAGAAGTCGTTGATTTGTGCCGAAGCATACGTCTGCGCGGTGATTTCTTCGCCGCAGACGCGGGAGGACATCATACCCGATCGACGGGGGCTGTACATTCGTGGGTTTTTAGACAGCGGGACCGCGATGGAGTGGGGTAAACGTGGTGATGATGGTGGGATGTCGCCGGCGTAAGTAACTTGGAGTTCACCCATGGTGAAATCCAGATTTGGTCGTAGAAGTGCCATCTTGGGATATCGTTTCTGGCTGAGTGCTTGTCCTGATCCGCGGTGGACTAGGCACCATTCGCGGTCCCAGGCGAGACCTTCGGGGCGGACTTCCCAGTCTAGGCCCGGGGGGACGTGGAAGCCGGCGCAGCTCTTGATGGGGTAGACGACTATGCTTTTGATGAAGAGCTCCGGTGTGTTTCGTAGTGGTGGTTGGAGTTTCGTGTTGTCTGGCGAAGGCAAGAGAGGTAGTGTATCCTCCTGATAAAACTCCTCCACAAATCCAACAAACCCATCCACGTCCGCTATCGTGCTCATAGCCCCCAGACTCGCTCTTATGATCCCCGTTGGTTTTCCGCCCATGATGTCATTATCCGTTCCGCAACGGAACCCCGAAGAAAAGTTCTGTTTCATCTCCCACGGCTCCAGTCCCAAAGCAGAGGCGATGCCACCGGGGTTACACACCCCTCCGGTCCTGATATGTATCCCCTTTAGCATCGCCAGCTTTTCCACTTCTGCGAGACTGATCCACGTTCCTTGCGAGTTGCGGATGTTGAACGCAACCACCGGTCCTGTCCCCTCCTCCGTCTCCATCTCCGGATCGGGGTCAGGCGAGTAAATCTGACAAACCAGTTCACCATTCGCATGTCTCAACCCCTTTAACCCCCCATACAACCGTCTAGCCAAAAACTCGGTATGACCAGCCACCCTCTCCATACTCCCAAATAGCCTGGCATGCACATCCATCGCCACGTCCAGCGCCACGATGCCATGAATCGGTAACGTCCCATCTTCCAACCGTTCATGAAGAAACCCATCTTTCGGAGCATGCCATTGCTCTTTCAGACAAACGACCATATCAACCGTTCCACCGCCAAAGTACCGTCTCGACGAAAACACATGCTGAGACTCCTTGCGAACGATCAAAGCGCCGAGGTCGGGAAACCCAAAGATTTTGTAAAAAGAGAGGACGACGAAGTCGGGTGCTGTTTGGGCGTTGGATAAGTCCAAGGGGGAAGAGGAGACGAGGGCGGCGGCGTCTAGGAGGGTGTAAGTTTTTCGGTTTGTTTTGGTCTCAGCCTGATGGCGGATTTGGGAAGACCAAGAAAGGGGAAAGCGACGGCCGTCCATGTTGGATTGGGCTGGGTAGGCGAATAATATTGGTCTTTCGTCCTCATTGTCGTCAAAGGGACAACTCCCCGATAACCAGTCCTCCATCTGCCGATCATCCAGACAAACGCTACTTCGAGCTTCTTCTCGAACTCCAACCAGACTGGTATGACTCGCTTGGTGATATACGTAGTCAAAGCCCGTGGGCAGACATCTCATGGCATCGACAACGAGCTTGATACCGGCCGTGGCGTTGGCGACGAAAACCAGGTCGAAGTCGGCTGGGTCGGCGTTGAAGAACTGCAGGGCTCGGAGACGGATATCCTGCATGCGCTGGGTTGATAGTTGGGAGGAAGCAGATGCGGAGTGAGGGTTGCCGAAGAGGTTGGCGGTCATCTCGTGGGCGAAACGGTCCATGAGGGACTTGGGATAGGGGGTGGTGCCGGCATGGTCGAGGTAGATGGAGTCTGTTCTGTGTTAGTGATCTGGATGGAGATGGAACTTGGGAAGTCTTACCTTTGAGCATGGGATACTCTTCTTCTCTTATCCTTTCCACGTCGGCGTTATAGCCATCATGTTGAATGGTGAATGAGCCCATCTTGGAGAACTTTTAAGTATCACCAAGTCCATCAAGAGACAAAAAGCGGTTAACCAACTTTGATATTTCTGTGATATCTCTGGACTATCGACATGGACATCTGATTAGATGCTGGGGTGGATAACTTGTCATTGTTGCGGTCATGATATCAATAAATGCAACCAAAGGCAGTGGCGTAAGTGTAGTAGTCCCCTTATCCCGTCACGGCCGGCGCTTGTCATCCGGGAGAGGTCAGTTGGGCTCGGCGAGGAGGTCCAACGGAACCTGAACGGAGATCGCCACTTTCCAGCACAGCGAAGTGAAAGACAGGCGGCGGTCTCCCTGCTTCAGTGGAGGGCCGCCCTGGAATGCCCCTGTGAACACTGTGGGAATAGTACGGGGGAGTGGATACGGAACTGAAAGAGGCCCCGCTTTGACACGAGGAGTGCGCCACGAAACGAACCCTCCCCAGCCACAGCAAGCGTGGCTCATGCGCGACCGGGCTTAATTGAAACGCGCAGTGCAGCGGGGAAGCGCGTCGAGCTTCGAGCTGTAGCCCCACAAATTCGCGGTCGCGTCTCCGCAATGGAATGCACCAGGGGTGGAGCGCGAACTGGAATTCTACTTTGGTGCAGTGCAACCGTGACTTCTCAAGGTTCCTCTTTCCACCTTACAACCATACAACCACACAAGTCCATCACCACCATCAACATCCGCGCATCGTTCTTTCCTCGCGATTGCTGCTTGTATCTGCGATTTTGCATTGCGACTGGTGTTTTTGACTTTCTAAGAAACCATGGCCTCGCCTACCGCGACCACGACTCTGGGGAAGAGGAGAAGGAGCACTAGACTCACAGGTGAGCTACAACTGACGACATCCAGACTTGCCATCGAGAGCCTTCATACTGACAGACAGAAGACGAGGAGATCACACTAGGCCCCCTTGCCGTAAAGCGAACAAGACGCTCTCTCCGAATCCATCCAGAGATCCATCATGAGCCCGACCACATCCAGGCAGAGAAGGAGAAGGCCGCCTCACCACCCAAGCCTATTGCCGACGACGTCGAGAACCACAAGGAGAACTGCAAGCCCACAGAAGACGACAGCGAAGAGGTCATCGAGGCGGAAACACCATCCAAGTCACTCCTAAGAAGGCGCAAATCAGTCATCGCCAGCCCACCAAAGACAGCTCCAGTCACACCTTCCACACCACGACACTACGATGTCTTTGCAAAGGCAGCAGTCACCACTCCGCGCCATCGCGTCATGTCCGTCGGCAAGCTATCCAGGCGCATGACACCAAGCACGCCCATGACACCCGCGGCTTCTCAAACAGTCTACCACCAGGCTCGTCAACTCTTTTCCCGAAGCGCCGATCCCGGAGAACTCATTGGGCGCGACGAGGAGCGCGAGAAGCTCAACACTTTTTTGGATCGCTGCACAACCGCCCATCCCAGCGGCTGCCTCTACGTCAGCGGACCTCCTGGAACCGGAAAGAGCGCCATCGTCAACAAGGTCACCGACAAGTTCGCATCCGAGACATCAACAGTGCGCAAGGCATACATCAACTGCATGAGCATCAAGTCATCCAAGGATCTCTACGTCACCCTTCTCGACCAGCTAGTCAGCAAAGATGAGGACAAGGAGGAACTCTCAACAGAAAGCGACGTGGTGGCGCCACTCCAAAAGCTCATCCTGCCCAAGAAAAAGATCCAGGACGTCTACCTCGTGGTGTTGGACGAAATCGATCACATCCTCACCCTCGACCCCGAAAGTCTCTACAGCCTCTTCGAATGGTCGCTCGAAAAGAAGAACTCGCGCCTCGCCCTGATCGGCATCGCCAACGCGCTCGACCTCACCGACCGCTTTCTGCCGCGCCTCAAGTCGCGCAACCTCAAGCCTGAGCTTTTGCCCATCCTTCCATACACGGCACCCCAGGTCAAGAACATCATCATCACGCGTCTCAAAAGTCTGCTTCCCGGCGGCACGCCCAAGGACCCCAACTACGTCCCCTTCTTCCACCCAGCCGCCATCGAGCTCTGCTCGCGCAAAGTCTCCAGCCAAACCGGCGACCTGCGCCGCGCATTTGAGATCTGCCGCCGCGCCATCGACCTCGTCGAGTCCGAGACCCGCCTCAAGCACGAGAACGAAGTCAAGGAGCAGATGCTACAGATGTCTCCATCCAAGAAGCGCGTCCTCGGCGAAAACACCAATCTTTCCTCGGGTCCCGCTCCTTCATCTCTCTTCCGGAGCATCTCCACACCCAGCGCCAGCGTCTCGGCCTCGCTTCTGAGGTCCCTGCAGGCTTTGACACCAGCCACCGCTCCGCGCGTCAGCATTGCCCACCTCAGCAAAGTCACAGCAGCAGCATTCAGCAACGGCACCACTCAACGCCTCAAGACGCTCAACCTCCAGCAAAAAGCCGCTTTGTGCGCTCTGGTCGCCATCGAGAAACGTAATCGCGCCGCGCAGTCGGAAGCGATCGCCTCTGCTTCGGCCTCGTTCACATCTACCACCGGCACTCCGTCGAGGAAACAAGAGGCGCCGATTGCACCAACGGTCAAGACTCTCTACGAGGCTTACACCAAGCTCTGCAAGCAGGATTCGCTGCTACATCCGCTTTCGTCATCTGAGTTCCGCGAGGTTGTCTCTTCCCTGGAAACACTCAGCTTGATCACGCCCGTGGACGGCAAGACTGGGTCGTTCACGGCTTTGGGGTATAGCTCGCCTGGAGTGGGGACGCCGAAGAGGGGAGGCAAGAAAAAGAAGGATGTGTTTGGGATGGGAGGGGCGTTGGTCGCGGGAGATGAGAAGAGGGTGGCTAGTTGTGTGGGGGAGAGGGAGGTTGAGCAGACTTTGTTGAAGGATGATGGTGCGGGGGTGGGGATTTTGAGGGGGATTTTGAGTGGGGAGGCGTTGGATGATTGAGTTGTTTGATGTGTTTGGGGTATTATGGGAAGAGTGTGTGTGAACGATTTGAACGAGTTGGACTTTGATGATTGGGTTGTCTTGCGTTGTTGGAGAAGGAAGCACTGGAAAAGCATTTGTATAAAGGGGCATGGCATGGCATGGCGTGTTTGAAAGCATTCAAAATATATCATAGGGAGGGTGGTGTTTGGATTCATTGTAACCCAGGATAAAGGGTCGGTTGGTGTTTTGGCGTTTGGGCTTTTGTTTACCTGTTTAGTTGTTTACTTGAAAGACAAAAAGGGGGAAAGAGAGAGAGTAATGATCAGGCTGGCATCAGTATACACTACATAGAACTGCCGTCGTAAATAGACACGCAAAACAGAAGATGATTCACAAACACCATCTCCTTCCTCCCTTTTTGATATGTTTCGTTCTAAGCCTCACCTGCCCTTCACCTGCTATTAACTTTCCACCTCCTTTATCTTCTTTCCATCTGCATGTCTGTGTGCAGTGCCCATTGATATCTCATTGGGGCCAAGGTTCAAATTCATCAGTGTCGTCGGGTGTCTGTCCTAACCAGCGTGCCAGCATAGTACTAGCCGATCAACTCCGAACTCTTTGACCTAAAGTCGGCAAGTTCCCATATTCTGAGTTAGACTTGTCAGTTTCGGCCGGGCGGGCGGCCAACCGCGTCCTGAGTTCCCCGGCGGTGTAAGCGGTGTGTGTGTAGGTAAATGGCCTTCCGTTCCGAACGGAGCGAACGGAGCGAACGGAGGTAAGGTGGCGGGCATAGGGCACAGTGCCCGTCCGTGTCTTCGTTCTTCAAACGTGGGAATCTCCGTCCGGGCTGACTTTTGATTTTCGGTCCCGGATGTCGCTTCGATTCGGTTCGGTTTGTATAGACCTAGTATCAAAGTGATCATTACTCGCTAAGACCGTTAAGACCGACACACCCGAAACACCCAAACCCTCTCCCCGTTTTATTTTCATGAAATTGTGATTACAAACTAACTACAAAGACAGCAGCAATGGGAAACAGAAGAACCGCCAGCGCCTCTCCTCTTCTTCTTTCTTGTACAAATAGTATCATGTGTCTGATCTAAGTAAACATCCACACTGGCAAGATCATGCTAGCAAGGTACTGTAGACCGGCAAGCATATCCCCAATTTCTAGTTCCAATTCTTCGATATTCCCACATATGGCCATAGCAAAAAAAGCTATATCGAATCGACCATTTCGAGTATCGGCAGCTCTTATATGATGCCCAACATGTACCGCGTTCACTCCGTCATATCCAGTCCTTCTTCTTCTTCCCGTGGTCTGTACGTATGAGGTAGTACATGGCGGCGAATTCATCCAGTCATATGATTCTCGTCGTCTTCTCTCATCATCGCACCGAATCGAATGTTTCGAGGTCCAACGACCCCGTTACCGAATAATATCGGGAAACTCAGAGTGGCTCCGACGCAGGGTTAAACGCTTGCCGGGAGATGTGTTTGTCGGTCGCTTTGCAGGTGTCAGTAGCCAAAGTATGACTGCCGGACATCTTTAACCCTAGAGAGCCATTCTGAGTTTCCCGAGATTGTTCGGTAAGTCGTCATGTCAGAACTTCCTCTTTCCTTCCTATTCTGTATCCATTCCCCCTCCCCTATGATGTCCAAGGCTAACTAACCACCCTAATAATCATCATCATCCTCATTATTCTTACTATTCGCCCCCTCCTTTCTGATGGGAATCTTGATGCCCTGCGTCGCAAAACACTTGCTCAGCGCCGTGCTGTCGCACACTCCCGGGAACTTCTTGGCGCTAAACACCTGGAACGGCTCGCTGAAGACGGAGGCGAGGATCGGAGCCTTGGACTGGTTGATTCCCGTGCTGGAACCGGACGATCCCGAGGGAAGGGGGGTGGGGAGACCGACGTTTACGAAGGAGAATTGGAGCCTTTTTTTGGGGGGGTTTGTTAGCTTGCTTGGGCTCCGGATGGAAGAGAGTGAGTGAAGAGGGGATGGGATGGAAGCGTTAAGGTTAAGGGGGAATGGGATGGAAGGGAAGAGAATAAAAGGGGCAAAGGGATAAACGGGGCAAAGAAAGTACTACACACCTAAAAACACCCTCAGTCCTCACACTCAAATCCTGCATCACGAACCAAATTCCAATCTTATCGTTCGTGTCCGTCAGCCGGAAGGCGCTGCATACCAAGCTTCCGATCAGGTTCCTCGTGAACATGCCCTGGGGCTGCTGTCCGCCCTGGCCACCAACACTGCTGACCGACATTCTTTGCTGCAGAGGTCCGCCTACACCACCGGGCATGCCACCAACACCGCCTCCATACTGAGCTCCAGGGTGATCGTAAGGACCTCGCGGGGCGCCGTATGGCCCGGGTTGGGGCGGAAGTGGTTGGTTGTATTGGTAGTGCGAGGGGGCGGGGGCGCCGTAGGGGTTTCCGTTTACGAAGCCGGCTGTTTTCATTGTCAGCATTTACTGTATAACATGACGAATTAGGGGCAGCATACCCTGGTAAGGACTCGTCTGCATATCATACGGATTCATGCCCGGGTTCCCTTGATACGGCATCCCTTGATGATGCCCATAGCCCACATCTCGATTCGACGGCAGAATATGCGAATAGGCGGGCGTCGTTTGCTCGAGGGAGGCGTACGAAGCTGGGGTGGTGGAAGAGATGGAGGGCGTTGAAGTCGTGTGTCGGACGAGGTTTACTTCCTTCAGGGCGTCTTCTGTGTATAGGCTGACGTTGCAGATGAACATGGAGTATTCGATTTCACTGTAACATCCTTGTCAGCCATCATCAGCTCTAGAGAGTTAGGGGGGTATTGTTTTGAGTGGTTACTGACTTGCAATCAATCTCTTTCCCAGTTTTCGCATCTCTGATAACCAGTTTAACACAGGGAGGGGGTGTGATAGGTCTTCGATCCTGTTATTCCATGTCATATGTAAGCCACCGATCGAACTGTTTGTTTTCTAGAGCGAAACACAACGTAACAGGCTACATTGGTTGGAGGACCGAATGTGCCAATGTGCGATGTGCCAGCCAGCAGCAGCAGCCAGACATAAGCAAGCCCATACCTTATCACCAAAACCACACATTCGCGCACGTTGTGGTTGTTGCACAACTTCAAGCCTATAGTATGGGATGAAACCGGGTTAGCCCTGTTGTCTTTCTTGACTCTGTCTCTTGGCTCTCTCTCTGTCTCTGACACCGACGAGCGCAAACGGAAAGACGGCCGAAACCAAGGGTTGTAGGTCAAACTCACGAATACATCCTCCCCTGACTATCCGTCCCCGAGTACGGCTTCAAGTTTTGCTCCTGCTGCATCCTTTCCTCGGCCGTCAAGGGCGCTCGTTCTTGTAGCTGCTGCTGGGATGGCGGGGTCGCTTGTAATTGGCCGCCGTGGCTGCTTCCATCACCGTGACTGGAACCACCGGGGCCGGGGGCAGGAGGAGGAGCCGAAGACCCGGAGCCGGACATGGTGGGATCTTGGTATGGGTTTGTATGGGGCGGTGGTGGCGCGTTGGGAGGGGCCATGGAAGGGAACTGGTGTTGCTGCAGTTGGTGATGACGCGGGGGGTATGGAGACGCGTGAGGATTGTGGTGATGAGGATCGTGGTGATAGCTGTGGTCGGGCGGCAGCTGGTGCGGCAGGTTTGAAGAATACGGTTGCATCTTTTGTCTGTTCCCTTCTGTTCTCTGTTTCTAATCTGGCTGTATTCTTGTTGCTGGGTCGGTAGGTAGGTAGGTAGGTATGCCGGCGCGCAATTGATGCCCTGGAAGCTGGAGCGGACTCGAGTCCGGTTCTAGGAACTAAAAGTCGGAGGGGTCTTTTCTTCTTTATTTCTGGATCCAATCCAAAGAAAGCTGAACCACGGTTGATATTTCTGTGGGCGAAGTGGAAGTGGGCGTACAAGAGCTTTTGTTATTTTCTTCCAAACAACTGACGACAGCTCTTGGGGAAAGGTCGAGGTACAAGATGTTGTAGCTTGTCAGGAAGTTCAGGAACCCTTGAACTGGAGCTGTCGCGGTACCTCTCTGTTGGGTTGGAGATGGGTTTTTGTGGAGAGCCGCGAGTGGTGGATGAGGGGCGGGTTCGGTCAGTGGCACCGAAGGAGCGGCAGCAGCGTGGGGCACGTTTGGGATTTTTGGGGCTCTCCAGGTCCTGGGTGAGTTGGGGCTCTCTTCCAGGCTGACGGGAGTCGGGAACCTGAATGCAGTGACGGGAGGGGGGACCGAGGGGATGGCAAGCTGACGAGTCACCAAAGTGTCAGGCCAACTTATAGTGAGATGACTTATAGTGATATGATGATGACGAAGGCGATTGGGTCGGGACCGAGAAAGTTGAAAGGCAGAAATTGTCGAGTTTGTTCAAGGAGGTTTCAAGTTGAAAGTAAAGAGAGGATGAAGGGATGTGTTATTTGCGCCAGCGATTGTGCCTTGACCTCCATGTATTCCTGGGTTGAGTGAGGTTGCTTTGAAGTATGAGAAAACAAGAGAGACTTTCGCTCTTCAATGCCCTTGCCCACCCTTGAACCCCCCCACGAGGCCGTGTTGTGTGTCTGTGTGTTGACTGATGTGCTCGAGATTGAGATTGACTTGGGTGAGGCGTGTGAACTGTGAGGACTGAAGTGAGGTTGTTTCCAGAATGGTGGTCGTCCGGGGTCTCTTAGTGGTGCGGTAACGTAAGGTTCACGAGTGTACAGCAAAGGTACAGCTACGAAACCCTCGAAACCGCCCAATGAGAGGGTCGATGCTGAACTGAAGAGCGACCCCAAAACAGCTGTAAGAAGAGCTCCACACGCACCACTACGCGGGCCTGCACCGTCCATGCAATTTAAGTCTCCGACACGCAACCCCTGGTTCTACCTGGTAACCTGTAGACCTGCTTGGCGTTTGTGCAGCTGTTGAACACAGGCATTTAAGCTCTCTAGGGAGGAAGGGATACCGCTGCCTGTCCGTTTTATATCTCGCTGTTGTGCCAGGTTCTGCAAGACATAAAGTCTACCTCTAGTCTGACGTTGTAGCGGTTTGGGTACCTACCTAGACGACGGGAAATCGAATGTTGACAAGCAGTCAAGTCCGCTGCCGGGCTGCTGGCTACTGCCGTCGGGTAGTACTGTGCAAATGCCCGTCAGACGGGAGTCCAGGGGCATCTTAGCTCATCAGCCGCAGAGTCCTTGGGAGTTGGGACTGAGGGTGCTAAGCTGATGGGGGTAACAGCTCATGGACACTTCACTTTCTGTTCATGTTTTCGTCGGTATTTTGTTGTCGGTCTGGATGAGTTGTGAAATAGGGTGGAAATTGGAAAGGTTGATGTCAGTGCCATTTGAGGTGGTACCACAGACATTCCAGGTTGAGTTTGTTCCCAATTTCAGGTCAAGTTCGAGAGATATCAGCGCTTGTTAGTTCTTGGAAATGCAATGGCCTGTCAGCCTCATCCAGGACCACCCCCGCTCTCATCGTAGTATCGATTGCTGAAGGCGGGACGTCAAAGCTATGAGCCCGCTGGAACGGGAAGCCGAGATGTGCTGATGCGAGTATTCAGCTGCTATATCGTGGTAGCTTGTGCGGGTCACTGAATAAAAAATGATCTATATAGCGCTATTATTGTGGTATATCTCCCAAGCCTATAGCTCGTTTGCGCTCGTAACGAATACGGTTAGCGCTCAAAACGGCCACTAGGCCCCCGGAGTATCATGATGATGGCCCATTATGGCGACCCCAAGGCAAGGAGCCTTGTTGAGTATCAGGCGACGGACGTTGTAGCAACATGCTCACGGACACTTGCGAGAAATCAACCATCTTGGCCGCGGGTGTAATGAAGAAAAGCAACGCTCAGTAGCATGTGGTGGTGCAGTGTAAGGTATGACCTGAACGGGTTGCATAGAGAGGTAGCTATTCCTTCATTCGGTACCTGGGATCGCGACTGTCACCTCACGTTTGTAGCGGCGCTTCATCTGTCGTGCACGAGCTGTGACCGGGGAGTAGAAGAAAACAGCCATTTCGGATTCCAGGTTGTCCTGTTTTGTGCTATGGTAGCAGTGAAGAGCCAGCAACCGGACAAGGAGTGGGTAGTGTGCGTGAGACGGGATTCAGACGGGATACCTCGCCGGACTGCCCTACCACCCAGAGAAAGCGTACAGCAGAATGTTACAATCGCACAACTTACATCCTCGTCAGGCCGTTACCGGGCGTCCATCAGCAATAACAAGCCGTCCTCAACCGCTGAGATGGGATACCAGCAGTGGAAGGTCGTTTGCAGATTTCGCTGTGATAAGCTCAGTGTTGATGGAGAGATCAGTGCATATGTAGACAGGCGGCCGCCATCATGCCCGGGCGTTAGCCGCGACCTCGTCTTCACTTGCCTGCTGTAGGCATAAATATCGACGTAACGGTCGGCAAGACCTACCTTTCCTGTCCCGTGCCCCGCCTTGCCCTTGTGGTGGTATCAGGTGTAGAGTTACCAAGTTCGGCTCACGATGTTTCCGCTCCGAGCTCTTCACAAACCCTGTGCATGTGTTGCCCTTCTAATCCACCGAAAGCGAAGACGGGTGTGCGGCGGTTGTAGACACCAAAATTGGAGGCTGAAATGGTCCAGACTTTGGTGTGTGATACGAGTCCATAGCTTGGTTTGTCGTGCCGGCGGGTGGTGTTGTAATTAACAACCAAGGTCATCAAAGCCTCTAGATGACCTTGATCGCTGGTCACCACTTTGCGTCTGTGGCCCGATCGGTGAGCATACATCTCCATCGGGACGGACAGGCAGTCACAAGGTGGTGTAGGGTCTGATGGCAATCAAGTCCCGCTCGGTTTCCCTTGGCCAGCCCACACCCACACGCTGGTTGACAGCGGAGGCAGGTCCTGATTCCCCAACAAGTCCTTCGACAATCAACCAGTCTCGACGTTTTCCGCCACACCTGTTAACCGAGTCGCCAGAGAGGGGAGCGGATCCGTACCGTACGCGGCAACTTCCCGTGCGGCGGAAGCCGCGTCTGCAACGAGTCGGACAGCGTGGTCGGAGAGGGCATACCGTTTCCGCGGGAGAGGCACAGATGTTATCGAGTTGTCAGAATCCCACCGCATTGCAGTGTTGTCTCAACTGCAAGTCTCCGCTTCTGTGCCTCGTCAGCAAGAGTGAGAGTGTATAGGTAGGATGGAGGAGAGTGAGAAGGCCCAAACTCAACAACCAACTGGCCATCTCGACGATGATCCTTGCTGGAGGAGGCTATATGTCGAGCCACGACTTATACTGAGTTTTCGCAAAGAATGTCCAATCGGGGAATGGAATTCGTCTGCAGGCGCGCTCCTTCGTCCACACACACTCCCTTGCCACGAGCATTGCGTCTCGTGGGTCTGACTGACACCCCGAGATAGGTGATGGTTAGATATTCAGGGCCTTGCTTGCGAAGGCAACGTTGGAAGAAGGCATGGCGATTGACGTTTCCACGTGAGAAAGAGGTTTAATGAGCCGCAGCGGTGATGCCACGATCCGATTAATGAAGGGTGAAGTGACTGGAAATAGAACAAGTTGAACAGTAGCACCCGGCTGTATGTTTAGGTGGTAAGGTAGAAGATCCACTTTGTGAGCTGGGTGGGGTTGCTCTTCAGGCTAAGCATTTAGGGTGCGCACAGACGTTATCAATTGGGAAACGGGAGATGCAGCTCTGCCGCGAGGTTCCTTCCCGAATGTTTGATCTTGTTCAAATCCGACTGGAAATCACAAACTGGGACAGTTTGATTCCGAGAAGGGACGATCAAGGGACTGGCGGACTTGCCTCGGAGCTCTTTTGGATCTTTGAAAATCCTTTTTTCGTCAACGCTCAATCGAGTGTCTCCGGCAGACCTTGACAACCTCGAATTCTGCTTCCCCCACAAACCGACTATACTCTTCTTGAATTTGAGTTTTCAACCAGGCCTCCATCACTTTTTGCTAGGATCCAACGTCACCACCATAACCGTCCAGCATGACAGAAGGGCGCCTCATGCGACGAACCGAGACCGTGCGCATAAAAACGTGCGCGGGTGATAATGGCACCTGATCATCTTCAAAGAATATTCGATGGTCCTTCTCTCTGAGTTTGGGACATGTTTATTTGTTTCAGTCTGGGCCATTCCATGACTCCCGTCTCCCTTTTTGTTTCTTTGCTAGGCTTGGCAGAATGCTTGAGGAAGGCTTTCAGACGTTCTACATCCGTGCGCATTCATGCGTAGGTCGTCGATGAAACAGCTTATCAAAAACAACGACATTGACTGAGAGTCCAAAGTCATCTTAACTCGGCAAAAGAGTATGGACCATCAAGAGCCATCCGAACTAAAGGCATGGGAACAAGACAGGGCATTATTCCTGCGAGCCCACCTCAGGTTGCTACTACTACTCTGTCGTCTTGCAACCGATGAGTGTTTGTTCCCCTGAGTTGTATACTGTGTGGTGCAACTCCACCACTCACTCCCATTATTTTCATCAAGATGGACTGTGAAGGCTGACTTCCGATTCTGCAGCCTACCGCTTTCGGATACGATTTCAAGCATCAACACTAACGACCTCGTCATCTGCCTGTACTGGTACATCCCGCAGGGGTAGATGCCAGATTGTCCTCCACAATCTTCGAGCCGAAGGTTGAGACCTTGTCATGCCATGATCACAACCACAAGACGGCATGGACGGGAAGTTCAGTAACCGTCCGGAAATGGGACTTTCCCACCCCGTACTTTCGTCAAGGCGATCCTAAGATCTTGCTCAGAGGCGAGGTTACTCTGGTTCCAACGCAAGTGCTCTCTGCAATAAGGCACCCTGGCTTCAATGGGTGAACGACCACCTCGAGAGATCAGACCTAGGCATATGGCATCGAAGAATGTTTGCATAAACCACCTTGTCAGCGTTACCCCCAAGTGGACACACGGGCAGGCCAGAAGCACTGGCAGAGGTGCGGGGGCTGGGATGCCTGGCGGTTATCGAGAGGCATGAGCTCATGGATTCTCGTCATCACCATCCCGCTGTTGCTTCTGATCATATCTGCAGTCACGACCTCAACCGTTCAGCAATGGAACACCCGAGAGGGGCATGGATTCATGACGTACCGGATATGGGGCCGTCACCAAGGCCCAGCATCGGTACCGATATGATGCTCATATGGATAACGATGACTAGAGAAGCACCGCTGCCCAATGGTCCGCTCTCGCCTCGCCATGGCCACCAACGGACCAGGTGATCCACTCCATTCTGCTTGGAGATTGGACATGCCATGCGATGTGCTTCCCCAGAACGGTAGGACATTGCGAAGGATGGACGGTCGTTCCTCGTGGACCAGGCTATATGTGACTGCGATATGGGGTACCAGAACCTACTCGAAGTGACTACATCTCCAGGACTGATGGGCGTGGGAGAGGCCTAGTGCTCACCAAGGAAGACAGATCACTAAGCGGCAGTGTCTCGGATAACATCACACCCTCATACAGAAGCACGAGCTTATCCCAGAAGCCAATGAGCTACAGACCTCGCCATTCTTTGCTCGGAGATTCGGGGAGAAGGAAGCAGCACCCAGAGATGGAGACACTCGGGGTGTCTTGCTCATGTGGGGACTTTGGCAGACACTGCAGACGTAACAATGAATGGCCGCACCACGATGATGGTTGAACTTGGCCAGTGATTGTCACTCTGTGGATGCTGGTCGTTAATGATCATCACTCTCGTCCGTGGTACACACGTTATTTGGTTGTAAGCACTTTCCTTGATCGAGACATGAACAGTAGCTCAGCAAGGTACTCGCTAATGAAGGCTACGCCCGTCCCGTTTCCGGCTTTCCGTCCTTTCCCTTTGAACTGACATTACTAACTTCAGACAGACACAGGTTTAGGCAGCACTGTGGTAACCATCACCCGTTTCCACTAATCCGCCTCCTCAGTTGTCCGCCTGAAGGTTGATCGTAACGGCTGAGTGTCAATCTCTGTCCGAGTAACTGTTGTGGTAGCAGAGGCGACAAAAATAAAAATGGACAAAAAAGAAAACAAAATTCACAGTAGCAGGGCACTACTATTATCCTCGGGAACAAGCGGATCACGTGTCGACATCCGAAATCCCCAGCCTTGCGCGAAAGAAATCGTGACGTGCATCCGAGTCGAACGCGGGACCTCTTTGTGGACCGGGAGGTACGGCACACTGAAGAGACCCTCAATGAGACCAGTTGAGCTACTGCCTGGTCCCGAGGAGATCCTGCCAACTCGGCCTGGATCGGCCGCTTATTAAGGGCAAGCGCGGCGGCCCAGGTGGTCCAGATTTCGTCCGATGGTGTTTGCACTCCGTGAAGGAAGGCACGGGGTGGACTGTGCGGTAGGGTGGGACGGTCTCAGAGGCAGCTATAAAGAACGTCAGTGACGGACTTCAAGATTCACCAAGTGGGCGGGCAAGGGAACCACCAGTCATCCTAACTCTTACCTCCCGTCTATATTCTTTATCATTAGAGCTGTAAGAAGCCTCCTAAGCATGCTTGCCGTCGTCATCTGGTCCCTCTTCGACCTTGATATTCTCCTCACAAGCACAATGACCATCATCATCATCATCATCATCATCATCATCATCATCATCAAAATATACCTCTACACCAGCATCACAACCCTCCTCCGAGTCATAAACCGACACATCCCCCAAAATAACCACCTCCATCCACCCCTGCCCCTGCTTGATAGGCTTCTCCAGTCGATCAATATCCTCCTCCTCCTCCTATTCATTCTCTCCGCCCTTGTTTTTGTCTGGAGAACCGACCGCAGAACCGATGTGAAACCCCCTAGAGGTATTCACCAAACACAACCGAAACCCGTTTTGCTGAGGGACCGTGTCTGCCGGTCTGGTTGGTACACAAAGAACAGCATAGACCAGAGGGCAGCGCTTTTTTTTTTTGGGAAATCGGGTCGCGGTCTCCGTGGTTCCCTACGGTGGAAGATATGGTGCCGGACGGAGCTGGGGTGGTAGTGGTATGAGATTTCGGAGAGGGGACTGCCGAGTGCCGAGGGCGAGGTGGTGGAGGATGAAGGATGGAGGAGGGGAGGGGGTGGGAGACTTGGTGGTGGTGATGGGGTGGAAGGTCATTGTGTTTTTGGTGCTGATGGTGGAAGAGTTTGATGGGGTTGAGGTGGTGAGGTGGTGAGGTGCTAGGTAAGGTATTTTTGACGGTTGAGAGGTTGAGGGTCAGCGATCACTCCCGCTTTTCTGGATGGACGCGACAGTAGCGCTTAATCCCGTGAGTTCAAGTGAATCGGGATTCTGAATCTATTCATGCGAGGACTGTGTTACTTATCGAAAGCCAAGTGGTTATCTTGTGTAAAGAGTTGGAAGACTAGTGTATATGCGAGGAGTCATCGGTCAGAGGAGAGATGCCAAGTCTAGAGGCCTCTCTAATGTTTGAGTAATTGAGAATGACTGGAATATTATGTAGGATGAGGTTCAAGAGACAGAGAAGTAGTCTAAGGATTTCTCGCAATCTGTAAAGGAGCCGAACATCAAAATACGGGAGCAAAAGAGACAAGATGGAACAAATATTGGATACACCCGCTCCGTTTCGCTTCCTGGCTTCCGCTTCCTGGACTTGTTACGACTTACGTCCGCAAATCCACTCTTCCATGAGATATTTACATACCTAACTAAGACTGCATTGCACATCTTTGCATCTTCCATAGAGGTACATACCCCTTCTTCCCCTATTCTTTCACCGTAACGACAGGTCAACAAATCCCTCCCCCCTTCCTACCTACCTACCTCTACTCCATCCACCTCGTCCCCCATTCCAGGTTCCAGGTTCCAGGTTTCCATTTCTTTCTTTGCTCTCCTGATGCTTATCGATACCTACCTACCTACCTACCTTTTTCCGTTCCATTTCCTTTTTTTTATTTTATTTTTTTTACCTACCTCCCAACGTTTGATTTTCCTCTTTCTTCTTTTTTTTTTCCTTTTTTTTTTTTCTTTTTTTTCTCTGACGCTCTTACAGTACCTCTACTGTGAAATTCTTCTTCTTCTTCATCTTGCACCCCTTAACATCTGATGTACTCACTTCAATTTATGGACATAACGTAGGTAGTTGATACTAACATCTCTTTTTTTTTTTTTTTTTTTCTCCCAGAGGTTTTCCAGAGGTCTCTTTTCCCAGAGGAGCTACGTAAACGTGCTAGGTACGGTAGGTAAGTAGGTAGGTAGGTAGGTAGGTAGGTAGGATAAGAGCAAAAAAATTTTTTTGAGCATAACTACCTCTAGGCTAGGGTACATAGTTTGATCATCACTAGGTACTAAGGTACCTACCGTATGTACTATGTAAGTCTGATATGCCCGACGGACGGCTGTAAGGAAAACTTGTGGGCGGAAACTTGTGGGCTTGCGGGCGGACGCCGGACGGAGCGGACGGACGCCGGACGGAGATGCCAGGTGAGAAAGGGTAAATAGAGGTAAGTACCTAAGGTAGGTAGCTAGTTTATTTCTCCTCCCGTCTTCCGTCTTTCGCGTAGGTTGGTTGCTACCTAGCTATCTGCCCCTTTCCTCCTGTACACATTCATGGACATGGACGAGAATACCTACTTCTCTCCTTACCTACCCGACCTTTACTTTCCCACTGCTACTGCTACTGCTACTGCTGACAGCCCCCTAGAATAAGTGATCTTTCCTCTGTTTGCGACTCTCGCCTAGTACCTACACTACTAGGTAACTACGGCTTATTCCGAGCCCTTCATCCCTCCTTGCCCCTGCCCCGGTCCCCCTCTTCGTACCGGTAACGCTTGCGATGAACTTGATTGTTGTTGCTGCTGTTGTTGTTGCTGCTGTTGTTGTTGCTGTTGTTGATGTTGATGCTGTGTCTGTGTTGAAGGCATGGTAGGAACCGGCACGCCGTCCACGAAAGAAATCACCGGCTCGGCGAAGGCTTGGAAAGAAGGTTGGCCTGTTTCGGGGTGGGTGGGGAAGAGGGATTCTATTAGGTTCTGCGTAGCGTTGTCAGTACTCTCGTTTTGTTTGAGTGGGATTGATGGATGGATATGGAGATGAGGGATCCGAAAATTGGGTGATTGATTGTATGTGTGGGTGTGTGCTGAAAGGGAAGGGATGGGACGGGGAAGTGTGACTGGCAGGCAGGCAGTGTGAGGATATGGAAGAGAAAGAAAAAAAAACATGGGAAAGGAACAGGTGAGTGAATGAATGGAAGAGACGAAAGAAGAACTGAACTGAAGAAAACATACCCAATCAACATTCATCCCACCACCTATCGTCCCTCTTCCACCTCCTCCCCCAGCACTTCCTCCCGCGCCCCCTTCTCCCGCACCGCTTCCATTTCCCTGCCCTGACACATCCCCTCCTCCTCCTCCTCTTGTCCCCCCTGATCCCCCTGATCCCGCACCACCACCTCCAACCCCAGCAATACTCCCACTCCTCCCCCCTTGCCCCCCTTGCCCCCCTCCTCCATGCCCCCCTCCACCACCTCCATGAGCATGATTAACTACACTCCCCCCATCACTACTATTCTCCGGACTCCCCGGATTTCCCGGCGGCAAACCCCAGAGTACTGCGCCGTCTGATACTCCCGCGTAAACCATGTTCGGTGGTGGCATGTTGGAGTGCCAGTGGTGTTGGTGGGTCCATTGATGTTGCTGTTGATGGTGTTGTTGTTGATGTTGCTGCTGATGAGGATGCTGATGAGGATGCTGACCGGGCTGTTGGTGTTGTTGCTGCTGTTGCTGGTGCTGCGCGTGTTGAGACTGGTGAGGGTGTTGTTGCTGGTGAGGATGTTGAGCGGCTTGGGCGTGGATATGTTGTGAGTGAGCTTGGTGTTGCTGTTGGAGGAGGAGCAACTGTTGTTGTTGCTGATGGTGGTGGTGGTGTTCAGCGGGAGAGAGGGAGGCGTTCATGGAGGGTGGAAGGGAGAGTGTGTTTATTGATGCCATTGCGGCAGCGGCGGACATGGACATTGAGGAGGATGGAGGCATGGTGGGTGTTTGGAGACCTGGTTCTTGTTTGAGGACTAAGGGTTGTTGCTGTTGCTGTTGTTGGATCATCATTTGTTGTTGATGGTGATGCTGCTGGGCTTGAGCTTGCTGTTGAGCCTGAGCTTGTTGCTGAGCATGCTGCTGCTGCTGCTGCTGAACATGTTCACTATACGACTGCTGCGACGTCTGCATCATCGGCGTCGGCGGCGGAGGTGATTCCTTAATGGCCTGCTTGCCCGGCACCGCCCTGACCAAGTTCGTCGGGGCCCGCATCTTGCGCATGCTCGTGTACACGCTCGTCTTGCTCATGATTTCCGTGAGGATCCTCAAGCTCTTCTCCTGTCTCGGCATCTCGCGCTCGAGCTGGAAGACCCAATCCAGACACGCCCAGATGCGATCTGCTTTGCTGTTGTTGGGGCGGTAGTAGATTTCCGTTGCAAGCAAAAGGGCGATTTGGTATTGCTGGTAGGCACCCAGGTACCATGCCCAGTCGCGGAACTCAGGGGTGGTTTCGAGGGCGATGGAGTGCTCGATGATCAAGATGCCGCTTTCTACTAGGAGCCCGTTCAAGCGTTCGGGTAAAGGGTGGGCGGTGTTGCTGTGGTACGGGTGCAACACCATGGCGTGTAGTCGGTAGATGAGCAGGTTCATGACGTATCTGGCGTATCGTTGGATGGGAACCCGGTCGTCTAACAACGGTGCATACTTTTCTACCATGCGCTTGCGGAAGTTTTCGATTTTGGCGATGACGGGGGTGAGTTCCATCTTGCGGGCCTCGAGCTTGCGGCGGTCGGACCATATGATGCGCATCATTTCGTTGACTTCGAAGCGCATGATGGTTAGCAGGGAAGAGGTCCATTGGTGGTCTTGTGGGACTACGGGGTAGCCGGGATGGTTGACGAAGGCGTCTTCTTCGCAGTTCAGGGGGAGGCGAGTGTCATAATCATCTCGTCGGATGGTGGGCTTGGGACCTTGGGCTTCGCAGGTCCGGATGTCGAGGAAGCAGAGCTGGTGCCAGATGAGTCTGCGGACGTGGGTTTCCAAGGGGTTGAGACCAAAGGCTTCGCCGTCCCGGTGGAGGCCCATGCATTCGGCCATGCGGACGGCGGCGCCGACGAGGACGGAGTGAGCCCGGGAGACTTCTTCTCTGCAGAGGGGGATCTGAACGTCGTTAGCCTGCTTGTTACCCCCATTTTTTTTTCAGGACAACACTCACCATGTACATGACAAAAGCCTGCAGTGTCTCGACCTTGGTCGTCCTCAAAAAGTTGGCCCTCGCCAGCGCGCTCTCCGTCCCAATCTTCATCTTCTCCAGCAACTGCGTCTTGTACCACCCAAATTCCCTCTGCACCTCCTCCTCCTCCATACTCACACAGGCACTGAACCAGGCAGCAAACACCACCGCCTGCACCGACGCCCTCGGCTCGATGTTGTTGAGCACCTCTAGCCAGAACCCGTCGTACAGGGTTTCAAAGGACTGCTTGTGGACACATCGAGCAATGGGGTGCACGGCGGAGAAGTATCGAGCCACGAGCCCGTCACCGATGAACTTGTCCGGCAAGAAGTGGATGAGCGAAGGGGGGTGGCCAGTTTGACCAAAGAAGAAGCCGCTGGTAGGAGGAATGTATGCCGCGCTAGGACGGAGGAAGTCCGGGACGTGTTCGGTTACGTTTCCGTCTTGGTCGATTACGGTGTGGTATCCATCGTAGTTCATGTCCGTGTCCACCTGCTGCTGCACTCCGTTAGGGTTGTTGGGGGCGGACGCGTTCTCCATGCGAGGACTTCCAATGCCGACTTGGATCTGTCATCATCATCACTCACACATTAGCATCTTTCTTTGCCCCTTTTCAAAGCAAAACATCGGACTTCAAAAACTCACCTCCTCAGCCAACCTAGGCCTACTCATCCCCCCAATCCTCTCCGTAATCCTCATCTTGCCCACCTGTATCCCCAAATCAATCACATCGTCCGTCTCATTCTCATCATACGCCACATCGTTCGTCACCAGCGGCGTAATCTCCAGATCTTCTTCTCCTTCTTCATGTTCCCCATCCACATCCGGGCCCCCTTCTCCATCCTCATCTTCATCCCCATCATCTCCCCCCTTTTCCCAACTAATAGACACACAACTCCCCCTCCTCATACCCACCATCCCCATTCCCATCCCCATTCCACCACCCAGTCCCATGCCCATTCCAGTCCCCATCCCCCTGTGTCCGGAAGAGGAAGAAGCAGCGCCCTTAGCAACATCCCTCTCCAACGCCCGCTCCAAAGATCCCACCTGCTCTTTGATCTCCGTCAACCGCATCTGCGACGCCTCGTCCAGCTTCGGACCCAGGTACAGGCATTCGCGATTGAACTTTTGGCAGTTGACGCACGGCTTGCACTTGTTGCATTTGAGCTTGCGCCGACGACATTCGAGGCAGGAGGTTATCATGCGCATGCGGCGGCGGATGGGTTTTTGCCCGGTGCCGGTGTGGGAGGAGTGAGGGGAGTGGGCGTGGGCGTGGGCGTGGGTGTGGGTGTGGGTGTGACTGTGACTGTGGGGGGATTGTACTAGGTTGGTGAGGTTGGTGAGGTTGGTGAGACTGGACATGGGCATGGGCATGGACATGTTGGGTAGAGGGAGGTTTGTAGGGAAATTGGCAGTGGACATGGTGGTGAGGCTGGGCATGCCGGACATGCTGGCCATGGAGGTGATGTGGCTGGAGGAGGTGATGGGCTGTTGTTGTTGTTGTTGTTGTTGTTGCTGTTGTTGTTGTTGTTGTTGTTGCTGTTGTTGTTGTTGTTGTTGTTGTTGTTGTTGTTGTTGTTGTTGTTGTTGTTGTTGTTGGATGCTGCCGGAACTGCTGCCCATTCCGGATCCGATGCCGCCTAGTAGCCCGTTCATTGCTCCGCCTCCGCCTCCTCCGAGCATTCCCATGTCGAGCCCCATGCTGCTTGGTCCTGGTCCGTAGAGGTTGTTGCTGTTGGGGTCAATACTTCGTGGAGTGGACATCGGTGTTGCCATCTGGTCGTCGTCTAGCGTGGCGGTGGTTATTGACGATGCGACACTTGCTCGTCGGAAGGTATTCTGTTGCTGTGCGTTCGAAGGTGGGAGAGAGGACATACCGCCCATTACTGTTGATGACATGCTCACGGCGGGAGGTATGGTTGTCGGAAATGCTTGTTGCTGCTGGCCAGCAGCTGACGATGAGGAAACGGTATGTTGTTGATGTTGATGCTGGGTATGCTGCGCCCCTGTAGTCTGCGATGACATTGACACCGACACCGCAGTCATCGATCGAGGATGAGTAGTATGAGGCTGTCGATTACTGTGATTGCTTGTTGTGTTCATGATACTCGTCGGTATGCCGTTCGTTGTAGCCACTCTTATCTTCGGTCGTCTTTCTTTGTTCGCCCCCCTAATTTCAGGCAGAAGTATCCCTGGTACAATGGTATCGTGAAGTCACGTTACCGGTGGGGAGTTTGCTTTCTTTCGTTGTTTGTTTAAGGCGGCTCTTATGCGAAAGAATTATCGAGTGGCTTCATTGTTTGTCCCCCAAGGGGCGGGCTGTTTGGGCGTAAGCGGCTCGGACTCGAAGGGATTTCGGAGATCCCCTGTCCCTAATCCTGATCTGGGCCGCGCAGCGGTTTGTGTCGATTTTCTGCCTGCAGAATCGATCTCAACTTCAACGGCTACTCTGCTTTTATTCGAAAGTTTGCGACGATCCTGGTAAATAAAGGAGGTCGAGCGGGTGATGCCGGACCCTGAAAGAGGTAGAGGCATCGGTTTTCCGTTCGAGTTAGTGGTGAGATGCAAGCTGAAGAAGAGAGAGAGATGTTTTGATCCAGGAGGGTTCTCAGTAACAAAGTGGATCGGAAGGCTGATACTACCTCTACTCTCGTGGTCCGTCTTGGTGGTGGTGGCGGTCGCTCAACCACGTGCAATGCTCTGTCTTGCTGAGAAGGACAATGAGGCGTTGTATCTTGGTAGTGCTACTTGCTCGGTACCGTCGGGATGGAGATTTCCGTCGTGAAGCTCATACGACTTCTTGGAATAGCAACGGGTCGGACGTGTTGTCGTATCCCTCAGCTCCCCGGGAAAGCGCTTTCCGTCACAAGAGAGAGACCAAAAGGCTAGATTCGGATAAAAACCTAAACTTAACAGACGGGTGTTGGTATGTCTGTGTCTGTTGGAGAGAACGGATCCTGTGCTCTCTCAAGACTATTGCGTCCTGTGTCCAGTCTGTGTGATGGTGCTCTCGCTAACTATATCGTTCGGTCTTGGAATTCAGCCGCTTTTTGGGTGGTTCATGTCCATCTGAGATGCCACCGACCGACCTTTGCGTGTGTGTGTGTGCCCGGAAGAGTACCGTACCGGAGGGTTAAAGCTGGAACTGGAACTTGAACTGGAACTGGGACCTGGGTGTGTGTGAGAGGAGGGGGAGGGAGGGGGGGAGGAGGGCACCGGGCACACGTTGTGCGAGGTGATGCTGCTTTCTTATTGTTGCCACACTCACTCACTTGTCTCTTCCCTGGCTTGTTCTGGTTGCGTTTTTGGAGGGGGGCTGGCGTCACGATAGGTCGTCAGTCGTCACGATAGTAGGCGCAGCAGCCACCACGACCACGCGAGATGATAAACCCTGACCACCGACCCCGAGCCGATGGGAAAGTATGGAGATTGCCGTTCCTTCTTTTAGCAGCAGCACCGCACGGGAAAGGGGAATGAAGGCTATTGGACTGTTCCTCTTGATTTTTCTTCCTCTGGAGACGGCACCCGGAACGCCAGCCGACATGCATTCAGGGGTTGGACCTAAAGTTTGTATGTACCGGGTCGGTTGCTGCTTGATCCCCAGATTGTCAGCTCCCGGGAACTGTTATTACCAGAGGATGCGTGATTTCGATAAGTGTATGTGAGGTAAAGAAGAGAGGGGCAGGTATGAAGGGTAGCTGCGGCTGGTTACCGAACCAAGACCAAGTCAAAGTCTCGGATCGTATTAGATGGGCAACAAGAACGAAAGAGAGAGGGGAAGAGAGAGAGGAGGACAGACAGATGGGTCGGTCAGACAGGCCAGACATGCACCACAGATTGGGGAACTGGGGGACTGGGTGAGCGATAATGCAGGAGCGAGTGAATAAGAGATCTCGGGGAGCAAGCTATCAGGAAGGATCCGAAGCTCTTTCAACGTTCTCGGTCGGTCAGCCAGCCTTTACTGAATTGCCCTCTTGGGTATTGAGCTCAAAGTACCTCACTTTCCCCCCCTTTTCCTTACATACGATGATACTCGCGTAGTCGGTGATAATCTCGGCGTGTCTGCCTACTCCAACAGTGATTGTTGACTGTTGGGTGGTAATGGTTCTTCATCACCGAAATGGATCTGCACGAGGAACTGGGAAAGTGCCTGTTCGATTTCCCCCTCCTTTCTTCCATAGCAATACTCACATGCCTCTTTTGGGTCTGCAGACGAACTCGGTGGTCCTATTTCTGAAGAAGCGAGTGTGAAGTCCTTCGGGGTATGCCCTTGCTGCGGCGGCCATATACCTTGATCAACGCATGGGACAATGGGTGATGGGGGTTTATGTGAGCTGCAGACGCAATAGCGCTTCACGCTCCCGCCCGACCGGACGGGATAGCACAGCAACTTTCTGAAAGCCTGGGGAGGAAAGCTTGGGGACAGAGAGCTAGGGGCAGAAGCTGCAGGCAAGCACCGGAACGTTGATCCCACGTTTCACAAAGAGTGGAGGAACTAAGCTGGAAGTACCTACTCTGTAGGAGTCAGGGTGCCGTGGTGATATCGCCATCTGTTGTTGCATGCTTCTTCGTTTATTAAAGATCCATTTCGGTGAAGTGACCTCGATCAGAGAACGCCATCCGATTTGGATCTTCAAGTGCTGGAGAGTTTATCTCTCGTCTCAAGGGCCCCGGGGGGCGTGACAGCCACAGCCTTTTTAGTGCTCAGTCACAGATCTTCCTCAGGCTGGGCCCATGCCCCCATGGCCCATGATCCCATGTGTCGTTTCGGATCACCACCACCACCAGGCAACCAACCGTAGCAATGGGAATATCTCGTCAAAAGATCCCCAGCCGGAGTGTATTGCTTCCCCTTCCACCCTTCTTATCCGGCACTCGGTTATTGTTGACTCCAAGCCCTTTAAGGAGTGGCAGCCCGTCTAAGTCGACGGCCCAGCGCCCACTCCACGCAGGAGGCGTTCGATCCGCCCCCTTCTTTACCATCATTTTTTTCAAGTCTGTGGCCAGACGACGGTGTGGGGGAGGAGGCTTGCCCGAGTCTAGATTCCCAAAAGAGCCACCGGCTGTGAAAACAGAACCATGCGCGAACGCCACTTTGCTGCTTGCTTGCTGACTGGGTCTCAAGTCGAAGACGGGGTGAAGAGGAGAGATCCACGATAACGACTAGGGCCTACGCCGAGCAAAGACTGTGTGGCGCCTGGGCATGGACGTGTATCGGCGTGTGTGCGCGAGAGCGTGGGCTGGCGGGCTGGCGGACAGAGAGCACAGAAGCACGATCGGGAGACTCCATGGAGGAGGAAGCCTATCGGACGTTCTGTTCATCTTTGTGTGACAGTTGCAAGTATTGAATGTTGCTGCAGGTCATCGCTGCCCCATCCATCTGTCTTGTCTGTCTTGCCTTTCTGTCCTCTGCCTCTTGCTCGCTTTGTCTGCCCCTGTCCTTGTTCATGTCTCTGAGTCTCATGTTTCGGTTGTTGATTTAGGTTTTGACTTGGGTTGTCTTCCTTTGGCTCACAATCTGCTGTTGAGTTTTGACCCCAAGGATAAGAATAGAGATGAACAATGTAGAGTTAGTCAACGGGTGTTTTTCTCTTTCGTTTCTTCTTAGTGTACTCTTCCAATTGCCGTTGAGTGACCTGAGAGTGTCCCAGCGGCCAGGCCAGACCAGATCGTTTGTTACTACTAACCGTGTCACCACCGTCTGGTTGAAGGTTCCTCCTTAAGCGCACGTTGTGGTCAAGCACACCCACCCACCCACCCATCTACCCACTTTGATCACCCACTCTCAAGAGCGAGCCTCAAGGTAGCAGCAGCAGCAGGAACTGAGCGGCAGGGGGGCAGGGGGGCAGGAAACCTAAGAAAATAAAGGGGTATTCAACCTGCATTCTATCGCTTACCATCCCGAAGGACGTCGGCTGACCTGACCAGGGCAGCAGGTACAAACATTCTCCGAACTTGACATCAAGTAGCCAACGAATCAGAGACTGGTTTGGCAGGGTAATGTCCGTGGTTTCCCATAGGCAGATAGATCGTCAACCGTTGAGATCTCTAACAGAAGAAGGCACGAATAACACGGAAACATGGAAACATGGCTGGTCGAGTTTCAAGCCCCAAGATGATGGGGAAACCGGGATTTTCCTCACGGCCCTTCAAACTCATGAAGATACTGGGGACATGGGGAGTAAAGCAGGTTACCGACATATCAGTCCCTCTCACCCCTTACTTTTTCCCTACCCTTTCTTCTTTCCTAAGTCTCAAGTTCACGCCCTTGCCTTTGGTATGGTTTGGTCGGGGCCCGACCACGGAAGCATCGTGGCGACCAACTTATTGCATATCTGCCGTGTAACCACGATTCGTCTCTGTGATACCATGGCACCATCCCCCAACATCCCAGCAGCGTTAAATGATCTTGGGTAGCTCTCGCTCGACGCAATCGCGGCGGTGGGGGAGTCAGTGCTCAGAGTCAGGGGAGCCCTTGTTGAGCCACTGCCGTTGAGATGTTGGACATTGGGTTTCGGAGAGCAAAGATGGGTGTGTATGCATAGAACCAGGATGTAAACAAATATTTTTCGAAGTTAAACGTATTGAGATTGAGTCATGTCCAGAAGAAGAAGTAAACGAGATGTGCACGCATGCTTGCTCCGGGTATATACGCCGCTCTCCACCTAATACGACACCTGCTTCAACTCCCTCCTCCTCCTAACCTGATAAGAATTCGGCTTATCCTGCTCATAAAGCTTGGTCCTCCAGTCCACCAACTTCTGCCTCGTCGCTCTCGCCACCTCCGGCCCATAATGCCTCTCCATACACTGAATGAAATACCTGAGCCTCGTCTCCCTACCCGGTCTGCCCATGACCAAGTCCTTCGTTACGACCTTGTAGAGAGCCATGAGGACGTCCGCACTTAGCCCTTGGTTCCATGGATTGGGCTGGTGGATAGGGTCGTTGGACTCGCTGTATCTGTCGCTGTTGGAGTCAAGCGTGTGCTGGACGGTGGACTGAATGTCCTGGTCAGTGAGACCGCCCATGCCGCGGGCGGCCTTGATGGCCTCAACCTCCTCCAGATAGCTGATGGACTGCTGCATCAACCGGTATTTCTGTCTGTCGGAGAGGTGCTCTACGTTTGCGAACAGGGGCGCGATCTGCGCAACGACTGTGGCGCGCTTGTCACCCAGGTTTCCATGGAGGCTCAGCCGCTTTTTTTGGTCCTCCAAGGAGACTCTACCGGGGTCGAATGCCTCTTGGAACCGGGGAATGTCGAGGACTTTCCAGATGGTGGATATTCTGATGCTGGGGTCGGCAATGATGGCCTTGGCATACTTTAGGTATACGTGAGTGCTGAACGGTTTCTGCTTGTCGCCGTCATCCATCTTGGGCGGCAATTTGGAATTCATCCTTTTTTCCAATTTTTCCCTGAACACGGGACCTATCGCTTTCTTTTTCCAGGCATAAGCTTCCCAAATGCGGCGCATCTTGAGAGCCACCTTGTGGTCGTCACAAAGATAGGCAAGATCTTCGAGAAGAGTGCGGTTAATAAAGCCTCTTCGTGCGAACTTCTTGAGGGCCCTGGGGAGGTGATGAACCCGGTTGAACGATCGGAGAATATGAAACATGCTGGTGAACAGAAGGGTATGATTTGTCGCTGGTTCGGACTCATATATGGCCATGGCAAGGCACGCGAGTTGGCTATTGTCGAGACCAACTTGGTATGCCTCATGCTTGTGTCTGTATATTCTGGCCGTAAGAAATCGTCTCCTTAGGCGATCTCGACTGGCCCAGTGAAAGAGCATCAGCGAGCACATATGAAAGTTGCCCAAGTGCTCGATGGTTTCAGGTACCGTCTTAAAGGCGTCAAGAGCATCGCAAAGTAATTGCGTGTTGACCCCGTCCATCTGGGCAAGCACAGAGAGCCAGTTGTGTACTACCGGACTCCCCATCCCCTCTGGACTGGAACCGAGTTGCAAGACGAGTTCGGTGGCTGCATCAAAAAGGATACTGTGCTTATGTGGGGAGACGGCTTCCAAGGCCGCAGAGACCCATCGAACATGTAAACTGTTTCTCTGAGGGTTCTCCCCTCTGGAACGTATGTTAAGCGCAAACAGTACGGAGTCGACGCAGCTGATTGACTTGGGATCTGGTGGAGGCCATTCCAGGTATAAATCTTGATTTTGGTCAATATCGACTTCCTCCGTGACATCTTCGTGAAATTTGACTTGGTCCAAATCATTATTGTCGAAATCGCTCTCGTCGATATCCTTTTCGTCAACGTTCGGCGTGGCTTTATCAGCCTCACTCAGTTGACCCCCGTCAGGGCCTTCCCCAAGATCTGTGGTTCCTGGCGGCTGAGCAGCCCATCCTGTGAGGATCCGTTCGAGGACTGTTAAAATGCCTTCCATACCCTTCTTGATACCGGGTTGGGATACGGTGCGCATTCCCCAGTAGAACAGGAAATACAGCTCGTTGCCGACTTCGAGTTTGGACATCCACTCGAAAAACTGACGCCAGAAGGCAGGTTCAACGGCGTCTGCGGTGAGAGTTTCGGAACTCCTGACGCCGTCAATAATGGCTTTAATGAACACGGCCAACTGTGCCTGCGTCATGTTGTACAGTGCCGCGTAATGGGTCTGCATCATCTCCTCGTCTTCGCCCCATCTCTCTTGTATGGTTCGGATCAGCTCATGCGAGATAGCCCTGAGTTCTATGGCTGATATCTCGCCAAGAGCGATATGTTGCTTGAGGTTGGCGCATATTCCACTGAACATTTCCGCAAAGATCGCTAGGGGTTCTGTAAATGCCGCATGTAGACGCTCTACGTCTTGTCGAAGACTTAGATACTGTGCTGACGGGTATTGTGGTTCCTCCTCCAATATTTCCTCTTCTGCCTCTTCTTCCGGAACGGCCTCTGGGCCCAAGGTTTCCAGCTCAATGTCCCTCTCCATGTTTTCTAATTCCTCTGGCATCGTTTGTCCCAGCGCTTCCGAAAATGACTGGAGGTCACCTCCTCTTGTCAGGGACCTTATGTCTATCTTCTCCGGATCTTGAAACCATGCTGGTAGTTGAACCGCCGAGGGATCGGTATCCTCTGGTCTTGTAGGCTCTGCTTCCTCCGGTGGTTCTAACGTTGACCATTGTTCCATAAAGGCCTCTGGGCTTATCCACTGATCTTTGGGCTTTTTATTCTTTGGGTCTATTTCTGATTCTGGAACTGAGGTAAAAAAGCCTGAATCGTCAAAGACGTCGGGTGCAGTTGTCGAATGGTTGGTGTTCGTCGAAGTCGCAGTCCCTAGGTCCACCGTCCATGAACTGTCGACTGCTCCATGTACGGACCCTTCTTCCAATGGGATATCCTGCCGGGCCGAGTGCTGTGTGTCCTCTTGGCCTTCTAGTTCGTCTTCTGCCGACCATTCCGGCTCATCTTCTGCCAACCATTCTGGTGTAATTATTTGATAATCGGAGTGCTCCAACGTATCTTGCGCTTTCGGGTCCCAAGTGAAATTACCGGTTTCGTCAAAGATGTCGGATGCGGTTGTCGAGTGACTGCTGTTCTCAGAGTTTGCAACTTCCACGCTTTCTTGTGAAGGCCAGCCTTCAAATGGTCTATCGTTTTGTGTCGAGTACTGTGTATCCTCGAAACTTTCTGCTTCCTCTTGCGCTGACCATGGTTCATCGAATGGGATATTATCCTGAGCCGAGTGCTGTGTATCCTCGAAGCTTTCTATTCCCTCCTCTATCGCGCATTGTTCTAGGAACTGTGGTGTTATCGGTTCGTTTTTTGACTGTCGCAAGTCTTGGTGCGCCGTCCAACCGGTTACGAAAAGGTCGGCGTTGTCGAAGGCGACATGTTGGGCCGAAGCTGAAGATGGCGGCTCCCATTTCCACTGACTCAGGTCAACTGGGTAAGGGAAGGCCCATGGTGGTGGAGTGGGCGGACATTGTAAGGCGTTGAGGTCTCCGAGGTTCCGTTTCCCCAGCCGGCGGCGGGCCTCGAGCGGACCGGGCACGCTCCCCACCGTCCTCCGTGTGGTCTGGACAAAACTGGCGAGATGTGGGAACTCGGCGGCGTCGCCGATCAAACACGGAGGGCCGGTCGGGAGTGGGCTTCGGGGGATGGACGGGATTCGCCGAGTTCGACTCAGCTGGAGCAGGCGGCAGCAGTGGGAAGTTTGTGGAGTCATATGGAGAGAGTGGGAGTGGACTCGGAGCGGAGGAGGAGGAGGAGACTCGACGGGGAGCTTGACTCGCGTTCACGGGCGGCGGAGGGGGCGATGGTTGGGGGATCCCAGCCTGGTGAGATCCATCGGAGGGGGGACGTGCTTGTTGATGTGGAAATGTTGTGTATAGCAATTAAAGAGATATCATGACAGAGAGACGGGAATTGGTGTTGAGAAGAACATGGCGAGACCAGAGAACAGCTTGGTTTCTAGAGAGTGTTCGCATTCGTGAGGGGGAATAGTGGATATCAACTTTTTAGTTTGACATTTCGGGCAGGCCCAGACACGAAGCTGTAGCGGGAGCTGTGCTGTCCCTCTGTCTGTGGCTGATGGTACCTGCATTCGTCTGAACTTTGGAGTACACAGGGGCAGCTGTGGCTTGCACTGGCCTACAATTTATCCTAAAGTCATAGGCCAGTAAATGGAGAAAGCGGGGGAAGGACTTCCAGTAGTGGAAGCTCGATTCTACCAGGGGTGCAATTGGCAGCAGATCGGACCCCGCAAACCGCCAAAAGAACCCCACTGAAATTCGGCCGAGCTTCAACTTCCAGTTCTGTCTGATATCACAAGTACATTGAAACATGGCCGGGGCTTCTCTCTGTCTCTTGTCCCTGTCCACTGCCTTGGTTGCCTGGTATCTACACAACAAGTCAACAAACAAAGCCAAAATGGATCACCAGTTTCCGACTCTCAAGAATGACTTGTTGCTCAGGGCCGCCCGGGGTGAGTTGAAAACTTTTGAAGAAAAATTCACATGCAATCTCACTAACACACATTTTCTCACAGGCGAGACCGTTGAGCGTCCCCCTATCTGGGTGATGCGCCAGGGTGAGAAGTCACTTTACTACACATCCTTCACCTCACTTCACTCACTTCTCACATCTTCGAACTCAACCTCTAACAATCTACTCACCCAGCCGGCCGCTACCTCCCCGAGTACCATGAAGCCAAAGGCGGGCGTGACTTCTTTGAAGTCTGCCGCGACCCCGAGATCGCGTCGACCCTGACGCTCCAGCCCATCGAGCGCTACGCCGGCCTGATCGACGCGGCCATCATCTTCTCCGACATCCTGGTGATCCCGCAGGCGATGGGCATGACGGTCGAGATGGTCGACAAGAAGGGCCCGCACTTCCCCGACCCTCTGCGCTCGCCCAGCGACGGCCAGTACGCCGAGCTGATGAAGCGCCACGTCGACGTCTCCAAGGAGCTGGACTACGTCTACAAGGCCATCACCCTCACCCGCAAGAAGCTCGATGGCCGTGTCCCCTTGTTCGGATTCACCGGTGCCCCGTGGACTCTGCTGTGCTATATGGTGGAGGGCGGCGGTACGAAGCTGTTCAAGGAGGTCAAGACGTGGATTTACAAGTATCCTGAGGAGACCAAGGCGTTGTTGCAGAAGATCTCGGAGCTGTGCGTGGAGTATTTGGCTCTGCAGGTTAAGGCCGGCGCTCAGGTATGTCCCCCTCTTGTCTAGGTATATCATCACCTTGGCTATTCAGTACTAACAACATCCAGATCGTCCAAGTCTTCGACTCCTGGGCCGGCGAGCTCTCCCCCTCCTCCTTCAAGACCTTCTCCCAGCCCTACCTGACCTACATCGCCAAACACCTGCCGCTCCGCCTCAAGGAGATGGGTCTCGAGCCCGTCCCCATGGTCGTCTTCCCCAAGGGCGCGTGGTACGCCCTCGACGCCGCCTGCGACATGGGCTACAACGTGGTTGGTCTGGACTGGCTGCACGACCCCGCCGAGGCCGTCAAGATTGTCGGCGACAGGCCCATGGTCATTCAGGGTAACGCCGACCCTGGTGTCCTCTACGGATCCCATGAGGCCATCACCAAGGTCGTCGAGGAGATGGTGCAGGGCTTTGATTGGCATGGCAGACACAAGGGCTGGATTGTTAACTTGGGCCATGGCATTACGCCGTTTGTTAACCCGGATGATCTCAAGTTCTTCTTTGAGGAGATTCATCGGTTGACTAAGGCTAAGGCTTAATTGCCTTGTTGTGTGTACAAAATAAAACGGTGTTGGTGTATGAAATCTAGAAATCTTGTATATGCGTCTCAATCAAGTGTCTAAACCACCCCAACCCCCCCCCCTTCTCAATCAAGTCTTCCAAAAACATTGTACTCCAACCGCCTACAAGGCATCCCCAACAGTCGAGAGATCAACAACAGCCCTATGTTTTTTGTTAGCTTAACTCCCAGGCCCCGAGATAACGAACGGGAGAACTCACCAAGACAACAACCACCCAACCCTCCCTCCAATACTCCTACAAACCCCCTGACTCCTAAAGTTCTGCACAAACACATCCGCCGCTCCCAACCCGTCATTTCCATAATCCTTGATATGATCCCTCATGACTTTACAAGCCACCGCCTTTGCCAGTCCCTTTCCACGGTATTGTTCCTGTTTTTGTCTCTTGTCAGCCTTCACGGCCTCGCCCTCTCTCTCTCTCTCTCTTTTTTTTTTTTTTTTTCGCAGTGGAAGTAGAAGCGGTTGGTGGAAAGGGAAAAGAAAAAAACAAACCTCAACATGCAGCGTCATCAACGTCCCATCAAGCGCCATGAACCCCCACGCCACCATCTCCCCCAAAATCTCATCTCCCTCTCCCCCAATAGACGTACTCTTGCGAATAGCCACGCTGGGAAGTCCCAAAAGCGTATCCTCCTGCCTCTTGATACTCGTCCGGCTCTGTACCAACCTCACATCTTTTTGGTTTCTCACACAATCCCACACCAACCCTTCCTCCTTCATCGTCTTCTCCAAGGCTTCTTCCCCAGCAGCCACCAAAGCCTCAGTGCGGAATAACCACTTCTGACATACCTCCCACTCTATATCGTCGGGAATATTCGCCGTCTTGTGCATTTTGACATTGTACCCGTGCTTCTTGTCTATGTCTAGGAATAAGCGGTGGCGGTGGATTTCGGCTAGGGAACCGATCATTATCTTTGGTCCTGAGCCTGAGCCTTTGTTTTGTTGTGAGGGGTCCATGCAGAGATACTCCCTTGCCTCACGCCAATTTTCTTGACGTTGGTGCGAGGTAATAGAGGGGTCGAGCTCGACGGGCATTTGTTGAGCGATGGTTCGCATCCGCCGCAGGATGGTAAGCAAAAGCTCATCACACTCCCTCGCTTCCTCCTCTGGTAAGCTATGCGACTGCGAGCCGAATACCTCCGCGGAAGATGCAGATGCACCTGTTGGATCAATAACCGCATAATCCTCCAGGGTACTGTAAACCCACACTTGGGTTTCGGGGAACCTGCTCAGATCCACGAATGCCGCCGCAAAATGTTTGTGTTCCTCCTCCGCCTTGAACCCATTGTGCTGGTCTTGAGTGGCCGTGGCCGTGGCTGTGTTGAGACCCAGACACTCCTCAACCGAATGCTTGGAAGCAAACAGGACATGAGAGTAGGGAGTCGTGCCTAGGCCGTTGGAGGGAAAGTTGGCGGCATACTGGAGACGGCGGAGGACGGGGAGGGAGTGAGGGAGGTGTTGAGACAGAAGGGCGAGGAGGGAGGAGGAGGGGAGGGGGGTGTCGAGGAGGTGGAGTTCGGAGGATTCCATGTTGATTTTCTTTTTTTTTTTTGGTTGCGACGGTAGATGGTAGGTGGTCAGTTATGTTGGTGGTCGTGGCCGTGGTGGTGATGGTGGTGGTGGATGTGAGAAGAGTTGTAGTAAAAGAGATATTTTCGTGACGTCGGTGGTGTTTTTCTTTTTTTCGAAAATTTCCAAACAACGGATATCTCCGAGACGGGGAAAACTGATGTTGTGTAGCGGATGGGCTTCCGACTAACGAGCGGGAGAATGAAGTTTTCTTGTCGTACAATCCTTCGTGAAAATGAGTGGACAAAGAAAGTGACGCGTCAAATTTATACGCACGATGTTGTCGAGAAGTTATATCAAGCTCCTTCAAACAGTCACACAAATGGGCCTATCAGATCACAGCAACGAAGACTCAGAAGGGTTGCATCAACAACGTCGACTATTGATCGGATACCATGCGGTTATAGGCAGGTGTATTGTCTCTCTTCCTCCGACGTAGAGAAAAAGGTCTTCAACATGAAACAAAATCTCACACAAAATGAGTCATCAGTCAAATCAAGGAACCGGGGAAAAGAAAGTGAGGTTCAGTCGACAAACCATCAACCCAAAAAGTCGTAGCTTTGAAATCATAAAAGCCCAGTGGGCAAAATAAAGTAGAGATAAACCCATGGTAACTTTTGAAAACCCTTCTCTTCCCTTGCCTGTTTCAATGTCAAGGCTTCCTTTTGTCCTTTGCTATGCTGCGTTCAGCACATCCGTCATAAACCGTTCCATCCAAAATCCTAATGTTTAAAAAGGAAACCCATTTGCCATGTGGCGCGGCATTCCTGACATACCCAAGCCATTATAATCCAATTAAGCCCGTATCCTCTTAACGCCAAAACCCCTGGGTATGAACAATGTGATGAAACAAAGAAATCCCACTTTTCCGTGAACAAGCAGACGTCGGTAGATGTCGGCAGATCGGAGAGGAGGTTAGAAAGGGGGTCGCGGGGCGTCGTAATGGTAAGGTAGCCGGTCATCGGCTCAGCCCGCCGTCCAGCCTGATACCGTCACCACCCTAGCTCGGCCGCGCCCCCCTCAGTACACCCCCCCTCAACTCAACCGCACCAAAACCCAGACCAAGCCAAGTCCACCCCCCTACGACGAGCTATTCCCACTCTTCCTCCCCGCACTTCCCTCCCTCTTTTCCGCCTTCTCCTCCTTCTTCTCAGACCTCTCCTTCTTCCCAAACAGGAAATTCCTCCCCTTCTCCGCCCACCCCAGGTCCGACTCGCTCTTCTCATTCTTCTTATGGCCATGGCCATGTCTCTCGCGCTCGGCGCTCGGCGCTCTCCTCTCCTTATTCTCCTTGTGACTTCCACCACTATGGCCATTATGTGTTCTCGACGGGTGCAGCAGGTTGTGCAGGTGCAGGTGGTTTTCGTCTTCCTTGTCGGTGGCGACGGAGTGGCCGGCCTTTTGGGCTTCGCGGGCGGCTTGCGCGTCTTCGGCGGTGAATACGTTGCCGGTGCCGCCGCGGCCGATGTGGGTGGCGCCGAAGGAGTCGCGGCGGACGACACTGTGGTGAGAGAGTTAGTACTGGTTGTGGTGGGTGGAAGTGGAGGGAAGGGATGGGAGGAAAAGGAAGAAAAGGTATACGTACGGCTCAACATCTTGCCTCTTCCTCGTCTCGACGGGATCCAAGTTCTTTGCCATGTTACCGTTGCCACCGCGGCCGGTCGTCACCATGGCCGTCTTGAGGGTGGGTGTTTGCAGGTCTTCGGGCTGGAGACGGGGGGACTTGGAGCTGTCGACGATGTTGCCGGCGCCGCCGCGGCCTGATGATTGGAAGTGGGCTGTCATTGTGTTCGTTCGATTGTGTGAGGTTGTTTGTTGTTTGTGGTATGAAATTGCCAAAGTTGAGTGGTTTGGTCAAAGTTTTGACGACACACGGGACGATCGCGCCTTATGCACCGTCTCTGACGTGGAAGAACCTTGGGGGCCAGACGGGCTGTTGTATTTATGTAGTTAAGATCGTCACGAGGGAGTTGACGATTGGAGAAAGTTGGAGGTGTATGCGCAAGTGTGGCTGATGTCGTTATGACTCGGGATGTCGCAGATGGGGAGAATGGATGTGATTGAAGAAGCCCCAACTCTGGGAATAAGTTGAGCCTTATATTCGAGTGACTTTTCTTTGTCCTGTTTTGTTGAGACTCAAGACTGTTGGATCGTCGTTTTCGGTTTCTTGTCACTCAGATGGATGGCGGGGACTGGGGAGGGGTGCACTGGGGTGGTCAGAGTGGGCAAAAACCTTTTTAATTCAGCCCAGCAAGCGGACAGGCCGAGCGGGGCAGGCACTGCACTGAACCTCAGGGCACCGCATGATCAAAAAACGTGCTGTGACATGGAAACAACCACCTCCGACCACAGCACAACAAGGATCCAGGTCTTCTTAGCCTGCTGAAAAAATTCCATCACAAGGGCCTGAAAGGTTTTTTTCTTCATTCTTCCTTCGCTTGCTAAAGAAATTTCAAGGGTCTCGCCTTTCTCGGCGTTGACATCACATTCAGCCTCCCAGGTCATCCCGTCGGAAAGAAAAACTTTAGCGAGTCTCGCTCGGCAGGCAACTCCAAATCTTGCTGGGACATGGGACGAGAAACAACCCCCAACCCAAGAGCTTTTCGACAGCAGCCAAGCAGGGCGGAGAACCTGAACACGGGAGCAGGCGAGCCAAGAGGAAGATGACACCATTCAGCGGATGATGTGCTCGTCCAACGAAAGAGATTCCTGGGCACGCCGACTGGGCACCGGTGAGTTGATGTCTGAGTGTGCGACAGACCCTGACTCCCTGACCATCTGGAAACTTCGTTCTTTAATCTTGATATGAGATGAAGTCGTCATAGCAAATGGCAAGCGTGCAGGAATCGAGAGGTGATGTTGTGACCAACATCGAAGATGGAAGTGTCCACTGACCCTACCGCGAGCCGGGCGGGGCCGGGGCTAGCCGAGTAAACTCCGGTGACGGACGACGCCGCTTGGGCCGACATTGTGCGGCGGAGGGTCCACGGCTTCCCCGGACTGGAAATGCGCTTCCTGGATAGTGTAGTGGTGGGTGGTTACCAAGCGAGCAAACTACCACCAAACAACCACAACTCACACAAGCATTGTGCCTGTCGAGATTGTCATCCTTACGTATGCGACTGACGGCCTTTTGCCTTTATCTCGTTGATCTCCCGAAATCTTTCAAATGTGCCACTATCTGATATCCTAGATACCAAGGGTCCAAGAGGCAAAGGTTTTTTGTATCTCGTTGATCTATCAAACCTAAGGACGATCAACTCGATAAGACCATGTGACGGGAATGACACACAAACATTCAACTGAATAAAACAGGCTTGACAGAAGGATGGAAACTGTACGACTGGCAAATAGCAACGATCACCGCATCTTCCATTAGACTTGGTGCCAATTCCTGCTTACGGGTCAAGTCATCGGCACTCACTTGCCCGGCGGTGATGGCGGTAATGATCCGGTCGTAGCCCGGGAAAAGTGGAGAACGCGGCACAGTACCTACCTTACCCGGAGCTCCACTAAGACGGCCGGGCCGGGTCCGAGCCTAACTTGAGGTGGTCCGGCTTCGGTACACTACAGCGGTCTAAGTCTAAGTGGTTATATCGGGAATCCAGAAAGACCCAATTCGTTCAACGGCTTTTTTTCTTTTTTCTTTCTTTCTTTCGGGGGGTCTCTTCTTTTTTTTTTTTTTATAAATTTGGCTTTATCGTCCATGGGTCGTTCGTTTTCCCTGCGAATGCAACTCCAAATTGACAAAATTTAAACAAAAAAGGCCGGGGGGTATGTATATATCTGTGACAGCAACGAGTTTTCAGTGTCAAAGCGGATGAAACAGATGTAGATTGGGCTTTGTTTGTAATGCTCGAGGTATCTCGGTAAAGCACTTGTCTCATCGATCCCCATATCTACCTCTACTACATAGGTAGCTGTGGGTGAGGGTCATAGCTTGATAACAACATTATCACATCATCACTTACTTGTAATAGCTTCACGTGAAGGACAATCGACATGTAGTGGTGGAAAGGCAAAACAGTTCATTCGACTTCATAAGTTTAGGTATCTTGCGAGGAAACCAATATCAAATTCGAAACTGAGACAACAAACAACATAAAGATATCATAAACTCAAGACAAGCAAAGCCAGATTTGCGCCCGCCAACTCCAACGACCAACTAACTAACTGAAGCCAACAAGCCAACAAGGACAACAAAACAGGACCAACAGACTAGATAAACAACAACGACAAGACAAGAAATTAGTACCAAGAAGATCTTTTTAGGTCATCTCGTTCGTCACCTTTTCCTTCCTTCCATTCCTCCATTCCTCCACTCCTCCATTCTTCTTCTTTTCCTTTATTTATTTCCTTCCATGTTTCTGTCCCTCCTCCAATCCATCCATCAATCCAATGTCCAAATTCCTTTTCTCAAATATCATCCACAGGCCACTCAAACCTGCGACCCCATACCCCCCATCATCTGATCATCCCCCCTCATCCCCTGCGGCACCGGCACCGGCGCCTTGCCCGCACTAACAACCCTTCCACTCCTCTGCTTCCTCGGTCTCTGCACCAACACCTGCGCCGGACAAACAACAACCTCATCATCTCCCCTCCCCCAATCATCCCCCTTCCTAATCACCAACGGAAAAAGCACCACTCGAACCGTAGCCCTCTGCCTCTCCAGCTCTTCTGGACTGGGCACCCCGGCATCGCCTGACCTTTCATTCATCAGCGCGGCATTAAAGCTCACAGTCTCCACCAGCTCCCCGCTCTCATCGTACTCCGGCTGCAGCGGCGGGAGCATGATATACTCTGCGCGCTGACAGCGCATCTGGATGGATAAGGTCACGGCCTCCTTCACGACGCGACGCAGTTGGTCGAGGATAGTTTTTTCCTTGTCTGACGGCGGGGGGAGGATCTTATCCAGGGCGTCGAGGATAGCTTGGACGACGGCTTCCGTGTCGCGGTCACGCTGGGATTTGTAGTTGCGTCTTTGGCTGAGCAGCGTCAAGGTGACGGCGCGCCATTGGCGGACGGCATGCACGGGCCCGGTCTCCGATAGTTGTTTCTCGAGGTACTTGAGGCGCTGGCGCTGGTCGCGGTCCATTCCAAACAAAAAGCGGGTGAAGACGAATTCGTAAATCATGGTCATGGTCATGGACATGAAGACGTCACGGCGGCGGACGCGGTCGGCCAGGTAGACGTCGACGTCGGAGCCGTCGAGGACGGCGTTGTCGAGCCGGTCGATTAGCTTCTCGTCGTTGATTTCCGAGGTCAGTCGGCAGTGGCGCATGTCGCTGAACTTGGAGAAGCGGAGGACCCATTGCTGGACGTGGGCGCAGAGCTGGGAGAGGCGCTGGTCGAAGTAGTCGACGTCGTGGAGGTCGAGGAAGTCGTCTGCTCCGGAGGGTTCCGGTGACCGAGCAATCTGTTGGTTCTCGATTTGCTCCTGCAGCTCGCGGATTTGAGCGGTTTGAGCGTCCAATTGGGCACGGAGATGGGCGATCTGGGCATCCTTCTCTGCAATGGCCTTGGTATATTGTTCGTGTCCGCCTTGAGCGGCTGCCAGTTCCTCGGATGCTTTCTTGACTTGTTCTTCGAGTGCGCGCACCGTCTCGTTGTGCTTAACAGCGATGGCGGAGGTCGAACTCTTCAGGCCCTCGTATGTTTCCTCGAGTCGGTCGCATGTTTCTTGGGTTTCTCGGATTTCGCGCTGGAGGTTCTCGATCTCGACATCGCGGTCGGCAAGGATGCTGCTCAGGTCGGCATTGCGCTGGGAAAGTTCGGCTTCGGCGTCATTTTTGGCTTTTTGCAGCGCGGCATTCTCGGCCAACAACTGGGCAAATTTGGCTTCCAGATCATTGAGCTCCGCATTAAGCTGGACACTGTGTCGTTTGCGCAAGCTGGGCGGGCGGGCGGGCGATCGCGGGGAGCCCAGGCGACCTTCGCCTAAGCCATCCTGTTGGAGCAATAGTGTCAGCGTGCTTTTCACACAGTTTTGTTTTGGGGGGAAACATACATAAACGTCGGGCACATCCATTGACCCCTTAGATCGGGTGCGGCCTTCATTGGCGACGGGCGTAGCAGATGCGACAAAAAGAGCCCGGGGCGTTGTCACAGCTTGTTTGTGCTTGTCTTTGTCGAGGTTGTTGTTGTCGTCACCAGCGACAGGGCTGGATTTGGTGGTAGTGCCCAATGCCAGGGCAGCGGCACCGTTAGCGCTGGTGGCCCTGCTAGTGTTGGGCCGGGGAGGACTAGGGGTGGCTGGGGCCTGGTTTGGGTGGGGGGCAGCCGCCGGCGTCGATCCCGATCGGGTGGTGGTGGTGGTGTCACTGTGTTGTCCACGCGAGGGAGTTCGATCGGGCTCTCCCTCTTCTGCAAGTGATCCAAGGAATGACTTGGCGGCGGGATCCTGTTGGCTGCCAAAGGAGAGGGAGCGCAGGTTGCCAGTGGCCCGCTTGTCCGTCCGTCTGAGTGGGGGAGTGCTTGTGTGAGACCGGCTGCTGATGCTGCTGCCTGGACTATCAGGCCGCAAGTTGAGGTTGTTGCTGGCACTCAGCGGCTCGGGAGAGCGCAGTCGTGCGACACCAGTGTTGGATGGGATTGGCCGGGCAACCGGTGATGGTGATTGGCCTGAAAGTGCTGATTGCAACTGCTGGCTGATGTCGGAGACGCTCCGGAAAGCGCCTCTTGGCCTCATGGCGACTCCAAGGCCTGGCAAGGTTTTGGGTATGTGTTGCTCAGCTTTGTCTTGCGGTGTTTCTTGCTGCTCCTTGACGACCTCCATGTTGACCTCAAGAATCTCAGGCGCTGATTCCTGCACCCTGGGAGTCTCAGCAGTTCTCAGAGGAGACGAAGGTCCAGTCTCGGTCCGATCACTGCCGGCAGACGGGCTATTGGCAAAATCCCGTAGATCAACCCCTCTCTCTCGCAGATCCTCCTCCTTGATCTGGGCATGTCGCTCTTGTTGCTGCTGATGATACTGCTCGTTGAAGACCGCGTACCGTGGCATCTGCGGCGAGCCCCTGGCCCCCAAGGTGAAGCCACTATCACGGTTGGGATCCATGATGGGAGTCCCGTATCTGAAAAGACCAGAGATAGCGCCGTCCTTGTCGTTCCGGTTCCTGTCTTCATCCGTCGTCCAATCTTCCTCCTGCAACGTCGGTAGGCTGTTGTAGGAGTGTGCGTAGTCTGAAATAGTGGACATGGGCGCGCTGGGAGTTTGTTGATGTTGATGAGTTTGATCCGATGTCGCGTGACTGCCTGCCGGACCTTCCCCATGCTTCGTGTCACCACCACCTCCAATCGCCGTGTTCGAGCGACTAACGGTAAACGCTTCCTCATCCGCAATGTCGTCAGGGAAGGAGAACGTGCGTTCGTGCACGACCGGGGGAGGCGAGTGGGATTCTTCCCGACGCTTGCTTTGAATTGCCCACGGCATCGGCGCTCCTTCCCTGATGGCCTTGGGAATGGTCTCGGAATCTTGGCGGTCGAGACCAGGTGAAGGAAGACCCTCAGAAGAAGGCTTGCTTGCCAGACTCTTGGTGTCCGCTTCATCCTCACCATGGACATCCTCCACGTCTTCTTCATCTGCTTCATCTTCGTGGTCATCTCCAGACCCTCCTTCCCTCTCATCTCGCCCCTCAAACTCCGAATCTTCATCCTCGCTGTCTTCTCGCTTGTCATTACCACGCGTGACCGCGACAGGTTTGACTTTGTCGTCTTCATCCTCACTCTTCTCTTCTGTCTCGTCATCACTTGCTGTCGCCTCACTCTCTTCATCTCTTTCTTCTACCCGTTCCTCCTCTTCTTCATCCTTCTTCAAAGTATTCGCCACAACGGCGGCGACACCAAGCACGGCGACGGTGCCGGCGACGATTGCCACGCTTTGTGCTTGGTGAACTTCATGAAGTTCTGCATCTAGATTGAGTTAGTGCTATGTTCTAGTAGTTTCCTTTGTCTTAATCGTGGCGTGTTACTTACCATCATCATGATCATCTTGATCATAATCCTCCTCATCGTCCTCATTCTCACTTCCTGTTTCGCTCTCCCATTCGTCTGGGACTTCACGAGACAGTTCTCTTGCTACCGGTGACTCCTCCTCCGCACCAAAATCAGGCGAAGGAGGCAGATGCACATCCTCGGGATTTACCTCCGGGAAAGACGCAAATTCCTGTTCGGCAGGTCTCAGTTCAGGCGAGCAATGATACCTCAACTCAGGCGAGTGCCAAAACTCAACCTTTTCAGTATGAACAGGAGTGTGAACCTCCTCCGCTTCGTCATACCCGTGTTGGTAAGGGGCTGAGTAATCCACGGGGTGCATCATGAGCGGATGCGGATGGGGAAGTTCCCGCTCGTAGCGCTCGTGATGTTGTTGGGGAGTTATTTCGGGAGAGGGGAGGAGGTCGGCTAGTGGGTCGTAGTCATCTTCCTCTTCTTCTTCGTGTTCCGAGTCAAACAGGGGGTGGGTTGTTGTTTCTTGCTCAGGCTCGGAGTGGAACTTATGTTCAGGCTCATGTTCAATCTCATGCTTATGCTCAGGCTCGGGTGTAGAAGGGAGTTCGATATCTTGGGCTTCGTCAGCAGGAGAAGACGGAAGCTCGATGTCTTCAGGTACGATTGCAGGAGATGAAGGCAGTTCGACCTCCTCGGGGCTTGGGACATTAGCTTCAAGAATGGGCCTTGTGTCTTCATCCTCCGCCTCCGAGTCAGAGTCAGAGGCGAGCTCCACATCCTCAGGTTCGACAGGAGAAGAAGGAAGCTCGATATCCTTGGGTTCAGTCGCAGGAGACCATGGTAGTTCGATCTCCTCGGGGCTTGGGACATGAGCTTCAACAACTGGCGTCGTCATTCCTTCCTCCTCCGGCTCCGAGTTAGAGTCAAAAGCGAGCTCCGCATCTTCGGGCTGGTTGACAGGCGAAGAAGGAAGCTCAATATCCTTGGGTTCAATGGCAGGAGATGATGGTAGTTCGACCTCCTCAGGCTCTGTGACATGAGCTTCAACAAGTGGCGTCGTGTCCTTTTCCTCCGCCTCCACCTCCGAGTCAGAGTCAGAGGCGAGCTCCACATCTTCAGGTTCATTGACAGGCGAAGAAGGAAGCTCAACCTCATCAGGTTCATTGACAGGCGAAGAAGGAAGCGCAACCTCCTCAGGAACAATCCGAGGTGAAGCAGGAAGCTCAACCTCTGGCAAAATCTGCGGTGAAGCAGGAAGCTCAATATCCTGGGGCTTAATCTCAGGGGAAGCAGGGAGTTGAATATCCTCAGGATACACATCTGGCGATGCAGGACGGTGCGAGTCCTCGAACTTGTCAGCCAGATGTCTCTCGCCTTCTTCGGCTGGAGAAGCAGGTGCGGAGTCCTCTCCCTCGGATGGATCGTGGTGCTTCGTAGCCTCGGAAGCAAGCATGAGTCCAGCAGCGACCAAGCCCGTGGCGACAACAGGGATCATTTCCTCCATCGGGGAACTAGGAAGCTCCACACCCTCCGGTTTCAGGACAGGCGAGGAAGGGAGTTCAATGTCTTCGGGTGCGGTCTTGGGCGAGGGCGAGGGTGGGACCTGACGCTGTAGGTTGGGCGGTATGACTTGTCTTGAATGCAACCGCTGGAGCTCAGCAATGTCGATAACGGCGGGAGTGTGTTGAGTCGGCGCCTTTCTCCTAGGTCCACGGGCACGATTCTTCGTCATGTGCGTCAACTGGGGCTCGGGAAATTCAGGCGAGGACGGGAGCTCAACCTCTTCGGGCTTGATTTGGGGAGGGGGTGAGACCTGGCGCTGTAGGTTAGGCGGAATGACTTGTCTTGGATGTAATCGCTGGAGTTCAGCAACGTCGATATCGGCTGGAGTGTCTTGAGATTCCCCGGGGAATTCAGGCGAGGGAGAAGAGCACTCGTCATGTTTAGACTTGGTAATGACGGGCGCCTCGTGACTGTGAGTTTGTGCAGGCGCCGGAACGGGCTCTTCCTCATCAGTAGGCTCCGACTCCTCCATCACCGACGACAGAGTCTCAACCTCATGCACATGCGCGGGAATTTCGAACAAAGACTCAACCTCTTCTTCTTCGACCACAGCCTCGGGCGTAGCGGGCTGGACTTCAACACTGGGCAAAGACATTCCTCGTCCCCACTCGAGGGAAGTATCATGTTCATCTGCCGGCTCGGGTTCAGGCTCTTGCGCAGCCTCAGCTTTAGTCTCAGCCTCACGCTCCCTTGTCTCTTCCGGCTGCAACTCAGGCGAACTCTCAGGACTAGGCGTAATCTCCATTCCCACTCCTGGGGTAACCACCATGGGCACGGCACCGACATCCTCCCCGTCATCATCCAAATACGACACAGCCAGCTCCAAAGCCATGGACTGTGCCTGTGACTGTGCCCGTCCATGTCCACCCGGCGACCCCATCGAGTCTACCGAGCTAACAGAGGGCGGACTAGCCGGCTCTTCTTTCTCAGGAATGACAGTCTCCCCCAGCGAATCCAAATCAACCGGCACCGGCACCCTAGCGGCGTCCGGTGCCGTATGACCTAAAAAAGATGGGTGGCTGCGAGGTCGGGATTTAGATCGGACTTTACGGTCGTCGGCGAAAGTCTCGAGATAGTTGGCTGCTAGTTCGCGGGACTGGCGCTGGGATTGTTCTTTGAGCAGAACTGAAGCCGGTGGCTGTTGCATGGATGCCGACGGCGGGAAGCGGGGTGTGACGGGGGAGGAGCCACGGTTGATGGAAGAAGACTCGAGGAAGGAGGCGGCGAGCGCTTTGGCTTTTCCGGTGGGCCATGAGTTTCTGGTTGAGAATTTGGCGGGTGGTGAGAGGGATGCTGCGAGGGCCTCGTTGTTGAGGCGTGCTGGCTCGGTGGACTTGATTCGCTTGTGTCTGACTGGCTCTGCCTGCTTAGGGGGTTGACGTGTCTCTTCGACGGAAGGAGACGGAGCAGCGGGCTTGGGAGATTCTTTGACTAGTGTCTCCCTTGTTGAGGAATATGGCGCAGGTTTGCGTGGAGCGAATAGTGTCTCAGGCCCTTGCGTTTCGTCGACTGACTTCCGAGGTTTCTTGACTTCGTGCTCCTCGGGCTCGGAGGGCGGGTCATGAGTAAAGTGGCTAGCGTGCTCGTGAGTAGGCTCTTCAGCTTCGGAAGGAAGTTCCTCGAACATAGCACCTTCGGGCAACTCGACGTTATTGAAGTAATCGCCGCCATCATCTCCAGCTTCCTCTAGAGGAAATGTGGAAGCGGAGAGAAGCTTGGGAGAGGGCCCATCCATAGGATACAGATCCATGGGGGCATCCTCAATGAGACCCAGGCCGACCGTGGTGGGAGAAAGGGCAGTGGCATAGTCGCACTCATCGAAGCCTCTATTGATGGCACCCTTGACGGCGGGGTGGACTTCAACGGTATCTCTCAGTTCCGGTTCATCGTCTTTTGTTGTAAGGAGCTCATTCACGGCGGCCGCAGCGAGTGCTGCTGCTCCTGCTGCGGCGGCGGCTGCTGCTATCGACGTGGAAGTTGGAACTGGCGACCCACCAGCCGACCGACGAAGGTCCACATTGGTGCCTGCTTCGCGGCTGAGAATGTCAGCATGATGTCCGTCGCCAGTAGTAGTAGTAGTAGTTGAAGGGTCTCGAGGTATGATGGGGGCATCATCTTCCGATCGCTCGATCGCAGCAGCCACCTCTTCTCGTTCTCGGTTTGGTTTTTCTTGGTTCGGTTGCTTACTTGTTGGAGCCTCCGTGAGTAGGCCGTCTTCCGAGACTTCTGAATCGACACCGTCAATAGAGTCAAGGTCGTCAACATCGTCGACATTGTCGACTACTTCCCATTTCTGCGCCGGACTGGTCTTTGCAGCATCGCCCTGTTGTGTTAGTTCCTCAGCAGCGGTTGCGGGTTGTTTGCCCTTGCCCTCAACAGCATCGTAGAAGAGGTCCGAGTCGAAGCTCTGTCGGACAGGCTCAATTGGTTCTGGCTCAGATTCCGTCGCAGGTGAAGCCGGAAGCTCCACGTCTTTGGGTAGAAGGACGGGCGAATGAGAAAGTTCGACGTCTTCAGGTGCAATGACGGGCGAATCTTCGGGAGCAGTGTCCTTGTCAAGCTGCTCTTCGCCTTGGTCCTCTTGAACCTCGGAAAGATCGATAGGCTCAACCAGAAGCTGCTCATCTTCCAACTCAACCACTGGAGAAGGGGGAAGTTCCACATCTTCGGGTAAGGTGACAGGCGAAGGAGGAAGTTCAACATCTTGAGCACGAACTTCAGGGGAAGCAGGAAGCTCCAAGTCTTCGGGCTTGACAATTGGCGAGGAGGGGAGTTCGATATCAGCACGCTCCAGGATATCCTCGTCGAGGACTTCGATGCCCCGAGTAAATTGCTCGGGCTCGACTGGTAGCTGTTCATCTGCCAGCTCAACCACGGGAGAGGCGGGAAGCTCCACCTCTTCGGGGACAATTTCAGGCGAAGGAGGCAGCTCAAGGTCTTCGGACTTAGCTTTGGGTGAAGATGTGAGCTCAAGATTGACAGGCTCAATGGGAAGCTGATGATCCAACTCGACGATAGGGGAAAGGGGCAATTCCACGTCTTCGGGGACGACTTCAAGAGAGACTGGAAGCTCGACATCCTCGGGCTTTGTCATGGGCGAGGACGGGAGCTCGATATTGGCAGTCTCCAGAATGTCTTCGGGAATCTCGAGAGTCTGCATGTCTTCAATGGGCTGTTCAGGCTGTTCGGGCTCGATAGTTGGGAACTGCTCGTCGTCCAACTCAACTGTGGGAGAAGGCGGGAGTTCGACCTCTTCAGGAACAATCTCAGGCGAGGCGGGGAGTTCGAGATCCTCAGGCTTGGTCATGGGTGAAGCGGGGAGTTCAATAGCGACACTCTCCAGCATACCTTCCTCAGGAACATTGTCGTGCTCATAGTTGATGCTGCGCTCATTTGGAAGCTGCTCGTCGTCCAACTCATCCACAGGAGAAACCGGCAATTCAACATCTTCAGGAACGACCTGAGGAGAAGCAGGAATTTCCACCTCTTCGGGCTTCATAGCAGGCGAAAGAGGCAGTTCCAACTCTTCAGGCTGGAACTCTTCAGGCTTGAGGTCAGGTGAGGACGGGAGTTCGAAAGCGGCACTCCTAGCATCCTCGTGCTCCTCCAAGCCATCGAGTTGCTGATCAACGCTGGGCTCAGCTTCCCTAGTAAGGATGGAAAGTTCTGCTCGTTCTAGCTCGTCAATTAGCGAAGCTAGAAGCTCGATGTCTTGAGGTACAATTTCTGGCGAAACCGGGAGCTCTATGTCTTTGGGAGTGATCTTGGGTGAAGTTGGAAGTTGAACGTCAGCTGAAGACGAGACTGAACGCTGGATATGCGGAGGGATGATTTGGCGCGAGTGCAAATGTTGCAGCTGGTCGATGTCCAGTTCGTCGGCAACAGGCGAAGTCGGAAGTTCAACCTCCTCAGGTGCGATCTTCGGCGACGATTGAAGCGAAGGCGAAGCGGGGATTTCAACTGCCTCCGGGACAATTTGCGGGGAAGCGGGTAGTTCGACCTCCTCAGGAACGACCTCAGCTAAAGGCGAAGCCGGACGCTCAATATGCGGAGGTATGATCTGGCTAGAATGGAATTGCTGAAGCTCATCAACGTCCAATTCCTCCATAGGCGAAGCAGGGAGTTCGACTTCCTCCGGTGTGATCTTTGGCGAGCCGGAAGACGAAGCCGTATGTTGGATGTTCCTGGGAATGATCTGGGCCGAATGCAGATGTTGAAGCTCGGCAATCTTGGACTCGTCGAAAGGCGACGGCGAGCGTGGAACCTCAATTTCCTCGGGTGTGATCTTGGGCGAGGCGGGCTCAGAAGCTGGAAGTTCAATGTCCTCGGGCACGAACTGATGCGAGACTGATGGCTGAAGCTCAGAACCATCCGATTCTTCTTCGACGGGTGATGGCGATTGTGGAAGCTCAACAACCTCCGCGGGTGTGATCTCCTCCAGAGGCGAAGTCGAAAGCTCAACCTCCTCAGGAACAACCTCACCCCAAGTTGAATCCACACGCTGGACGTACAGAGGAAGGATTTGAGCCGAGTGTTGACGCTGCATCTCAACGACGTCCAAATCCTCCTCCACTGGTGAAGGTGAATGTGGAAGTTCAACCTCCTCAGGTGTAAACTTCTCCAACGGCGAAGACGGGAGCTTAATGTCTTCGGGAACAGCCTGGGCCTGGGCTGTAGGCGATACGGAACGTTGAAGATGGGGAGGAATGATCTGAGTTGAATGTAAGTGTTGAATCTGGGCAACATCCAAGTCTTCCGCAGGCGAAGGTGAGCGCGGAATGTCGACCTCTTCGGGGGCGATCTTGGGCGAGGATGATGTTGAAATTGGAAGCTCAACCTCCTCAGGAACAACAGTGGGCGAAGCCGGCATTTGAACCTCCTCAGATACGATCTCCTCCACAGGCGATTCTGGAAGTTCAACAACCTCCACAGGAACAGTCTCGGGCGAAGCCGCACGCTGAATATGCGGAGGAAGAATCTGGCTCGAGTGCAGCCGTTGAAGCTCGGTAACATCCAACTCACCCACGGGCGAGGGTGAGCGCGGAAGCTCGACTTCCTCGGGAACAATATGAGGCGAAGCCGCGCGATGAAGACCCGGCGGGATAATCTGACGAGAATGCAAATGCTGAAGCTCATCAACATCCAAGTCCTCCACAGACGAAGGCGAGCGCGGAAGCTCTACCTCCTCGGGGACAATCTTAGGCGAAACCGCAGCTTCAAAATCATCGTCAGATTGTTCGCCGAAGCTTTGGTCATCCTGCTCAGCAGCTGTTGGAAGGTCCATCTCCTCAACTTCCGCTTCCATCAAACGCGACTCGGGCAAACCAGAGTCTCCAGAAATTGTCTTGGGTGAGTCTAGGACCTGGTTTTCGGGAGAGCTGGGGAGTTCTTCAGACGCGGGTGTGATTTCTTTTACAGGCGAGGTCGGGAGTTCGATGTCCGCAGGCGCAATCTTTGGCGAAGGTGAGACCTCTTGATCGCCAAGGCTCCGGGTGACTTCGTTGGCTGGGGTCGGGAATTCCACGTGCTGGACTTCAACCTCAGGCGACATTGGGAGTTCCACGTTTTCGGGTGAGAACTTTGGCGAAGTGGAAGTCGGGAGCTCGTGGCCAGTAGAAATCTCAGTGGTAATCGGAAGGTCTTTGGACTCGGTCTCGGAAGGCGACTGTAGCAGCTCAACATCTTCAGGCAGCTGTGCAGTCGTAATCGGAAGCTCCATCTCTTCATGTTCGGCTTCAGGCAAAAGCGACTTTGGCAATCCCACGTCCTGGGATGAAATCTTGGGCGAAGCTGGGCCTTGCACCTCGGACGACGGCGCAAATTCGACGGTTTCCACCTCAGGTGCAGGCGAAAGGACCGCGTCACGGGGTGTGCTCTTATCCGAAGACAGAAGCTCGATATTCTCGGAGGTGATCTCCTGCTCGGTAGTAGTAGCTGGGAGCTCGATGTGCGCCGGTGTGACCTCGGGCGACGATGCTGATTCCTTCTCGGGTGCAGGTGAAACGGTCCTCTCTTCGAATGCAGTATCCTTAGTCGAAGGAACCGAGCGTTCCAGAGGTGAAGAAGGCGTGAAATCCAGTGCCGCCTCAGGCGCAAGCGAAAGAACCGCGTCATCAGGCGTGCTCTTGGGCGAAGGGGACGAAGCAGGGAACTTGGGTGAAGATGGCGACTCGATAGCTTCCGGTGCAACCTCGTCCACAGGAGAGGCAGGGAGTTCCACTTCCGCTGGTGAGATTCTTGGCGACGATGCGGGTGAAGAAAAACGCGAAGGTTCTACGTCTTCAGCTAGCTCAACGGTGGGTGAAACTTCAGGAGAGTGCTGGACTTCCCTGTGCTCATCCTCACCCTCAGGCGAGGACGCGAACCCCTCCTGGGGATCATCACTAAAGCTCCGTTCATATTGCTCAACATCAACCGGCGACCCGTCATCATCCATAAACTCATCCTCAGGTGAAAGTGGCAGCCCCTCATCATCAGAGATGGGCTCAGGCGAGAATTGATAGCCGGGTACGATATTAGGCGAAGGGAGGAGCTGTGGGGAAGGCGGAAGTGCGATGTTTTCGGGTCTGACCTTCGGTGAGGCCTTGGGCGAGGTCGAAGTTGAGAATGTGACATTGGCGGCGGTTTCGTGGGGCTCAGTAGTGACTGGATGGTCCTCCTTATCTTGATTATCGGTTTCCGGCTCAGGAGAGGGTGAAAGCGCAAGCTCAGGGGCAGGGGAGCCTGTGAGCTCTATGTCCTTAGGTGCGACCATAGGCGAAGAATGGGAAGATGGTGGGAGGTCTGCATCCTTAGGAAGTTCGGTGAAAGATGGGACTTGGGCTCCTTGAACGTCAGCTGCAGGAGAAGGAGAACGCGAAAGCTCATCAGAGTCAGAGAGGTCTTCTAATTCTTCGGCTAGTGTATTTTGCGCTGGTGAGGATGGAAGCTCCGCATGTTGGGCGTAAACAGCAGGAGAAGGAGAACGCGAAAGCTCAGGAGAACCAGAACCATCGAGCTCTTCCAACTCTTCGGCTAGTGTCTTCTGCTTCGACAGGGACGGAAGATCTTCTACTCCAGAAAGCTCAGGCTCAGTAACAGCAGTTGGGAGCTCAGAATTAGAAGCTTCAACCTCCAGGGGAGGGGAAGCCGGGCGCTGCTCAGGGGAAGTCGGAATCTTTACATGTTGGGGAATGATAGCAGGTGAACCCGCATCTTCATGAAGCTCGGTGACATTTTGAAGCTCCTCTTGAGGCTCGGCATCAGAAGGCGAGGACGGCAGTTCCACGTCCTCGGGTTTAGTCTCTGGCAATGTTGGCATGTCCGGGGAGCTTGGGACAGCCATTAGAACCTGTACCTCTGAGGAAGATGGAAGCTCATGAAGAGACATGGGCTCGACAGCGACCTTGGGTGATTGAGATTGAGGAAGCTCATGTTCGTCATGAGAAGAAGGCAGCTGAAGGTCGTCGATGATAGGTGTGGATTCCGAGTCAGGGGAAGCATCGAGCTCCACTTCGTCAGGGGTAACCTTCGGTGAGGGCGGCAGTTGGACATCAGTGGGTCTGACCTCGGAGATAGGGTGCTGGTCATGCTGGTCATGTTGGTCTAGGCTTAGTTCGGGTGAATGAGTGTCAACGTCGACATTGTCGTGTTGAAAGGTAGCCTCAGGTGCAGGCTTGGTGTCGACGTCGATATCTTCAGTGCTGTGTTCATGTTGAGGAGTCTCATTGACAGCAACAGGCGAAGCCGGCAACTCCACCTCCTCAGGCCTAGGCGCAGTGTGCGGCGGCGCCGGTGAAGGAGATGGAGGAAGCTCCACTTCTTCAGGCTCGGTCATTCTAAGTGAAGAAGGAGAAGAAGAACGAGCAGCCGCGCGTTGTGACGGGGCATGCTCGTGGGTAGTAGCTTGGGTAGCCTCGGTAGCCTCGGAAGCGGTAACGTGAACAGCAGCAGCGGTTGTAGTGATAGCGGTTGTAGTGGCAGCAGTGGCAGTGGCAGCGGTAGGGGCGGCAGTAGGGGCGGTAGAGGTAGCAATAGTAGCAGTTGGAATAAGGTTAGGAGAGGAAGGTAGAAGCTCTTCAGAAGCAGACATGGAAGAGCGGGAAGAACAACTAGGAAGTGGGGAAGAGGGAAGGTTGTTAGCCTCAGAAGTTGGCACCAGTCTTGACAGTTCCACGTCGCCGGGTTCCTGAGCCTCAGGCGTGGAAAGTGGGATGTCAGATTGCTGCCCAATGAACGGTTTGTTTTCCTGCAGGATTTGAATTAGCACAAGAGATTTCAAGACATCCGATTGGTAAATTGGGCAAAAGAGGTGGGACTGGGATCTCTCTTACCTTGTCAAGGTCCCGGTCAGTGGTGGCCGGTGAAAGCGGCTCCACGATCTGCTTGGCTTGTTCAACCACCGGCTCGGATTCGATGAGATCCCCAGCATCTGATAGGGTTGAGGGAGAGGCCGGAAGTTCGACTTCTTCAGGGTTCATTATGGGAGAAGAAGGAATTTTTGTGTCTTTGGGAGATTGCTGACTGAAGCTTTGTTCAATTGGCTCATTTTCGCCTTCGGCGAGCTCCCCGGCGTCAGACATAGCTGAAGGTGAAGATGGGAGTTCCATCTCTTCAGGGCTCATTATAGGCGACATCGGGAGTTCCACATCTTCAGGCTTGATAGTTGGGGAAGAGGAGAGCTTTATGTCTTGTGATTGTTGCTTGTCTAAGCTCCGTTCAACTGACTTTGTCGCGATTCCGGTGAGTTCACCACCGTCAGACATAGCTGAAGGTGAAGGGGAGGCGGGAAGCTTAACAACTTCAGGATTGACTGCATGTGAAGATGGAAGCTCTATGTCGTTTTGGAATAATTGCTGACTGATGATATGTTCAATTGGCTTGATATCGGCTTCGGTAGTAAGCTTCTCTGTGCCAGACACAGCTGAAGGAGAAGGTGCGAGTTCGATCTCTTGAGGGTTGCGTAGCTCCTTGTCTTTCTCAAGCTGCCGGTCGAAGTCCCGCTCAATTGGCTTGATCTCGGCTTCGGTGAGTTCCCCAGCATCAGAGAGAACCGAAGGAGAGGGTGGAAGTTCTACCTCTTCAGGATTGACTGCAGGCGAAGCAGGTAGTTCCACGTCTTCAGGGCTCACCGTGAACTCCTCAACTTCAGTCTTCACCCCAAAACCTCCAACTCCATCCTCAACATCCCCCACTCTGGCATTTCCGGTCTCGAACAAGGCGTCTTCTAACCGCTCCTGTCCTTCTCCTTGTCCTTCTTCTTCCCAAACATGCCGCCCATGCCCATCTTCCCCATCCCCTTCGTACCCATCAGCGCCCGATTCCAGTTCGCCTTGGCGCTCGTGCTCATCACCTTCTTCTCCTTCTTTTCGTCTACTTCCCCCCCATCGTCCCTGAAATCCTTGCGACTCCCAATACTCATCGCCGTCTTCGTCCTTGACAACATCCCCGGTTTGGGCTGGTTCATCATGCTCGCCGTCTCCGGATCTCTGTTCTGTCTCTCCTGTCTCTCCATTCTCTCCGACGGTGTCTCCATGTTCGGAAACCCGTACGAGGTTCCCGGCGCTGATATCGACCCTCCCGCAGGCGGAAGACCCGATGATGTCCCCGGTGGCGATCCCAGTAGGGAGTCTCCCAGTCCAAAGCTGGGCAGTTCCAGCTTCGGCATCGCTGGCGGCGGCGGCTGCGTCTGCGTCTGGGACGAATGCTCGACGCTCTGTCTCCGACTGCTCGACGACCGATTGCTGCTCGCCATACCCAGGGTTACGACGCTCTTGAAGGACATCTTTGACTTTTCCTTCTTGTCTGTCACCGTGGTGGCCGTCTGATTCGACTGATGGCTGTGATGCGAGTGCGAATCCGTCAAGTCCGTCGGTTCCGTCAAGTTGGTACTGGTTGTTGTCTCCGGGTACGAGCTTGCCGGTCTCTCCTGGGATACACTGCTCCTGCTTGTCGGAATGCTCAAAGCTGACATCGCTCTTCCCATCCTCGTCTGCGGCTTGCTCGGCTTGCCCTCTAGTACCGGGTTCTCGGGGAACTGATTGCTGTTCCAGCTCGTCGGCCTCGACCCGTTCGAGTGCGCGCTGGCTGACGATTCCATGGGCGTCTGCGTCACTGTCTCCGGTTCGTGGTGACTGGGCGTAGGAGTCTTGTCGGACTTGTCCTTGATCAGCCCCAGCGTCATGACCTTGTTGAAGCTGGCCATTCTCGACTTGGGCGCCGGGCTGGGGTCCGGTCTCACCGGGAACTGCGGCTGCTGTGGCGGCTGCATTGACGATCCAGTCCCCGGTCTCGAGTCCGCGTCCAGGGGAGGGGTCTCTTGGCTTAACTTCCTTGGCCTGCTCAGACTCATCCCGGAGATCGTCCGATCCAACCGGCTGGGCTTGGCGGCCGTGGTCTGATGCGACCCGGACGAACCGGGCCTGCTCACCTCCGGCGGCGTCTCGACCAACTCCGGGTTCTTGTCCTTCTTCGTGAAGGCGCCCAAGCCCAGCATCTTCATCGTCTTGTTGGTCTTGCTCTTTTCCGATGATTGCTGCTGCTGGTGGTGATGGATCGAGCTTGATCCAGACCCCGACCCAGATCCCGGTCTCGATGGCTCCAGTAGGTCCTGTTCGGCGCTGTTGAACCCCGACTCCGGAGTCTGCGTACCCATGCCCGTTGATGTCGAGTGAGACCTTGACATCATACCGAACGTCAGCCGGTCGAGAGTCTTGTGCTTCTCCTTTTCGAGTACCGGCTCCGATTCGCGGCGCTCCCCCATATCCGGTCGTGAGGCGGCTGGATTCATGCCCGTCAATGCGCGCTTCATCATTCCCGGCTTCGGCTGTGGGTGCGGATCCGGCGACACTTCCGGTCTCAACGCTGGGCTCTCGTTCGGACTGATTTCCGCGCTGTCCGTCTCCCGCGGACCCAGATCGATGCTCGGTCCCCGACTGATCGGCTCCCGTGTCCTCGACGGTTCCCGTGACTTGCCGCCCATGCTGAAGTTCTTGAACGCCGAGCCCATGCTCATCTTGCGCTCGCCCGAGTGCTCTGCCGTTGAGTCCATGCTCGACCTTGGCTTCGACGCTCCCGGAATCATTCCCGTCATGGCTCTCTTCATCATGCTCGGCCTGACTGAGGAAATCGACTCCGTCTCGGACTGATCCAAGCTGGCTCCTGGCTTCGACGCTCCCGGAATCATCCCCGAAAACGCCCTCTTCATCATAGCCGACGCTTTCGGTTGCGTAATCGATGCAGTATCCTGATTGATCGACTCCGCGTCCGTCGCCGTCGCGGGTCTGCGATCCGTCTCCCCTCCCGCCGACGCCGACCTCGGCTTCCTGAAATCCAGCTTGTCCAGACTCATGCCCGTCATGGCGCGATTCAGCATCCCCGGTTTCGGCTGGGGCGACGTCGCTCCGTCCTCCAGATCCGAGTCCTCGAACTCCGTCTCGGGGATCTGTTCCAGACTGGGCGCGCCCCTCGTCCTCGACAAGCCGCTCATCGCTCGGCGCACCTTGCTCTTGACCGGCTTGCTGGCTGACGGCGGATACTTCGACGGGTCCGGCGGTCTGTCCTCGGCCGGGACTTCCTCCTCCCCGTCCTTGCTGAAGCTGTTCCGCGGGCTCGGCTCCGGGCTGCTCGTCTGCGTGCTCATCTCCTTGGGGCCCGATGACGATTTGCTGCCCAAGAGCGAATTCAACCCCAGCTTCGGAATCCCGAGATTCATTTTTGATGACGTTGACGTTGTCGATTGCGAAGAGCTCTTGTTGAGTGCGTTCGTTGTCAGCTGCGGTAACGTCACGAATTTGGGGGGAGTCGCCAGTCTCATCTTCCTCCCTTGGAGTAGTCTTGAGGACTGCATGTTCGAGCTCAGAGGTTGGATCTTCGCCTACTTGTTGTTGATGCTTGTCTTTGGCCTTGTCGCCCTTTTCGCCCTTGTCTGACTTGGACTTGCTGCCGCGTCGGTAAGGCACGCCCATGAAGCGCTTCGCCTTGGTCGTCTCGTCCGCTGCTGCCGTCTCGGCGTCGTCATCGGGTTCTTCGTCTTCGTCGTGGATTGAGCCGTCGCTGTCGTAGAGAGCCTCGCCATCGCCACCACCTCCGGAGGATGTCCTGCGAATCTTTGGGTTACTCTTAGTAACGCCAGAGCTTTGCCTGCTGCGACCTTGAGTCGCCGGGTCCGCCGAGGCACTTCTGGTCTTGTCGACAACCAGTTGCTGAACCAGATCGGTTAGCTGAGCAAGCTGAGCTGTGAGCTGGGCAACCTCAGGGTTCGGCTCCAGAGGCGGGCTCATAAGACCGGAAGAAGCCTGGGATCCCTTCTTCTTGTTCTTCTTCCTCTTCTTCTTGCCTGACGCATCGCCGGCAGCGCCAGCATTGGCGTCTTGCGCATTGCCAGAAGAGGGCTCCTCATCACCATCCGAGGCCTCCTGGCCCTCGGCGTCCTCAGCATTAGCGGCAGGGGAGGAATCCGTTGCTTTGCCCTTGCCCTTCCGTCCTCTTCTGTTCTTCTTGGACTTGTTGCCGGGCGCACTGCCGGAGGGTTGAGTGTCCAAGTCACCTTGTTCGGCCTCGGAGTTGTTGGCATCGGCGTCCTCTTCCTTATCGGTAGCGACAGCAAGAGACGAGCTTCTTCTCTTGCGGCCCTTCTTGCCAGAGGCCTTGATAGTACCACCAAGCTCCTTGTTGGTTTCCGAGAAGGGAGTAGCAGTGTCGGAGCCAACATCAGGAATGGGCTTCGAAGGCACCTCAGGGATGGGTTCAGGGGGAGGAATATCCTTAGGTCCACCGTCGGTAGTGAAGGGATCAGACATGTTGTTGTATCGTGAACGTGATGAGTCTGGTAAAGATATCAAGATATTAGTTGCTGATCCAGCGTATGTAGGTACTAGCGGTAGTAAGTGTGCTTGAGAGATCTTGAGATGTTGTTTCTCCTGAAAGTGAAGAAAGTTCAAGTGAGAGTGAGCAGTCCCCAGGAGTATCAACCAGGATAGGGATAGCCTGTGAATGGATGTTCAGGAACGCGGCGGTGACGGTACGAAAGGCCCAGGGGAGAGCTGAGGGGGAGCTACAGGAGCTTCCAGCCCCGCCCATCTCCCCCATGTCTGCTCCATCCCGTACCCCATCCACATGTTCGACATGGATGGGCTTGAACACCGTTCCGCTCCCAGATTTGCAGGCACCCCCTTGCTCACAAAGTTCAAAGTTATTTAACCAATAAACATACCTGGACCCACTGTCTTCCCCCCCGCGAATAACTTGCGATTCGGATCTCGATCAGTCTCCTGTAAAACACCAACACGGTCAGCAAAATCATCACCAGTCTGTCCACTTTCACCCACCTCGATGTACTGCCCAAGCGGCGTCGGCGTCCTGTAACCACTTCGGCCTCTAATCGGGCTCGGCGACGCTCTCCCGTGCAACTCGGGCCACATGCTCGGATGCCCGGGCTCCTGTGGCATCGTAGCCTCTTCATCAAAGTCCTCCGGCCAGGCATCTGGCCAATCAGACTTCTTGCTCCTCTTTTTCTCAGCAGCCAGCTTCTTCTTCTTCTCAGCCCTATCTGTGCTTGCCCTCTTGAGCGCCCAAGCCGGTCTCTCCTCTGCGTTTGAACCAGCATCTGCGCCCACTGAAGAAGTCGAGCCAAGAACACTGGTATGCGAAGATGTCGGTGAATTGCGACCGTCAAAGGTAGACCTGCGTTGCAAAAAGAGCGCCCGTTCGAGCTTTTCCTTCTCGGCGATCTTGGCTGAGCGCTCAGCTTCTCTGTTCGCACTGACAGTTCTCATGCGCCGTTCGAACTCTCCATCTGCGAACGGGTCAGCGGCTTCGAGGGCCTTGTCTAAGCTCATACTGGGAGGGCTGGCAATGCCCCAGCCTGCGCCCGTGGTAGGTGACGCTGGGTTGGACATCTTGCCGGCCTTGATCTTTTCCTTCTTGGCAGTTGACAGTCTCAGCAGTCTAGGCGTGAGTGTCTCTGATGTCGGCGAGGCTAGATCTGGCGATGCTGTAGCTGCTTGATCGTCTGTCTTTGGCTCCTCAGGCTTGTCTTTATCATCGGTCTGGGATTCACCCTCAACAGGAACGGGAACGGGATTTTCTGCAGGTTGCATATCCTTGGGAGTCTCCGTTTGAGTGTTGATTGGCTGCTCAGCACCACTTGTCGGCAATTCAGTGGTGTTGCCGCTCTCACATGGGGCAGTCTGGACGCCTTGGTGGTCATCAGAGACATGCTGTTGCGGAGTGGGTGTCACAGAGCCGTCTTCATCCAATCCGTTTGTAGCCGTTTGCTTTCCATCGGCAGTGGTGGCCTCGTCGTGTTTGGTCGTGGGGGTCTCTGTCTCCGGTTCGCGCTCAACGGCAATTGTCGCATTCGCATCCTCGTCCTGACTGGCAGTCTCCGTTGGTTCCTCAGAGGTTATCTCCGGTTCGGGCACGGTCTGCGACTCATCAGCACCCTCAACATCCTCAGTCTTCTCATCAGTCTTCTCATCCTCATCCTCCTCATCCATCTTCATCTCCTCCAACCGCTTCTCCAACTCATCCCCTAACAAATCCTGCTGCTCATCACCCAACATCTCCCTTTCATCACTAGAATAATAATCCCTCTCGTCCTGCACCGGCACATCCGACGGACTCGGCCCCGAATTGCTCCTACTCAAGTTCCTGCCCAAGAAAGCCGTGACACCAGGGAACGTCGGCAATCTAGTCAGCGAGTGCCTCTTCATTAATGTACCGCCGGGTGAGTATTCGCTGACATCGTCATCTTCGTCATCCAAGTCGTCCAGGTCACCAAGAGTGCCCCACTGGTCGTCGGGGCTGGATACTCTCATTGGCCGCTGACGCTCAGGCTCAGCGACGAGACCGCCTCCGAGGATGGAGCCTTCTTGATTGGCATTGGCGAGCTGGGGTTCACCGCTGGACTCCTGACTCGATGGAGACTCGGTGTGATTGTCTTTGTCGGTCGAAGCCTTGGAAGCTTCTTCTTTTTGGGCTTCGGTATCAGGAATATTCTCGAGCTCATCGTTGACCGCTTCGAGGTTGGCTACCCTGGAGCTTGGGCCTGGAATGCCGATCCTGAGCTCTTGGCGAGGGGTGCTTTGGTCAGATGTGATGTCTTCATCGGCAGGTGCGTCTTCGAGAACGTTGGGCTTCTCGGTAGGAGTAGGCTCAGATTCGGAAGCCTCTGGGGACACGAACGATACTCCCTTGGCCTTCTTGCTCTGCTGAGACAATTGGTTAGCAATCTGCAGCACCGAACTCGTAGACATCACAAACTGTACCTCTTCAGTAGATTCGAGCGCATCCTCAATCTCCTGTGGAATTTGCTCCTCTTCGTCCTCATACTGCGACGAAGGTCCAGGCACAACCTCGTCATCGTCCTCATACTGCGACGAAGGTCCAGGCACAACCTCGTCAGGCTCCTCATACACTTGTCCCTGCTTCATCGCCGCATCCCTCTTCTTCAGATACTGCAACACCCTGAAGGAGCTCTCCGGGCTCAAGCTAGAAGTAGCCTCGGAGTCACCCGCTAGGGCTTTAGCAATCTGCTCCTTCTGTTCCGCATTTGCGCCGGACAAAAAGCTGGGAGCGTCTGATGCAGCCACCGTAGAAGCGTCGTCCTCGCACATGTCCTCGTAGATGGTCTCAGCTAGCTTGTAGTCAATCTCGTTGGGGTCATTGTTGCCGATAAGCATGGGGGACTTGGCTTGGTTATGGGAGGATGGCTTTTCGTAGATGTCACCTGGGTGGGCGGCTTCGGAAGAGTCGCGGCGGACGTGGCCTACGATAATATCGTTAGAGGTAGGCATGGCTTCTTCTGTAGAACCAATGTCAGCTTTGTTCAAATTTTTATTAACCGTGTTTTCCGTACCTTGACTTTCGCCGTCATTCCATGGTTGACCAGGCGCAATCTGCTTGGCAAGTGACTCCGGAGCTGGCTGGGCATCAAGAACAGGCAACGGCGACTTTGGTTCAGGAGAATCTTCCCTGCTTTCTGGCAGTGGCGGGAGTTCCGAGGGGTCCTCGAGACTAGGAGCCGTCTCCATGTCCTCAGAACGGCTGCTCGACCGGCTCTCTGGAAGTGCTGGTAAGTCAGAGAGCGGCGTGCCGCTTCTGCTTTCAGGAAGTGCTGGTAAGTCAGAGAGATCTTTGGACACCTCGTCAACCTTGACGGCGGGAACTGCGTAGTCTTCCTCGACCATGTCGGACAGTTGAGTGGGTTGCGTCTCTTCCCAAGCAGGCTGTGTGAACACCTCCTCGAGTAGCTGGCTGGCCTGGGTGGCCTCCTCTTCAGGGAAGTTGTCAACTGCAGGGGAGTCTGGCAAGGCAGGAAGGATATCCAGATCTTCGTCGAAGGGCAGAGCCGGCAACTGCGAGAGGTCCTCTTCGGCACCAGGGACTTGGGTGACATCCTTGACAGCTTCCTCAACAACCGGAGATCGTGGTGCAACGACAGGCAATGCAGACTCTTGGTCGGGAGTACTGCCCCGGCTCTCCGGCAGTTCAGGAAGAAGATCCAAGTCTTCGTCAGTGGGAAGAGGTAGAAGCTCTGGAGAAACAGCCTTGGGCAATGAAGAAGGCTCGGGCTCAGGAGAATCATTTCTGCTCTCAGGCAGCGCGGGCAAGACATCCAAATCCTCATCAACAGGCAGAGCTGGCAACTTGGACAAATCCCGCTCCTTCTCCTCTTCAGATTGCTCATGAATAACAACTGGGATAGTCTCAGGTTGCGGCTCAGGCGACTCGTTCCTACTCTCCGGAAGCTCAGGTAGGAGCTCAAGATCTTCATCCACAGGCAAAGAGACCGATTCCGGGTCTGGGAGACTGCGCTCAATGGCTGGGATATTGACAGCCTTGTCGATTTGGTCGCTGACGGCTTGTTCAACCTTCGGCGTCGAGGGCTGAGCAATTTCAGGAGACTCGCTACGGCTATCGGGTAGAGCAGGGCTATCGGGTAGAGCAGGTAAGAGATCGAGATCCTCATCAGCGGGCAGTTGAGGCAAGGTATCCAGCACAGGGAAGTACTCGTCAAGATCCCGCATGGGCGGCTCAACACCCAGAGTAGGCATTGCCGCAACTGGCGAAGCGTATCCTGATCCCTCGCGGCTTTCAGGCAAAGAAGGCATGGCCCAAAGACCGTCGTCAGATGGCAGGCGGACAGTCTCGGGGCTGACGGAGATGGGTAGCTCGGAAGTCTCTTCGATGGCCTTGACGGGTGATGAGACCTCTTCAACCTCATGAACACTCGGAATAGTAGCGGTGACAGGTGAAGCGTATCCCGAACCGGCGCGGCTCTCGGGCAGGGAAGGCAAGGCCCAGAGACCATCATCAGACTCAGCTGGAAGCGGCACGGACTCGGGTTCGGGGATGGTGATTGACAAGCCGTCCTCCGAGTCTTTGGATGGCTCGTCAATCTCTTTGTCGACTGAAATATCCTTGAGCTGGGCCACAGGCGTTGCAAACTCCCTTGACACAGGGGAGCTGGGACCACTCTCAGGAAGAGCGGGGAGAAGATCTAAATCCTGGTCGGTCGGGAGTGGCAGGAGTTCAGGAACAACTTCAAGTGGGAGGGCCTTTGAAACGTCCTCGGGAATAACCTCGGGAGCAGATTCGGGGATTTCAACCGGAGAAGAGACCGGGAAAGCAAGCTCCTTAGTAGGTGAGGCAGGAGCACTTGCTGGGAGGGCTGGGAGGAGGTCCAAGTCCTCGTTTACCGGAAGTGGTAGAAGCTCGGGGATAACCTCAACCTCAGGAATGGTCTCAACAGCATGCTCCTTTTCGATGATGGGCTCAACGACTGCTTCAATAACCGGGGAAGTGGCAAGCGAAGCGTGTTCCTTGGTAGGTGAGGCAGGCCCACTCTCAGGCAGGGCCGGAAGAAGATCCAAGTCTTGATCAACCGGGAGCGGCAAGAGTTCAGGCACGACCTCGGAAATGACACTCGGGACAAAATCCTTTTCGACGACCGCTTCAATAACCGGCGAGGTAGCAAGGGAAGCATATTCCTTAGTAGGCGAAGCAGGGCCACTCTCAGGAAGAGCAGGAAGTAAATCCAAATCTTGATCCACAGGAAGTGCTACATTCTCGGGCTCAGGGACAATTTCACGGACAGTCTCAGAGATAGCCTCAGAAACAGGCTCCTTCTCGAGCACGTGAGCCACTGGAGAAGCGGAACGGGAAACATACTCCAATGCCGGAGAAGCTGGACCGCTCTCGGGAAGAGCAGGTAGGAGGTCCAAATCTTCGTCAACCGGTAATGAGACAGCCTCAGGCTCAATTTCTTTGAGAAGCGCAGGGGAAGCGACCGGTGAAGTAGCAAGTGAAGCATGCTCCTTAGTAGGCGAAGCAGGAGCACTCTCCGGGAGAGCGGGCAAAAGGTCCAAGTCTTCGTCAACCGGCAATGAAATGGTCTCCGGCTCAGGCATAGGCTCCTTGGGTACCTCCAATTCACGGCTAACTTCCGAAACAAGCTCAGCCTCGTTATCTATCTCCCTCTCAACGGCAGGAGCAATAAACGGCGATGTAGCGAGAGAGGCATGTTCCTTCGTGGGTGACGCCGGACTGCTTTCAGGAAGCGCGGGAAGCAAGTCCAAGTCTTCGTCAACAGGTAGCGCTACTGTCTCGGGCTCAGGAATAATGACAGGCGAGGCGGCCTTCTCGAGAATGGGAGAAGTGCTTCTCTCTGGGGAAGTATTGCCACTTGCAGGAAGTGCGGGCAGGAGATCAAGATCCTCGTCAACCGGCAGTGTGATGGTCTCGGGAGTAACCTGTATCTCCTTGGGCGCGTCTGCAACTTCGGGGGCCAGAACAGGTAGAGATGGGGCAGCCTCGACCGTCGGAGAGGTAGCGATGCTGTCTGGTAGAGCGGGGAGGAGATCGAGATCTTCATCGACTGGAAGCTTGATGTTTTCCGGAACCGGGACCTCACGCTCAACGGCCTTCGACGTCTCCTCAACTACTTCCTCCACGAAAGGCAGGGATGGCATAGTCTCAGTTGTCGGGGAAGTAGTAAGACTGTCCGGGAGCGCAGGCAGAAGATCGAGATCCTCATCGACCGGTAGCGAGACAGTCTCGGGAGCTGGAGCGACAGAAACCGGGACTTCAATGGTCTGCGGTGTCTCGATAGCCTTCGAGGTCTCTTCAATTTCGGGTGCCGGGACTGAGAAAGAAGGCGTAGTCTCGACTGCCGGAGAGTCAGGCAGAGCTGGAAGTAAATCCAGATCCTCATCAACAGGAAGCTTAACAGCCTCCGGAGCCAAGATTTCTCGAGCCACGGTGGTTGGGACTTGGACGGCCTTCGGTTTCTCCTCCATTTCCTCGGCAACCTCTGGGGCCAAGATCGGCAGAGAGACGGGCATGGTCTCAGTAGTCGGAGACGAAGCAATGCTATCAGGCAAAGCGGGAAGGAGATCCAGATCCTCATCAACAGGAAGCTCGATGTCCTCTGGGATCTTGACGGTCTCCAAGGCAGGGATGGCTTCCTCCACCGGGGCGGATACAGCTTCCAGCTCGGACTTGACAACGGAGACAGGTGAGTCTGGCTCAGGAAGAGTAGGTGAAGAAGGGCCACTCTCCGGTAGAGCTGGGAGGAGATCCAAGTCTTCGTCCATGGGGAGCTTGATGGTCTCTGGAGAAGGAAGATGAAGATCTCTCTCAACCGGAGCGGGGACCTCAATAGCCTTGGGAACCTCAACCGCTTCAGGGATATCAGCAGCCGGAGCCTCCTCAACAACCTCCGGGGCAACTGCTGGCAAAGAGACAGGCACAGCAGACTCGGTTATCGGGGACTCGGGCAAAGCAGGAAGAAGATCCAGGTCATCATCAACGGGAAGCTTGACTGCCTCGGGGGCAGGGGCACGAAGAACCTGTTCAGCTGGGACGGATACAGCAGCTGGGACCTCGACTTCAACCGCCTTGGACGCCTCTGTGAGATCAGAAGCCTCGGAAACTTCAGGAACGGACACCGGCAAAGCCGCCACAGGCACAGCACTCTCGGTGGTCGGAGACTCAGGCAAAGCAGGTAGCAAATCCAGATCCTCGTCAATGGGGAGCTTGACGGTCTCTGGGGCGGGAAGAGCCTTCTCATCAGGAGCCGGGCTAGGGACTTGGACCTGCTCGAGGACCTCATCAACGGGTAGATCCTTTGAGAGATTCACAGGGGTGGCGATGGGTGAGCCAGCGTCACTCTCAGGAAGAGCCGGGAGGAGGTCCAGGTCTTGGTCAACAGGAAGTTTGACGGTCTCCGGTGCAGGGAAAACGGTCTCAATAGTCTCAGGGACCTGAGGCGTAGAAAGATCCACGGGCTTCAAAACTTCATCCTCGGCCTCAGTCTCCGGGGCAACAACAGGCGACATACCCCCCGCCTCACTTTCCGGCGCACTCTCCGGCAAAGCAGGCAGCAAGTCCAAATCATCATCCTCCGGGAGCTCAAAGCTCTCCGGGGGAGGAAGAGCCTCCTCGGTATCAGCCGGCGCCAACACAGCAGTAGCAGCGTTCCGTTCCACAAGATACAAAGGCTTCATCTCCCTCATCGAGCTCTCCCAGCTGCTCGGCCTCGGCCTGCTCCTGACCGGGGAAGTTCCACCGGAAGCGGTGGCGTCACCATGGGCGCTAAATGGCCTTGAAACAGGTGACTGCCCCCAGGCGTCAGGGGGTGGAAGCGAATGCACTGACCCGGACCTCTTCCCCTTCAACCGAAACTGGATAGGAACGGCGGTTTGGCTAGGTAGTCTAACTGGGGTGGTACCGTCCAGCGCACTACGGCTGCGAGTATGACCCCTCTGTCTCCTGACCATGGATTGGGTGCCCATCATTGCTGCTACGGCAGCCTTGAATGCATTGCTTGGAGAGCCAGACGTAGGTGGTGGGGTAGAAGGTCTGCTTTCCGGCAGTGCTGGAAGCTGTTCGAGATCAAAGTTAAGCGGCGAGGGCAAGTCTGCAAGGTAGCGGTACCCAGGTCCCGTGAGAGTAGGGTAAGGAGGCAAAGGAAGAAGATCACCATATTGGGGGTCGATGGCCGGGGTGATTGGTCTTTGGACTAGGACCTCAGGGTCGATGAACCGAGAATCCGTGTGTCGCAGTTGGGTCGGCTCGGGGGCACTGTCCGAGCCAGCGTTGCTGCCGTGTGATTTCTCCTCCTCCTCCTCCTTAGGCTTAGCGACGGGGATACTATCCATGGAGGCCTGGGTGGCATTTGGGCGAGGGAGAATCTGGGCCTCCGCTTCCTTGCTCTCAGAAGCGGTCGCAGCATCAGACTCTTCTGCCGAGCCGGCACCTGCGCCATGGGTGCCGGCATTACCTAAAAAAGACTGCTCCTCACTGTTGCCGTTCAGCTCGGTGGTGGTAATAATGTGGTCGTGCTTGCGGTCCGATGTCGAGCCATTGGTCTGGTTCTTCAGGAAATCAATGAACTCGTGGCTTGGTCGGCGGTCCGAAACACCATTGTGCTCGGTGCCGACCTTCTCGCCTTCCATCGCATTCTCATCAGAGGAATTGGTCTGGGAGTTCTCGCGGTCCACAACCTCAAACGAGAACTCCTTCCCCAGCCGATGATCTGGTGGCTCTCGGTTGTCCGGATTGAATGTCCTCTCTGGGTTCGTCGTGGCTTCGTCCTCGTCAATTTCCGCTTTTCGCGGAAGGGACTCCCACTCGTCACCCGTAGAAGTTTGAGTCTCGGGCTCCGCTGCCACGCCATCACGGCGCCAAGTATAGGTATCGGCATGAGTATCGGGGTTCGGATTCTCGCCGCAAACCACATCGGCGAAGTTATCGGAGAAGGTGGGGCGGTAAGGAGAGAAGATTGGTGGTTCTACGAGGCCTTTCTGGAGCTTGCGCTTGGGATTGACGGGGCTACTTGTTGGTTCATCGACAATCTGTAACTGGGTTAGCAATCGTAATCGTCCACTATGATGGTGGTCAATTCTCACCTGACGCGTAGCCTCATCTCCTTTCTCTTCATGAGATTCTCCCTCGGGAAGCGCACCCTGCTCCTCCTCCTTAAGCTCCTCTTTAGCCTCTTCATACTTGGGCTCTTCAGTCGCTTTCGGGCTCTCCGGTTCCTGAATGGTAATGGCGGGAACCGGGGCGGCCTCGTGGTGCGGCTCCGGATGCGGCTCGGGATCGGGATGCGGGGCTTGGCGGGGTAATTCAACGTCCGGCCGCACCTCGTTCTTTGTTGGCGCAGCAACTTCAACCTCGATCGGCTTTGTTTGGGGCTGGAGCTCCCGCGATTTCTGCTCTTCAGGCTGCTTCTCTTCGACGATCGGGGCCTCAACAACCGGAGCCGGGACCTCAACTTTGTTCTCGACTTCGGGAGCAAGGCTCTTCTCCTCTGCAGCCGGGATCTCGACCTTCTTCTCAGCAGCGGCCTTCCTATCCTCAGCAACCTTCTTGAGCACCGCATCACCAAGCGCTCCCCAAGCACTGCTCGCCTTCCTCTTAGGCTGCAATGCGCGCTTGATCGCTTCCACAGCCGCTTGCCTCGACCTGTCCGCAACAACGTGCGTCAACCCGGTATCAGCCACGGGCTCCACCCACCCATCTGACTTGACAGACTCGTTATCCTCATCTTTTGGGGTGGGGGCAATGATCTCAATTTCACCGCGGGCGTTAAGGATGTAATTCGGCTTCTTCGATTCTTCGGCGGCAGCGGGAGCTAGGTAGGGTTCCTCGGAGGAAGGCTTGGTCGTGACGGGTTCCGGCTCGGACTCGCGGGCGGCTTGTCTTGCGCGTTCCCTCCGTTGACGTTCAGGAGTGGGAGTGGGCGCTGGCGTAGGCAGCACCAAATTCAACAACGGCCTATCCCTCTCACACGACGGATCTCTCGAAGTAAACATCGGCTGTCCAGTGGGCGCATGAAGACTGGAGTGATCCTCCGCCGGCGTGAGGAACCTATGCAGATCTCTCGGCAAGATGACATGATCGATCTTCACATCGGCATTGGGCTCGGCGTACTTGCTCTTCTTGGGCTTTCCATCATCTGCGGGCTCAGCGGTGGCCCAGCTAGGTTCGGCCGTGATGATCGTTGGTTCCGCTGTGACGATGACAGGTGTCGGCGGTCCAAACAGGGCATCGTCATACTTATCCACGACTGATCGGCTAGGCGAGCTGCTGCGCAAGCGTTCCTCCCGCCGGTTGCCAACGTAGTCACGATACCACTTGTTGGCTTCAGCCTGAGGATCTGGCTTTGGCTCCGCCTCGCGAACGTGACTGGGTTGACGGCTCCGGCTACGAGTACGCCCAGGCTCTTCGGTCGTGTCGCGTAGTGGCTCGGATTCGCGAACACGGCTTCCTGCACGGTTACGGCTTCGGCTCCGCTCACGTTCAGGTTCCTCTGCCATCAAAGTCTCCTTGTCGGTCTCGGGAACGGTCGCTTTGTCAGCATCTTTGGTGGTTGGCTGCTCCGATGCGTTCCTGCTCCTGCGGATCTCCTCTTGACGCTGATGGATCTCAAACGAGTCACGACGAGTCACTCTCTCGCGAATCTCAAGTTCCGCATCGGTTAGTTGACGGATCATTTGACGGCGCTTGGGAGGCGAGAAATCAGGCTCGGGAACAGTGTAGACCTGGGGAGTCAGTGGCCTAGCCGGGGTAGCATAAACCGGTGTAGCGAACGCATCATCCGGAACCTGAAATTGGAATGGGTCAATTACGCCTTTAGGGGACTTCGAGGGGGATGGTCCTGGAGCTGGAGCTGCCTTGGAGTCGCGACTAACCTGGTCCTTGGTGGATTTCGAAGGCTCTGGCACAACGGGTTGGCTGGACTTGCGAGGTTCCTCGTCCTTGGGTTTCTCTTGTTGCTGCTCAGCGGCTTCAAGCTCGGCCAACTTCCTTGCCCGTTCCTTTTCGAGCTCGAGTTCCTTTTGCATTTCGGCGAGGAGTCGAAGAGTTTCGGCGCGCTTAGCACGTCTCTCCTCCTTGCTGGGCTTCTTGGGCTTCGGGTTGAGAGTGTCGCCCATACTCTCTCGCTTCTTCTCCGGAACGGATCGGGTTGGCTCTTCGACCTTGGGCTTAGGCTCGTCTTTCGGAAGGTCGCGCTCGTTGATGACGGTAACAGCCTCACGCTTGGGACGGTGATGCTCCTCCCGGTCAGTCTCCTTACCTGTATTGGAGCGCTTTTCCTCGGGAGACTCATCCCTCGGTTGCCGGCTAGTGCTACGGTGCCTGGGCTCAACATCGACAACCATGTTCTCCCTTTCAGCGCGATATCGAGCATCATGCATCCGTCGCTCCTCCTTGTACTGCATTTCACGAGCTTCTCGGACACGGCGTTCGTACTGTTCACGGTAATCGGCTTCGTCACGGAGACGCCTAGCTTCCTTGGCGACAGCCTCAAGCGCAGACTCGCGGGTCTCGAGCTCTCGTCGGGCAGCAATAGCAAGATCCTCCGCCTCACGACGGACTTTCTCTAGATGCTCACGCTCTTGACGTTCCCGCTCAGCAGCAGCTGCTGCGCGTTCCAACGCTTCACGGCGGGCCTTCTCAATGGCTTCCTGAACTTCGCGTTCCTGGGCCTCGCGACGAGCCTTCTCAAGAGCTTCGAGTTCCCGTTGAGCGGCAGCGGCAGCGGCAGCGCGTTCTTCAGCCTCCCTCTGCATCTTCTCAAGGGCCTCACGCGCTTCCCGCTCTTCGCGCTCCCTCTGCGCGGCGAGTTCAAGAGTAGCGGCAGCGGCACGCTCCTCTGCCTCCTTCTTCTCGCGAGCCTCCCGCTCAGCAGCCTCCTGAGCTTCACGCGCTTCACGCTCCCGCTTGATGGCGGCGGCAGCACGGGCCTCCCGTTCTTGGCGCTCCTTCTCAAGACGCTCCTTCTCAGCCTCTTCGGCTTTCCGGCGCCGCTCTTCCTCCTGCTGTACACGTTGCTTGTACTCGGCCAGAACGTGGTTGGGGTCCAGGTTGCGATCCTCTTCGTCGTCTCGTCGGTTTCGGTCCTGGAAAAGGGCAGTTCCAATGAGTGCTGCGGCAACGCCGGCAGCAGCTGGGTCGGGAAACTTGGGAACATCGGAGGTTAGGCGGCTGTGGCGGTCTTCGAAGTCGTGCCAATCATCGAACTCGAGGTCACGGGTCGTAGGGAGCGGTACTTGGACATGGACTGGAACGTGGGAGGTATGAGAAGTATGGGAAGCATGCGACTGGACGTGAGACGAAGCACGTGAGCGATGTTGTCGGTAATTGGAAGGCGGCGTGTCATCTCGGATCACTTCATGTTTATCAGCTGCAGCTCCAATGGACTTGGCCAAGGCAGAGTCGGCCACAAGATGCCTACCATCGGCGGATCTCTGGCGCGGCATGGGGTGTTCCTCCAGGGCGCGTGTCGAGACCGGAACACGGGGCTTGGGGGCCTGGATGGCAACAGAAACGGGTCGTGACGTGATCAGAGGTGAGCCGGATACCAGAGTTGGACTGGTGACAGCATCGAACCTGTGGGGATCCGGAAGAGGATCGTTCTCGAATCTGTTAAGCCAGGGCTTCGACTGACGGGGTGGAGGCGCGTTCTCGGTCGATCGAAACCCATTCAGAGGAGTCACAAGGCCGTGCAAGGAGTTGACGGGACCAAACTTGGAGGGATCGATGGCCTTGTTCCTGACATAGGGTTTCTGGGGGCTGATAGTCGGTGGTGGAGGCGCGGCAGCCGGGGGAGAAGACAGCTTATCGTCCGAGAATTGAGGTGTTGAGCCATAGGCGAGGTCAGAGTCACTAGCGCTGGCCTCCTCCGTGTTGTCACCCGAATCGGAGTCCGAATCCGAAGCCGTGTCCCAGCCCTGATCATGGTCATTTTGTTCGTTGCGCTTGGACTTGGAGGGAGCAAGACCGCGGCGTCCATTCCTCCTCGAATTCTGGCGGCGGAAGTTGGAGATGGCGGTTGCGGCACCTACCAGCTGAGATGGACGTTGCTTGCCAGCCCTTTCCAGATCGCGAAGGTTGGAGGCCCTAGCAAGGTCAGAGATCTTGCGCCCAAGTTCGATAATCTCCTCGTCGGTCTTTGTTCGCGCCAAGTTAGGTCGACCATCGGGAGTAAAGAGCTCTGGATCGTGTTCGGGCTGGTCATGGTAGTGCTGCGCAGGGTGCTGATAAGCATGGGGTTGCTGCTGGTGGTATTGCTGATGCTGGTGGTGATAGTAAGGCTCGGAATGCGCATGTGAGTGCTGTGGATGCTCTGGTCGTGGTGTGTGCTGGTCCGAGTGCGCATACTGGTCCTGGGGCACATATGGTCGTGGTGTGTGCTGATCCGAGTGCGCATACTGGTCCTGGGGCACATATGGTCGTGGTGTGTGCTGGTCCGAGTGCGCATATTGGTCCGGGGGCACATATTCTGGGCGCTGGTACTCATGCTGAGGCTCGTACTGATGATGATCCTTGTACTGATCCTTGGGCTGGTCCTTGTGTTGATACTCCTTGTCGTGGTGGGAGTGTTGAGAATAGGTCTGGCTAATCTTCCTCTGCGGCCCGCTCCTTCTCCTGGCACCTCGCTGCGACTCTAGGGAAGACCTGGACTGGTACCCGCCATAGGCCAAGTTGCTGTCGATGGAAGACGAGGAGTAGTTCTTCTTGCGAAAAGATCGGCGCTTCCGTACTTTCTTGGAGGATGCCAAGGAAAAGAAAGAGCGGAAGCCCCATCCCGTGTTTTTGGGGGCGCTGTCTTCGTCGGAAGAGGTGACGGCGGAAGACGAAGTGCTGGAGTTGGCGCGGGATCGGGTGGATGACGGGCCGGCGGCAGCAGTTTGGCCCACGGCGGCGGCGGCGAGGGCGGCAGCGGCGAGCTGTTCTCTGGAATGGCGGCGGTCAGCGCGTCGGCGGCGCTCCCTCTCGGGGCTCCGGCGGCGTTGATCTCGCGGAATCATGGTTGACCGCTTGGGTATAAGATATGATGTGTTTCGTTACGGGCCATTCATTTGCGGTTGGCGATGTGTATGCGTCGTTGATGTTGATGCAATTGGTAGGGGGTGTCGTTCATTCGTTACGGTCGTTCAGTTTGTGTCTAAGCTTCTTTTCTTCGCGTAATGGGGTATCGATATGTCTTTTTTGCAAAACACTACGACTAGCATGTGGTAAGCGATCGCGATACTAGACACTATGGTGGATTGGATAGGTATTTTGGTGTATTTTTGGTGAGGTTGTTGCTGTCATGGATTCACACGTACGGAGCTGAGAGCTGAGAGCTGCTTCGGTTGGAGGCTGGGGACGGGGGGACTGTTTGGACTGGGGTTTGGATCTCGATTATGGATTCTCTGTTTCTGGTGAAGGGTCCCCCGGGCAGCGAGCGCAACAGCGAACAGCGTTAACAATTATTGATTTTGGTATTTTCTGGGGTATAATGGGTTGTAGTGGTAAAGAGTCGTTGTTGTTGTTGTTGTTGTGTTGTATGAGGCTGGACCCTTGACACTCTATTCAGCCCTGCTGTAAGGAGTGTGTGTGTTTGTGTGTGAGGTGGTGAACAAGGTGTTGATTGAGTGTTGAAGAGTCCCTTTTCAAAATGACTTTGAAAGATAGAAAGGTTACAGTCAGATGGAATTAGCCAGGAATTGCCCGTGTCCCTCTCCACGAGCTGAGAAGGAAGGAACAAGCGCCGAACCGACGATGCCCTGCGTGGAGACAGAAGACCCAGAAGACCCCGATCCTGCCAATTGCTACGTGAACCAATCCCAATTGGTTTGATGATACACTTGGGACCCGCAAATTTGATCTCAGGTGGCAGGAAGGAACACCACAAGCAAGGCGTTTGAGAGAAGACGTGAGGAGCAGACGTGAAGAGGGCCTTCCATTTCTTGGGATTTCGTTGCTTGGGATGAACACGACGTTCCCACCACGCCAACCACTCTCCACTCGCGGGAGAAGGAGCCATACTACCATCCTTGACACCTTGGGATGGATGGATCTCCACGAATCGAAACATTGTTTGAACTGGAGGCTCCACATTGGCCGGGCCCGACCTCTTCCCAATTCGATGTTTTCTCATGTCTCGAACCCAGCTGAACCACCAGACGACTCAACGCGACTTTTTTCTTCCTCACCACCTGCCAGTCAGTGCGGCACCACCTGAGACACCCTCATCTCCCCCTCACAAGCACAACTCACAAACACCACCACCACCACACAAAGTTGTATGTGTCTCACAGCATGTCCCGACTCCCGCGCCTCGTCCCGCGGCCGAATCATGATGTGCAGCCGGGGGTGCTCTGGAAGTGGTGTACAGTAGCCTACACCGGCGTACAGTGGTGGGTATTTTTCTGCCCTTTTGCGTCCTCGTCTGGGCAGTCTACCCTTGCATCAGTCTCACCGCTCAATTGGCCCATTCCGACTTCTTTCCCTCACAAGGTTCAATCGGCAACCTCTCCCACTGGTTGGTTGTTCTCCCACACCAAAAGCCCAACAGCGAGTCCACACGTGTACAGAGAGTCACTGATCAGAAGTTACTCAGAAGGCAAAATAGAACGTGAAGAGGGGCTTTTTTGGTGGTGTGTTTCTCAACATGGTGCAGAGATTCCCTCCGCCCTCAGATCGCCCCCCTCTGAGCCCCTCCTATCCAATCCTTATCGCGCATTGTTCGCCTCGCCATCACTTGCTCGAGCTTGCCTGTTATCGTGAAGCAGCAAGAAGCCACTGCAGTCATGGATGAGTACTGTGTTCATGTGCCTCGACGTCAGATCCGATCGGGCATCTGTAAGCCTGAAAGCTGTCGTGAGGTTGAAATAAGCGCAGCGTGCCTTTTCTTCCATCCGATGGTTGGCAGCTTGGCTCATTGGGTTTTTGGGTCGATGGCATCTGTCATCCGAAAGTCTTGATCCTGAAACTGAAAGTTCAGATGGAAACCCAAAACCCAACTTCATGACCACAGATCTTAGTCAGTGCTCGAAACCTGACAAGAGATCTTTAAACACTTGTCAGTGATACCCAGCACATACAAGCTGTGAGAAACACAAAGTTGGGTATCAGTAACCAACCCTTCCAGAAGAGTTCTGACTTGCATCTTCATGTCTCAACCCTCCTACTCAGTTGAACGGCCTTGCCGAGGCCGGATTTCACGCCCAAAGTTCAGGCCGGGAGAACATTGGAATAAGTCGTCATTGGTTGAAAGCATCAATGTAAGAGTTGAAGCTGAGCGGAAGTCTCCGGCGCATTCAACTTCGCAAAATGACCACTTCGAAGGCATCACACGTCCAGTCTTCGCGTGAGCTCTGGCATATGTTTGATATCTTCGATCTACTTTTCTTTCCAGATATACGGCTTCTTCGTCTCCTACGCGTGATGGATGTCCCTGAGGATTGCTCCTCCGGCGTCAAGTCGGCTGTGATCCTTCTCATGTTGTGGCCTCAATCACAGCATAGCAGCTTGCTCTGGGCACAGGTTGTCATGTGAACTGACGTTAGTCTGAAAGTCTATATCGGGCTCTCTGAACCAGGTAATATCGGCCAAGGGAGCTTCTTGCTACCTTAGTTATCTAGCCAAACGATGGGGGGAAAAAAAAAGAAGGAAGGGACAAGACATGGAGCGCAAGATAAAAAGAAGAGAGGAAAGGAAAGAAAACAAGAAGTCGTGACATTATGCATGATGCCAACACCACTCACCTACATAGCACGATGATATACTCATGATACGCTACTACCTGACTAGAGTCAGTCCACAAGACAGCAATCATCGGGAATACAAAGCAGAAAGAGAAAAAAATCTTGAGAGAAAGACGACAATAACAGCTAGAACACACACTCCATCATCATATTCGTCAATAACGTCCGCAAAAATAAAGGGACACCCGACCCCATTATCCAAACCGTTACCGTTCGCATGCTCCATTGATAACCGCTCAGAAAAAAAAAAGCAACACATCCCCCAAGTAGGTGAGATCGAGATCGAGTTCATCGATTGGTCTCTTTAAATTACAGTTAGAGGTTCCATGACTTCCACTTCATAAGTGTCCTCTCTACAATCATCCATCCTCAACTACAACAGCCAGCCATAATATGAGTACTGTACTGTACCTACCTAGACAAACGAAATCGACGTGAATGACTGGACCGGCCCTCTAGAACTAAAAAGGAAAAGTCAATCAGGCAGAAAGAGAACAGAGAAGCCACTCAGCTACGAACCTCACAGGCCTAGACTAGGCAGTCCTATCTCGCAGCGAGCGAGGTCTAGAACTAGGCACAGTAAAACGTAAGCATTTCAGCCGTGCGTGATACGTTTGATTACCTACTTTCTCATGTCTTTCAAGCATCCTGTGGGATCGATCCTTGTCGTGAAAAACCAAGCCAAGCTCATCAATGAAAAGAGTGTAACGAACAGGAACAACCTGTGTAGGAGAAAGGGATGTATGTGACTCAGTCTGCAAACGGCAAGAGGAGAACATACCTCTAGGTAAATATTGAACACCGGACCTAGGTAGCCTTCTCCGCTCAGTCACTAGGTACCATGATGTATCTATCGTCCATAAATATCAACATCAGAAACTTCAACAGCTGACTGGCTGTACTATATCGTATGTTAAGAGAACAATGCCGACAGACACCGGTCTTCGTAAAGTATTTGAGCAGGAACAAGAAGAAGTTGGTATATAAAGGAAGTAAGTATCTCAAAACATCCAGCTGGGCTGCAGATCATCATACAGCAGAACAGAACAGAACAGAACAAAAAGCGATCACGACGCTCTCCTCTCCACCACGCTTTCACCCCGCTATCCAAACGCAGAACAAAGCAACAGACCGCCCGCCCGCCATCCATTCATATCCAAACAACAACATCAAACGCTCCTACCCATTCAGCACCAACCATACCAGTACTACATACTCAACTAAACTAACCTAATGCCCATACTCCAAATGCGGCACAATAACCGGCCCATACTTGGTCGTAGCCGTAAACGCCCCATCACCCTGCACCACAAAATCCACCGCCAAACTGAGTTTATTCAGTCCGGAACCACCACCACTCCCGCCACTCGCTATGCTGGCAGCATACCCATTCTGTTGTTGTTGCATACCATTCATCCCCCCAGCAACAGCCTCAGGATCATAAGCAACAATAGCGACATAATTCCTCCTCGCCATGAGTTTCTTATACTCCCTCGCTGCCCCGCTCGCATCGGTATGGAAGATCTCCATCATGTCCTCCTTGGTGTCGGAGACTTCGTGGGTGGATTTGTGGCCGTTTAGGGGCACATAAAGCAATTTGTTGGAGTTGGAGCCGGAGTGGAGGGCTTTGAGCAAGTAGGAGGAGCAGGGGGCGGCGACGATGGGGGAGGTGATTAGTTGGTACATGGTTTTGTGGTCGGAAGGGTGGGAGGGGTCGTGCAGGAGGCCGGCGCCTGCGCTGTTGACGTCTTGATTGACAGCCGAATGTTAGTGAGGAACGGGAGAGAAGAAAGAAAAAAAAAATATAAAATAAAAAAGAAACATACCACCAGACAAAAACGTCATCCTAATCCCCTTCTGCTGGGCGATTCCTTGTAGTGTTCGAACAAGGTAGGTCCTCTCCAAATCCTTACTCTCATGCGTCCACAAATCCTTCAACTCCTCCGCGATATCAAACTCGCCAAACTGATTCAGCACATTGCCCATCAACCCACTCTTCCCCACCGCCCTTTTCACTTCCTTAAACCCGTGCGCCACCACCTCTTTACCACCCACCACACCCGCCACCGAGCTCGTCACCTTGCCCAGCAAGTTATACGTCGTATTAACCGCCTTCTTGCCCGTCGCAAACGTATTCGCCAGCGTCTCCACCGTTTCCAAGCGCGGGTAAACCACGGGCACGGATAGCATCCAGATACAATGCTGCACGCTAGGCGGCAACATAGCCACCTTTGGAAACAGACCTTGGTAGGTAGGACCGGCCATCACGCGCGTTTGTGTGCGTTCGGAGCGGCAGTCTGGACCGACGATGACGACGGCGGGACCGAGGTACTTGACGAAATGCCATCCTGCGCCGGTGATGGTGAAGAGGTCCATGTCCGATGAGACATTGCGGAGCATTTCGACGGTGGTGTGGTGCTGGAAGAGGAGGTACATGTCTATAGCGATGCGACCAATATTCTTGAAAATCGCCGACGACTGCATGTACTCCGGATAACTTCCAAACCCATCAAAGATATCGTGGTCATCGATCTGCAAGACATGCGGAATCTGCGCAAACGCCTCGCGCATGAAGGGTTGATCAAAGTGGCTCGTGTAATAATGGAAGTAAGCATGCGTAACATCTTCCTCGTGTCTCGCCGTCCAAGGGACATTCTTCCTGTTTTCTCTCCCGGCGATGCTAAGCCATTGCTTGAGGATAGGCACCTCGCGCCAGAGTCGATCACCATAAATCTGGTCGCCCAGACCTAGCTGGACATGAAACCCGCCGCACTCGACGTTCTTCTGGAGGATATCCTTCCACATAAAGCCCACCCCGCCGAGCTTGGCGCGCTCGTTCTGGTTTGTAGAGGGAGCAAAGTCATTCCCGGAATGCGCAATCATCCGCCACCCGGTCTCGTACCGGCCCGCGACGATGAACTCGTAGCGCGTGCAGCCGAGGTGCGAGGTGACGGCATAGGTCCAGCGTTCGGTGCCGTGCTCGGACATTTGCAGGTCCATGTCGTACTTGTAGAACACCCAGCGCTGGTGCGTCCAGATGTTGTGCGGGATCAGCTGGCGCGGGTTCGGGGAGAGGTCGACGCTGAGGTGGATGTGGATGGTGGGAGGTTGGGGCGCGTCCGTCACGATCATGATGCTGCCGTGCCAGATGCCCTTTTCCAGGTCCATGTTGACGTAGCGCAGGTAGGGGCCGAAGTAGACGCCGTTGGTGGGCATGATTTTGTACATGTCTACGCCGGCGCTGGGGGGCGGGCCGGTGAAGCCCGAGGGAGCGGCGGAGGCGACGGTCATGATGCTCTCGGCGTAGCCGGGGGTCTGGGGGTGGAACATGGGAGAGGCTAAACCGGCCTTGCCGCCGAGGAGAGGTGAGGCAAGAGGGTTGCCGTAGGTTGACGCCGTGGGAGACAAGGGCGCCGCTTCGTGGGTGATGGGGTTGGGACCCTTGGGGAATTCCCATTGCGTGGCCTGAGTGGCCAGGTGGATGTAGTAGTACTGACCCGAGTTCTGGTCAAGGTGGGCAATCCAGCCTTCAGGCAACGGCGGCGGTGCCTGAGTGGAAGCCAGGAGAGACGGCGTGTGTTGCAAGGCCGGATGTCCGACATTGTGGGCAGCCTGAGCCGGGTGTTGCTGGGGCTCATTGGCAAAAGCCGGGTGTCCGGGGTGCTGTTGCGCCGGAGTTTGAGGAGCAACAACGGCAACGGGCTTGGGCTTGTGGATGGATGAAGACGGCGCCGGAGAGGCAGTATTCACTGGCCGACTGCTTCCAGAAGCAGCTGTTGCCGGGCGAGAGGTTGGGTTCGGAGTGGCATTGTTGTTATTGGCAGTGGCCGGATGTGCCTGGGTCGGTCGTTGTTTCTCAGCTGGGTAGCTCGAAGAGGCATTCGGAGTGACACTGCTGTAAGCCGGAGGAGGAGTAGAAGCCTGCATGCGCTGGAAGTCCTGCTCCAGAACGCTCACTTGGAGGCTAGATCCAGCCGGCGCATTGGACGCGGGCTCGGGGTTCTTGGGAAGGTTGAAGCTATTCTGCTGCTGGGGCTGGGGCCTCGCTGGCTGAGGGTTCTGGGCTACCGCATCGCCTTGGTAGACGGTAGGGGGCCCGAACGGTTGTTGATCCGGAGACTCGGTGGGAGTCCAAGGACGAGGCGGTTGCGCCTGCGCTTGAGGTTGCTGCTGGGACTGAGCGTGCTGTGGTTGAGACGGAGGTCTCTGTCCACCATATTGCGCCAAACGCGACTGAGCCGCCGCACTTTGCGCACTTTGCGCCTGGAGACTCGTGAGGGTTGCGGTCCCCGAAATACCAGCAGCGGCATAGCGCGCTTCGATTCCGCCTCCTGGGATCACACCCGGCTCAACAATGGGTGTCTCGGGAGGAGGAGGCGACCCACGGCTAGCCCTCGTGGTCGAAGTCGAAGCCGTCGAAGAGATACGAGCAATGCTAGGCTCCGAGTTTTTGCGAACGTTGCCACCTCCGGGAGGAGGGTAGTAAGGCTTTTGCTGATAGGCATTGGAGATTTTCTGCGCAGGATGCGCAGGCTGGGCTGGCTGCTGGGTAGGCCGACCCAAGGGCTTCGCGAACAGATCATCCCCATTGGGACTATCGGGACTCTGCAGAGGCTTGGGAACAGCTCCGCGCCTATCCGCCAAACCAGGCTTCTTCTCAATAGGACTTATGTTCAACCGCGGAGTGGTATCGTTGTGTAACTGGGGGCTCGAGGATGCCGGAGGGGGGCTGTAGATGCGCCCAGTGCTGGAGGCCGGAGAGGGCCTGCGCACATCATCGACGGGGTATGGTGCTCGGGCTGGCTTGGAGGCCTGTGTAGGTCGAGAGAGGTCGTCGTCCGGGTACGGGAGAGGGGCGGCCGAACTCGAAGCTCCGGGCGGGAGAGGGAAGGATGGCAACGGAGGTAGGCCCGGGAGGCCGGGTAAAGGGGCGACGGACGACGCTGCCGACGATGTTGGCGGGGCGGGGTACTTGTAGCGGTTCTCAGATGCCTTATCGGCGGCACCTGGTGGTTTCGGGCTCATGGGCTTGAAGATTCTCAGCGGCTCAACGGTGGGACTATCGCAATCCTCATCCGAAGGGCGAGGCCTGCTGATGAAGAGTTCCTCATCAGGAATACCGCGGGGTCGAGACATGTTGACTAGATTTGGTGTCTGGATAGATATCTGGTAAGGAGTGGTGGTTATTTTGGGAGAGCGGCTATGCGCAACAACGGGCTGGCGTTGTTTCGGGGTGTCGAAGGATTCGGGTAGACAAACGGTCTCTTGTCACTCTTGATCGAGCGTGGGTTATTTCCGGATGTTCTCTTGAATCTCCAACTTGTCGATCTCGTCGTTTGGAGTTCTCTTAGGGGTTCGTGATTACCCCTCCTTGGTGTTGAGGATGGTGAGGATAGTAAAAGATAAGGCAGAAGAAGATCAACAACACAACAACCTCGTTGCGCTCAACTTGTCACAACCAAGTCACAAGCTGAAGTCTCTCAAACTGAAGCAAGCCAAACAAAAAAAGTCAGTTGAAGATGGACTTGTTGAAACAAAAGCGTCTTGTATCAGAAAAAGGGCCAGACCGGGAACAAGGTGATCAATATGCGGCCAGATGTGCAGGCCACACTGACTGGACTGGGACCTGACATGGGCGGCGCCAGGCACTTGATGGAGAAAAAGACCAGGGGCAAAGGTTAGTCAGGCTTCAACCCTGGGCGGCAGTCGGGCTCGCTGGTTCACTGTATAAAGTGTCACTCACATCACAAGCTGTGATTGGCCTCGGATGGCCTCTCATGGCAGCGCTTATGAGCTTGGAGATGGGGGCTTGATTGGACGAGAGCGGTTGCAAGCGCCCACCAAGCTCACCCTGTCAGGTTCTCAGGGTGGTAAAGATTTTTGTCGCAGGCGTCAGAGGACTCCGACCCCGACTCCAGTGTGCTGTTATTTGCGGGTGAACTCATGATGCAATCTCGTGAGACCCAGTGTTTGCTTTTCAGCTTTCGAGTTGATGAAGGACAACACGCGTCTTGTGGTATCGTTGGTGAGATGAGCTGTGGATGAAAGAGTCCCCCGCAGTTTGTTATTGATTCGTGATGTTATAGCACTGGTTAGATGGCGGGGCAACCCGGGCTAACCCGGGCTATCCTGGTCAAAGCGCCTAAACAATGGGCCAGGGGTAGGGGAAGTTGTTTGAAGAGTCTCTCTTCATTCTGTTCTCAGTTCCAACAAAGGACAATTTGGAGTTTTCGTTGTCTTTTCAAGAGCCCCTTGTACCTGGTGTTTGTACTGGGTTAGGTTCATAGTCACAACATTGGATGGTGCATGTGACTGTGATGTGATGAGTGCTTGCTTCCACTTGAGCTGCTTAAGGTAAAGACTTACAAGTACAGTACCTTCTCAGATGTCTTGTCATTTTCGTCTGGCATTCGGTAAAAATGCACTCTTGAAGTACGGCTCAAACAGCCAACTTGTCAAATTGCAATATTTGAGACATTCCATGCCGTCTCACCAACTCTATAGTGCGGGACTGGATGAGGTTTTGATGCTGTGTTCCAAAACATGATCTCTCTCGACGACGGCGGCCAACCGGGGGAGCGGGGCCGGCCGGGAAGTCCCCCAGCAGTTTCCAAGCCATTGCTGCAGCCAAGCTCCAGGCCAGTTCCAGGCTTCATAACCTAGCAAAAACACCAAGAACACCAAAACATCGAATTTGGGATGGTGAACTTGATCTTTGAAAATTCTTCATCAAGATTCGGACCCGGACCCCGCCGATCTTCGCTCTGGAGGTTGCCCATTCTTCAGCTGTCAAATTCTTCACCTACACTGGTTCATCTTGAGTCGACAGAAATCATGTGTTCGGAACCAAGCGAACAGGTTTCTCCTCCTTGGATGAACACCTTCTCGAGTCTGTCCCTGCAGTGGTGAGCTGCGGTGCATGTGCAATGGTGGTTCGGGTTGTTAGACGCTACACTGGATTCTAGCCATCACCTGGCCTGCGGCTGGCACGGGATGCCTGATTTGCCCTGGTCGTTACAGTGCCAATTCTCGCCAATCCAACAACATGTCCAATGCTGCATGCCCTGGCTTCATCCCGAACAGAGATTCACACTGCTCCTCAAAAGACCAGAGATCAGGGAGCACAAACCCCAGACTCTTGTCCCCCACGAAAAGGGATTTGTCAATTGGTTTCAATTGGAGACTTTTGTTTGGTTCGTGAGAGAGAGGCTGGTGTTGAGTGAGAGACGTCAAGTGACGAACAGGACGGGAAGGTGAATGCGTGTGTGTCAAAGGAACTCGCCTCGACCACAGCCACCCTGTTGAACATGTCTACTTTCCTGTTTCTTTTCTACTTTTGTTCTGCTTCAAGAGAAGACAGTCCTGTTTTCCATATCTCCTACATTCGACCTATATATTTCTCAAGATAAGGTGGGAAATAGTAGGCACTCCTACGCGCCATCCTTGTCTCCTGCCCCGTCTCCCACCGCGGACATATGCAACTTCAACGACGTCACTTCTAACTCCCCCGTCTTCCCCGGATCAACGCCAAGCCAGGCCGGTGCCGGCCCTTCTAGCCTTAGCCTTGTTCAAAATTTCATCTACCCCTCCTCCTCGTCCTAGGTTACCCTCGTCTTCTTACGACTCGTCCTTTTCCTTCTATTGCTTCATCGTGACCGTGTATAAGGGAACCGTGAGACCCTCGAGCCCTCCAGCTCCACCCTTCTCTCTTCCCCTTGTCCCCGTCCTACCCATACCTCTTACCGTCTTCGCCATGTCTCTGAACCGTGTCTCCTCGTTGGAGACCTTTGCTCCTCTCCTCACAGAAAACCGATCTAGGAGAAGCTCGGATGCCTCGACTCGTGCCCGCAAGATCAGCTTCAACCCTCTCCCGCCATCATGGGATCCTCCAGCTTTGGAACAGATCCAGGCCGTAGGTGCCTTTGAAGTACCAAGGTGGAAGAGAACGCGTATGTCATCTGTACCCCCAAACTTATCCAAGCATGTGATACTGACCATATGTCTCTTCTTCTTCTCCATATAGTCCAAGTCGTAGTCGCCGTCATATACTGCCTCTTTGCCGCCGGAATCGTCTTCGGCTATGCCGCCATCAAGCCCGTCCTAAAACGAGAGGGTGCCTACCAAGATGTCTGCCGCGTCGATCCTAACGATGAGGACGCCATCAGCGAAGACACATGCGTCGAGATCCATCTAAACCTTATGTTTACCACGGCCGCCGTGGCTACCAACGTCGCTGCCCTTCCCGTCGGCGCCATCCTGGATCGCTATGGTCCCCGTGTCTGCAGTCTACTGGGAGCTTTCTTCCTCGCTATCGGTGCTTTGTTCATGTCCTTCGAGAACAAATTACCCTTTGACGGCCTGCTATTCGGATACCTCTTCCTGGCCCTCGGCGGACCGTTTACCTATATCTCGTCCTTCCAGCTGTCCAATGCCTTCCCCAAGAACTCCGGCTTGATCCTCGCCCTCCTGACAGGCGCCTTCGACGCCTCGAGCGCTCTGTTCCTGATATACCGCGTCATCTACGAACAAACCAACGAAACCTTTGGCCACCAGAGCTTCTTCCTCGCCTACCTGGTCGTCCCAGCCGCCATCGTCGTCATTCAATTCGTCCTAATGCCTGCACAATCCTACAAAACCGTTGGTGAACTAGTGGAGGAGATCGAGGAGCCCATCACCGCGGACCTGGAGCCCTACGACCAGATCGACGAGGAGACTGCCTTGCTCCACGAAGAGGAGAGACAGCATCGCGCCGAGGTGGTCTCGGGTATCCAGGAGTTGCTCGGAACTACCAAGGCCGATAAACAAGCCAGGAAGGAAGAGCGCAAGAACGAGATCTCGGGAGTTTGGGGTGTCATGCATGCTTATACCGCTTGGGAGCAGATTAAGTCTCCTTGGTTTATCCTTATTTGCTTGTTTACCGGTACGTCTCCCCTTCCCCTTCTTTCCCCTCCCCTATCTGTTTTCCCCCTCCTTTTGACCTCCCATACTAACACCCCCCAAGTCGTCCAAATGACACGCATCAACTACTTCGTCGCCACCATCCGGGTACAATACGCCGCCCTCCTCTCCTCCCCTGCTCTCGCCGAGCGCGTAAACGATTTCTTCGACCTCGCCCTCCCCCTCGGCGGCATCCTCTCCATCCCCTTCATCGGCGCCATCCTCGACCGCACCTCCACCCTCACCGTCCTCACCACCCTCGTCGCGACCGCCACCACCATCGGCATTCTCGGCATCATCACGCACTCCATGCTCGCCGCTTACGCCAACGTCTGCCTTTTTGTTTTGTACAGACCGTTCTACTACACCGCTGTATCCGATTACTCGGCCAAGGTCTTCGGCTTCAGGACGTTCGGCACCGTGTACGGGACGATTATTTGCTTTGCTGGACTGTTGAATTTCAGTCAGTCCGGGTTGGATTACTTGCTTCATGAGACCTTTAACGGGGACCCGGTGCCCGTGAACGTGGGACTGATGGCCGCGGGACTGGTGATTGGGGTGGTGATGGTCATGTTTGTTGGAGTGAAGGCGAGGGGGATCAAGAGGAAGTTGTTGGAGGAGGAGGCGAGGGGGGCGTTTGGGGGGAGTCACGGTACGAGGGAGTGGACGAACTGAGTGTCACGGTCTGTGGGATGAGATTGATGCCATCCATCACCTCGTCCTATACCAAAAGGGGAAACAGGAAGAAAATGCAGCAGAGAAGATGACGTCTTCAATGAATGAAGAGTCAATCTGACACAGCTGGGAAAGCAGGTAAAAAGGATGGAAGGACGAAAAGGTACTACTGTACCGCAAATGGTCATGCCGATGAACAACCGCAAAAAAGGTGGATATGAAGAAAAGGAAGAAATAGTCGGGTGTACGGGAATGGAAATATGCATGGAAATGTGTTATGGTTGACGATTTCTTTCGCATGGCACAGCCAGCCGGGCGTTTGGGAATGGAGTTCGTGTTTTTTTGTCTCTTTTCTTGCTTTTTGGTAGCAAGCAACTCGTGGCATTTTTTTTTATCTCATTCTCCAAGCAAAGATTGATCGAAAACATATGGGGGGGGGGAGGGTTTATTTGATTGGTGTCGAAGAGTTGCTGAAGTGTTGCTGAAGTGTTGCTGAACTGTTACTGAAGTGTTACTAAACTGTTGCTGAACTGTTGCTGAACTGTCACTGGAATACAGCAAGCAAAAGGGCGGGGAGTAAAGAAAAAAGAAACAATGGACGAAGAAGAATGGATGAAGGAATCAAGGATTGTAACTAACTGATAACATCGAAGGTTAGTTAGCCCAGCCATCTTCCGAGTAGCATCAATAGCAAGCAAGCATATTTATTATCTTATTCTTAAGAGTTGGTGTTGTAGTTCGCCTTGTTGTCTGTCTGCTGGTGGTGACATGCACAGTCACAGGGAAAATTCATTGTTGATAGTCAAGCCAACTTCAGTTGTAGTAAACCATCCATTCATACGTGTTATTAGCATCCGTGGAGCTTTCTGAGTTCTTGGGAATGAGCTACCTACCTACTGCTACCTACCTACTTATCACATATGTAGAACTATAACGAACCTTCAGAGTTCAAGGTCGGGATGTTTGTTGTAAATCATCGTGTGCATTTGTACCTAGGTAATTTTCACATTTGCAAACCTAGATCGCCGCCACTTGACGACCTTACTTTCTCTGGAGAAGATGGGGAGTTCCAATATATATTTTCCTTGGGGGCTTTTTACCACTCACTCACTGCTTCGTCAGTCACTCACTTGTCGTGAGGAACATACCTCTTCATCCAACGCATATGGGCTGATAACGCTTCTGGCTCAGGAAGCTGAAGTGCTTTTATTAATCACACTTTTCTTTCGTCAATCACTTTACTTTACTTGTTCCACGTAGAGAGTTGATGCTTTTTGGATCAAATATAGACCTAAGCTATCAATTTCATTCAACTACCTAACCTAATCACACTCCCAAAACCTCGATCAACCCATAACCGCTAATGAACTAACTATTTTTACGCTTCCCAAGTTCATGCAAACAAATACTACTAAAACTCTACACAAAAACCAATCCGAATCCCAATTCCGTCCTCATCACATCCCGTCCGTTTCCAAACAAAAACCCGAACACGCCCGCTAGCGGTTATCATACGCTTCTTTGATGATTGGTGGGTAACCGTCCAGTCGTGCGTTCGGCTTCATTCTCGGGCAGGTTTGTGACCCCATCTTCCGCCTGCTCCTCGTCAGGGCTTATTGGCTCGCCTTGAGGCTATTCCTCTTGAGATCCTTCCTCTTGAGGTTCTTCCCCTTGTTGAGTCTGGGCGTGCGTGTCCATGTCTGGCCAAGAAACGTCAAAGTCCCTGGCTAAAAAGTATGAAGGAAACGACATACTCCTTGGTCGACGACGCTCGTCCTCGGGAACAAGGTGCCTGTCTCTGTCTAGGAAGTATGAAGAAAACGACAGACTCCTTGGTAGACGCTGCCTCGGGTCGGTCATGAGCTGTATCACAAACGCCTTGAACCTGGTGATGAGTTGGTGCTTCGAATGTTCGGGCAGGCTGGCAAGGTGGTCATCTTCTGAGAGGACTGCGTGCATCCAGAGGCTGGTGCGGACCAAGAGGCGGGCGTGGGTCAATAGTTGTTCCGGGGTGAATTCGAGTACTTGTAAAACGTCTAGCACGGGCGGCGGGGGTATGTATGGCTCCGCTGGCATTTGCCCTCGGTGTGGCATCTGCCCTTGCGGATTCTGGTGTGGCATCGGCCAGTATGGCACCGGACTCTGGTGTGGCATCGGCCGGGGATTCTGGTATGGCAAGGGATTCTGGTGTGGCATCGGCCGGGGATTCTGGTATGGCATCTGTCCCTGCCACGGCATCTGCCCTTGTGACGGCATCTGCCCTTGCGACGGAATCTGTCTCTGCGACGGAATCGGATTCTGGTGTGGCATCGGATTTTGGTGTGGCATCGGATTTTGGTGTGGCATCGGCCGGGGATTCTGATGTGGCATCTGTCCCTGCGATGACATCTGTCCTGCCCACGGCATCTGTCCTGTCCACGTTGCGCTGGCGCTGAGCTTGTTCAAATCCGTGGACATCTTCTTCAAGGCGTCAAACAAGATTCCCTGGCGGTTTGAGGCGATGAGCTCGTTGGCTTGGATGCGCTGCTCCAAGGCGGCGAGGTTGCTTTTGATTGTGGATAGTTCACCTTGGAAGGTCTCGGGCATCTGTCCTGCCCACGGCATCTGTCTTCCCCGCGGAACTTGTCCCTGCCCTGGCATCGGTCCCAGTCCCGGCATCTGTCTCTGCGACGGCATCTGTCTCTGCGACGGCATCTGTCTCTGCGACGGCATCTGTCTCTGCGACGGCATCGGTCCCTGCGACGGCATCGGTCCCTGCGACGGCATCTGGCCCTGCGGCGGTATTTGTCCCTGCGGCGGTATTTGTCCCTGCGACGGTATTTGTCCCTGCCACGGAATCTGTCCCTGAAACGGCAGTGGATTCTCGTCTGGCACCGGATTCACTGTATGGTCCTCCTCTTGGATCCCCTCTTCTTTCACCTCCTCCTCGACTACAATTACCTCGTCCTTCTTCTCCCTCGCTTTTTGCACCTCTTTTTCCCTCGCCGCTTTCTGTTTCCTCTCCCTCGCCTTCTGGGCCTCCTTCTCCCTCGCCTCTTGCTCCTGTTTTTCCTTTGCTTTCTGGGCCTCCTTCTCCCTCGCCTTCTGGGCCTCCTTCTCCCTCACCTCTTGCTCCTGTTTTCCCCACGCTTTTGGGGCCTCCTTTTCCCTCGCTTTCTGGGCCTCCCGCTCCCTTGTCGCTTTCTCCTCCTTTTGCCTTGCCTCTTTCTCCTGGGTTTGGCTCGTTCTGCCGTGGGAGAAGTTCTTGCGGACGACGTTAAGACCAGCATCGCGGAGCTTGTTGATGGCCTCGTCTTGCTCCTGTTTTTCCTTTGCTTTCTGGCCCTCCTTTTCCCTCGCCGCTCTCTCTTCCCTTTCTTTCGCCGCTTTCTCTTCCCTCGCCGCTCTCTCTTCCCTTTCTTTCGCCTCCTTCTCTTCCCTCTCCCTCGCTGCTTTCTCCTCTTTTTCTCTCGCTTTCTGGGCCTTCTTCTCCCTCTTTACTCTCTGTTCCCTTTCCCTCGCCTCTTTCTCTTCCCTTTCCCTCGCTCGTTGCACCTTTCTCTCCTTCGCCTCTTGCTTCTTTTTCTCCCTGGCTTCCTGCTTCTCCTTCTCCCTCGCTTCCTGCTCTGCCTTCTGCTTCCTTTCTTTTCTCCTCTTTCTCTTGGCGTTATTGATCTTGCTCCTCTTTGGCGTCTGCTGTTCTTCGGCCTTGTCTTCCTCGTCGTCCTCCCAGTCCATCTCATCCTTCTTGTCTTGTTCATCCTTCTTGTCGTCGTCTTGTTCCATCTTTGAGGTTTTGGGCTCTGGGGACGGCAGCGGGGCTCCCTCCTGTATGGCATCACGGATTGCTTTCCGCGAGAGACATAGGTCAATGTGGTCGTTGAAACTCCTTTCTTCCGCCACCTGCGGCCTGTTGCAAATTGGGCAATCCCACCGCTCTGGCTCTGCAATAAGGGGCTCTCCGTCAACCCGTCGCGGACGAGGCGCGATCTCATTCCCATCTCTGTGGGAAGCAACTTGGCTGGGTGAGTCCCGCCCCGTTAGTTTTGTTTCTCTCGTGTCCTGGGCTCCTTGCTCTTCCGATGATACAGCTGATTTTCCCACGGGCCGTTTCTCCCATTCATCCTTGTTGCAATCTTGTTCATCCTCGAGATTTTCAATCTGCTCAACCTCTGGATACTCCTGCGCATCCTCGTCGGTCATCGTCTTCTTCTTCTTTTTCGTCTTCTTTTTAGACCTCCTCTTCTTTTTGCGTTTCTCACCGTCCTCTTCATCGTTCTCGTCCTTCACCTCCTGCGCCGTCACATCTAACCCCCTCTTTTGTAAATCTGCCAACGTATCCTTGTAGTGCCTTTTCAACTCCTTCAAATCACTTTCCGTATCCACCTGTCTCTGTAACCATTCCTCTACTATCTCGGAATTCACCTCTATAACACGGCCAGCCTCGTCAGTTGTCATCGTTGATGAACTACCACCGAGTTCCGCAACCCAATCTATGAACTGCCGAAACCACTGCTCCTTGGTAACCAACTCATCTGACCCTTCATCGTTCTCATTCTTCACCTCCTGCGGCGCCACATCTACCCCCCTCTTTTGTAAATTTGCCACCACAAGCTTGTAGTTCCTTTTCAAACCCTTCAAATCACTATCCATTTTCAGCTTTCCCCGAAACCAATTTTCTAGTGTCTTGGCCTGCACCTTTATAGTATAACTGGTCCCTTCAGTTGTCTGCGTTGATGAACTATCATTGTGTTTCGCAACTTCACTTATAAACTGCCGAAACTCCTGCTGCGTCGCAACTTCACTTATAAACTGCCGAAACTCCTGCTGCTTCACAACCCACTCATTCACTTCCTCATCCTCCTCTTCCGTCAGCTTGATCCGTTTCTTCGGTAGTTTATTTTCCATGCCCACAAAAACTCTTCTAGGTGGGCTCTCAGGTGCCGCAGCCTGCGCAGCTTTCACAGCTTCCCGAATCTTTCTCTGTGATTCCCGCACTTCCCGCATTTTTTGCAGCTCCTGTGTGTGCTGCTTTGCTACGAGTGCGAGCTTTTCCCACCCGTCTAGAATTTTTTGCACCTCCATGGACTCCTCTACTGTCATCGGACCGACCTTTTCCGAAATCCGACCGGTTCTCAAAGCAATCCGAAGGCCTTGGAGCCTGGCGTGCTCTTCGGCCAGTTCTTCCTTGGTCATCTCCCCTTGGTCCGTCTTTTCGCGCATTTGTCCAAGGATATGGGCTATCACTGCGTCGGGGTTCTGTTCAAAATCCTTCGGGTCCAAGTTATCCCACCATTTGATAGTAAAAGGCGGGCGTGCTGTCGGGCGCGCTGTCTGTGCTTCCACTTCCCGAAGCTCTTTTTCGCGCTGTTTGTTCTTTGCTGTGACTGCGAAAGCTTCCCACCATTTCAGAAGTCTCTGTGCGTATTGAAACCCTTGTAATGACATCGGGCCGATCTCTTCCGAAATCCGACCAGTTTTCAAAGCAATCCGAAGGCGTTTCAACCTGATGTGCTCTTCGGCCAATTCGTCCTCGGTTATCAACCCTCGGTCCCTCTTTTCGCGTACTGATCCGAGGGCAACGGCTATTACTCGGTCGGGATTTTGTTCAAAATCATTGACGTCCACTTTTTGCCACCACGGGACAGGCAGATGCGGGGGTGCTGTCGGGGGTGCTGTCGGGGGTGCTGTCGGGGGTACTGTCGGGGGTGCCGTCGGGCCTTGGGCGGGAGCCGGAGGGGGCCGTTGCGGTGGTATCAAGGGTGCTGCTGATGCTGGAGCGTTATTCGGGTTGGGGGAGACCTGTGTGGCTTCTTGATATGTAGGCGGATCATCAGGAAAATCATTGGGAGGGTCAGAGTCGGAATCAGAGTAGTTGTAGGCATCAGAGACGGAACCAGAGTCGGAATCAGAATCGGGTAAAGCGGTGATGAGGGGTGTGACAAGGTGGACGGGAATTGACTGTCTGTCATTATCGTCGGGCCAAGCAGGTAAAGGAGGCAAAGGAGGCAAATCAGCCTCGGGGCGCGAAATCGAGTATCCACCGCCTCGTAAATTGCACTAAAACTCGCCGCCGATACCCAAACCTTCCTCCCTGTCCCGTCTGAGCCCTTCATCCCGCTCTTCGCTTTCCTCTTTGAGGCGGTCCTCGACATCGTCCCGGATGCCACCCAGGTCTGGCGGAATCACCTGCTGCTGCACGCTGGGGGCGGCGTTGACGAAGCGCAACTGCTCATGCACATGCTGAATGATTTCCTGAAGCCGCTTCTGCGAGTTCCTATTCGCACGCGGTTCACCCAGAATCTGCTCTAGAGAGGGAAAGAGCTCCTCCTGGACAAAGTGCTTCCGCCAGGGAGTGTGCTCGGGAATAATCTTGTTGATCTTTTCGTCAACGTCGATGGCCACCGATGTCTCATAGGCCCATGCGCGGGCCACATTGCGGGGAGTGTAGCCACCGCCGCCGAACATGATCATGGGGATGCCGAAGGTTTTGCAAAACTTTGCGCAGGCACCGTGACCCTGGACTTGCAGGTTGAACCTTCCCAGGCGGTCGCCGGCGAGCGAGTCGGCGCCACACTGAAGGGCGATGACCGAAGGACGGAACTTTTCGTTGATCTTGCCAATGACGGACTGGAAGAGGTGGCCATACTGCTCGTCGGTAATGCCATCGTTAAGGGGTACATTGATGGCGTGGTGAGCACCTGGATTGTGCTCCGACTTGGGACCGGTGTCGTCAAGACCGCCGGTGCCGGGGAAGAAGACCTCGGGGGCGTACTTGTGGAAGGAGCAGGTCAAGACACGGTCTGTGCTATGGAAAGCCTCCTCGACGCCGTCACCGTGATGGACGTCAATGTCGATATAGAGCACTCGTGGATAGCAGCGCAGGAGCTGGAGGATGGCAATGACAATGTCGTTGATGTAGCAGAAGCCTGAGGCCTCGGACTTTTTGGCGTGGTGAAGACCGCCGCCCCAGGCAATGGCAATGTCGGACTGCTTGTTGCAGATTTTGCGGGCGGCGTCCAGGGAGCTGCCGGCAGACATGGAACAATAGTCGTAGAGGCCGTGGAAGAGGGGACAGTCGGAGCCCCCGAGGTTGAATTTGACTTCCTTGTCGGGATTGTCAATATCACGGGGCATCTCTTCGGGTGGTGTCATGTGCAGGTAGTCGAGATAGTCGCTGGTATGGAACGAGTTAAGCTCTTCGTACGTGGCTATCCTGGTGTTGTAGTTGTCCATGGCAAAGTTCATGCCGTAGGCGGTGACAAGACTCTTGGTGAGGGTCAGACGGAAGGGCTTCATGGGGTGTGTCAGGCCGAAGTGGTGAGGCTCCATGTCGGGGTTGAAGTGGTACGAGACCGTGTATCCCTTGGGGCGGGTGATGTTGTATTCGTGGGCCATGCGCTTCATGTGGGCGTAGTACTCGGCGTTTTCCCTATCGCTGGCCTTGTCCATGGGGATCGGGGGCTTGTAGACATCCACGATCGGCTCATCGACCTCGACATCGTGAGGGAGATAGTTTGGTTTTGGCGGCCTCCATTGTAGCGACTGCAAGGTGTCCATGATGGTGGTGACTGCTGTGGTGTTTGGTCCGATGTCCTCTGTCTTGGGAGATGCCGTCTTGGGAGGGTCTATTGTGTATGAATACCCTGAAAGATTGTGTTGCGACGTCCGTAATGTGAAAGAATGCTGTCTTTGGTAAGTCTGTGATGCCTGTCGCCCTTGTAGAGTACTGTAGTGAGGGTTGGGGCGAGAGGCGAGAGATGGGTTGGGGGTGACGCCTGTTGTGCTTCTAACCCTGCAGACGTGATGCTGATGATGTAGGTAAGATGTAATGTGGGATCGAATGATGCAGAAGCAAAGTATGGGCGCTGGGATGCGATGGTTTTGTAGCGTTTTTTGTGTCTTTTGGATGTTCCTTCCTTGAGACCGTGTCGAGATCACCGCGGTTGTGCCTGCCCGGTGTCGTGCATCTCGAATTCATCGTGACAGGAACCGTGGACCCCTGCTACGTACCCCCGTACCTCTCTACCCTGCTGGGCGAGGGTCGAATTTCACCTGCAGTGAGGGGAGTGTCTGAAATCCTGAACCTTTGCGTGGCGATCTTGTGCCTGGAAAGTAGACTAACCGTATATGGTTGGCTCATTGCGGGTTGTGTTATTGTGGGTTGCAGGATTGCAGTCGTGATTGGCTGTCACGACCACAAGCTGAGGGTACGTACCTTGTTCATTTTCCCACTGTGATCCTTCCGCAAGGCCGCCAACCGCGAGGAACTGTGAACTGAAGTGATGGAACTCTCCGCGAGCCGACCACGCATTGAACGCCAGCAGCCTGGAAACCGCGACTGCAGCTGGAGTGCTCTTTGAGTCTCAGCTGGAGCTGAGGAATGCGCTGCGGTGCCTGTGAAAGTGCCACCAACATCCAACGGTCCGACGCGGCTACGGTACAAAGAAACAGTCCACGCATTCGCAGGTATCCGGATTCATTGCCTTCGTTGCCTTGCTGGTTTTACCAAGTTGTGTGCCAACGCCAACCTCACTTCTTCATTCCGTCCACCATTCTCTCTTTCTCCTCTCCGGCATAGTACATCTTGGATCATTCAACTACTTGCTACTCTGTTGCTCCTTGTCTTTTGCTTTCTGACTTCCCTCATCACTATATATCTACCCTCTCCCCATCTCCCCACTGCCCGGCATCGCGACGGGAACGACGGGACAAGCTACTGAAGCAACCCGTTTCCCCCACCCACAGCACAAGCATCAGCAACTATCCATCCATCCATACACAACTACTTTACACACACAAACAGAGAACCCAAGGAACTGAACTTGGGCTACGCGCTTTACCCATCTCTCCGCTGGAGTACTGGGCCGTGTTGCCAGAGTTATCACAAGTTACCCAACAGGTTGACAGGGGGCTTACCTCATCGGTAGCGCGCCCACTTCTGGTCTCCATATCGATATCGATACGTACACTACCGTCGCAAGGTGAGCCCGCTTGGATTTTTTTGCTCACGAATCATCACTCGCCCTCGCCTCTCCGTCTGTTCACCTGTCCATCTTTTTCTCTCCATGTGTAAACTACTTTTTTTGTCCACAATACAACTGCGTCATTCCATCATGTGTTTCTTTTGTCGTCTTCTTCCAACCTATTAGTCCTGTGCTCCTAGGCGCCTTCCGTCCCAGACACACTTTAATACCTACTTACCTTCTTCTTGCCCACTTGGCGCCTGGATCGCGGGGTATCAAACATCTGTTACCATCCATCCCATTTATGATTCTTGATCCTTTGCGCCGCAACTTCCGCGAACCCAGAGCGTGCCTCCTCGAGGCGCCGAGTTAACCGCAGTCATCATGCCTAGAGACGACCTCTCCATCGACTTCGTCAGGAAGATGCCGCCTGCCGCAGAGCTCGACCCGGCATTGATCCTCGACGAATGGATACACAACACCCAGAATCTCCCCGAGGAGATACGCTTCATGCAAGACGAGATTGCCGAGAAGGACCGACAATACGACAAGCTGGTCAAGGAAATCGACAAGAATGACGAGCGCATCCAAAAGTTCATCAAGGCCAACGGCAGCTTCCACCCGAACCCCAAGGAAGAAGAATACAGACAAACCATCCTCAAGAACTTTGACCTAGCCGAGCAGCTGTCCAAGGAGAAGCTCGAACTCACACGAAAGCTGCAACATACCTTCGACAAGCACCTCCGCGCCCTCGACAAGCAGATCAAGTCCCTCTACGACCGCGGCGAGCCCGGCTTCACCGATCCCGACGAGCTACCCTCCCTCGTCCGCGACAGCGCCGCCAACATCACCAGCACCCCAACCGTCCTCCGGCCCGTCAACGGGAACCACCCCATATCCTCGGCCCTGAACGGCCTCGCCAACGGCACCGGCCCCAACGCCGCCCGATCGAATCAGATCCGCAACATCCAAGCCTCCCACCACCACTCGGCCTCAGCGCCCGCCACGCCCGCCGCGACCATAATACTGAACCAGCGCGCCCGCGAAAGCTCTGCCGGGCCGGGAGGCGCCGCGCGCAAGGGCGCCGTCCGCAGCAACAGCGGTCTGAACCTACAAACGAGCGGCATAGGCCGACACTCCTCTCTCGGCCCGGGCACGCCCAAATCCTCCACAGCCTCCGGCGGCGTCCAACGCGCCGGCAGCGCCGGTCCTCGTGGCACAGGTAAAGGGTCTATAAGCAGCACCAGCCGCAAGTCCGTACCCTCCGGCAGTTCGGCCGCCTCCCGTAAGAAGGGCAGCAGCGCGCCAACCGCCGGCAGCGGTAGCGGAGCAGGCGGTGGTGCTTCTGCGAACGGCACCTCTGGCTCCGGCGCTGGAGGTGGTTCGGGCTCCCACAAATCCAACCTCTCCCGCGTGCTCAAGCGCGCCGGCACCGGCACCAGCGGCAGCGGAGCGAAAAACAGTCCCAACTCGACCTCCCGCGCAAACTCAACCGGCGACAGCGACCTCTCGGACGCAGATTCCAACCTCTCCGGCTCCGAATCCGATCACCGACGTATCGGCACAGGCCGCAACACCCCCATCGGCGGCGGTGGTTCACACTCCCGCTCCGCCTCCCACCATCACACCAGCTCCTCCTTCTCGCACAAAGGAGGAGACGACCCCAACCATCCTCATCACCACCCGGGCCACCACCCCTCCTCCTCCCTCGCCTCCAACAACGGCTCCGGCCTCGGCGGCCCCGGCGGCCACTTCCCCGGGCGTCCCCTACCTACCCCCTCCCTCCATAACCCCCACCAATCCTCCCACAACCGGAATCGCTCCCACCACCAACTCCAAGAAATGCACCGTTCCCCCTCCCTCTCGGGCCACAATCCCGATGACAACCCCGGCCTCTCGGACGACGACGCCATGGATTTGGATGACAACATGGACCTGGACGACGAAGAAGCCGGCGACGACCGCAAGTACTGCCTCTGTCAAAACGTTAGTTTCGGCGACATGGTGGCGTGCGACAACGACGAGTGTCCTTATGAGTGGTTCCATTGGAGCTGTGTTGGCTTGAAGAGTGAGCCGAACGGGACTTGGTATTGTCCTGTTTGTGCCAAGAATATGGAGAGGGAGGGGGGCAGGGAGCTGGGGAAGAAGGGGAGTCAGGGAGGAGGGGGAAACAGTAGTAGTCAAGGAGGAGGAGAGGGAGGTGGTGGGCAGTAAGTAATATCCGGGCCGGTCAGAATGAAGTTGCAATATCATCATTTGCGTAAAATGTCAACGAAGCCTTTTACTACCAAGTCTGTAATAGCATTGTGTGTATTTGTACCTATCGCCAAAATCACTGCTAGCCTCCATTCCCCATGCCATCACCCATCATCCCCATCATGCTTCTTCTCTGCTTTTGAAACCATCGTCCCTTAGTGGACAGACGATTTTATTACAAAAGAGTAATTGAACCCATACTATCCATATCCATTGGTATATTAATCATATGTACGTGCAGCAAAAAGACACATGAAGGCACGTGCTAATAATTAAGGACAAGAACGAAAACCGTTTAGTGCTCAAGGAGACGCAAGCTACCCTGGACGACAACGTTCTCGAGGATGGATCCGGGAGGAACGTCAATGGTCTGGCCCTCAGTAGCCACGATAATGACGGTGCCCTTGAGGGTGACGCCACGGCCGAGGTTGACGGCACCGGTAATGGTGAGGTGGTCAAGCTCGATGATCTTGGGGATGCTGGGGATGCGCTTCTGGAAGTCCGACACCTTCTTGAAGTCGTTACCGAGCTTGATCAGGGGAGCGTCGCCGAAGCGGGCCGAGCTCATTTGGAGCTGGCCGTGCTTGACGGTGTAGAGATCCGACTTGACGAGCATCAGGTCGGAGCAGGTCTTGACGGGCAAGAAGCGGCGACGGGGCACGTTGACACCGTGGGCGTTCTTGAAGTGCTTGATGGCGGCACCGACGGCGGTCTCGAGCTGGAGAATGCTGATATCGGACTCGCCCTTCTTGTCGCCGGGGATGGTCTTGCTGTTGGGAATGATGTCGAGCTCGAGCTCGTTGTTTTCAACGACACGCTTGACGGCCTGGACGTTCATCCAGATGTTGTTGGTGTTGAAGTACTTGAACTTCTTGATGGACTTGAACTCGTTGACGTGCTCCTTGGGGACCTGGGCGATCTCGAGGAGACGGACGGAGCCCTCGTAGTCGATGATGGTGCCACCCTTGACGTCGGCCTTGGTCTTGTTGGTAAGCTCCATAATGTACTCGGCATCGGTCTCGACCATGTGCTGGAGGATGCGGAGGTCGACGACGGCACCGAGGTTGTCGGCGTTGGAGAGGAAGATGATCTCGATACCGCGCTCAATAAGCTTGTCGAGGATACCCGAGTTGTAGAGAGACTCGAAAACGTCACCGTGGCCGGGAGGGTACCAGTCGTGGAGAGGAGAGTCAAAGGACTTGGGGACGGGGAGGAGGGAGTCCTTGTAGATTCTGGGGTAACGGGACTGGTTGAAGGTGAGGATGTCGACATTGTGACCCTCGTACTTCTTGATGATGGCAGCAGTGTCCTCATCGGTGTTGAACGAGTTCATGAGGAGGATGGGCACGTTGGAGCCATAGGTGCGGTTGAGGTGCTCAACCTGGCGGACGGACATGTCGAGGAAGGACATGCCATCACGGACCTCGATAACAGACTTGGGGCCGACGCAGCCCATGGAGGTACCGAGACCACCGTTGAGCTTGAGGACGGCAAGCTTGTTAAGGAAGCCGACCGAGTCGTTGTTAGCGAGGCTCTCGTAGTCGACGATCTGGTGAGGGGCAGGAGGACGAATGCGGTCCCAGTTGCTGTAGAAACCAAACAGTTAGCTGTCTGTTCTCTCAAAAAACATGTCTTTATACGTACACCTCGTTGCCCTTGGCCTTGTCGTTCAGGTAGCGGCGGAAGAGAGAGAAGAAGTTGTCCATCTCGGTCTCGAAGAGCTTCTTCTGGCTGGGATCCTTGACTGTCTCGGCAAGCTGTGTGAGGGCATTGCGCATCTGGGCGGCGGCGATGCTTGTGGAGGTGTTCTCGAAGGCCTGGGGAGGCGTTAGTTCTTGGACTGTCATCTTGTCTTGGTGAGAAATGAATGAATACTGACCATGTGAGACCTAGTCTTGCCATGGTGCCTCTGGGCAAACTCGGCCTCGTCGCCGTTGGAAGGCTTGAGGCGGTCGGGGAGGGCGCTCCTGATTGCTTGGGCCATTGTGTCGAATTGTGTGGTGACAAAGTCGGGAATTATGTTGGAAAAGAAGGAGGTTTCTAGGTTGTAGGATTAAGTAGGTAGATATAAAGTAATAGGATGATGGTGGGAAGGAAGCAGCTTTCTATTTCTTTGAAACGCGCGGGATGTGTGTTAGCCTGGACGCTCTTGACGTAATGAATGGAAACTAAACGACCAATGCAGCCAGGAGTCGGGATCGGCTGGGCCTCTGGCTTGTGTCACGCTGGATAACAGAATGGACCCGCCACTTTTCTCTAGCGTCTTTGCAAATGACAGCTCAATTGGACACGTTGAGCCAGTCAGAGAAGCCAGGAAGACTGAAGACTCGAACGGTGAGGTTGAGTCGTTCCGTCGTTCCCCTGCCAGCCAGCGCCAGGAGGTGTGAGGTGTTAGGGGAGGAGGTGAGGGGTGGAAAAAGGAGGAGGGGTAGCCAATGCCTGCAAGTGCTGCAGTCTCAAGCTAGGGTTAGGAGGTAACTTACAGCTTAAACTTCCACTACCTAGTAAGTAGTTGGGATAGAGGATGGAGAGAGAGAGAGAGGAATGAAGAATAGAGCAAAACAGCAAGCAAGAACTCGAGGGTGGGCATGGGGATCTCGATGCTTTTATCTTCTTCAAGGAAGAAAGGTACCCCGTGGGTTGGCCCATAGAAAGTCGGAACCCAGCTCCCTCGTATACTGGGCGCGCCAGAGTGGAAATTGTTAGGGAGCCATGTACCTGCCAGCAAGGTACCCCGTGGGTCACCCCTCCTATCGGGCCCAGGCTCATCTTCAACCGACTCGACCGTGTGGCGTCATTGGACTGCTTGACGAAGAGACGAACCGGGGTCTGGTGTCAATGTTTAGGTGGTGAGCTGCTGGTAACCCCGCCTCCACTTCCATGCCAACATCACCTACCTGCCAGCCTGCCAGCCTGCCCAAGCAGCCGAACCCAATCCGCAAAATGGAGTCCTTTTTGAGGAAATGTTGCAGACAGGATAACTCTGAGGCTCTTTGGGTAGGTATTTCACAATCTGTTTTGCAGACAAAGACGGGCGTTGGAGGAGGTGTAAGGGCAGGATCGCCTACCTACAGCCAGCCAGGGGTAAGGCATAAGGTAGCTGTATGCATCCAAGCTCCTGCATCGCCGCCGTCGGCTTCAAAACGGCCAGCAGTCACAGAGCATTGTCGAAACTCGGTGGATCACTGGTCAACAAACTTCCTGCCCAACCTGCGAGCCTGCCAACCAGACGTTTCCCCCTTTCGAACTCGAACCTGAACCTAATAGGGGCATCCACCCATCCACCTCCCTGCCTGAAAGCTCCAGGACGAGGTGCTGACCGTTGACCGGAAAAAGATACCTCGACAACTATCTGGCGTGGGTTAAACTGGAGACGACCCAGCTCCATACTCCCACATCCCCCGGTCCATGGAAAAGGGATAGCTCCCCAACTTCTTCACAACCCCCCACGATGCGGTTCCTGACTGCTGGCTACAGCTTCCTTTTGGCAGTCTTTGGAGGGGCTAATGTTGTTCTCAGCCCCGGCGGGAGCTAAAAACAGACCAGCGAGAGATCACGATAGATCCACCGTGGGCTTGCCGGTGGACATGGCCGGGAAATTTGACAGCAGGAAGAGGCGCTTCAATATCTTTTGCTTTTGCTGATACACATCACAACATCACAGACAAAGTGTGAAACGCCACCGGCAGTAGTCCAACATCTGGGCCTATGCTGTGTACATTGTAGCAGATGGTTGGCCTAAATTAAGCGAGACGTCAGAGTGGAAGCGACGACCACTTTTCCATCGCGACATGTTGTTCTCAGTCCAAACCCCAAGGGGAAAGATTCTTTCTCTCTCTCCCAACGTTGCATTCTTCAACCCAAAATGAAATATTCTCTACAACTTTTTTCTTCTCGACAGCAACACCGGGCCTTCTTCCCATGTGGTGGCAGTGGTGCTTCTCCTGAGATTCCGATTATCCGTTCGGCCAGACGAGCCCCACCTGGTCTTCTTTTTTTGGCCATGTCAAAATGATTAGTACAAGCGCTGCTAACTCTCACCTCACCGCAACCACCCACCGCAACAACTACACCACCACGAGGCCATCACCGCCGCATACAACAGGGTACTAGGCCTAGACGCTCTGTTAATATGGTAGTCTCCGCCAAGAACAGGTCAGCCGCCCAGGCATCCCCCAGCAGATCGTAACTACAGCGCTCGTTAGCCTCCAGATTCCCACGTGGAAAGGGGAGCTGCGCTGTTTTGCTATCTACTCCGTACCTTACACCGAGTCCCCCAAATGTCGGAGGACGGTGGAAGGGTTACATGTCGTTTCTCGTCCTCACCCTCACCCTCACCCTCACCTTCACCGACACGGACCATTCGTCCATTGGGCAATTTGGGGTGAATTTGGGAGTGTGGATTTCCTCATGATTCCCGACCCGCCCGCTCATTCAAGGGAAATGGAAAGCAGCGGAACCATCAACACCCCTGTCCCCCCCTTCCGACCCAGTACTTCCCTGCTACTTACAACTTGACCATAAGCTGGCCCTTCTCCCCATTTCACTTCGGTACAATCGGCTGACGGCGATAGCTTCACTCTTTCAGTCCAGTCTTCAGGGTTCACATGTCTTTGTATGCAAACAAGCAACGCCCATCACCAGTGTGTCCCTGATGACGATCATGACTAAACCCTCCCGTGTTAGGCCACTTCCGTCGTCTTAGACCACTGAGAATCGTTCGTCTTGGCACATGGCATGTTTCTTTTACCCCTGATTTTAGTGTTATTTACATCCCGAGTGGGACTTTCTACTACTATTTTGAGGAGTGACAGCTGTCCTCTTTTCATCGATGTCTCTCGGGTTCGAGCCAAAGAGTACGATGGATCCATACCATTTGTCAACTGTGGAAGAAAGGGAAATCGAAGGGTTCCGCAACACAGCCACTGTCAGCCGGAGAGGCTTCCATAACCTGTCAGCAGGTGGATAATATAGGATGGATTGCTTACACAACTCTCCATCTGTCCATCACTCCAGATTTTTGATCTTGGCTCAAGCTGGTATTTGTTTCTCAAAAGCCGCTCAAGTGACAAGGCTCTACGAACAATTTCATCAAATAAAGTTGAAGTACCTATCATCCCATAGGAGGCTGGACGAGGCTTGCGCAACACAAGGCAATTCCAGAAAGCCCATGCGTGATACCGGCAATATCTGCAAACATGGCCTCACGTTTGTTGTCAGTTTTGCTTTTATCTCGGAAACACAAGCCGCAAGATCCAGTCACTCAATTCATGGGCTTTGCTCTGTCCTAACTTTCCCTTTATCGCAGACGCCGTTCAGTATCAGCCTTGTAAGACTATCACAGCCCAACCTTTTTTTATCCAAAGAGCCAACCACTCTCGGAGATAAAGCCCAGAAGGGGTTGTCTCTCTGCCAAATCAAGCAGTGACCACGGATCACCATGACCCTATGGAGGAACCTAGACTCTTCAGAAGGGGGCAGGTCAACAGGATCCAGCTCCTACAGGGCTGAAGTAGCTTTGCGTCAAGGAACTCTCCTGCTTGCTCTCGGCAGCGGGGTTGGCACGGTATTACATGGATCTTCACAAGGTACATGAAGATAGAGCACTGGAAGAGACGGTGCTATGAAGATACGCCGATCATGAGCGGGAAAAGCTCCCAAAGCTATGAAGCCGTGGAAGCTTGGTAGTAGCTTTGGGCTGTCTTTGGCTTATTCAGCTGACAAGTATGCGGCTGGATCAGCCACCGTCAAACACTGCTCATCTTCAAAAAGGGAAGCTACAAGCAGTCGAACTGTCATGACTAACGCAGCTATGCTTCATGAATCATTATTCTCTTCATATTACGAAATAGTTGCCTCGAAACTCTTATGTTTGCTCACCACGAACGAACCCGGCTACGGGCCGAGTCGACTGACTACACTTACTTGTACATGGTACCAGGTCTTTGGGACAAAAACACACAAGATCCGCCTGTTGATATAAACCATTCTAGAAGCCTTCAAACCGATACCGTTCGGCTTATTTGCCTTTCATCTTTAGTGTCCCCTAATTTGCAAGGCAGACTCATATGTAGCCCTAACAACTTACCAGACACACCTGCTAAGGTATCCAGCAAATCTGTTAGTTGATCAAGTTTGACAGTCATCCATCAAAAGGAGATATCTTTTTCCCTTGCCCATTCATCAACCCCGTAGACGGTGTATGTAAAAGTGAAGATGAAAGTCAAACACGATCGGCAAGTACCGAAATGGGTGGTTGGTCCGGAGCACAGACACGCAGACGTTATCTCCGGCAAGCAAGCACGACTGCCGGCCGGACGCCCGTCTTGGCAAACTTGATTCATAACCACCTACCTCCTTGACTCCTTCCATGCTTCACCGTCACTCCTTCCTTAACCCTTTCAACACATTCTTATATACATAAATCTCCCCAAATACTTTCAACTTCCTTACTGTAGTGCCCTCCTCCCGTCCCATTCTCCCCATAGTCACCGACCAAAAAAGACCCATCCAGTCACCAACCAACCAAGACCAAGGCCAAAACACAAATCAACAACAACAAAAACCATGGGCAGCACAACCCCCCTCCCACCCCTTTCAACACCCGACGAAGACCGGCCCTACTGGCAAACAAACGCCCCCCCATCCCACCCATCCGCCACCTCCCCCATCTGCCCTCCCTATCTGCTTAACCTCCCCCCCAAAGACCTCGTCACCATCTCCACCCCCAACCATTTATATCGCCTCGACACCTGGCCGGAAGTGGTCCTCCGCGTGCGCGAGAACCGCTTAGCAGATTTCCAGCGCACACCGGCGGATATGTGGCGGTACTTGGAATTTTGTTATACCAAAAAGGAGGAGTATAAGGATAAGGGGGGGATTAAGGGGTTTATTTTGCGGGAGAGGTTGAAGTGGGATTTTCCGGAGGAGGGGGACACGGGGAGAAAAAGGAGGTTTGGGGAAAGGGAGGAGGAGGATGTCAAGGTGCTGTGGAATGATTGGCCTTATGGGATTGATGAAAGGATTGTACATTTGGTTGTTTGGACCAAGTTTGAGCTGGAGGATGATCCGGCGACGGGGGATTTGACGGAGAAGGCGAGGGGGGAGATTGATGATTATGTGAAGAGGACTTTTGGGGGGAGGGTGCCGGGGGAACATGTGCGTATTAGTCCTTCTTCTTCTTCTGTCTTGGAGGAGCTTCCCACTGGTGTTTGATGTTATGAAAGGCTGACAATGCTGCACAGATCATCTGGTTCAAAAACTGGGCACACATCAAGTCGGTGAAAGCCGTGGAACATTTCCACGTCATGCTATTTGACCCAGACCCCGAGTTTGTGAGGGAGATCACGAAGGGTGATGTCCCCCTTGGTATCATACAGACGAAATAACGAACAAAAACCGCCAACCTTTTCAACAACCAACAAAACCGGCTTCATAAAGGCCCAGGGCTCTGAAATAAACCCGCAACCGCTGTCATCTGAAAGTTCCGTACCTCTAGCTGGCATTTGGCCTTCCGGGTGCGGGAAAACCGTAACCAGCGCGCACCTCGACAATAGGGCAGTCGGCCAGAGGCACTGCGGTGGGCTTCTCCATCCGAATGTGTACCTGCCACTTTGTGTGGTCTTTCATGTGATCCGGCTCGAGGATCTTTTCAGCCAAATGAGCGCCGAGAGCTTCTAGAGTCTCATAGGAGGACTCCTCAAGAGCCTATTGATTTTGTTAGCGCTGTCTGGAGGAACTACTGGTTTGGTTGTGAGCAGGGATACCAACCTTGACAACAACAGCCTCAAGCTCTGGGTAATAATCATCCTCACGGAAGTACCTCTCCACATTCACACTTGTAACAACAAACTGCTTGGCCCGTCTCTCATGGGGGTTCACACCCACCAAAGTCGGCACCTTGAGGTTATGAATCTTCAACGACGCACTAATGAGGTTCTCCCTCATCTTCTCGCCCGGCCCATTCTTGAAGAACTGACTGCACGTCATGCTCACTCCATCGCCCAACAACGACGCCTTGGGAAGCGTCACCGTAAGCGACAGAAACCTGATGGTCGAAATATCCAGGAACGGCTTCTCCTCCTCCTTCACCGAGCCAAAGTGGGCCCACCCCGTCAACCCAACCCACAGATCATGAATGACGTACGCCAGCGTGAAGTTGCTGTCTTGCACACTGTTATGCTCCCTCGGCGCCGTGAACCGCTTCATCCGCTCCAGAATCGCCTTGCTCAGGTTGCCGTAGTGCACCGTGTCGGCGCCGAGCTGGTCGTTGGCGGCTGCGGTCCCGAACGGCTGCTTGAAGTGGACCTCGGCGGAGATGAGGCATGGTTGGGGAGCGACGGCGCATTTGCGCCCCCAGGCGTCGGAGGCGGCGTAGAGGTTTGTTTGCAGGTTGCGGACGGAGACAGAGGCGCAGGCTTCGCCGGCTTGGGAGCGGACTTGGAAGTCGCTGACGAAGGTGTCGGCCATTTTTGAGGTGGTGGGGGGTTGGACTGGATAGTGAGTTAGTGTAAATGTCTTGCGTTTGTGAGATCTCAGTAGAAACTTACATGGGAAACTTGTGAGGTGTGTGATTGATCCTGTGAAAAAGATGTGATCTGAACTTTGCAATGTCGTGATGTGATTCACATGGAACCTTTGAATGGGTGGCTCCACTATGTTGATCCGGTTGCGCTAGCGATTGGATTTCGACACTTTGATGAATTGAATTGTCAAGGAGAAGTTCAGAACCACAGAATGCGCGCAAGAGAGGATATGGTCAATTTTTATACTCGATTAAATGAGGTCAAATGGGAAGAGGACGTCCGGAAGGAAAGAGCTCCTGATCCCTTCTCACAACGGGAGAAATGACCTGACCAAACGGTCTCGTCGCTGCCGCCCAGAGGAGGACTCGGACCACTGTCACCTTACGTCACCGTCACGTTTGACCCTAACCCTTGTGAAACCAAGCAAAGTGATGCGATGCCGCTCAGAGACCTCGGACGTCGGGCGTTGGACGTTCACTTTCTTCAACTTCTCAGCACACTACTATCTTCCATTTTGAAAAATCTCGATCGCAATGTTCTGGCACCATTAGTTGTTTTTATTGGGCGTCTAGATTGATGGAAGATTGACGCAACCAACAAGATGCTGAAAATGTTGGAGGGATCGGAGGCAGGCTCTTCTTCTTCTTCTGCTTTCCAGCAGCCATGAAGAGAAATTGGTGACAAACTCGCGATGCCTATTTTCAAAATGTCGTTCTGCTTTCATTAGGTTCGTCCCCGTCCCCATCTCAGGCTGTGTTAGTGGGATCTCGCATCATGATGTCGTGATTCAAAATGGTTGAAGTTGGAGGAAGGCGCTCAACATCTCGGTTGCTCCTCCCCGCTCCTCCCCGCGCGCGTGGATTTAGTTGGTTTGGTGAGGAGCGCTTTCCCTAACATAACCGACTCGGAGGCAGAGTGGGACATGTTTGGAATGCCACGAAACGAGTTGCTCTGGTTTTCCTCGGATTTCTCTGTTATTTGTTACATCGTCTTCGGCATCATCATCACCAACATCAACGCAAGCATCATCGCCATCGCTACCTACTAGGAATATAAGAATCATTCCCGATTGGCCATAACCGCTTACGAGCGGACATTTCAAATACGCCCACGTTGGACATATTTTCAGTCACTTGAATGGTAAGTGTTGTCCTCTTGCTCCAGAATTCAACATGGAAGCTAATGGAGCCATCTTCCCAGGAAGAAGAGAACCACCTTGCCGTCTTCTGCATCTTTGGGCAGAAACCGCCGACATCATCAACAACAGACAATCCAGAACATGTGCATCAAGACCTAGGAGTTTTACCAATGTGGATGTCCTGTCCCCCAAGCCCCACCATATCTCATGCGCTGCCCGCTGAAGTGTCCCGGCCGCTATAAAGACCAGCTCGTCTTTTCCCCACGGGATTGCGGAAGTCCTCATTGCAAAAACGTACAGCACTACTGGAGATGGCTCATCAACACGCGTCGGAAGGGACCTCAGCACTGGCGCATGTTCTGTCGTGACTACCGGGTTTGGAAACTCGCGCGCGAGAGACCCATACAGCACGACGCGCCACCACATCCATACCACAACGATACTCCGTATTGGCATCCCGCCTATCGTTACTAGAAACAAGCCGGGCCGGACGCCGCCGTGGCCGTGGATTACGAGGCCGGTATTCTGTCAGGTCCTATCCATGCCACCCTTTTGCAACTGAATCCGCTACCACCCATGCGGTTGACACCCCCATGGTCACAGGATAAGACAGATGAAGAATGCCAACAGATGCTGCGGGAGAAAATGGTTTTCTATCCGAATCATACACGAGAAGAGCTTGGGCATCTTTTGGATGGTCTACCGCCTCCGATTGATGCGCTGTATTTGAGACCAGGGCTGGAACAAGAACTCGCTGATCGGTTTCCCTATCCTTTGCGTCTCTCTTGACGCAGATGAATGAAGAACACAAGTTAGATCGACGGGAAATGACCAGCCGAGAGAGTCAATCAACCACTCCTAGCGGCGAGAATCAGAGAATGACGGAAGACGGGGTCCACGTAATCTAAGCCGGTGGTGGAGAGGAAGACTTGCAAGAGCCCTATTCTGACTGACTCAACAAGATGTGTTTATGATGGAGTTCATGTCATCAGTACTATCAAGTACTACCCGATACATTGACGGTTTTGAATTAGGATCAGACTGTCTATATTGTTAGTAGGATGACTTGGCGCAGACAGGCCCAGCTTGTACTTGTTGACAAAAGCGAACTGGCTATGTACCTCTTTTCACACCTCTGCGGGTATTCTGGAGCGATGTATCAACAAGTCATTGCTTAACATCACTGCTACCCCGTCCTTGAGTCTTGGAGATCTTTTACTAGTGACGCGGGTACCCCCTTGCCGGTTCTTGCCCACGTATACGTCGTCATGGATATCAAATGGTTAAACATTAGGCTGCTCCTTCCCAAAGATCGTCAGATGCCTTGAAGTGGAAGGCACTTATTTGGTGCTTCAGCTCGTGCTGGTGGAAGTTACAGTCGAGGGGGGATGGATCATCTTCAACATGACCCCAAGAAAGCAGAAAGTCCGTGTTCCATGGGCTTCTTCTGCATCATCATCACCGCCCAAGAAAACTCAAGCCACGGGCATCATTACTCATAACACTGCACGAGCGCGAGGGTACATCCTTGATGTCTACACCTTAAGATCCCTATCGTTCTTCTTTCTCGAACCAGAGAGTGAGTCTTGTTCTCCATCCCCATGACTCTGCGTAGGCGGAAGCTAACAACAGAATGCTTATTAGACTATTCCAAGCTCCGCACGCACAACCTTAGGCAGACGACGACCTACAAAAGGCCACAACACCAGACAGAAACCAAGAATGTGTCTGCGGGTGCGAGTAGTTTATCAATGTGGGTGTGACGCCACCCGGGCCATACCAGAGCACCCTGACTACGAAATATGGTCTTGCCATGAGTACACGCCTTCCTGCTACGAGTACTATGAGAGAACAACCGGCTTGTCTTGCGGTTACATCCTCGCCAACGACTGTGGCCGACCAACCTGCAAAGCCGTGAGAAACTATTGGGGCTGGCGAGTTTATAATGGGCTCGCTAATCAGGCAACTTGGGGGTCATTCGTCCGATGTTACGACCGTTGGTATGACGCCGGCGCCAACAACCAACTCTCACCAGTAGTTATTAACCATCCACACGAACGTGCCCCTCATCGATGGGACCCCAGATACCCCCGTTACGACCAGCCCGGGTTTATCTTCATGACACAGTGGAACCAACATCAACGGATGAAGAATGCAGAAGATGCGCTGCCGCCGCGGTGGCCTGTTTTCGATGTGCCCAACCCGGACCTCGGCAGTTATTACGGGAATTATCCAGCGCTGAACAAGCGAATACTCGAGGAGGAAGACCCGCGGCCGCTGGGACTCGAGGAGCAAGAGGTCCGTCAAGGTCCTCGTCGCCTAACGATAGGACAAACCCACCTTCTTTTGAGTCGAATGTATTCAGAGGGTCTGTTATATACAATTTAGCTAACAGGGAGGGAGAATCTGCTCCAAGTTTGCCTTTACCAGAGGGGAAGGCTTTGAATGAGGTGTGAGCGCAGCAAGTAGCCTTGATGTGTATGCGTGAAACGAGTGACGGATATTGATAATGGTATCGGCTATGCGTTGTATGAAGAAGTGGGAAGGGATGTGCTACCGGAAAATGGTGAACAACAATATCTGATTTGATTGCGAGGCTTAGACGGGGAAAGGGGGTGGGCAAGTAGAGATAGGGAATCAACTGCCTCTATATCGATAGGTAAAGGGAAGAAAAACAAAGATAGAGCGTGTCAGTTACCTCTTCCTCCTCATGGCCCTCGGATTCATCGCTAACGTCAAAGCAGACTAACTTGCAGATATAGACCAGTCCTTCCGTCAAGCTTGCCTTGTTTCTCTTCTCTTCTGGCCATCCTCAAATCAACCCCTTCTTCACCCCCTCATAACCCCCTCTTTGACTAACCGCAACCCAGTATCCCCATATCATATCCCCGGAATCTCATACACAGACGACTCTCAATCACTCCCCTCAACCTTCAACCCTACCCCCATCAACTCAATTTCACCTCCTGGTGTTGTCTCTGCCTTTTCTCCTTCCCTCCCGTTCTTCCTTTATCTTCCTTGTCTCTCTCCCTCTTCTTCTCGGTCTTCCCGTGTCTAGAGGTATCTTTGTTTCTGCTGCTGCTGCTTTTTTTACTCCCAGATGCTTCACCAGCAGACGGAGGAGCTGTGAGAAGGCCCGCAACACCTGGCACGCCTGACACGCCTGCATGCCCATGGTGTCCGTCATGTCCGTCGTAGTCACCAGGTGCTGTGAGGTAGAGGGTGGAGTGTGGAGCAGGGAGATAGTGAGCTGAGGATGAACTCGGGAGCGTGGCTTGGTATGGATGATACCCGGACTGGGGATGGTACTGATCCGGGTGATACTGGAGTTGATACTGGTTCGCATACTGTTGTTGATGTGCGAGCTGCTGAGCATGGGCTTGGAGTTGAGCCTGCTGAGCCTGCTGAAGCTGCCACTCTCGCACATTCAGTTCATAAACATCTCGCTCAACCGATACCCATCCCTCCTGCTCTTCATTCGTCACCACCTTCGTCAGCAACTGTCCTGACGACAGTTGCTCGCCCTGCAGCCATCCTGTCAGAACCTGTTGCCGAATTCCAGCCAGCTCTTTAGGATATCGACCCTCCATCCATCTGATTGCACGAACTGCCTTTGCCCTATCAACCTGCTTGGTATCTTCTATGACAATCTCATCCATCTCCTCATCTTCTTCTTCTTTACGGGAGGAAAGTTCAGTGTCTCGGTAACTCTTGTCACAGTTGATGCTGCGTGCCCAGGTGGCGGTGTTTATTTCGCCATTATCAGCTTTCCGATACATAGACATGGAGCAATGGGCGCTCTCGCAAACTTTGAAGAGAAGCCTGTATCGGATGATCTCGGGCGGTGTTCCTTGTTTTCGGCATTGCAACTCGTGTTTGCAAGCGACTTTTTCGGAGTCGTAGTTGTAGCAGAGGAAGAAGTTGTGTTCGAGGATGCACATCTTGATTCTTTGAAATGAAGGACTGTATGAGTCGGTCCAAGAAGGAACTGGGTATGAAAGAGGAAGAAGTGTCTGGTCTCGGACAGTGAATGATGCTAGTCCTGCTAGTTTCGTTGTAAGAGACCTATGGGTTTGCTATCGGGGGAACTGAGGACTGAGAAAAGACAGACCGACAACTCCCCCCTTTTAAGCATTTCGGCGATGTCTCCTCCAACGACTTCGCAACTTCGATATGTCACAAGCTCAACGCCCAACGGGATATGACGCGCGCGAAGAGTGTCATATAACCCCATCACTCCACGCTGATCATGGACCTCAACGAGTATATTAACTCAGCCGTCTTGATATGAATGCCGAGTGTCTGGTAGGACATATGACACTCGAACGCTTCGCAGGCATTGAGGTTGAAGCGGCTTTCAATGACCTTACAGGCGCTTAGATCACTTGGACGAGATGTGCGACTATGCGAAGAAGAAAAACCCAAACAGGAAAACGAAAAAGAAAGAAGAAGGAGCCAACGTAATATAGGCAGTCACACCATTCTGTTCAGTATGTTGACATCTTCTGACCGCACGAGGATGATGATGGTGGTTGAGTGTTTGCTTACCTACCGCGCGGGCAGGGCGACAAAGGTCATCCATCTGGTTTCTTTGTTCAAACGACACTCTCGTTTTCCCGCTGGGTAGTTTACCTGTTGGCGGGAAGTAAGAGGCGTTTCGGCGAACAGTGACTACAATGGTTGAGAAAAATGCTCATAAAGGTGTCATAAAGCGAGCAACACACACAAGCCAGACATGATAGATGGTGGAAATCTAGGTAGTGGGCGGACGTCACTTTCGTGTCTTTACTTCCCTTCCCTTCCCTTCCTTAAACCACAAACCTTCAACTTTCCTTGTCTTATTCTCGCACGTTCATCCCTGTTTCAGTTTTCCTCTGCTTGCCATTCCCTTTCCCCTCTCCTTTTCTTTCTCTCCCCCCCCCCCCCCCCCCCCCCCCCCCCCCGCGCCACTCTTCTTCTCTCTTTCCTTCCCCTTCGTCCTTTTCCCCTCGACCCTCCTCCATCACTTCCCTATTACCCTTCCATCCTCCTTCCCCTTTCCCATCCTCCTTCCCCTTTCCCCTTCCCCCTCTTCTACCCCTCTTCTCCTCCCCTTGTCCCTCCCTTCTCCTAACTCACCAATCCCACCCCCTAACCATCTCCCACACCGCCTGCGGACACCTCACATCCCCACACGTCTGTCCTTGTAGCGTAGTAATCACCGTCCTGTCCGGGTACCAAGGGTTACAGAATTGCAATTGCCAGTGAGCACAGCGTTCGAGGCGGGAGGTCTCGTGGGGACAGAGGGAGTGGCGGGTTATGCGTTTTGTGCACATTTTTGTGGGTTGGGTTGGGTTGGGTTGGGTTGTTGGTTCTGGGTGGGTTCCTTGTTCGAGGGCGGTCGGGTGGCTTAGGGCCGGGATATGATAATGCTGGGTGATGGTGGAAGTCGTAACTCCCTCCCGTCGGTCGTCTCTTAAATATATTGGTGGTAGTACTTTAGTCGTTGACGGCGATGTATCATGAAGGAGGAGGAGTTACCCCTATGGGAGTGACACTCAGCGAGGGACTCGGTCATGTCTGTCTGGTGTAGAGACCATCCTCGACATTGAGATATGCAACAGACTTTCTTTTTGGACGTCAAGTGAGCAAGCACTCCGGCGTTTGTTTTTGAGGTCCGGGCCATGCATGATACTAAGAAGACTGGATGGGATCGTCACGTAAAGCAAGGTAGACATCAATGGATTACAGTGACACTATGAGATATATCGACAGAAGTCGGTGTTGCAACGCTACACCTAGTCGATCGACAGACACACAAGTATAACAGAGCAACTGCATCAAAGGAAGGTTTATGCGAGGACTACGATATTCAAAGTGCTTATCACTTCTTCAGTAATGTTCGTCACTTGAACAACCCATCTGAAGGGGACACAAACAAATCTGGATCGGATCAACGACACACTGTCTATATCAGATATTGTATACCATAAAAGGGTTAGTCACGGTCAAGTAACGTCAATGACGCACGAAAAAGAACTAAAGAATCCGCTCCTTGAATAATATCTGTCTGCAAGACTGTAACTAAGTTACTTATGTGACCCCATGAGCTGTAAAAGGGGCATCGTGAAAACCTCGAACCTCGAACCTCGGAACATACAACATAGATGACACCCATCCTTTCCATCCTTTCACGATCGACTGATCGACTACGTACGAACGCGCTCCTCGAACCTGACTCTCGAACCTGACCAGACGTAACCACACACCCATTCATTTTCCGCTTCACCCCGTTCGGAAGAAGACCTTGTCCCTAGCAAACATAAAGAAAGTAGCAAATAATTATCAAGGCTGTCAAATGAACAAGTCCTTCCGTTCATGAATGTCCACGAGGGGTATGAACCGAACTGGACGACAACCAAATTAGAGAGAGGCCATCGCCTCTAGTAGTTGAGCTCACCGCCGCTTCCTCCAGCCGAGGCATCCAAATCCTCATAGCTCTTGATCGTCCTTCCCTGGACGGCCTCACGAGGACCCATAGCCGCGTTTCCAGCAGCGCCATCGCCCCAGCGGTTGGCAGGACCTCCTACGCCGCGACCGCGACCGGCCATTCCGGTATCAGCACCTCCCGACCACCTAGGGTTGGGGCGACGGTCGTAGGGACCAGTACGGCTCTGGAATCTGCCTCCGGCACCGCCCATGGGACCGCCACGACGGATAGGACCACCTGCGCCACTGCGGTCGTCACCACCAGCGGCATGCCAGTTGGACGCCGCACCGGTCATGGCACTGGCGTTCATCATGTTGGGGAACATGGACGGAATGGGGAAGCCGGGGAAGTTCAGCATGCTGTTCATTGCGTAATTCTGGAGGTTAAAGCCACGGGGGGTTCCAGTCGGTTGCTGGCTGTTGGAAGGCGGGAAGTGGCCATTGGAGTTGGCGTCGGTCCTGGACGGCGCAATGTGTGCAGGGTCGATGACATAGGCATTGACCAACGCGATCTTTTGAAAGTCAGTATGCAGTCAACTTCGAAGTAGCCGCCAGGGAGAACTTACCTCTTCCTTGAGCTTATCGAGCCACTCGTTGTGTCTCTTCTCGACGTGCTTCTTCCAGAAATGCTCCTCTTTGAAGAGCTTGGTACACTCGGGCACCTTGCACCTCCACTTGTTCTCGTCTTCCTGCTTGACGTGCTTGGCGAGCTCATCGTTAATGGCATCCTCAACCGGCTTACCGCCCAACTTTCTGATGTCAACAGTATCGGGCTCAAGGATCTGCATGATCTTGTCCTCAAAGGTCTTCACCCAGTTGTACGCCCGCTGTAGCTGTTGCTCTGTCTTGGAAGACGTGCGGAACTTGCGTTCACCCTCAGGCGCCTCACCTTCCTCAACCTCTTCGGTGTCCTTACGCTTCTTGGAAGGGAAGGGTTCACCGAGCGCGCTCGCACGAGCGACGGCCTTGGCCGACGACGAGAGCGTGCTACGGGGTCTGCGGAGATGGCCACCAGGGCACTTTCTCGTCAACTCATGGATGGAGTCACTCTCAAAGACGCAAAAGAAGCAAAAGTTGAAGACACGGCGAAGATACTCAATCATGAGATCCAGCTGCTTCTTCTTGACGAGCAAGTCTTCATCATCGACTTCGTCATCAACCGTCCCCTCATCTTCATTGTCATCGTCATCATCTCCATGTTCTTCGCCCTCTTCGTCCATGGCTTCATCCATACCAATGGACTTTTCCTTCTTGATCTTCTCTTTCTTGATGCCAGGAGCAGGAACTGCAGGCTGCAAGCGGCCGGCGGCTCTCAGGTCCTCTACGCGCTCATCGATCTTGAGCGTGGCATTGAAGTCGGAGCCGAAGTCCTCTTCAAACTTGTTGACGAGGCGTCTGACAAGCTCGAGGTCCTTCTCAATGCGTTCAGGTGCAGAGAAAAGGTCCCAGAGTGCCTTCTTCCTGGGGTTCATGGGTGGATTGTGTACGCCTACGTGGCAGGTGAAATCACCGCGCTGTTCGTCTTTAACAGTCTTGCCATTGATTGCCTCCAAGGCCTTCTCAGCGGTGCTGGGGACGGGAGGCTTGGCTTCACCCTCGTCATCTTCGTCTTTCATTTCATCCTGAGCGATGGGAGCTTCCGGCGCAGGGTGCAACATGATCCAACCGATACGGTGGTATCGCTTACTGGGATTCGGATCACTCAACGAAAGCCACTTAAATCCGCCCTCTTCCTCGCCAAGGTGCTCTTTGCAAAAGGCCTCGAGGTTCTGACGGCTGACAGACGGGGCAATAGTCTTGATGAGGAGAGTAGGCTGGAACAGATTCTCGTCCCTGATGTCGGCACTATTGGCTGGGACCAAGTCACCGACGCCGAGAACCTCGTTCGCAGCAGTTGCCTCACCTTCTTCCTTTTCCACAACACCGCCAGCACCATTGCTCTCGCTCTTGGGGATGCCCTCCAGAGAGAACTCGTCAAATGTGCCCGTCTCAAGATCTTGCTCCCACTGGGTGTAGGCGCCACGGCGGAATTCGTTGAGCTGCTTCCTGAAACCATCTCTGATTTCTGGGACATAGCGTTCCCTGAACCATTGCTCGTCCTTGTGTTGTTTGACAAATGTTTGTGCCATCTTGGCTTGAAGCTCTTCCTTGTAGGCATCGTAGGCGGCCTGAATCTTGGCCTTCTCCTTCTCACGCTCCTCTGGACCGCGGACACGGTCGGGCTCACGGCGGCGGCCAGTGCGCAACCTCTCCTTTTCCTCCTTGATTTTCTCGTTTGCCCTCCACCACTCGCCGTAATATGAAAAGCCGACTTGGTACGGGAGTTTAATCGGGTCGGGGATGGGATTGGTGAGAGGTTGGATTGGGGCCACATCTTGGCCAGGAACATAGCGGTCAATACTGGCCGGAGGGGATCGAATGCGTCTCGACTGGTCATCGCGGTCGCGAGGGTCGCGGGGGTCACGCGTATCGCGGGGATCGCGGGTCGGATAATCGTCTCGTGTGCGGGCTCTGGGCTCGTACCGATGGGGCGCGGCCGGGGATCTTGAACGACGTCTGCTGCGGTCGGCTGATGCAGGAGTAAGTAAGGTGTGAAGGAATGAACGCATGATCATGGGGCTGAGCGATGTGGAGGGACGGTCTACTGTAGTGCAACACGAAAAGGATGAGATTATGGACGTACCAGGAGATCTGCCACGATAAAAGTTGTCCCTCTCGTCTTTGAGTCTGTCATCCCCTCTGCCCCAGCCACGATCACCAGGTGACCGAGCAGAACCCTCTCGGTAAGGGTGGTAGGACGAGTCCATGGCTGATTGGAATCCGATATGTGAAGGTGGGTTGGAATGGCCTGTTTCCGTCTCTAACCGTGTCGATGAAAGTATAGAGAAGTGGGATGGGAAATGGTCGGAACCGGATTATGGAAGCGCGACGTATAAGTGTTGATTTTGGACGTTGGATGTTTTCTGAATGACAGGCAAGCGTGGTATGCTGCTTGTCAAGTAATGGTAGCGGAAGCCGGACAGCTGCTTGCGCGTAGAGATTGGCTTCTGTTTGGCGACATGATTGCGGTTAGAACGGTGACTCTTGGGTGAGGATGATCTGAGCTTGGAGTAAAAGATGGAGAGAAGCGGATGTGATTGTAGAAGAAGACAAAGATGTGGCAAGTATTTATGAGGCAGCCGTGATGTTTTGTGTTGTGTGCTGCTTGGTATGCTGGTGGTGGTAACTGATGATGGTGGCGGTGGAGGAGGAGACGGTCAATGAACAACGAGAACACAGCAGAGAGAGCTCGCTCAGCGCCAACACCTCTCGTCGCTGTACAAGAAGAAGGGGGATCGAGTAAAACCAAGGCAACAATAACGATGGCTGGAAAGCGTATCTGAACAAGTGAAGGCTTAGGAAAAAGGGAATAACGAACAATTACATGGAAGTGTTGATGAATTGTTGCCCCAGGCTGGCGTTGCTTGTCGCCGTCGCGCAATGAGGTTGTCTGGGTACAAGTTGGATTTCGTGGCGGCGCGCGTGGAGATTCCTAGTGCAGAGTGAATGGAATACTGACGGACGAGTACCTGGCACGCCTGGCACTCCTTGCTGGCTGCACTTTCCACGCTTGTTCTTTGATCCACTCTGCCGTGCCGCTAGCCAACCGCTCCCGGCCACCCAAGTCACGTGTAATCTCCACTTTTCAGCCATTCAGTCCCCGATTCGATCCACTGCCCAACGGGGGAGGCCCAAGCGTCGATGGAAGCAAACGGCAAAGTCCCATCGATCCAAGGGACCATTCATCTGGCAAGTACATCGAACTTTGGACGAATGATCTTGCAAAGTTTCTACCGCCAAGGTACAATATTGATGCAAATAGCAAAATAATTCCAACAGAGTACCGCATTAACTCTCGAAATTGAGGTTCGGGTAAACACTTTTTAAGCAGGCATAAGCAGGGTTAAAGGAATAAAGAAGCAGTAAAGAAGCATGTACATAGTTGACCGACACCTTTAACCCTGCTTATGCCTGCTCTTAAAGTGTTTACCCGAACCTCAATTTCGAGAGTTGATGCGGTAGTAGCAATGCCACGGAGACATTCAGCTCTAACGGTCCCCCATTTCGCTCTCAAGCAGCACAGTGTTAGCGTGCGGCGGACCCTGAACTTTCCAAATCTGGCCATGTCGTCATAGGTAGTCAGTCGTCCGACTTATACATGAGGTGAACACTACTTTCTCTCTCATTCATATATCAACACGAGACAAATCCGAGCAAGATATAACTCGGATTGATACCCGTCCTTTTCTCCAATCTCTCTGATCAACTTGACAACACAACATATATCCAAGACTGTGTGTACAAACAACACCAAAACAAACCGCCATTCAAAAATGACGAGCTACATCCCCCAGCTCACCCTCCCCTCCTCCATCTTCAACTCGGCACCAGCCTCCATCCTTCTGCCCATAGCTTTGGGAACAGCCGTAGGCTTCGGCACAAATCATGGTCCGTCCATCCGTCCTCTTCTTCCCCCTCCCCTTCCTCCTTTTCCTCCTTTTGCTCTCTCTCTCTCTCTAAAAAAAATATATATAAAAACTACCTTAACACTTTCTTCTTCCCCTCAAAACAGCCTCCGACACAAAACGTTCATACCACTCCCTCGCCCAACCCCCCCTCCGCCCGCCCTCCTCCGTCTTCGGTCCCGTCTGGACCCTCCTCTACGGCATGATGGGCTACGCCTCCTACCGGGCCTACCAAATCGGCACCTCCTCCCCTTCCCTTCTCCTCAATAACCCATCCGTAGTTCCAACAACTTACCACACCTCTACACTCTATACCATCCAACTCGGTCTGAACTTGATCTGGATGCCTCTGTTTTTTGGTCTTCGTCGTCCCATCCTGGCTACATTGGACTGCGCGGCGCTGGTGGGGATTAATGCCTACTTGGCGTATACATGGGGGACAAAGATTGATCGGCTGGCGGGGTGGTTGATGGTGCCGTATGTGTGCTGGTTGGGCTTTGCTACGTACCTCAGTGCGGGAAGTGGGTATTTGAATGATTGGGATTTTAGCGAGGAGAGGATTAGGAAGGGTGAGGAGGAGAGGAGGAAGAAGAAGGCTCAGGGGAAGGATTTGTAAAGGGGGGTTGGGTGATGGGAGAGCAAGCGAGTTAGCTTGGTTGGTGTTAGTTTGAATGAGACGGGAAGTTGTTGTTGGTTTGACTTTCCCTCCTGTGTGAAACGGGAAACACACATCTCGCTGTTGTTGAACTTGAGAGATGTGATACCAATTGCAAAATATTTGCACGAGAAAACCACTGCTGTCAAAGTTGCTCTAAACCAGTTTTGTTGTATGTGCAAGCAAACTAGTCTACCAAAACCCTCGTTCTATGTAACTGAACGTTTTGAGATACCTGGGTATCTATCTCTCTTTAGCCACAATCCGTTTTTCCTTCTTTTCTATCTTGGTATCAATCCTCCATGAAATGAAATGATGTAAAACAGATGCAAACGCTCCAGTTCCAACCAACCAACCCCATCTATAACTTTGCGCCGACCGTTTTTCCCTCTTCTTCTCTCTCTCCCGGCCCTTGCGCCTTCTTTCTTATGCTCTAGATCCCCCAAGCAAACATTGACGGCCCTCATCTTCTCTTGTTTTATCTTTCCCTTTCCCTCCAGGAGTCGGTCTGACCCTCGTCAAGACCCAACCAACCCCCACTCAAGCCATAGGAAAATACTTCTTCAACCCATCATACACCATAAAGATAAACGCCGAGCTCGGCGCGCTCCTCAACACCGTGATCCCGCACCCCCTATAGAACCCCTTGACGCCCGCCTGCTTCCACAGCGCCCTCGCCTCCTCGCCAAAACTCTTCTTGGGCACCGCGCCCACCCCTCCATTATCCCCAATCGGGCTCGTCTGCATCCTGCTCTTGACCGTATCGGCCGGGAAAAACAGGAAATTATAGCTCATACCCGCCGACGCGCCCGCGATCGCCTGCTGCCAAAGCGGCAGCGCCCTCTCCCTGCTCGCCAGCACGTCATCCTGGCTACCGCCGCGCTTGACCAGGGCGCGCTCGTTCCGCTCCCGGAACCACTTGGACGTGGTCTCCTTGGAGCCGAACCAAGCCGCGCAACCGCCTGCTTCGCGGATCAGCGTGCCGAGCTGGCCATGCCAGAACCCGCGCAGTCCTTCGTGCCGGAAGATCTCCTTGATCACGGGGATCGGCTTCAACGGGGCACGCCGCTGCGCCCCTCCTGCTCCGCCGGGTTCGTCGGGGACCTGGATCTTGCACTTTACTAGCTCGACGGGCGTCAGGATCAAGCTGGTGAAGGCGCCGGCAAAACCGCCGGTGAACCAGAGGGCGGACAAAGAAAGTTCGGAGTCGCGAGGCGCAAAGCCCGAAGAGTAGATGAGGCCGCGGCCGATGCGCTCGAAGAAGAAGAGGGAGGAATTCTCGAGGGCGGCGCCGACAAGGGGCGCAGTGATGCCCCGGTAGAGACCGAGGAAACCGTCGGCGCGGATGGATTGGCGGAAGCAATCGAGGGGACCGGTGTACCGGAGTGGGAGGTGGTCGGGCTGGGATTGCAGACGGACTTTGACGGTGTCGAAGGGGTATTCGATGTATTTGCCTACGATGCCGGCGGCCTACAGTCCGTGTTAGTAAGTGGCCAAGAGTTTGTAGACGTAGGTGAGTGAACGTACTGAACCATAGACGATATCCTCGAGAGCCTCCATCACTGCTGTTCGTGACTCAACCTTGGTCGGTAGAGATGTGGTAGATGTGAGGTGAGAAGCAGAAGCAGCACCCGCTTCCTTCAAGCCCTGGTGGGCTTGAGCTGGTACGGAGTCCATTATGATGATGAGGGCTGTGGTTAGGGAGAACAAAAGTTGAGGTTGAAGAGTGGGTGATGAGACCTGACCAATCCCCCGTCGCAAACGACGTGAGAAGCTAGCCGGTAATTAAGATGTTATGCAGTTTGCGCCCAAGGAGGCGTTTTGCGATTCTGCGATCTGTCGACTCTCGTGAGATGGCACGGAGGTCGTTGACGGTGGGTGATGCGCGATGCGCCTGTGTGACTTTGTTGGCTGTGATCAGGGATGCCGAGATGCCTTCACTTCTTCTTGACTCGTGGTCTATATGAGGGGTAAGAATATGGCTTGAAGTCGTGGTTGATTCAGGGAAGAGGAAAAGAAGAAACGGTCAAAGTCTATGTTTGCTCAAGATGAAGCAAGGGGGAAAAAAGGTTGCGGGCAAAGGTTTATGGAACAAAAAGTGGAAGTGAAGGGGAAGATGGTGTCCGGGTGTAGGACGAGGGTCCGTTTCTGTGAATCCTCGGGGTCACCGTTCTCGACTTGGGACTATTTCAGGGATCACCACCGATGATAAGGAAACCTTATTTGGGTCCACGGGTAAAGAGTCCGAAGAACGGAAGACCAAGAGCGGAGCCTGTTGAGCAAAGTGTTTCAAGTGAATGGTAAAGATTTGAGTCGATTGACATGTGGTGAAGTCCTGAAGAGAGACGGAAGATGGAGATCATGGTTCATCCATTGTTTTTTTGGAGTATGCGCCTTGTGGTTGACAAAATTTCCCACCATCAACAGCACAAAAAAAGTATCAAGGGTACAAAAACCCTCACTTATACTAGACCGGCAGTCAGTTCTAATAGTGTATTACCCACAATGCCCTTGTAACCGTATCTGAAAAAGAAGGAAATATTGTCCGGGGTTCAACTCGATGGAGAGACAGAGCGAGAGAAGTCATCACAAACCTTCTGTCTGCAAAGGTGACGGGATCGATACAATCGATCATCGGGAACCGGCGCGTGTGTCACCGTTAACAACAGCAGGCAGCCCGCAGCACGCAGCGAACGACAGGACAGGACCCCGTCCCACAGTGACCGGAGACGGCAGGAGACGAACGTCGAGAAGGAGTGGATTTTGTGGATTTTCGTTCTGCAAAATTTTGGTCAAAGAAATCTGAGAAACTGGCGCGGTTTCGAGTCCAGGAGCAGTCGCGTTGCAGGGCCAAGACCCGCCTAGCACCCAGTCTTTGCCAGTTTCGCCAACTTCAGCGGATTCAGCGCCAGAACGGGCCTGCTGGAGGGGGGCGCTGGCGGGGCGAACAGGGCGAACAGATGCCGCTGAATCTTGGGTGCCCTGGCATGGCCGATGCTTGGCGAGATTATCTGATGATCTGATAACCTCGGAAACGTTGGGTTAACATCTCCACTGCAACCTCAACCACTCCTCTCCGGGGCTCTCCCTTGGCCCCTCACCGTTTCTTCACTTGCATATCATATACTGTACGTACGCGGCCGGGCCCGGAATCGCTATGGAAAAGATGGATATATGATTAAATCCCTCAAACCATCTCCGGTACTCCTATGCATCTTACCCATCCCATGCTGTTAACTTGACATCTTCTCAACAAGATAATGATATGCATACAACATTACAACAACATCCACTTGATAATGTACTAATTCCATGACCCGCCCTTTCCACTATACCCATTGCTCTCCTCCAACTTCTTCTGTCCCTTCTGCGGCTTGTTCTGAGCGGCCTCATGCCTCCTGAGCTCATCCGGCACCTTGGAGATGGAAGACTTGGAGATGATCTGCCTCAAGTCATACAACACATCATTATCCTCCGGACCCAAAAAGGTAATAGCCACACCACTCTTGCCCGCACGACCCGTACGACCGATACGATGCGTGTAGGACTCGATGTTGGTAGCCATGTTGAAGTTGACAACCAGCGAGACGTCGGGGACATCGATACCACGACCCGCCAAGTCGGTGGCCACTAGGATGTCCGTCTGCCCGTTACGCAGCGACGCCAGCGCTGCCTCGCGCTGCTCTTGCGTCTTAGAACCGTGCAAAGTAACCGCCGAGTAACCCATACCCTTGATGTCGCGCGCCACCATGTCGCAGTTGCGCTTGATGTTGACAAAGACAATGATGGGCGGCTTGAACTGCCCGGAGTTGAGGATCTCTTGCAGACGCTTCTTGCGCTTGTCTTCGCCGGCCACGAACTCAACGCGCTGCTCGACCGTGTCAACGGCCTCGCCAGCGTTACCGATGGTGACGATGGCCGGACGACGTAGGTATTTCTTGGCAATCCTCTCCACGATTGGAGGCATGGTAGCCGTGTACATCATGGTCTGTCTGTAGCGATCTTTGCCGTCCACATAACGGCTCATCAGTTGCGGGTTCTCCGCATCGTCGGTATCTGGCTTTTCGTTGGTTACCGGCATGGCATCCAAGATCTTCGTAAGGGGCTCTTCGAAACCCTGGTCGATCATGCGATCGGCTTCATCCATGATGGTGTAGCAACACTGAGAGAAAACGAGCAGACGTCTCTCCAGACAGTCCACTAGACGACCAGGTGTGGCGACAATGATTTCGGCGCCGTTTCGTAGAGCAAACGCTTGTTCTTCAAGCGAATGACCACCGACAATACTGACGACCGTAAACCCGAGAGGTGTAGCAAATTTCTTGGCTTCACTTTCAATCTGTTGTACCAGTTCTCTTGTCGGCGCCAGAATAAGGGCATATGGACCGTCGTTCTTGTTGTACTCGGTAAGAGGTGGTAGTTCGGAGATGTAAACCAGTAGAGGCAGCAAGAAAGCTGCAGTTTTACCGGAACCCGTCACGGCCACACCGATCAAGTCGCGTGCTTGAAGGGCGATGGGAATGGCAGCTCTCTGAATAGGCGTCGGCTCGTCGTAACCCACGTTCTTGACAATGTCGAGTAGACGCCTAGGCAGCGTGGACTCTTCCCAACTGCGCATGGGGTTGGGAATGGCACCACCCTTGGTAGCAATGCCAAAGTTCTCCTTGAAGATACGCCAATCGCGCTCCTTCATATCTTCCAGCCTCTTCTCGGACCAGTGCTTGCCCAGGTTCTTGCGCTGTTCCATCTCCTTGATCCGTCTGTGTTGTTCGAGATATTGCCTGGCGCGCTCCTCACCCGTCTCGGGATCGCCACGACGGATGGCTTCTGCCTTTCGCATCACCATGTCTTCCGTCATCTCGTAGCCACCAAGTCGGACCAGAGGCTCTTGACGCTCTGCGTAAATGGGGTCGAATGGTCGGCTGGTGTCGTCATCGGCATCCCAGTCAAAGTTAAACTTGTTCGCTGCCGTCCTCCTCCTCTTCTTCTTGGCTGAGAATGTGGATTGGTTGACTACTGGTCCCATGTAGCGGGCGCGCAGCTCTGCCTCGTCGTTCTTCTCCATCTTAACTCGCTTCTCTTCGTCATCGTTGGGTGCACCGCGTTTTGCGCCGCGTTGGTTCCTGTCTCGGTTGTCTCTGCTGTCGCGATTGTCTCTGTAATCTCGGCCATTGCTCATGCCGTTAAGTCCCCGGTCATCGTCGTACCGCATCGCCTTGGGACCCGTTGGGATGTTTCGTTGGGGGTTGTGGTGGTGATGGCTCTGGATGCCGTCCATGCGGTTGCCGTTGGAAATGCCATTTGGTTGAGACTTAGATTCTTCCTTGCGTTTACGTTCCTCTTCCTCCTTTGCCTTCTTCTCAGCCTCCAGCCTCTCTCGTTCCTTTTTGGGGATGAATCTGGGTTTCGCAGCGGCAGCTTCCTCCTCCTTCTTCTTGCGCAGCAATGCTGCCAGGTCTGGGGGTTCCCGTCTTGATGTCGTGCTCATCGTGGTAACGTCTAGGGTTGTTGATGGGATGAGGATCGGGTCGTGAAAGGACTTGCGAGAATAAAATGTGATATAAACTTGTTCAGTTACTGTTGATTTCCAAGCAGTTCTGGGTTTGGGAATTTGGTTGCTATGGCGAACTTCTGGGGTGCAGCGGTGCAGCAGTTCTCGACCCGCCCAAAAGTTGTTAAGTCACGGTTGGTAGCGCCACGCCGTCGGTGATCCCTGTCGTGCCTGTTAAAGGGTCTCCACATGCCGCGCCTTAACGCGGGGGTTCAAGAATCGGGTTAGGGTTTAACGTGCAATTTCCGGCCGTCGGTCGTTACGGTTTCGCGCCCTGGAACTTTTTCGCAGTTGGGGTCGGCCGATTGATTGATCGCAAAGTTCCCGTTCCGGTTCGAGCAATCCGGACCCTGTCACCTACGACAAACCCACCTCCTCGACCGACATACCACCGCCAGCAGGCCGGTCGATCGACTTTCACACATCTTCACCATGGCGGCCACGGTGAAGCAGCACGTCCAGCTGGCGCTTTCGCTCCCACCGCGGTTGCGCACCTTCTTGGCCCGGTACCCCCCGGCCTCGATCCTGCCCGCCGGCGCCGACCCCGAGACGCACAAGACGCCCTACCAGGAGGAGAGCCCGAACCCGTTCATGCCCACCAAGCACCCAATCACCGGAAAGTGGCACAACCCCAAGTACTCGCTCAGGCGACAGGCCGAGCTCGTCAAGCTGGCCCAGGAACACGGCGTCGAGGAGCTGCTGCCCTTCACCCGCAAGCTCAACGAGGAGAAGCTACGGAAGAGAGTCGAGCTCGGTCTCCGTGTCAAGGGTACCGGTGTTGGAGAGAAGGTCAAGGGTCACAAGCACGAAAGGACACTGGTTGCCAAGTACGTTGTCGAACCTCTGCTTGGGAGAAAGTGGTTCACTGACTGGGGACTTCGCATACAGGATGGAGAAGAGGAGAGAGGCCATGTTGGCTATGCCCGACCTTATCCGGGAATGGAAGAAGGTAATTGCACCAGAACTCTTGCGGCTTGGACTTTATCTGACATTGGGGTTTACTACAGGTTGGCAAGAGGAACTGGACCAAGTTCCCCAAATAAGCGATCGGTCGTTGTCGCTTGTCGGGAAGATTACGAGAGTCACTGCCATGTCCATAGACTGTATCATCACCAACAATGTACAACAAATTTCAAGCCATTGGAAGGGGATGCCATGTGGTTTCGTTTTCCCGTTGTTGACCAAACGTCTTTTGGCGTCTTATAAGATGGAGGAGTTCCCCACTGTGGTTGGAGGGCGAGGTAATGTGTTTTAACGGTGCAGTAAAATTTCCCCAGAATTTGTTTCTCTGAACAACTCACTTCACGATATCAGGCACACACATAGAATCAACCACCACGCCAGTAAACCAACACATCACGCCTCGCTGCCTCTCTACTGTCAAGTCAACTTTTCTGCTGGAGGACGAGCAGTATCAATTAAGGCAGCGCAAAGAGACACGTGATTGCGGGATACAAAGTTTTCTCCTGGGACTCGAGGGGACTCATACCAATCTTTCACCACTTACACACACAACTCTCAACATCTCAGCCGGAACCGGTCCACCACCACCACCACCACCACTCACCTCCTGGCCTCATACACCAAATCACTAAATCAACTCAGCCAACCTCACATAACAACCTGAAACGGCCAAAATGTCCCAACCAACCCTCTACGAAATCCTCTCCCTCTCGCCCACCTCCGACCTCACACCCGCCTTAATCAAACAAGCCTACCGCCGCGCCCTCCTCACCCACCACCCGGACAAGTCCACTCAACACTCCCACCAAAAGCAACAGCAGTCCACCCCCAATGCCAACCCCAACCCCAGCTCCAACTCCAACTCCAACGGACACTCAAAACCCCTCTACACAATAGACCAAATCTCCCATGCCTACACCACCCTCTCCTCTCCCTCCCTCCGGACCCAATACGACGCCGCCCTTCGCACTGCTTCCCGCTCTTCCTTTACCTCCTCCCACCATGCCAGCAGCCATGCCAGGGAACAAGATTTCCAAACGGGTATCGACACGATCGACCTAGACGATATGGTTTTCGTTGAGACAGATAATAATGGGAAAGACACGTGGTACCGCTCCTGCCGATGCGGCAACGAGCGGGGTTTCGCTTTGACGGAGGAAGATCTGGAGGAGAATGCGGATTTGGGGGAGGTGTTGGTTCAGTGCGCGGATTGTACGATTTGGTTGCGGGTTTGTTATGTTGTTGCTGAGGATGAGGAGGGGGAGGATGAAGTCGAGGATGAGCAGGAGGGCGAGGAGGGGAAGAGGTAGTTGGGTGGCATGTCTAGGAGGACTCAGAAGGTGGTTGATTGGGAACGCCGAGGAGGGAGCGGGCGGGGTTGGAAGGGATCAATGAAGTAGAGGAGGGGCTGTGGTGGTATTGAGGGATACGGCATCACATATGTAATAAGCGATGAGTTAAAGTTTGACAGGGAACGTTGATGTTGATATGCTCACTCAAAAAGATACCCCATGTACCATGATTTGCAGCACCACCGGCTCAGAGGGAGGTAGAAGCATGAACGGAAATCACACATTTGGTCTGAATTGATCTGAAAGATGGTAGTGTGTAGAAGGGTTGATTTGAGTCGGCAATGGAATGCCTGAACTAAACTTTTTCCCGTAAATGTTAAGATATTCCTACCTATGACTATTGATCATCGGCCTGGTTCTTGACTGGTACGCCCAGCGTGAGAGTGTAAAAGTGTCTGCTCGAGATCTTGCTCGAGAAAAGGGGGTAGATTTTGGTTTGGTGATGTGTTCACGACTTCCCAGCGTACTAGTCTAAAAGACATGACGATACCGAGACGAAAAGGAAAACCTCCAAGGTGCTCTGCTCTGCCACCTTCTAGCCCTCTTTCATATTGGGGGAATCGTCCACTTATTCTTGGATTGCTGTGTTGTGTATCTGCGTAAAACATGCAAAAGTACTTGGGGGATCTCCATTCCGACACTCCAAAGACACCATTTCCACCGTGGACTTGCCAAGATTTCTGCCAGGGAATTATCACATCATGAGACTAAAAAGGAAACGTATCCGCTACCTCTTTACTCGGCCTTGGGCTCCTCCGCCGCAGGGGCATCAGCCTTGGGCTCTTCGGTGGCAGCCTCACCCTGAGCGGCGGGCGCCTCGGCCTCGGAAGAGGTCCAGAGAGTCTGTAAAACTGTCAGCGTCGTTCAACCGAATCCAACCTCGTCGGGTGTACTCACAAGGTTGTCACGGAGGAGCTGCATGATGAGGGTGGAGTCCTTGTAGCTCTCCTCGCTCAATGTGTCGAGCTCAGCAATGGCATCATCGAAGGCCTGCTTAGCGAGGTGGCAAGCCTGGTCGGGAGCGTTGAGAATCTCGTAGTAGAAGACGGAGAAGTTGAGGGCAAGGCCGAGGCGGATGGGGTGGGTGGGAGGAAGCTCGGTCTGGGCAACGTCGGTAGCGTTCTTGTAGGCGTCGAGCGACTTGTCGGCGGAGTCCTTGCGCTTGTCGCCAACGGCGAACTCGGCAAGGTAACGGTGGTAGTCACCCTTCCTATTGCGGGGGTTAGAGAGCGGTAAGCTAAGCGAATCATATATGCTTACATCTTGTGGTAGAAGACCTTGGACTCGCCAGTGGTGGCGGAAGGAATGAGGTGCTGGTCAAGAACGGAGAGGATGTCCTCGCAGATCTTGGCAAGCTCGCTCTCAATCTTCTGGCGGTACTCCTTGATGAGGCTGACCTGGGTAGAGTTGCCCTTGGACTCCTCCTTCTGCTCGATGGAGGTGACGATTCTCCACGAGGCACGGCGGGCACCGATGACGTTCTTGTAGGCGACGGAAAGGAGGTTGCGCTCCTCAACGGTGAGATCACGGTCCTCGGAGGCGACGATCTTCATGTTCTCGACCATCTCTGTACAGCGAAACCCATCAGTCTCGGTCGGTCGGCATCGGGCATTGATTGATTTAACGTACCCTCGTAGCGCTCAGCCTGCTCGGCGAGCTTGGCAAGGTAGACAGCATCCTCGTGACCCATTTTGGCGGTGTTGTGAAGTTCTGAGATGTCGTGTGTTAGCTTGTGGAATTGCTTGGATGTGGTGTTGTAGGTGATTAAGGGGCGGGCCAATGTGAGGGCGCGGGTGACAGAAATGGCGGGGTAGATATCAAGGCGGGACAGCGAAAAGGAGGTGTAAGGCAGAACAGCAATGCGCGCCGCGACGAAAGAAGCCCTTGGTCGCCGACAGACAAAGTGAGGCCAAAGTGAGCGGCGCTTTGTGTTCTAACTTTGGAATCCCGCGGTGTGTCGATCGAATGTCGAAATAGACTTGCGGCCAACGGTGGGGTATGCGCAGGCTGGGCAGCACCTCCTGAGCGGCCGTCTTGAACCGGTCCTGTGTCCCTCCGGTTCAAGTCAAAGCTCGGATGCGATGAGTGCGGCCGCCGTCGATGGCAGCGCCGGGGATGACAAAGATATGGCCTTGTCGCATCGCGATGACGACAGCGGGTGGTGGACGAGAGGAGCAGCGGATAGCGAGCGGGTGCGTGTGCAGCTGATGCCCATGCCCACGGTGCAGGGAGAGGGAGGAAGCGGAGAAGCAGTGTGTCTTCATACATACCTGGTTAGATATTAGAGTAGACGGTAAGGCGGTTGTAGATTCGCGATGGGGGAATTAGCAGAGGCTTTGGTGGTGAAGAAGTGGATTTCGCTCGGTCGTTGGGAAAAAGAAGCAGGAAATGGACAGGCAGAGTGGTTTTGGGATGCAAAGTTGGAAATGAGGGAAGGGGGTGCAGTAAGGCAGGGAAGGGGAAAGTGAGTGCGACACTGAAGTGGAAGTGAGAGGAACCGCCGGGGCGAGGCTTGCACGGCCACGCACGCCTCCGCCTGTTTTGGGTTCTGATCGATGCTATGGGCCTGCTTCACCCACTGTGGGCGTGATGGCGGCCTAGTTGTAGGGAGTGAATGGGAGAATCCCACCACGTGACACCACCTCTGCTGCCTTGAGGTTGGGGGACGGGATTGGATTGCAGCTTCACTTTTGCCAAGTACGTCACTTACCCTCTCTGAGTCTCAGTCACTATCGCGGACGGACCCGGACCTGAGGTGATGGCTCTCGTCGCTTCCATTCCATCACAACCTGAACAGTGTTGCTTGCAGTGACTTCCAAGCTCCCCTACAGCAAGCCCAGCCCGCTCCCTGTTTGACCCCCAACCCAAACAGCACCCGGGCAGCCCTGCCGGATATGCCAGCGAACGACGACCGTTAACGGCTCATAAACCAGGCCGAAAGGAGACACGACGTTGCTTCTTGAAAAACTCTGATGAGTGATGACCCGAATGTCCAGTGCTCTCAGTCTTTACTGTCGTGGCAGTCACAAACACCACCGTCAGCCCCTTCCTGGTGGTATTCAACAGCCCTATTTTCATCCCGTCAACCTGGGCTCATGAATGCAACTGATGCCATGATTGACGCGATTGGAACTTGGTTGCCGCTCCCTACATTGTTCCGTGAAACCACCCGTCTGATAAGCCCAGCTTGTTCGAAACATCATGTTCGCATAAGGTGCCCACGTTTCGATTATGCGCTTCTCTCCACGGCTACAACTCCATAGTAACAACTCCATAGTAAACCAACCGCTCGGATTCCACCTGTCCATCCCCTATGTCCTTAAATTCCGGGGGCGTAAACAAGACCCTGGCTCGCCTGGCCACAGCATCAAGGATCGGTCTCACGGTCCACGACTTTTGTCTTGTTAATGGTATCAACTTCAGGAGACCTCCCTGCTCATACGCTCACGCTGAAGCCATCTAGAACATCCGGGTCTCGCCCTACATTTTGTCGCCCTTCAGATGTAACCGTTCCCATACCATTCAGCTGAGCTTCATCCCTCTCGCCGTAAAGTCGCTGTCCAGACCTCGATGGACAGGGATGGGCCCGCATTTATGATTGAGAGGATGGAGTCCACCCAGGATCCCTTGTCTGACCCTGCTCAATCCCAAGGCCCTTCACGAACGTCAGGAACACCATGATCTCCGGCTCGATGGAGTTTGGTAGTATGATGCAAGAAGGCTGGAGGGCAGGCCGTTCATGGAGGCACTCAGAAGGAAGGATACAGAATTCGGGCTGGAACGGCTGGAGGGTTCAATGGGACCCCGAGTTTGGGTTGTGCAACCCACAGAGCCGCCCGCTTGCGCCGGTCGCGCAACCAACATCTCACTGCCGAGTGTGTTCACGGCAGGTGGTGGCGTTCAGGTTGCAAAGTTGCCCTACTTCTTGCGTGCTTGCAAAGTCACAGCATCAATGAATGAGACAGTCTTTTGTCAGTCCGTTTGTTGACAAAAGACAGAGAGTTCCGTTTGTTGTTGTCTTGGACTCCATTGATTGACTCCAGATCATGATTGCTTTCAGACCCCCTGATGCGTCATTCGTTACCTCCCAGCAAGACAGCTGAAAGTGGGAAGAGGGGTCAGATTTTGGCGGGGCAGTGGGGTCGAGCATGCCAAGCTTGGGTTTGCGCAAAGAATAGCAACAAACTGCTGCCTCAGGCGTGAACTTTGTCGGATCCAGCCCGGTTGCAGTAAAGCCGCCAACTGCCAGTCGGGCCCGTTGAAGTGTCAACGACTGCCACAGCTGAGCCGGCAGCGGACAGGCGGAGCAAGCGGCAAGCCACGAGCCTTGAGCCTTGTCCCCGCCAACCCCCAACCCGCGACGACATTCGTTGGAGAACGGAGCTTCGACGTCCATGCTCACCCGAGAAGCTCCATCCCCGTCCCGAACTCCAGTCTCCAGTTTTGATCAGGCCATCCCAAACAAGTGTACGCAATTGGATCACCATCTCCTACACAACGTAATCGCACTGACAGCTAACTCTAGCTTGACGATCCTATAGAAAGGTAGCTTACCCCAACTCTCGCGACTTCCAATTGCTATTATACATCTTCTCCCATACATACAATCAACTCTTAATTAATCCATCCGACGAACCTCTCTCTTACACGCGAACCCAAGAAAAGAGACCCCATCCGCTAAAGCTTAACACACGTCACTCTAGTCCAACCAAACCACCAAACCAACCATCAAGATGCTCCGTACCACCGTCTCCAAGCTCGCTCGCCCTACCGTTTCCCGGGCCTTTGCGACGACCTCCCGCGCTTTCGCCGGTGAGACCGGTGCTCCCCCCAAGACCGGCGGCCAGGGGTGAGTTTTTGTTGCCTCTGCTCCTCTGCTCTGCGCGTCTGCGCGCGCGCGCACGTGGAGACAGTCAATCAATGCTAGCTCAGTCCGCTGACATCATACCTCCTCCAGTGACGCTTTCCAGCGCCGCGAGAAGGCCAACGAGGACTTTGCCATCCGCCAGCGCGAGAAGGAGAAGCTCCTCGAGCTCAAGAAGAAGCTTAGCGAGCAGCAGAAGCACCTCCAGACTCTTTCTGATCACATGTAAGACATCCGCCCACACACGCCTCCTGCGCAACGGCCTGTTGTTCTCGGCTTCTGGGTTCTGTCCCCCAGCGCCTTCAGGAACTCGCAATAAGTGTATAAGTGTTGAGAGGACAATTGGCTGACCTTGAGAAAAAAAAACCCAGTGACGAGATCACCAAGGAGCAGGGCGGCGAGCGCAACTAAACGAATCAAACTCAATACCATAAAACAAACTTTTTTCTCTTCTTCTATCATTTTCCCCGCGCGCGACGCCTACCACTACTACTACTACCACTACGCAGTATGAATACAATGAAATGAGTGGATGGGATCACACGAAACTTTTGGGAGGAAGGATTGGAATTGGATGCTGCGGCGGGCGGCGTTGAGATGATACGCTCATCATATCTTATACCACACACTACTCTACCACTACCCTGTAGCAATATAGCGACTTTCCCGTGATCAATGATCGAAAGCACACGGACTAAAAGACTACGAGAGCCTCACAACGGGACGAAGGCCGAGTGATAACTTCAAGGGCTAAACTGGAAGCATTTGAGACCGGACGCTTGTTGTTTTCAAGCTACGGAATGGATGGACGAGTTAAGAGCAGTGAGGAGAGGATCAACTTGTCACATCGCAACCAAACTTCGGAACTTGGGGGAAACAGACATGTTGCCGTTCTGGAGGGTTGACAGAACCAATAAGCAACATACGGAAGAACAGCGCCTTGTCCTACAAACTAAGTACGGATCGAGATATCACATGAACGCAGTCCAGTCCCCAAACGTTTAAAATTAGAGCAAGAACCACCGTCCAGCATTGTTCACCCGGAGTTTCCTACGTGTTAAGTTATCTCGAGAAACTCGTTCCTAGACGTCTAAACCGGAAAACGTCAACCCGTTCGTTCCTGATGTAACACCCTTCGTTTTCAGACCATGCATGCATTTTTCAACCTTCCATTGTTTATTTTGATGTTGGGCTTAGAACATGAGCATGAGTTAGTTTCTCTCAACCAGCCAACCAACCAATCACCCAGCCAGCCACATCTGCCAGACATACTAAACATGTTCATACAACACAAGAACCCCCCACCCCATCCCATGTGAACTTTCTCTCAAGCAAACTTCAGCAGTTGGGTAGTAATCAAAACACATTTCGCCGCCTTCTAGTTCCTCTTTCTTCTTCTCTTCATGGTTTACACTAAAAGCCCTTCCTTCACCTGTAAGCACCACCGCCCCTGTACGAGCGGTAAAAGCTCTGAGCAGCATCCGACTCGTTGACACCATTGTGGGCACCCATGCCGCTGGTAGCCTTTTGGGCAGCGACCACCTTGGCTTGGAGAGCGGCGGCGTTCTGGTCGATCCATTGGAGCTGGGTGAGGTGACCGTTGAGGACACGGACGATTTGGCTGAGCTGTTTGTTTGTTTGTGAAGTCTGTTAGTGACTGACTGTTCCAATTCAGGTCGGAGAGAAAAAGGGAAAAGTAAACAAAAGTACAAAAAAAAAAAAAAACATACCGGATCATCAGGCTTGCTCCCCTTGCTCAACGAGCCACTCATATCGTTAATCTCCTTAATCATCTTGGCCAAATCCTTGCCCATCTCATCCAGCCTATCCGTCAGCTTCTCCGCAAGCTTATACGTCCTCTCGCGCTCCTGATCGGGACCCAACCCGTCGTTACCGCCGCCGGCAGCCTTTTGCTCGCCGCTGGAGCCGGACCCAAGCTGCTGCTTCTTGAACAGCTCCTCCAGCTGCGCCTCGTACTGGTCCAGCCACGCGGTCAGCTCGTCCTGCTGCGACTCGACGCCCGAAAGCTGGCGCTCGATCTCGTTGCTGGCCTTCTCGGCTTCGTACGTGCTGGTGTACAGCTTCTGGATCTTCTCGCCGTTCTCGACCAGGAGGCGGTCCCATTCGGCGACCTTGGCGGCTTGCGACTTGAATTCCTTCTGGTACTTGGAGAGGTCGGTGGCCCAGCGGGTGATGATCTCGTCCATCGTCTTGTTCTTCAACCGCGGGAGAGTAGAGGTAGGGCCGGTGGTTGTGGAGGCGAGGTTGCCGGTGCTGCTGCTGGTGCCGGCGGCGGTAGTGGTGTTGTTGGCGGTTGTCGAGGTAGTGGTGTCCGCAGGCTTGGCTCCTCCTCCAAAAAGACTGCTGGTGGTTCCAGCAGTGGCGGTGGTGCTCCCACTGGCAGTAGTGGTAGCCGCTGTGGTGGTGGCGGGCTTGCTGGCGGCCGCACCGAAGAGGCCGCTAGTAGTAGTCGAAGACGAAGTAGCGGGCGCCGTAGTTGTGGTCATCGCAGGCGTAGTCGACCCGAACAGGCTTCCTGAGGCTGGGGCAGTAGTGGTAGTGGTAGCATCTTTGTTGGCACCGAACAGGCCGCCGGAGGCAGCAGTGGTGGTAGAGGTGGTAGGAGCTGAGGTAGAGGGAGTTGCGCCAAACAGACCACCCGTAGCTGGCTTCGCTGCTTCGGCCGGCTTGCTTGTGTTGGCACCAAAGAGGCCGGAAGTTGCTGGTGCTGTGGTGGTCGTGGTCGATGTCGTAGCCGGGGTTGTTGAGGCTGCGCCAAACAGGCTGCCGCCGCTGGTCGCAGGCTTCGCGCCGAAGAGAGTAGATCCGGGAGTGGCTGTTGTCGCGGGAGTTGTGCTAGATGTAGTCTCAGCTGGCTTGGCGCCAAAGAGACCAGAAGTGGTGCCAGAGGTAGTGGTCTCAGCTGGCTTCGCTCCGAAGAGAGATGGTGTTGTTCCCGAGGTAGGGGCAGCGGTTGTGGTCGGGGTACTCGAGGCTCCTCCTCCAAAGAGGTTGCCGGACGCAGGCGTGGTAGCACCGAAGAGAGAGGGCGCGGCCTTGGAGGCATCAGCAGCAGGTGGTGCGCCGGCGGGGGTAGTCGATCCTATTCCAAACGAGGTCTTGGCCGGCGTCGCCTGACTGTTGGCGCCAGCTCCGAAGAGACCACCGGTAGCCGAAGAAGAAGCATTGTTTCCAAACAGACCTCCCGAAGGAGCCCCTGTTGCGGGTGTGGTGCTGGCTCCGCCGCCGAACAGGTTCGAACCACCAGCAGCGGGGGTTGTGGATGTGTTGGCAGTGGTGTTTCCAAACAAGCCCGCGGGAGCCGTCGTGCTGCCTCCAGCAGGGTTGGAAGCAGCGCCGAAAAGTGAAGGTGTAGTCGAGGTGGTATTGGCTCCGAATAGTCCTCCAGGTTTTGGCGCATCTGTAGTCTTAGCACCAAACAAGCCACCGGCCGGCTGTGTCGAGCTCGCTGCTGGGGTGCCGAAGGATGAGGCTCCGAAAATACCACCGGATGTGGCAGTTGTTGCTGGTTGGCCCGAGGCCGCGCTGGAGCTTGGTGTACCGAAGAACGACATGGTTGCGATTATGTGAGGGTGACGATATTATGTCGAGGTTTCGGGGTTTGGTTGTTGGTGGTTAGGTCGGTAGTCGTCGACAAAAATGCTACAGTCAACAACAGCGTCCCACTTCCCAAGGCTGTTGCGGTTACCTCAACAACAGGGAGCGCGGCAACCCAAGCAACAAATGGTAAAATGCGAGGAAGATGGGCGCGATGCCGGTTTGGGTAATTGATGCAATGGTCCAGCCGTGGTATCGGATCGCGAGTTTGGACGTCGTCGGTTCGAAATCCGTTTGTGGAGTGGACTTTGGTTGGGCGTGGATTGGAGAATGCAAAGAAAGTGCAAGCGTCACTCTCTGTTTGCGAGGTTGTCAAGGTTCCTTTCGCGACAGGCCTTTTTTTGGAGGTGCTGCAGCGCGCCTGGGCTTTTCCCTTCTGGGGCGCGCAAGGCCAAGCAGGGGCATTTCCCGTTGTGAAGCAGTCAGCCCCAGGTGAAGTGCAGCCTCATCTCACATCTGGCTAACGGGTGCACGGGCGATCAATGTGTGGCTTGACGGCAGCTCGAGGGAATGACGACGGGGCGGACCTCCTCGTGCTGGTTTGATGCTCTGGCATCTGACTGGACCGTCCCGTGCAGCACATTACGCAGCGAGTATCCGTACACAGCGGTAGCACCGTACCAAAGCCACGCGGGCAGGGCGAAGCAAGCACTGCGGTCACTGTTGTCTTGGAATCCGGATGCTTGGGTGGTGGTTACCCCATGTTCTAGGCCATCCGGAAACTGTTCCTTCTCTCGACTCTCTCCACACATTGTCCATCGTCTGGACATTGAGATGCCACACAACGACTGTGTGCATACCCAACCTTGATTTGACATTGACCTATCTCCTGCAGTATAAGAGTTGGCTCACTCCCCCTCGTTGATCCATATCACCGTCTTAGTGAACATCCCCCCACAGCAACTACATCACTCCTCACCTTGCCCCCCGATCCCCGATCCCGATCTTCCCATTTTCATATACGTATCTTGCTTTCTACCTACCATATACACCTCTGCGCTACAGTACTCCCCATAGTCGGAAATCCTCTTGTTCTTTGATCGTATAGACCACCGCAACTACGCTTCGAGATCACAATGGCTTCGCGCAGAGCCAGTCTGTCGCCTCCCGAGAGGCAGGGGACCATGGACCCCGGCGCTCATGAGCTACCTGGTAGGTACAGCTGATGGAACTTGGAGAGTTCCTTTCCAAAGATGTCCAACTAACCATCTCTACGCGCCAACAGGCTCCGACACCGAAGACCACTACTCCGATGCCATCTCTTCCCCCAAGGCTCCGTCCTCGCCCATTCCGCGAACAAGAGTCGAGAGAGTAGACGACAAGCCGGCGTATGGAGAGGTCCCAGGGACAAAGGCATATGCTTTGAGGGAAGGAGACGCGAAGCCGGATGAGTTTGCCATTATCCCAGACCCGGACAGCAAGCTCTCGACCGAGGAGCATGACGAGCGCCGGCCGTCCACTCCAGGCGGACGCCCCATTCCCAAGACTGTAGTGGAGGAGACGCCTGATAGCACCGGTGCCGTCACCCACCCGGAGATCGAGGCGAGACACAGGGTTGACAGTCCTCCCGACGTGCTTGTCAAGGCGGATGGACAGAAGATCGAGAATGAGAAGGGTGGTGACAATGGTACGGATGCGTAGCACTTCTTTCTAGCCACACATTCACACGCACATGCCTGTTTGTTTTTGAGCCAGCAATTATACAAGATCTCCTTTGTATTGACTTTACGTTTTCCTGCGTAGATACACCAATACCACCTGCATTAAAGAGTCCCGCGTCGATACATTCTAGAGATTCGTCATCTGATCTAGACCAGCCATCCTCTGAGTTGCCCTCCCTAGGACCTAGTCTCCTAGAGAAGGAGCAGGGTACCAGCGAGGAGGCGAACGATGACGCGTATGACGATGTCGTACAACACAACGCCAAAAATGCCGACGAAGCCGCCGATGAAAATGAATTCAAGGAAGTGGAGGATGTAGAGGTCAAGACTGAGCAGGCTAAAGATGGAGAGGCGGAAGATGAGAAGCACGAGGAGGAGCAATCAAAAGACGGCGATACTACAGAAGAAGAAGGACCCAAAGCAGACGAGTTTGAGGATGCCAGCGAAGAGCCTGAGAACCAAGATACAAAGAAGGAAGACTCAGAGGATCAGTTCGACGAGCCGGAACCCAGTCAAGAGGTCGAGAACAAGGTCGAGCCAGAAGATGACAAGAAAGACGGCGCCAGCTTTGACAGCTTTGATCACAAAGAGGAGAAGCCTGTTGAAAATGATGGGTTCGATGACAACGGATTTGCCGAAGCAGGGGACAAGGCACCTGACGATGACGGGTTTGGTGATGACGACTTTGGGGACGACTTTGCTGAACCAGCTCAGGCCGGCGGCGATGACTTCGGGGATGACTTTGATGACTTTGAGGAGGGAGCCGAGACCAACAACGATGCTGACTTTGGCGACTTTGACGATGCCGGCTTTGACGATGACGACTTCCAAGAAGCCGAAGGGTTCTCGGCTCCAGCTCCCGCTCCTGAGCCGCAACCACAGCAACCACAGTCCTCATTATCCTTCGTAAGTCCCCCAACCTAGTTACTCCCTCTACACCTAAGAACAACACTAACACATCCCACAGCAAATACCCGACTTTACCCACCTCTCCCTCTCCGAAATCCTCTCCCTAACCTCCCCCTACCTCAACGCCCTCTTCCCTCCCTCCTCCGACACCGACGGCGACGACTCCAACTCCATTCCCACCCTGAACGTCACCTCCAACGGCAGTGCCGACCCCATCTTTCAACACCCCCGCTCCGCCTCTCTCTGGTCTCAACTCGTCGCCCCTCCCCCCCTCCAACCGCCCGATTGGATCCGCTCCCGCATCCGCCGCCTCTTCCTCGTCTCCCTCGGCGTCCCCGTCGACCTAGACGAGATCCTCCCCGCTTCCAAGCAGAAGAAACTCGTCTTGCCTAGCCTGGACCGTAGAGGGAGTTCGGCGGAGGCGGAAGGTGATGACGGGGGGCGCGCGGGTCGCTCGAGACGACCTAGCGCCGCCCTCCGCAGCGGCCAGGCACAGTCCGTTGACTCGCGCGGGAATCCTTCGAGCAGGACACCCTCCAAACAACCACCCGTCAACAAAACCGTTGCTGCCGCCACTGGTAGTGCCAACCGCTCCTCCAGTTCCGCTAGGAAGGGTCCACCTCCTGAACCGGTGTTTGATCTAGTAGCTGCTAAGCAGTTGTGCGAGACCACGGATGAAGCGCTCAGTGGTATGACGGTCAAGGAGCTGAAGGAGCATGTGCAAAAGTTGTACGCGATGCAGGAAGTGGCGAAGGAGGTGTTGGTGTATTGGCAGCAGAGGACGGATGAGAAGATTGGAGATCGGGAGGCGTTTGAGGGGGTTATTGAGAATTTGGTGAAGCATGCTAGGAAGGTTAGGAAGTGAGTGAGTGGATTTTGGGGGGAGGAGGAAGTGTTTGGGTATATGAGTGAGGCGGATTGATTGGGCTTTGAGAAAGGGAAGGAGGGTGAGAGTTCTATTCGATGTACAGGATGTGTTTACTAAGGGGATAGATAGACTGAGATTATAATATCAGTGTTGTAATTAAGAGAGAAGAAGCTTTCTTGTGAGGTTCTGTGTGAGGTTCTGTGTGAGGAGGTGGATAAGTGATAGGTGTGATATACTTACTACCTAGGTATGACGGTAGATTGTATAGACAACTAAGGATACAGTTCAAGTGTCCCATGGAAGTTGTTATTTGACGAAATAAAACGCATTATACTATCATGTCTACTTTCATATCTCTCAACTAGTTAACACAAAGTACCAAACATGACTTTTTGTTACAAAAACCCAAAACACCACGGTTGATAATGCGGTTCAAATGTTCTTTCTCTCTTCACAAATTCCTCGTATACTTCACGTATGACCAGTCTTTCTCTACTCCTTTTCGTCGTTGCTCTCCGGCCCCCATGTTGGATAAAAATAAGACCATGTACAAATCTCAAGGCTAGTTTTAGAAACACAGGTCCCGGTTCCCACGCTACGCCGTCCGTGTCCGCCCAGTTCCATTCTTTGATCATCCCAACGACTTTTGTATTCATCATCAGAGCAACCAAAAATTAACACCTTTGTTTCTCCCATTTCCTTCTTAATCCAGCGATATAAACTTTCGAACATTGGTCGCTTAAGAGGTGGAAGGCTCGAGGGTAACACCGCTACAATTATGGTTAGCATATGTTTAGTGGGTATAAAGAGGGTCATCAGAAACTTACGCAGCAATGGTGGCCCAACCGATAAGACGCCAGTGCTTCTCGATACGTCTGGAAAGGGCAACCTTCTCGCCGATGCTCGTGCAGGCGGGGGAGGTGAGGATAAGCTTAGCGGCATCCTTCTTGATGGCGGACACCTTGGCACCGGTGGAGGTGGAACCAATGTTGACCATGATGACTTCGTTCTTGGCGAGCTTGTCGACCTTGGCCTGCTTGCCGTCGGCGGTGCGGACACCGAGAAGGCGGCGGAGGAGGTAGAAGTTGACCTCGATCTCGGAGTAGATCTCGGGGAGGCGGCCCTTTTTACCGAGGACGAAACCGACGAGACGATCGGCACGGCAGAGGGTAGGGTCGATGCGGGTACCGACACCGATGAGACCACCGGGCACGGCGTACTTGAGGTCGTTGGCCTCGGAGTTGAGGGAAACGATTCTGCTGAAGATGGGAGTGCACTTGAGGTCGCCCTTGTCGTCACGGGTGACGATACCAGGACGGATCTCGATCTCGTCGCCGAGCTTGAGGACACCGTGGAGGATGGAACCACCGGCAACACCACCCTTGAGCTCGTCGATCTCGGCACCGGGCTTGTTGACATCGAAGGAACGAATGACGATCATCTGGGGGTCCATGGAGAAGTCCCTAGGAGGAATGGGGATGGTGTTGACGATGGCATCGTTGATGGCGTCGATGTTGAACTTGAGCTGGGCGGAGATGGGGATAATGGGCGACTTTCCAGCAACGGTACCACGGATGAACTTGAGGATAGACTCGTAGTGCTGCTTGGCGGCCTCCTCGCGCATAAGATCGACCTTGTTCTGGAGGATGATGATCTTGTCGAGCTTCATAATCTCGATGGCAGCCAAATGTTCGGAGGTCTGGGGCTGGGGGCAGGATTCGTTTCCGGCAATCAGGAGGAGAGCGGCGTCCATGACGGCGGCACCTGAAAGCATAGTGCTCATGAGAATATCGTGACCGGGGCAGTCGACGAAGCTGGCGATAGATACATGGTTAGCCAGATGTGCTCGTTGGCGCAAAGTGTCACTATCATCACTTACGAGACATGGCGCAACAGACGGTAGGTTCCCTCGCAGCCCTCGCGCTCGCAAGGGGGATCAACCTCCTTCTCGGACTTGTAACTCCTGTAGCATGTCGGGCGAGGGCATGCTGGGCTGTCGCACTTGTAGATCTTGGCGTTGGCGTAACCAAGCTTGATTGTGATGTTGCGGATAAGCTCGTTCTTGAAACGGACGGTCTGGACGCCCGAGATGGCTTTTACTACTGTCGACTTGCCGTGAGCGACGTGGCCGATGGTGCCGATGTTGATGGTGGCCTGTCGCGCGATGATCTCGGGGGTGAGGGGGCTGAGGGTCTTGACGTCGAGGTCCTTGGGGTCGGTCTGGGGAGGCAGAGGAGGTCTCTGGACGACGGGGGCGGGGGCCTTCTTGAGGGCCGACTTGCGCGGCTTGGCCTCGACCTCGTTGTCGGACTCGTGCTGGTCGACGTGAGACTCGTTGTCGGAGCCCGAGTCGGACTCGACGATATCGTTGCCGAACTTGTCGCCGTTGGTAGCCATGATTGTGGATGTGGATGTGAGGTGTAGTCTAAAGTCAAGTCGATGTCGCGGGGCAGTAATTTTTTCGCTTTCGGTGAACCCCTCTTGCTGCGTACTGTGCAGTGTATGTCCAGACCCTGCTCCTTGGTGTGGGTATGTGTCCTAATGTCTCCGCAACGGGACTCGCGATATTTGATAGCGGGCGTTGTTGGTAGGACCTGACAAAAATAGTGGGGTTGCAGCGAAGGTTGAAGGAAGGCTGACAAGAATTCGAGAATGACTCTGACGATATTTGACTTTGGCTTGTGCTCGTGGACCTGTGGTATATTTTTCTTGTGCAATCATAGGCCTGCCGCTGCCAGCTGCGACCGATCTCCAGCCCAGCCAACGAGGCGAGCCTCCTTCCCACTCTGTGAACTGCGTGCGCCCAACCCTTTGCTTGCCGCTGCCCCACTAAGCACGGTTTTCGGTTTAGCGTAGTTTGCCCCACAATGACCGATAAGAATGCGATAAGGATTTCCCTCTTGTTGCTGTCAGTGCTGAAGTCCAGAGCTCGGTCATCGGTTCGACATCCACATGTTGACTTTGGGAACTTCTATCCTATCAAGAGTTTGCTATCCTACACTTTCATCCAACCATCTTTCTGTTTCGGCACAAAACTCACTCATAGCTTACACGGCGAAGTAATGCTCGGAATTATATCACTTGAACGTCGAGAACGGATATGCTGTATCGATCGGCGAGTTGAATTCGTTTATTTCTTTGAGCCCTCGAGAACAATCGTTATTCTGCAGCGGTCTCTCCCATTGAGAACGACATCCTCCAACGTACATACGAACGTTTTCGGGTCGATTAGCTACACCCTTGCCGTCTCTAATCAACCACCCAACAACGCCGAGCCTAACTGTCGTCGTCAACTTTGAGGAGCACCTATGATGCTTGTCGTAGCCATAGCCTCAACTCTATGAAGCTTTGTTAGAGATGTCATCAAAGCTGTATCTGTTGCCAATACCTGACCATGGAGTCGAATGTTAGGGCACAAGGTGTCTTCTCACGGGTCAGGACCCTTCTCATCACGTTCTTCGGCACCTTTCACATATTCACTTTGATCTTCTACCACCTCCAAGGCGACCGTGTCACTTCATAACTAGCACTCTCGGCTTTCGATTGGGTTCATCAGCTCGGAGGAGCATGAGCGTTCAACCTGGGTTGAGACTCGGATAATATGGGTTCGACAAGCTCAGCCAAGCGGCCCAGATGTTGTCCCAAGTCCTCTGATTTTTCACTGAGGTAGAAGTAACCACAGTGACTGTGCCTTCGCAAGCATTTCAGGTCATGTTTTTTTTTTGAGTGTTCACGACAACACTGACAGACTTTGTTGGGAAGATGTTTTATATACATTAAAGCTACATCGGCAACGAACAAGCTTCTTCATAGCCTTGCCTCAAAGCACCCCCAAGGCCTTGTTTCACGTTCAGCCTTGATGCTTGTTGGATCGGGATCGGGAACATTCCGGGACCAAGACCTGTTCAACAGCGCGTACAACCGTCCTGATGTTTCGAGAAGCAGTCTCGTAGGATTCAAGCCACAGCCGACTTCCAGTGATTATCATTGGAGCGGGGAGAAGACTCAATCGGTTACACGAGACATATCCGCTTGACCGCTGAATGGCCGTCAGTCACGGCCACAGCCATGTTTGGAGCTTGACTATCGCTGGGTTGGGGCCGAGAGAAGCAGCGTGGGAGTGTCTATCCAAGATCACTCAGGCTGGACTGGGCAAAGGGACCAGAAGACGGATTCGCAATTGGCATGGCCGAGTCTACTCCTATAAATACCTTATCGGTTCTTTTCGAGGGTCGCATTGCTGAGTTTTGTCTTCTGCAATGAGCTTGGTCATGATCGTTTCACGACATGATGTAGGCAGCACTTCCTACGGCGCTGCTCACCAAGTTGGGAACTCGTGCCAAGCTCGGACCTTTCTTGTCAAGTCATCGAGCAGTATTCAAGTACCGCATCAATGGTGGAATGGGCGATGACTTGCAGCAGCCGAACTGGGTTCTTCCACTGAGCCACCGAGATGGCCCAAAGAACGGGTGGGATCTAACGCAGAAATGGCTGCCCATTATTGCTTTGATGGCTATATCAAGATGGTGATACCGAAGCTTTTCCAGCACGTCCGGCTCGGAGGGCTAAAAATACTGAAGCGGTGGCAACACCTACAAGTTGATGGGCTAAATACTGGCACTTTCATGATACTCCGTGCTTACGCACACCCGATGGAGGGTGGGCAATATCTGTGTGCTGACAAGTGCAGCACAAGGTAACCTCGCTTCCAGGTGTATGGACAGTTTCTCGTGAGAGTTGAAGACGGCATATAGTTGCCAAGCTATGGGCGGGAACTCGTAAGCAGAGTTGCCCGTGTTTGTCCGAGTTGGAGAATATCTTCGCCTTCAACCGGAATTCCAGAACAAGGTCATTGTTGCAGTTGGTGATCTACGAGGGTTGACTACCGACCTGGTATTCAAGGTGTTGATCCTTGCGAGTCCAGAACATACACCCAAAACACCAGCCTTGTATCGTCATGCCTGGGATCAAGCTCTTCGCAGAATTCGTCTTACACGACACCAGCAACACTGCATCCGTCCTAGCGGTGTACATGTCTTGGTACCATGCCATGTTGTCCGCTGTGCTACGGAACACCGACGTCGTTGTTCGCTGCTGTTCCAGAGAACCCCGCTCCCGGATAGAGAAAGTGAAGAACACAGAATATCTGGAAGGTCGGGAAGCAGAGACCACACGTGTGATGGTGCAACATTGAGAAGTCTGAGGAAGCCGCCGAATTATTGAGGCCCCCGCCTTCACCAGCCTTGGCCTTCACATTTGTGAACATGGTCAACTGACGATTTTGGCCAGGAAGTATAAAAAGCTACTGTGTCCCCGGCGCGTGATTCCCGCGCGTTCCCGCGAGGTCATGGTCAGAGTTGAACCGAGCAAACATCACACTCGAATCTTGAATTTTGCCGTTTCTGGGTCAGCGCCCGATATTAGATTGACCAAGATTTGCGAAAATGGAGTGTGAACGGCGTGAAGAGAGAGACCGTCGCTAGTCGCGGAGAAGGTAGACGAGCTTTGTGTGGTACCGCTTGCCGCCCACCAATGCATGGCTGGCAGCTCTATCACGGGGTTATGCCATCTGATTGGCTGCACATGTGAAGCTCCCAAACAAACAGCCAATTAGAGGGCTCGGAACACTCCAGGGTAGGCAGTTGGACGGCAGGGGACCAGCGGACGAGTGAGATGCACGGCAGGGGTTCTGGTGGTTCTTGTCTTTCCCCCAACCGAAAAGCCCCGCCCTCCAAGACTTCCTCAGCAACGACGACGACCGCTTGCCGCCCAACCACGGGCCGCCGTCTCCTGGTGTTGCTCTGAGCTTTCTTGGCGGTGCATCTGGACGATGTCGTTGGCCAGCCTCTTGGTCGAGTCCGGTAAAAGTGCTCCCATCCGCCAGCCGCCCCCAGCCAATGGATCGATGTTACCCAACCTTGCCCATCCGCTCTCTCTGGGCTTGTTGTTCTGTTATGAGGAAGGCAAAATACACAGAGAGGATGAAGTCGGGAGAGACCGAGGGCTCTGGTGTTGGGGCGAGAAGAGATGAAGAGAGAAAGAGGACTCATCATGGGCAGTGCCTGTGATGGTCCCCTACCCACACTCATATAGTACTCGGTTGCTATTTGAGTGATTTGAGCACATCTCGGTCTTCTTGGCCATGTGTGCACACGCAGGGTCATCTACATGTTGGTGTTGACGCCGCGGGATCGTCCATGCCGTCGACAGGCTGTTGTTATTCCCCTGGTCCGTTGCTATATCGAGAAGAAAGGTTGCAACCCCTCTTCCGTCTTACACCTTTCCTTATTGCGTTCGAGTCTTATCTAGACCATTTTCTGCTGCTAGGCCCTCCTAGGACTTGACTTTCTCTTCTTCTCCCGTTTCCCTCACTCTGTTGTTCTCTATCACAGCAACACCGCAAAAGTCTGCAGCATCTCCAACATCCAGGAGACGCAGGAACAAGAAGACCAACCTGCCACTGTCCGATCACAGTTCCTCGCTTGCCGACGTACATCTGCGGCCTCCCTCTTGGGCCACGAGCGAAAAGCAGCTAGAGGTAACCAGCAGCAGCACGAAGCCAGTCTGGTGCCCACTCCTGACTCCTACTGGGCGTCTATTTTCGACATCAGTCGCCCGACCTTATTGGCGACACTAGCCTGTCGTCCTATCAGCTTCCGTGTCTCGGGGCCGACTACACCACCCCTGTGCAAAGTATGCTTCCCCATTGCTTCCCTCCGAGGAACCAGTTGCTGATCGTCCCATGCAGAGAGACCCATACTCATCCACCACCAAAATACCAAATCAAGGTGTACGAGGTAGTGGCAGCGGCTATTCAAAACCACCTTCACCCCAACGGCGCCTCGCTTTCCATCCTCTCCTCTACTTCAGTAGCTGGGCTCTCTCATATCTGTGTCTTCTTTCCATTTTACTCTATTTCCTTTTGCTTCAATCCTGCAAAGTGTGCCGTCATCATCTCACAGTTTAAGGCTGTGTACCCTTTGCTAGTTTGATATCGACATCGAAGACTGGCTTCTTCGATTTTTTCCTAGTCACAGTACAGCCAACCAAAACATATACACATCCACATCGTCGACATGGCTTTCAACGACGAGAAGAAGCGGCCAGCCGCTCTCAACCTGACACCGCAACGAACAATGTCGGCCGGCTCAGTCTCTTCCAACGATTCATCATCCACAGCTTCATCACTGGCCAAGCCTCCAAGGACACCACGATTCGCCGAAGCCACCTCGGTACACTCGCCTGTCGATGGACGAACACTACCCTTCTCTGAGAATTACGCGGTTGCTCATGCTCAGCCTGGAGATGTTGGCTTTGGTTATATCGGGAATGGAGGAAACAGGGAATCAGTCGCCATGCCGATGACACCAAGGTCGCCCCTCAAGAGTGCGTTGAAGGTTCCAGGAACACCGGGTCGGGGTCTCGCCAATCCTCTTAGCCCAACATTTAGGGAAGAGGGGCAGCTGGAGCAAAGGGAAAAGTTGACGGAGAAGGAGCAGGCTAGGGATTTGGTAGGTTACACTTCTCGATTCGGATCAAGGTTATGATAACTAACAACATCACAGAAAGTCAAAACCCGTGTACGCATGGCCAAGTTCGCTCTCCGCGGTGTCAACTTTAGCTGCAGTCTCATCGTTCTCGCCATGCTTTCGTCCTCGTTTTCCATCTTTAACGCCACTCGCCATCTTCCGGCTATGAACGGCCTTCCCGCCTGGGCCAATAACACCAACCCTTGGCCTCAATACGTCGTTCTCGCCTGCTCCTGCGTCTCGCTCCTCATCTGCATTGGTGTCTTCATTGGTTACTGCCGTGGTGGTCATCAGAGGGCGGAGAAGGTTGGCGTGTACTACACGCTTTTCGCTGTGGGCTGGTTCATCTTCAGCATGATCATGTGGGCGGCGGCTGCCGGTATCTTCCAATTCAGCAAGAACAACAGCAAGAACCAAGACATGTGGGGTTGGGCCTGCGTAACGAACCACCGCGCGGAGCTCTTCAAGGACAAGGTCGACTACTTGCTGGTGTGCCGTCTTCAGGTAAGCTCCCTCCCCTCACTTCGTATCACCGCAACACCCGGAATGTCTTACTGACAACAAACTTTTGGTTGAACAGAACTGGAGTCTCATCTGCATCATCATCGAAGTCGTCGTCGAGATCATCAGCATCACGCTTTACAGCATCGTCTTCTACCGCTACTGGTCCAAGCGCAAGCTGCACAAGTCCATGAACATGCGCGACAAGGCCCGCTCCGACCTCTACCTCGCCCAGCTGCGCGTCCAATCCGCCCCCAACACCCCCGGCTTCGGTCCCAAGTCGCCCGCCTTCTCACAATACGCCCTCTCTCCCCGCTTCCCGCCCTCGCAGTACCAATCCTTCGACGACGTCGAGAAGGGCCACGGTGCCGGTCCTGCCCAGCAGCAACAGCAGCCCTTCACCCCCGGCGGCCAGCGCCTCATCATCCCCCAGTCCTCCTTCAGCTCGCCCAAGGTCGACACCGGCTTCAAGCTGCAGGCTCCTCCCTCAAAGGCTAACCCCGCCACCCCCGTCACACCCAAGGGCGGGTTCATGACGCCCTCATCTTCCAACGCGGTCTCGCCCGTGGATCCCATGCCCCAAATCAACCTGCCCCAGCCTCCCCCGCCGACGGTGCAGATTACGCATGCCCCGATGGTCGATGGCGAGCAGCAGTATGAGGCGGTGCCGATCCCGGGTGCTTATTCCGGTCAGGCGACGCATAGGTATGCTTAGACGGTCACCGGTTGGGCGACAGTGTTCAGTGGATGTCAATAAGCGATGAAAGTATATATAGCTATAACCTTAGCCCTCTTTCTCTTCTATAACCAATCTTTTTCCTTTGTTTACACTTTTTACTTTGTTTGTTTCAAATTGGATATACCAAAGGCGTTGGCGGGATCACAACTTGTTTTTTGGATAGCGATAGCGATGGGAGCTAGCTAGGATGGATGGAATGACGAAAATTGACTGCAGTGGTGGTTGTGTATAATATGTTGACGGGCTCAATGTGTCGGATGAGAGAGCGGGAACTCGAACGACGGGGAGATGTGGTTGGATGACGAATCAGACAATCACAACAGTCACCGACAGACAGACAAGAGAATAGAATTCTCTGTTGTGTGAATTGAACAAAGTGTCTGACTTCTATGGGTTTCCCTTGAACATCGATCGTGACACTGTGATATTGTGAAGTGGTCGGTGTTTGTTTTGTTGACATTCGAAAAAAGTACTCCCGTGTCTCGAGCCCGTGATACTCACGAACGAACTTGCTTGGTTGCCAACCTCCCCAATCACTTGGTGAAGCCGTCACCGTGATTCATGAGTATCTTGAGAGATGTTGTTGCTCACCGAGGTGAATCCCAGCATCGTAACACCATAACAGCTCTCCCAGCCATCCCCTCGCAGATTTCGGTGTTGATAAGCTTTTGATATTCAGGCCCAGGGGAATTGAGGACGAGATTAAAATCCCAAGCTCCACTTCTTTCAGGGGCGCCAGCTGGCAACCTGCACCCCAAAATATGAAGAACAGACGGGATGACCCACTTCTGCCAGCGGGTGCCAGACGTGCAGTGGGCAGTTACCGTCGGCATCGGATCCTCAGCAAATGCAATGACGCTGGAGCGGGACCTGCACTAACAATTAATTTGCTGGGAGCTGGAGACCAGACGACGCCGCGCGGGACCGGGACCCTTTTGGACGGGAATTGGCTGGACCCATTCGGGGATGCCACATGTAATTCGCGTTTCGGATCGGGGTCAAGTTCGTAGTTCTTGAATCAGGCCACGCCTTTGCCGTTCGTCTCCTTTTCCTTCTCTTCCTTTCGTAGTAAACAGTAGAGTTGGAGGTGATAGTGAAGTAAACCAGTCTAGTAAAGGTACGTTCTACCTTATGAAGTCGTGATATTAGCGTAATCGCAACTTACACACACCAACGCTATCGCTCCCGGCCGCCGGGATCGTCATCACCCATTCTCCAAAAAGAAAAAGGGGACGACGAGGCCAGACCAGACATCTCTCCAATTCCCAAGTCGCGACCTGACCTGACCTACCCAGTCCAGTCCCAGAGATAACTAACGAACGGGCGTCATCGTGCAGGCCACCCATCACCCAAACCAAGCTTCCCATCCTCGTCTCTCTTCCCAACCCGACCGACCGCAAGTCGCAACCACAACCCCCCCTCGTCTGTACCACCAAACCGACCGACCCAATGGCATCCTCCCTCCCCCGCCAAGCCTTCCGCCTGGCTTCTTCTTCTTCTACCTCTTCCACCACCGCCGCCCTCCGCGCCGCCTCCGCGACCTCTCGTCGTTGCGCCTCTACTCTCCAGAACACTACCGCTCGTCGCAGCACTCAGTGGACTTTCCCTAAGAACGGTTCTGGAAAGAGATCCTACAGCAACCTCCCACCTGGCGGTTCTCCTCCCCCTAGGGAAACAAATAAGATCAACTTCTGGCCTTTTGTGGCTGTGATTGCGTTGACATCGGGAGCGTATATGTTGTTGGTTAATCGGAGAAAGGGTGAGTCTTTTCTGGCTTCTGTCCGCTGACTTGGGAGGTGAAGGAGGGAAGGGAGGGGGTGGACTGGTTGTGGGCTGGGCTGGGCGAGAGAGGGGTCACGTCACGGTAGGAAGGAGAGAGAAAGGAAGAAAGAAAGAAAAGGAAGGGAGCTAGCTTCCCGACGCGAGAGACGGGAGCTTTTCTTTCTTACCTTACCTTGCTGTGCTTGGTTGCGCCTGGCTGTCAGACAAGTTGATGACGTCCGGCGCAAACCACCTCTCTCGGGCAGTCCACCAGCTCCCACAAGCTTACCTACCCTACCACCTCTGCCTCGCTACAACCTACAACCACACACACCCTTATCAAACCAGCCTACTTCTACCTGTACACAAGAAACAACACAAAACTGACTAACACCGGCTTCCATCGTCTAGACATGCCTCCCAACCCCTCCTCCTCCTCCTCCTCCTCCTCCGCCGCCGCCGCGGCCCCCTCCACTTCCTCCACCCCCGCCTTCTCCCCCACCGACGTAACAGTAATCTTCGTCCTCGGCGGCCCGGGCGCCGGCAAAGGCACGCAATGCGCCCGCTTGGTCTCCGACTACGGCTTCACCCACCTCTCAGCCGGCGACCTGCTTCGCGCCGAACAAGACCGACCTGGCTCCCAATACGGCCAGCTGATCAAAGATTACATCAAAAACGGGGCCATCGTGCCCATGGAAGTGACCATTGCCCTTCTTGAAAACGCAATGCGCGACACCCTTTCTGCCACCAAAACCAATGGCAAGGGTAGATTCCTAATCGACGGATTCCCCCGCAAGATGGATCAGGCGGTGAAATTCGAAGAGGTCGTCTGCCCGGCCAAGATGGTGCTGTTTTATGATTGTCCTGAACAGGAGATGGAGAAGAGGCTGTTGGAGAGGGGCAAGACGAGTGGGAGGGCGGATGATAATGCGGAGAGTATTCGGAAGCGGTTCAGGACGTTTGTGGAGACCAGCATGCCGGTTGTGGATTACTTTGAGAAGCAGGGGAAGGTGGTCAAGGTTGATTCGACGCCGGGGCCGGAGAAGGTTTATGAGGAGACGAGGGAACGGTTGAGGAGGGTTTTTGGGGATAAGTTTTAGGAGGTGATTGTTGTTCTTAAGGACAAGAAGGACGAGATAATGGGTGAGATGAGGGACATAAGAAGACTTGGTTTATGTGATGGTGCTCGTTCCATAAAATAAAACTTTATAGTACTATAGAAAGGGAGCGATGGAGTCGGGAGACGCTCGGTGGATGGATGGTTTCTTCTCGTTTGAAATTGATTTTGCTGCTTTTCCAGATATGATCGAGATGGCCCTGCGTTTACAAGTAAGTAAGTACCCTTGGAAGCCTGGCATGATGATCATTCATCTTGTTGTTTCACTGCTGGTCATAGAAAAAAGCATTGCTATTGCGCTTTCTTTGTACTTATCCTGAGGGTGGACCACATCCCATAGAGGTATTCGACACCCTTTTTCCTGAGTTGCTACCCCTTCACACATCATCATCACATGAATGGAGAGAGAAAACCTGATGATTGCTGGATATCTAAACCCCATTCCTCGGAATGATACAACAAAAATGCAAACCCGCCAAAAGTAGTCGAAAGAAGAGCAGCTCTACCTTGATAAATGGTGTTCCGTTTTTTTGGGGCTCACAACTCCTTAATAGACAACAACCCTTTTTGATGAAACTTGTAGAATTCCTTTCCCATTCAAATGAACTGAACTGATGACCGAGTGGAAAAAAGCACTGATACGGGGGAAGGCATCTTTTTTTGAAGATCCCCCCCAACTTCTATGCTACTAACAACAACCAATTATTGCGATATCCGTTGGCACCCTTCAGTCATCATCATCAGTGCGTTGCCTCGTCTGTCTGGCACCGCCGGTACGTCCTCCCCGGTTGCCGCCGCGCTGCTCCGACTCGCCAAGACCGGCGTTGGCCATCTTGCGCTCGAGCTCCTGCTGCTCACGCTCGCGCTGGGCCTCGACATCGGTCTGGGCCTTGCGCACGACGCCGACGAGCCTATCGACGACGGTCTTGAACTGGTCGACACGGGTGCCGAGCTCGCGCCACTGCTTCTCGCCGAAGACGCGGTAGGTGGTGCGGTGAACCAGGAAGACCTTCTGCTTCTGTGACAGGCGGCCCTCGACCAGCTTGGAGCGGATCACGTCAATGGTCCACATCTCGACGTCCTCGTCGGGGATCTGGAGCGCCTTGGCGATGCTGGCGTAGGGGATCTCGCGGTTCGGGGTGCTGGCGGCGAGCGAGGCGAAGGTGAGCAGGCGCATCTTGCGCTGCAGCTTCTCATGGTCGAGCTTCTCGTTCTCGATCCATCCCTGGTGCTCGTCCCTGAAGTCGTTGTAGTCCTCGAGGTCCTGCTCGGTGAAGATGTCGAGGAGCTGCGAGTAGACGGGGTGCGAGTCGCTCAGGGCGTGGACCGAGGGGAGCGAGCGCAGGTCATTGAAGTCGAAGCGGGTGGGCGACGAGATGGCCATGCGGAGGGCGCGGAGGGAGAGCTTCTGGGCCTCATCGGAGGTGACCTCTTCCTGGTTGTCGCGGTCGAAGGTGGCCAAAGCCTTGAGGAGGTAGAAGTAGGACTCCCTGTTAAGACACAGAATAAGTTAGCATGAAGCCGTAAAGGTGCACATGGTATGCATGATGCATGCAGACGGAAAGTAAATACTCACTCCTGATCACCAGCGTCGTTGGCGGCATCGGAAACCTCGACGTAGAGCTTGCGCTGGCTCTCAGAGTCGGACTTCCATTCCTGGAGCCAGCCCTCGACGTTCTTTAACCTGGGCTTGAGGAGGTCGAACTGGCTGTTTTGCCTGATGAAGCGGACGATCTGCATAAAGACATTGAAGCGCAGGGGGTTGGACTTGTCGAGAAGGTTGAAGATGGTGGTGAGCGCATTGGAGGCGAGGGTGAAGCCGTGGGTGGGAGACGAGGTGATGGGCTTGAGAAGGTTGCCGCAGAGGGTGGGCAGGTACTTCTTGGGCTCCTCGGACTGGAGGACGAGGTGGATGAGGAGGTTGTAGGCGGGGGTGAAGTCCTTCTCGGGGGCGCCGTTGAGGGAGTGGGAGGCCTTGACGATGAGGTCAAGGGCATCCTCGCGCTTGTCCTGCTCGAGGAGAGGCTTGACCTCCTCGCCGACCTGGACGAAGTCGGCCATCTCCTGCGCCAGCTCGGCGAAGGTGCCGTCGACGAAGATCAACTGGGGGGTAGCCATGTTGATGGTGGTGTGTGGTTGTTGACTGAGTATCGAACTATTCCCAGTTGGACCTAAAGGCTGAGGTCTGGGTATGGAGGGGGGGGACTCGGGTTGAGGCGAGACACACACGGCGGGACGGAGTCAGGTCGAGAACGTGGACGGGGACACGGCGACGGGAAAATATGGCCGGGGACAATCTGATAGTATGTCCTGGTGCTATGGAAGGTCGACCTTCGGGGGGTGGCCGGAAACGATACGGATATCCTGTAGACGTGGGAGGGGCCCCAAAGGAAGTTTTCTTAGTGGAAGGCTCCGCTCTTCTTTTTCTTTGCGCAGTCCTGGGCCTCGACTCGCTGTCCCTCTCTCGACTCTCGAGCAGCCTCTGATCGACCCTCTCACCAATTTCTCAAAGCAAAAAAAATGCCCCGCATTCAATGCCAAGCCCACCCATTTTTGCCCTGTGCTGAGAAGGGCTGTTCTGTGTGCTCCAGCCAGTCACGTGCAGGAGCTGTGCTGACTGTCAGGGTTATTGCAGTAGTTTGCATGTGTCGTAGAAAACCCTGAGCATGGGTGATCAGTCTTGACAATGTCAAGCGCATGGCGACAAGCAAAAGGGAGCTTGACATTGTCCCCAGCTTTTCCAAATCCGATCTTCACAACACATTCCCATCCATGTTTCTGGGCAAAGACAACATCGATATCAACAACGCACCTGATGAACTTTTGATAGCTCCTTGAAAGAGCCGAATCAGATTCACAATGATGGTTTGGAAACTCAGATCATAAAAGAAGTATCCGTCTCTCATGAGATGGTGCACTTGATGGAGGTTCACAGTTCAGTTGCCGTGGGCAGTGGAGATGTAAACCACGGGAATGGCGACAATCCTTGAACTAGAGTCTCAAACGGGACCAAAACTATCGAGCTCGCTACATCATCGATTTTTATCTTCACCATCGTATTGATCAAGACAAAGTGGCGACTCTACACAGTCGTAACAGTCCACTTTGTAAGCTCACCCAAAACAAACAGAAGCGGGAAGCGGAGAGGGGGTCACGGGTCATCTGAACCTATATCCAGGCAGACACTCAAAAGTGTGGTGGTGACCCGGGCAACGGCCAAGTTTACAGCCTGAGGATATTGTACCAGCTCCTTCCCTTTCTCACCGGCGTGGGAGTCTCATGAGTGACAAGTGACCCGCACGCCTGACAGCCAAGAAGGATGATGAAGAGTCACAACGAACCCACAATTGATTCTCGAGGAAAGAGTGATGACTTGCTGAATGAGCAGCCCTACGCTATGCAATGCACATGGTGACATTCAAGGGCTGAGGGTGTGCACCGCAGAAAGTGAAGTGTTACAGCACAGTAAACAAAGCCCCTTGAGCGGATCTCTTCAAAAATGCATCTAGAAATTTCATCAACAATAAAGTCAATGCTGTCAACTGCATGTTTCCCTTCTGGTGGATTTGTTGACTTGCACGCGCAAAGAGTGGAGTCAGGCACTTCTTGGCTCGAGGCGCGGCGTGATTTCCAAGCGAAAAGTGGAAGGAAGTGAGGAAGCTTGGGGCGGTCATCGAGGCTTGTACAACGTGAATCCCTGACGTTGTTATGTATGGTTGCTTTCTGGGGAGGCCAATAGCACTGCCCGCCGCCTATCCCATTCCTCGAACTGGCACTTTGTACTCAGTCATTTCCGAGGCACCGTCACCACCACCCCAACTTTTTCCACTTTACACACAACACACCCTCCCGCCGCTTGATCATTTGCGATCCTCTCTCTCGAATCGAATCCCAAGCTCCGGCGTTAACTGACCAACACACCATCCGACTCGTTGCCCTACAATCCCAGCAGCCATGGCTCCGCGAGCTGAAGGCAGCAGCACTCTTAAGAGAGCTCGCGTACGTCCACTCCCCCATATGTCATGACTCTCGCGTCGTGTATTATATGTTATTAGTCCATGGCGCATTGCGTCACCACCAAGCATGCTCCGTCGACTAATATGCGCTCTACTTCAGGGTTCTGCCGACGACAATGATTCCTTCAAGAAACCCCGTCGCTCCGAACGTCTCTCCTCCCAGCGCATCGACGACAGCGCCGAACCCAAGCAGAAGACCCCCGTCAACACCACCAAGCAACTGCCCTCTCCAGTCACCCACGACACCGATGACTACCCACAAGATGCCAAAGAGCCCACAGCTACCCCTCCAGCAGGCCGCCCCAGCCAGCTGTCGCAAATTAGCCCTCGCCCAGAGACCCAATACTCCCAGTCGCAAGTATTGAACGACACACAAGCCTTCAGCCAGTTACCCGATATCGATAGGCCATTGTCGGATGACGTCGAGGATGAAGTCAAGGAGGGAGTCTGGGGCTACCTGTTCCCCTTGGACCCTAGGCACGGTGGTCGTTGTGTCGTTCTGAGGAGGAGGGCCGCTTGCCCCCTTCCACATACGGTGTCACAGGCGGTTGGCTCTAAGAGAGGTAAACGCGGCCAGAAGGCGCTGATCAAGGAGGAGCACGAGTTGGACAAGACCAAGGTCAAGGGGCTTCCATCAGGTGGCTATCTGATCGGACGACACCCAGAATGCGGTTGGTTCACCTGTACAATCCCCGGTGTACTTCACCATACTAACGGAACATTAGACATCCAAATAGAGGACCCCATCGTTTCGAACCGACACTGCATTATCTTCACGGAGAACAAGGGTAACGATACCGTTGCCGTATTGGAGGATCTTTCGAGTAACGGAACATTCGTCAACGAGGCAATAGTGGGTCGCAACCGACAGAGAGAGCTCCAAGAGCTAGATGAGATCGCCGTTCTCGACAAAGCGCGCTTCATCTTCCGATACCCCAAGAGTCGACACACCAGCGCATTCAGGCAGCAGTACACCATGCTTCAGAAGTTGGGCAAGGGTCACTTCGCCGAGGTCTACTTGTGTGTGGAGAAGTCGACTGGTAGCCAGTATGCCGTCAAGGTGTTCTCCAAGACCCCTGGCCGCGAGGAGAGATCCAAGAATGAAGGTCTTCAGCAAGAAATCGCCGTGCTGATGGGGGTTAGTCACCCCAACGTCTTGTGTCTCAAAGATACCTTCAATGAGCCCAACGCCGTTTACCTAGTTCTTGAGCTGGCGCCAGGAGGTGAGTTGTTCAACTACATCGTGAAGAAGACCAAGCTTTCCGAGAACGAGTGCCGCAAGTTGTTTACCCAGCTATTCCAGGGTATCAAGTACTTGCATGACCGCAACATTGTCCACCGTGACATCAAACCCGAGAACATTCTGCTAGTCGATGATGACCTGCATGTCAAGCTGGCTGATTTCGGTCTTGCCAAGATCATTGGCGAGGAGTCCTTCACCACTACCCTATGTGGCACACCCAGTTATGTGGCACCAGAAATCCTCACCGACACTCGCCATCGCAAATACACCAAGGCCGTCGATGTTTGGTCTCTCGGTGTAGTCTTGTACATCTGCTTGTGCGGCTTCCCACCATTCTCGGATGAACTCACCTCCCCCGACTTCCCCTATTCTCTTTCGGATCAGATCAGGCAAGGCAAATTTGACTACCCATCGCCTTACTGGGACCCTGTGGATGACCTAGCTCGTAAGTGACCTAGTCTTATACCGTATGTCGCTATATCGATACTAACAATGCCCTAGTTGACCTGATTGACTCCATGCTCGTCGTCGACCCCGAGAAGCGCTTCACCGTTGACGAATGCCTTTCTCATCCCTGGATGACCGAAAAGAAGCCTGGCGTCAACGATAGTACCAACGGCCTCGTTAACGGCATCGCCGGCCTCGATGTCACCAGGCGCGGCGTTCTCCGCGAGCGCACCCTCCTCAGCTCGATCAACACAGTCCAGATCGCCGACAAGATCCCACTTGGCGATAACAAGCCCGAGCTGAAGATCTACAAGAAAAATCCCACGGTAGCGGCCGATGGGCCCAGCCAGCACGAATTTGTCGGAGCACAAGCTGGACCCTCCCGTCAAAAGGAGGCCAGGCCTGATGATAACAGAGACCCGAATGAGTTCATGAACATGGGTGGTAAGGGTGATGAGGTCCTCTTTGCGGAGGACCCGAAGAGTAATTACCCTACCGCCAGGGAGGACGCGAAGGATATCGTCGAGGCGGCGAAGACGAATGACAAGGGTAAGGGTAAGGGTAAGAAGAAATAAGGGAGTTCATGATTACTCCGTCTTACCTAACCTCCCTTCAGCAAGACTTAAGCGATGAAATATGGGCGTTGGCGTTTGGAACATTACATATGGTTGTTTGAGTAATAATAGGGCTGTATCTGTGGGTTAAGGAAGACATATTGCAATGATGGATATGGGAGGGTGGCATGAATCTGATGTTCTATGAAGAACGAATATGCTTGGTATGTCAAAGGCCAGGACAGGACATGTTTGTTGTTGAAGCAAAGCAGGCAAGCAAGCAAGCGGATTTGGGATTGTCATCATGAATGGAGGAAACTGTTACATACCACTGGAGCTTAATATTTCTCTCTTCTGCTTCTCTTCATCGATCGGGAGTTTATACCAAAAAGCGGTGCTGCATGGACTTTCAGGTTCTTCGAGGGAAAGGTTCAGTGGTATATAAGTTATGTTGTTGCTCTATGTATGTGTGCAAGCATCTTCGAGGTACCTAGATAGCGTTCCATCTTTCACTTCGATGACGGGTGTTGATATCAAGGCTTTTAGGTAGCTGACTTCAGAAGAAAATGGGCTCTTCAAATAATGGTTCCTTTTGCAATGAGCAACCCTGACATGTATTGAACTTAACGTGGATGAAGCGGTGACCATATACTCCAGTCTCCGTCGACCGGTCAACCGGACGGTAAGTGCGGGTTAACCGCTTTGCGTCTTGCTCCGTCAGCAGATACGCAGCCCCTATGCTTAACTCCCACTTTCCTAGAAACGGATTGACGAGTAAGGTGAAAGAGAGCCGGTAGGGATGCCCCCTTCGTTCACTAAACTTAAGTTCGAGTAATAGCAATGTGTTAACCGTTAATATCATCTGTCCCAATGCATAACAACCTTCTCTTGTATCTCTTCTTCCCATTTCTCCGGTTTTCAACCTCCTTATTAATCCTCCTCCCGAACACTCAACCATAGTGTAGTCACTGTTTTCCGAAGCCATGAGAGTGTCATCCAGATGGAAAGGACGGCCGAGTAAATCATGAGTCAAAGCACCTACCGTCACAGATCTTCATCCTTGTATAGAAAAGCAACTGGGAAGTGATTGACCAGACAATTCCTTCCCATGTATTCTCCATCGTTCTTGATTTTTGCCTGCTGTCCTTCCATTTTTACCCATTCATTATCCTTCTTGCAACGCTCCCCCGGCTATCACCGACAGGTGCCTTCCTAACAGCATACTTTCCCTTCTCTTACCACCAAGTTTACCAAATCAACAACAAAATGGAATCCCGTCATGGAATCCTGCTGGGAAAGGAGTCATTTTATTTGTTTTCCAGCTTTTGCTTGCTCACATCAATATCGCCCCACCGTCAACAGTCTACAGACACCAATAAGTCTGGATGCCACAGGCTGGTACAGTGGCGGCCATCAAGTGAGTTTTGTTTTGCTCTCTTCTGCCATAACTCGAGTTTGTTCCAGTCGTGCATTTTCATTTCATCCGCGGCATGCCATCATCCCCTCTAATGGTTCGGCAGCTAACCACCACGCTCTCATAGAAGCAAAACTGAAGCTTGTTCCATTGGAATAATACCCATTCAACCGAAAAGAACGCATCCAACGAGCTCTTCAGATCCCAAAGCATAGAAGACAAAGCATTCCACGGAGACACAACTACAGCAGAAGCCAAACGAACAATGTGTGAAATCATCTACAACAACTATGCATGCGGATGCTTTGCGTTCTCCACCAACGTGAATTGTACACCCGTGTGCCATGATAATTTGCCGAAGGTGACTAGAACCAAGGTATTGACCTACGACTGTGGCAGACCCAGCCGCTGCCCGGGTGTGCAGGCCTACTGGACTTGGATGGTCAACCGAAAGTTGGCGACAGAGAAGCTTTGGGACGAATACAAAAGGCTTGCTGAGGTGCAACCCAGTGGTCCCTTGTTTATGCAGCTTTCTACGTGGGCCTTCCCTCATCAGGCACGGTCTTCTCCCGAATAACAAGCCTTCTTGCGCCATATGTTGACTAAGGCTACGCAAGCAGTTTGCAGAGCGCGACCGACATCAGAATCCTCATAATGAGTCCTCTTTCCCGAGAACTTCAACCAACGGATATCCGGCCGCAGCATCCTCTTACTTGGTTAGCTCTCAACAATACCCAACATCATCCCAGCAATATCCATCAGGGTCTCAGCAGCATCCATCGGGTTCGCAACAACATCCGTCAGGTTCCCAACAACATCACAGCCAAGGGCGGCCCGCCGAGAGTCCCTATCCGCGGGAAGCGGGTCCCTTTGCTCCTCGTTATAGCCCAACTTCGCAGGCAGAGCCTATTCCTTCTGTTACTCTTGCTCCTCCCGCTCCTATTCAGCCAACAAGACAGCAATTTCAACATGCTCGACGCAACTCGGTGCCACGAAACACACAGGCTTTTCTTGCTATCAACCACCAGCCACCACCCGCGTCCCAGGGTATCCCAGTTTCACCTGTGACGCGTTCTATTGTAGAAAACACGTCTAGACCACCTCCGGGAGTCCCATTATCGGTTGCGGCACCTCCTCCAATGACTCGAACCAACGAACATCCGGCTGCAACACCCTTGGGCTTGGGGTCCCCGCCTATTTCCCTTTCACCTGGAACGGTTCATATGCTAAATTACAGATCCCGCACAGGTAGGCAACAGTCTCAACAAATTCCCCAGGCTTTGACTCCGAACGTGCCTTCAAATCAGCAAACTTCGAGCTCATCATCTGCCCAGCACCCTTCAGATACACAGGCGGCCTCAGCTTCTGCTTCCTCTTCTGATAGGCAGCCTCCGAGTTCTGGATCGGAAATAACTGGAAGAAGAGGGCAATGAAGAAGAGGGCAGTGAAGAAGAGGGCAGTGAAGAGGAGGGCAGTGAAGAGAAGGGCAGTGAAAAGAAGGGCAATGAAGATGAGGGTAGTGGAGAGGAGCAGAGTGATGAAACTGTCCACAGCCGATAAACATTTTGTCCGGATACATGAGAGTGACGATGAGGACATGGACGACGTAGATGGAGATGTGGATAAAGAAAAGGATGGAAACCGTGAATGGGTATGAGACCGTGATAATGATATAAATAAGGAGGGAAATGAGAATTAAATAACTGCGGCAATAGAAACAAAAGTCGTGATGGCATTGAGGGCAACGATAGAAGTTACGACAATGAAGGGGGTGGATCAAAGGATAAAGCTGGGGCAAGACAGACTTGGTAAGCTGTTATTGGCATACATAGGTACCTCGGACAATTATTGGACAATGAAAAATACACGTGGTCAGGGTAGGCCTAGAATTGTTAGAATTATATGTTCAGTTATGTCTGTGTAAACAAACCTTAATCAGATAAAAGTTACACAGCCACGCATCGCAAACTTGTCCACTTCTTGATGAACTGGAGAAAGCCGAGGACAAATTGATTGATTCACAGCAACTTCCTGCCCTTCAAAAAGTCCAGAACCATCAAGTAACTACCAGCCCGCTGCTGCTCATCCACCAACCCGCCAACGGCGTTCCCTTCAGTCTTGTAGAAAACTCGGAAATTGGTGGCCCACGGAGATGTCAACGTTCATGATGAAGGACAAACGGACAGACTGGGTCAGCAACACTCTGTCCGCGTCAGATCCAGTGGACGTCGTCTCCGTGATGTATTGCTGGCAAGGGGAATGGAGCCGGAAGGGCGGTTAAAAGAGGAGTGTCCCGGTGCTCTTGGTGGTGCTTTTGGTGAGTCCTCATCGACATCGTCCACTTCCCCTGTTCGGAGACAACAAGAACAAGTAAAGAGCGCAAAGGAGTATGTCTCTCTTCTCATTCAGTGTTCTCCCTTTCATGTTGCTGGTGATTCTCGAAGAATGATGAGTTCCCGTCACTAACACACTCACTAGGAGTTTACCATTCATTCACCAAGCACAACGACGAGACTCACTTACCCACCCAACATCCACGCAACACAAAATGTGCCTCAGGGAGTACCCCATTCTACGCCTGTAATAAGGAAATGTTCCCCGGGTCCGCTCCAACCCGAGACTACCCCTGCGAACGAAACTGCGGCCAGTGGACACCAGGTCGTTACCGGTCTGAAATGTACTGCATGAGCGAGTACTGTGACGTTTGTATCCACAAGAGACGGACTGATGTGGCGCCGTGGACGGATCCGAATACTTCCCAGCGTACCGATCCGCAGTATTCCCGGTATTATGATACGTATGGGGTTGCTCCTCCTGTAAGTGGTGGTGGACAAGTTGATCCGGGGTATGGTGGTGGTGGTGGTTACGGTGGCGGTGGACAGGTTGATCCGAGCTATGGTGGTGGTGGCTACGGTGGTAGTGATCCCTCGGGTTATGGAGGTTATGGTGGTGGTGGACAAATTGATCCGGGATACGGTGGTGGTGGTGGTGGCTATGGAGGTGGTGATCCCTCGGGGTATGGTGGTTACGGAGGTGGTGATCCTTCGGGCTCAGGATACGGCGGCGGCGGCGGCGGTTACGATGGTGGAGGCTTCCCTCCGAACCCGATGCCAGGACCGAATCCGGCGGAGAATCCCATTCCCAATAATCCATTCACTGGCCCAAACCCGCGGCCGCGGCCTTCATGGTTGAACGACGAGGAGGAGAATAAGGGAAGTAAGAAGAGTAAGGGGAAGAAGAGTCATCGGAGGCATAGGTGAGGTTGATGGGGGCAAGGGGCATAGGGAGAGAAGAAGATGAGGGAGTGGAAGCAAGGAAAGGGGGAGTGGGTGGGAGGTACATGGGGGTTGAACTGGAGGTGAAATGGAAATGAAGGGATTCGTCGAAGGGGAACAGGGTGGACAATCGGAAGAGAATATGTGAAAAGAAGGAAACAAGAAAGAAATGGAAGGGAAAAATGGAATAAAAAGAATTAAAAAGGGGAGTGACTACTAAATACCCAAACACTAAACAAGCCCATCAAGTGCAGGTCTGATACTATTGCGGCACGATGTTGACTACTTGACTTTGTTCAAGGTCGCAAGACAGCCACGAAGTTCTTTGCTGCCATGGCCTCCTGAAGTATTCAGTGTAACAATTGGTTCTTAATGGCAGGGAAAATGGTTGATTGCGGCATGGTTGAAAAGAGAGGAATGGCGGGCCAGACCAAGTCTAAATACTACAGGAATAGAATACCGGGGCCGGATGCACCTTCTATATGTCTCAACAAGCGGTTAAAGCTCACATGAATATACGCATATGCACTTGCCTTTGCAGCACAGGTGCTGCTTTCATGCCCGAAACCTGAAATGTAAGGTAGTCGAGACAACGTGTAATTACCTTAGCGCCAGAGTTGGGGAAACAGACAGGAACTGACCTCTATCCCCAACGGGTATGCCTGACTTCAATACCACACAGAGCCAGGTCGCACTTTCCATTCTCCTGCTTTTCTCCGCCCTTCTTTAAATTTCTCTCGTTCCGGGCTCACAAACTCCAAGCTAAGCATCACAACTCTTCACCTTTTCTAGATTTCCTACTCATCTTCTCGACGACCTACCGGCGATATCTCACCACGATCCGCGGAGGCGGAGGCGGGGGGCATCCTCGACCACCGCCGCCAAACGCTGGGAAAGGTGGGAAGAACGGTTGACCAAAAAAGGGGGCTGGAGGTGCTGACATAGGGCGCAACATCGGGTTGTTGTATCCTTGGTAGTAACCACCACCACCACCAGCATTAGGATAAGGTTGAAGAAAAGGAGGCATCAAAGGAACCCCGGCCGAATTATAACCGCCATGCACCGGACAAGACATTGACGGACCCGACGGTATTGGAGCAAAGCCACCATACCCCCCATACCCAGCATCACTACCGCCACCGGCATCGTAGCCCATACCTGAGGATGAACCACCGCCATAGCTGCTACCAGCATGAGCACCATAATTCCACTTCCAATCAGCAATTTTCACCTGGCCCTTGTCAAACATCCTCCGTATCGCTGTCGAGCAGCGAACGTTACCGCAGTCCGTTGGGAGCTCGTAGTAACCGGAGCCCCTTGAGTACTCTGGGCAGTTGTTTCCACAGGACTCGGTGCGGGTGTTTTGGGCGGGGAGCTGTTCGTGCCCGCAGGAGTAGACGGGCCAAAGCTTGCGGCACATGTTTTGTTGATTAACTCTGAAGGTAAAGTTGGATTGGATTGGATTGGATGGGTTTGGATGGGTTTGGATGGGGGGTTGCTGGCGGTGAGTGTTTCAAACGGTTCTTTTAAACACCTTTGGAATCGTGATGCTGCTACAATTCTTACCTCTGGTGCATCATCGCATGGTCAGGTACGTAAATGATCCATCGTTGACAATTCAAGTTGATATTTTGAAGCGGACAACAAGTATGTCCGTTTGTCTTCCTCCTGCATCATCATCATTGGTACCAATGGATCACGGACATTGAAAAGTTCTTGTCATGGGCGTCTCTGTCAAGGAAGTATGCCGTTCGGCGACAGTTGGGATCGAAGGAAACAGCATGTGTCCCACAAGACACTCAACGACTGCGCCATATCCAATAAAGAATTTCAATGATGAACACAAACCCTAAAAATTACATATTTCCAGCACTGCCTCGTTGCACTCTTCGTGGTTGTTTGCTCTGTTCACTTTATCTACAAGAGTCTACTAAGTGACACTCCCGGAAAAGAAAAAAGAGGAAGGAACGAATGGCAACGAGATGTGCCACAAAATCCGAACCAGCCACCTACCTCTACCTACTACCTCCTCCAGTTATCATGTCAACCCTCTTTCAACATCGCGGAAAATCGTCCACTGCATTACCTCGAGTGACTCAACACTGCACTGAATCCATCTCAAACCTCCTGATGAGCTACCAGCACTCATCTCTCACCGCCCACTTCTCTGGATGGCGCTCCCTCGGTCCTTCAAGAGCACTTTCGAGATTTCCATATTCACTTTTTTTGCGAATATCCCTCGGGCAATTACTCATACAGCCCAGCCCGTACAATAGGTATGGTACACATCCGCCTTCCATCCCATCCATCCCTCAGCTCTATTCCTCTACCCTCTACCCTCTGCCATCTAGACTACCTACGCCCCTTCGTTCATATAAAGTCCAGCACAAGCCCCGTGCCTCCCTCCAGCTTCACAGAAGTCAAACCCCATCAGACGAAATCTGGACCGACCACCTGCGCCAGCCCGCGCCGCGCTTGTCCTTACTTAATAAACGACCAGTCCAGGCCGAATTGGCAGGATCTCCTCGGGACCAGATAGCTGAGGGTTCTCTTCAGTGTGCTGTGCTGTACCCCCACCGGTCCGGTTCACGAACAGGTCCCGCGTTCGAATTCGATTTGCACGTCACGAATTTCTTTCGAGCAAAAGAAGCTGGGATTTCGGATGTTGATATGTTTTCTGTGTTCGTTTCCCGAGGAGAAAAGTAGTGCCCTGGTACTGTGAATCTTCTTTTTCCTTTTTTTGTTATTCATTTGCTTTTTGCCCTCGAATGTAGTGGGGAGAGGGGGGCTCGGAGGTAAAGGGGAGACAGGAAAGGACCTGGTAGGAGGAAAGTGGCGCGCCCTAATGGCTCGTGAGCGGTTCCAGCTGTTTCATCATGAAAACATTGCCGGTTGTGCGCGTGGTAAATACTCGTGGTACAATTTTTGTTGGTCGCAGCTGAAGCGTGGTGGTTCGTTCTCCCTATAATGTAGACTTTTAGACTACTCGGATGGTATGCTAGGTAAATGTTTATTGTACTCTTGATTTACTAGTAGTAGTTGTAGTGTAGGTATCATGCAATAAGAAAAGAGAAACCAGTCAGTCAGTAAAGACGTAGCAGCAAATCAGAAAGTCCCCAGGTCCGGGTACAGGAAGACGATAACCATTTCTTAACCAACAAAGCCAAGCAAGCCATGCAACAAAAACCAAAAACCAAAAGCCAGAAAGCCAGATCAGCAGACAGACAGACGAGCGGCGGCAGCAGCAAAGCAAACCGCGATCGCAAGCGAGACAGTTGAACCAGTAAATACGAGAGAGACACGAGACAGACGAATAAGACATACAAAAATCGAAAACTAGCAAACCAGCCGCAAGTAATAATTTCAATGCCTTGTTAATAACAGAAACCGCCTTTGGACCTTAAGAACCTGATTTGAACCCGGGTACCGGACAAAAACACACAACACAAAAAAGACAACACGGACTCCATCCACTTCCATCCATTCCTTTCTTCTCCTCCTTGTTTCTTTTTCCTTTCATCCCATCTCGTAAAACCCTCCTTCCAGCTAATTGGTCTGGCCGTGGCTTGTGCGTGTTGTCGAAATGTATATAAAAACCAAAACTGACTGATTTTGCTGAACGACCAAGACGAATATCGCGCGCGATGTTGATCAAAGAGTAGAAGTATGTGCTCGAATGACCAGCTAAATTCCTCCAACAAAAGTCAAATCGACCCATCCACACGGTTAGCTTGCATTATGGATGTTAGGTTCGGAGAGGCTTGCACGTGCCCTGCTCAGAGGATCCTCCTTGTCCGCCGTCACGATGGACGGGCTCTCCAGGCCGGAGACGAGGCTGTCAGCGGCCGTGATGCCCCTGGTGGCGAGGGGTGGGCGGAGCGCAGCGTGCTGCGCGGCTTGGCTGGCAGAGTACATGCCGTTGTCGCGGCGGCCGCCTGTGACGGCGTCGGCAGCACGAGTGAGCTCGCGCTCCCGGTTCTTCTCGAGTAGTTGCCCGCCGAGCGTCGCACACTTGAGAATGGTCTGGATTAGATGGTTCTGCTGCAGCGGCTTGGAGAGATACTCGTCCATCTGTGCCTGAATACACTTCTCCCTGTCGCCCATCATGGCGTGGGCCGTGAGGGCGATGATGGGTGTGCGCTGGCTGCCGAGGCTGCGCTCGTACTCGCGAATCTTGGCCGTGGCTTCGAAACCGCCCTGTGGAATTTGTTAGCATCGGTATCTTATCTTATAAAGACAGCTTTTACTTACCATAATAGGCATCTGGACGTCCATAAGAATGACATCGAACTTTTTCCTCTTGACGGCCTCAACAGCCTCCTCACCGTTTCCAACAACGGTGACGACGTGGTGATACTTCTCCAGGATCTTGACCGCGAGCCTCTGGTTGACGGTGTTGTCTTCGGCAAGCAGGATCTCGAAAGACTTGGTGTTGTCCGCCAGCGACGGCGTGGCTCTATTTTCAAGAGCAGGGACCATGCCGTTACCGAGGTCGATGAGTTGACAAGGCGTCGTCATGTACGACGTAATACCCAAGTCAAGGCAAGACTTCAGCGAGACGTGAACGACAGGTGCTAGCAAGACGATCGGAAGGTACTTGAAGTCATCAACAGACCGCAAGCGCCTCGCATCCTCAATCGAGTCCACAATGATAACGTCGTAGGGCGCCTGGCCGGCAGCTCTGGCCTTCTCAAGCACAGGACTCCTCTCCGAGTCGACGACGATGGGAACGAGACCCAAGCCGTGGAGCATCTTGGCGATCTCATGACCATGTCCGGTGCGGCCCTTGTCGATGAACAGGACCTGGTGAGTCTTGTAAGGGGTGAGCTGCTTGGCGATCAACGAGATATCGTCGTTGGCCAAGCGGACCACGCAGGTGAAGAAGAACTTGCTACCCTTGCCATATTCACTCTTCACCCACACGTCACCACCCATGAGGTTGACGAGACGCTTGGAGATGGAGAGACCGAGACCAGTACCGCCAAACTTGCGAGTCATTGAACCATCGGCCTGCTGGAAAGTGTCGAAGATAAGATCCAGCTTGTCCGCCGGAATACCGATACCAGTATCGGAAACGACAAACTCGATAGCGTACTCATCGGAGTTGCCGCACTGTACTGAAGAGGCCTTCTGGATGGTAAGACTAACTTCACCATGCTCGGTGAACTTGATAGCGTTGCCAACAAGGTTAAGAATAATCTGGCGCAACCTGAAGGAGTCACCGACGACGTGGTCGGGTACAGAATGGTCGACACGATATGTAAGATCCAAGAACTTCTCGTTTGCCTTGACTGCAAGAGTCTTGAGCGCGTTGAAGACGGTGCCACGCAACGTATAAGGAATCTCTTCGATGACCATACGCCTAGCTTCGATCTTGGACAGATCCAAAATGTCGTCGATGATGGTCAGTAAGCTGTTGGCCAGGGAGTTGACAATGTTGAGCATTTCTCTCTGATACTGTGTCAGGTCAGTATCAAGAGTAAGTTGTGTCATGCCGATGATGCCGTTCATGGGTGTGCGGATTTCGTGGGACATATTCGCCAAAAACTCGGACTTGGTCTTATTGGCCAGTTCGGCGGCTTCCCTGGCTTGGGTATTACGTTGGATACTGTCCCTCAAATTGTAGACCATCTGATTGATCTTCTTTTTGAGTTCGTCCATCTCGCCTGAGGCTTCTACCTCAACGAGTTTTGTAAAGTCCCCGTCTGTTGCGGCGTTTGTAATGTCGCCGAAAGCTCTCACTTGAGCCGTCTGTGAAAGGGATTAGCAAAAGGTGCTGTTCAAAAAAGGTGCTGGCGGCGAAACTTACCAAGTTGTTCGCCATTGTGTTGACATCGGTGGTGATTTCCTTCCACCTGCCCTTCAGGCCAGCAACGTCGGCTTGTCCTCCCATGATACCGTCGACACCGACATCCTTTGCGACTCTCTGCACCTCGTTACAGAAAATGGAAAGCCGGTCAACCATGTTGTTGATAGTCTTCTTGAGTATGAGTATCTCTCCCTTGGCTTCAACCTCGATCTTGCGGCTCATATCACCATTGGCAATGGCTTGTGTGACGGTAGAGATCCCACGGACCTGTGAAAGTTAGCAAACAGTGCATGCCGCAAAGGACATTAGGGGGAGCTTACCTGAGATGTAAGGTTGCTGGCCATGGTGTTGACGTTCTCTGTGAGGTCCTTCCACTTGCCCTCCACATTGTCAACCTGGGCCTGACCACCCAGGGTGCCATCAGTGCCGACTTCCCTGGCGACCTTGCTGACCTCGAAAGCGAAAGTGCCAAGACGGTCAACCATGGTGTTGATAGTGTTCTTCAAATCCAGGATTTCACCCTGAACCTCGACCCCAATCTTCTTGGTCAAATCACCCTTGGCGACGGCTGTAGTAACCTTTGCAATTTCTCGCACCTGTGTGGTCAAATT